TCCGATCGGGTTTGGGCCGGCATCAACGCTGCATTCTTATGTTCGAAGTCGCGCTGCTGCAGAGCATGTTCTCTCTCTGCTCGTGTTTGGAGTCTACCTGCCATGAGCCCATCTGTCTGGGATTCCAAGCAGGGTCCCTTGTCCGACAGAATTTCTCCTCTGTGTGCAATCAGCTCAATCACCAGATCCAGGTCATCGAATCCCACAATCTCGGCCAAGGACATTTGTAGCTCTTCGTCGTTGCTGTCAGCAGCCAGGGTGGCGATGACTTGCCCAGCAAGCTCCGTCGCATCCATAGTTGAGTTCCGCATAGCCAAATCCTGGCACTTATCTTCAAGCCAGAATCGATTGTAGGAGGATCCTGGTGCGACATGAAGTCCGTCGAGTCCATCCAGGTCATCGGAAGATTCATCATCCGAGCTGATGATATCCCACACATCATCATTTGTTCCCGGGGATGAGTAGTCGTCGTCAATATCCAGATCAATATCACTTCCATAGCCGATCGCTTCATGAGGAAGGTCCTTGGGGAGCTTCAGATCGGCAATGGCCTGGCGCATGGCTGCTAGTTGTAACAGCCATTGTGACTCGGTAGCTGCGATGCTGTCCATGTTTAGGAGAGGGCTGTCTAGTTAATGTAAAGATCAAGATGTGATAGTTATGCTGAGCGACAAAGAATGTACAATATTGTAGGGAACCCAAAGTGGTTATCGGCCAGGCCCGCAGGCTCCCAACATCAATTGGTCGCATGACAAGAGCGGTGTACCCCCCATGCCTCAGGCCATAATCCAGAGGGTCCAGTGCATCATTGTTATCTGCAACTCAGGAGTCTATTTTAGGCCTAACACTTGTCACTTTGCTTCGCCACTCCAGCTGAACATACAGCTGATCTCCCACAATATAAAGGAGTTGCCTAATTCTTTGACACTAGAGTGTTTCCTTGATAATCACCTACCACCACGCAACGCCCCACTGACCCCAACACCTACTTGCCTCCTTGTCCCTGTGCGGACAACACCCTGTCACCATGAAGATTCTTTATATGGGCGTATGTTTTATCACAGCTTGGATTTGATTGAATATTAGCTGAGATACGGTACTTATTTATCAACCTCGCAGGTTTTCCGGAACGACCCTAAGCCAGCTGTCGAGCTATGCGGGGAAAAGGACCTCAACGGGTAATTTCATATGCCCGCCCTGCAACTGACTGGAACAACCCGCTAATTGTCACTAGCTTTTCGCGCTTTACTCGTCAGAGGTATATCCACCCTTCCTCTCTTGGTCCGACACAGCTAGGTCACTAACCGCGAAGCGCTTAATAGCTACGATGAATTCCTCATGCTCTTCACCCGAACGGTCGCCGAGAGGACAAAGCCGGGCCAACGACAGGATATTGAGGAGAAGGCCTACACATTCCATACTTACGGACGGACAGAGGGTGTTGCCGGTGTTATTGTAACAGATGGGGACTATCCTGCCCTGGTGGCCCACCAGGTTTTGAGCAAGATTGTGGACGAGTTTCTTGCCAAGTACCCACGCACTGCCTTCTCCGACCCATCTTTGCGCGAGAATGCGTGCCCCCTGCCGCAGCTCAAGGAATATATCGTCAAGTACCAGGACCCAACCCAGGCCGACAGCATCATGAAGATCCAGCAGGAGCTTGACGAAACCAAGATTGTCCTTCACAAGACGGTATGCTCTTAGGTCTGTATGAGCCCATTATATGTGCTAACCATATCCAGATCGAAAGTGTCCTGGAGCGCGGTGAGAAGATCGACACCCTGGTTCAGAAGAGTGACGATCTGTCAAGTCAGAGCAAGAAATTCTATACCCAGGTATGCAAATCAAGGGTCAAGGGTAGCTTTCACTTGAATGTATTAACACAAGTAATTCCAGGCCAAGAAGCAAAACTCTTGCTGTGTTGTGATGTGAACCGGGATATACATGGTGTATTCGATTATGACTCCGCATTCTTGGATTTAATTACTCGTGTAATCAGACGCTGAAACGATGCATTTTTTTGCTACTATTGTATTTGCTCTCATTTTCCAGTGCCTATATATTTGCACCAAGTTCTCTCAATTAGGAAGATTTCTTTGGCTGTCCTGTTCTTCTGTAAAGTCTTTTGCCATAGACATTGGGAGGATTTTATTATTAACTAGGAGTGTTTCATGAAGGAGGAAAGATAAGATCGCGATCAAGTACATATAGCCGAGTCCAAGACTTTAGAAGCACGAGTGGTGTTTCTAGCTCTACAATTGGGCAAGGCCAGGCCCAAATAGGTAAGGATCTATATCGAATGACGCTTGTACGCTTCGGTTGACTTCCCATCTTCATAGTCGTTATGAGAAGAGTCAACGTACCCCACCAAACCTGTCCGAAGCACTGTGAAGATATCGCAGCTGCTGCGTTATTCTGCTTCAGATTTCGGTCTTCTGATAGGAAGAGTGGGGAGTGATGATCAACCAATGTGAGATCTGTCTGAGATAAAATGTTGATCATGATCTAGCTACTGCCATAAAACCCTCTAAACTTTACAAGGACAAAAAATGATGCACATATACAGACAATGTGACAATGAGAAAGAAAGTGAGAGCGTTACGAACAAAGAAGAGAAATCTGTGTAGATAGATGGAGATGGTCATCTAGCTACTGACATGAAGCTCTTTGAATAATTTCGTGGACCACCCCCTAAACCCCCCCTAGAAACCAGGAGAAGCATCTTCAGCAAGATGAGCAACAGCTCGACTAGAAGAAGATACTAACACAACACGGCGCAGCATGAAGCCGCAAGTGAAACAACATGAGGCTACGAGAAGAGCAAGGATACTGCCAAAGAGGGGTCTAGAACACTACATAGGAACAGTGAACACCCAAATACATCAATGATACAAAGAATTCCTGCGCTAGAACGCGGAAGAAGCATCTCTGCAAGATAAGCAAACAGAGATCTGCCAAACCGCGTCTCTGCAGGAGGGTAAAGAGCTTGCCAAAGAGGGGTCTGTCAAGCTTCATACGGACAACCAACACTTGTAGAGATACCCAAATGCATCAGATATCTAATAGATGATCTACCACGGAGGACCCATATCCCCCGAACTACGAGTAAGTAGAAAATTAAAACACTTGATCCAGTCATTCACCATATTATGTGTGTTTCCGTGACTAAATGTCGACAGAGGCCTCGTCGGGGTTGGGGGCTTCATCCCTGCGGCAGGTGTAAATGAAGTTGTCGAACCGGGGTCCATGTATTTTGTCTTTGGTGGGAACGGGTTCTTCGGATACTTCTTTTCAGAAAGCTCGATGTCTGCTGCTATCACGTCTCTCAGCCAGGATTCCCTTGATTGGTCAACCTACGAGGTCGAAGAATGTCCTAATCTCGAAACACTCGCAATGGTTGATGTGATTTGTCAACTGCGTGAGAAATGCTGTTTGAAAGAAACCTGTTGATAAAGATTATTCAATTTCTTCATGTTGAAAGCATGTATCCAATATGGACTTTACCTCTTCCAACGTGGGAGCAAGATGGCGTTGTACTCGTTAGAGATGCAGCACATGCGCTTCCTCCAAGCTCCGGTCAATGTTCTTCTCAAGCATTGGAGGAGGGTGAAGCTTTTGTATTGTTCTTGGCTCATTACCTTCGTATAGATGATGTACACCGGGACAAGGTAGCGCCGAAGGCCCTGAAGAATGTGATCAAGGCAAGATACAGAACAGCAAGCTCGAAATGGGCATATTCAAAGAGTATTTTGTATGCTGTGATTGAAATAATGGGGGACTGTTTCCTAGTTTCATAAGCAATCAAATTCGCGCGGTGACGGAGTATAACATTGCAGATCATGTTGCGTGAGTAATTGCGAGTGTCGATTGAAGGCAACCGTGGCCATCTCCGTGGCTTGCACTGGGATAGGTAGAACATCACGCCCTTGCCGCACTTCGGTTAGAGACAGGGCTCGTCTGTTTCAGGAAGGTTTTCTGCGAGCTTTTGGACTTGATATTTTTGGCAATTGTTTGATACATTGATCGCACATGAAATGATATCTTTCAATAGAAATGTCTCCTTAGGATGTTGGTTACTATGGCCATCTATCCCACGAACACTGAGACAACCTCGGAGGTACCATATCGGGTATTTGCAGTTCTACAGGCTGTCGGCGTTTCATTGCCCCTGAGATAGGAGGCACCGCCAATCGTCAGCGCCCGGGCAATTTAACGCGTATGTGATGTGTATCTCTTCCTTTCCTCGAAAGTATATTGGCGGATGATAAGGGTAAACCGTTCAACACAGCGTAGTATTGACGTGGGAGATTCCAGCCAACGGCAGGAAAAAGATTCCTCTTCGGGCACGCCTCATGGCGTGAGAATGGCGCGCGAAATGCGCATCTGATCGGATTCACTTCAGTTGAAAGCGTATTTCAAATATCTGTTAGATGCGGATTTCTCTATGCTCTATACTATCTTCTAGCTGAACACCGGCATGTGAAGTTGGAAATGGGTTTCGACACTGCAACCCTAGACCTACCTCACCCCCATGTTTGAAAGTCAAAGTGGGCTTATCTGGGGTCTTAGAATTGGTGTCCAACTAGGTTTACCCCGAGTTCCTAAAACAGATGAGCTTCTCCGTATTTTCAGGCGAGGACCATTGAGAGAACGAATTGGCCCCGCAAAATAGGGGGAAGATCATGTTGCCAAGAGCAGCGTGTCAACTAAGCTCAAACAAGAACTCTGGGCTCTCCTCCTGATTGGCCACGATTGGCCATATCAACGGGTCGTGAGAAGTACACAAAGTCTTATCTTCATCTTGCAGTCTGATCACATCTACTCCGTATACGAACTCTCTACTACGCCACGAGCTGAGCAAATCAAGCTTACTGCCTTTCTTATCATAGGCGGGATGCAAGTCAGACGGTTATCTGCGGCTGGGCTTTCATATAAATTGCCACTCGCCGTGGATAAGTTTTGTTGCCGGCGTTGGTGTAAAATTCGAAAACATGACCGCCATGGACTCAGACGTCGAGAAGAAAGCACCCACTATTGTGGAGCCAGCTGAAAGTCTCCCTTCAGCTCACGATGATGTTAGCGTCGGTGAACTCAACCCGCTGAAGCGGAACCTGAAGAACCGCCATATGCAGATGATCGCTGTTGGTATGCGTCCTCGGACGGTTTTTACTTTTCTTCTGATGCTAATTTCAGTAAGGTGGCGCTATTGGAGCTGGGGGTCTGCTCTCCGTACGGGTGGGCCTGGGTCTTTGTTACTATGCTACTTGATCGTTGGAGGAATGCTTCTTCTTACAATTCAGGCCTTGGGCGAGTTGGCCGTGCTATATCCCGTGAACGGAGCCTTTTTCACATACTGCGTACGGTTCATTAGCCCAGCCTGGTGAGTTTTCCGTGTTCATGTGCTATATTCATGGTCAAAAGACTGACTCCTCATTTTATGATAGGGGATTCGCAGTCGGCTGGGACTACGCTATTGGATGGCTCATCATTCTTCCCTTCGAACTTACGGCCGCAAGTTTGACAATTCAGTACTGGAGTGAAACTTTGAACAGCGGAATCTGGGTGGCAGTGTTTCTAGTCGTTCTAACTGCGATCCAGTTCTTCGGAGTTCGAGGCTACGGAGAAGGTGACAAAGCATTTATATCTTTACAAGATATATAAATACTAACGTCGGCATATAGTCGAATTCGTGCTGGGGATGATCAAGGTCATTGCCGTGATTGGCTTCATCATCCTTGGAATTGTGATCGATTGCGGTGGCGCCCCGAACGGAGGTTACATAGGAGCCCATTACTGGCATGACCCTGGTGCATTCACAACATTCAGAGGGTTCTGTTCGGTCTTTGTGACAGCAGCCTTCGCCTTCGGTGGTACAGAAATGGCTGGCCTTGCTGCTGCAGAGGCGGCAAACCCCGCCAAGTCCATCCCCAAGGCATCCAAGCAGGTCTTCTGGCGCATTATGATCTTCTATGTCCTGGGCACCTTTATAGTTGGCCTGATTGTTCCTTCTGACGCCGACTGGCTTCTCGGAGCATCTGGCGCCAACACCAAGGCTTCTCCATTTGTCGTATCAATCCAGAATGCCGGTATCTCTGGATTGCCCTCTGTTATGAATGCGATCATCACTATTTCAGTTATCAGCGTGGCGAACTCCGCGACATATGGCTCAAGCCGTACTATCCAGTCTTTGGCCTCCCGAGGCATGGCACCGAGATTCATGGCATATATTGACAAAGGTGGTCGGCCCCTTTACTGTATTATCCTGCAGATTGCTTTTGGTTTACTCGCTTTCATCAACGAGGCGCCATCAGGAAGCACCATTTTCGACTGGCTTCTTGCCTTGTCTGGTATCTCCGACTTCTTCATCTGGGGAAGTATCTGCCTTGCCCATATCCGCTTCCGCTCCGCCTGGGCGCATAACGGACACAGCGTGAACGAGCTTGCCTATGCCGCTCCCCTTGGTGTGGTTGGGAGCTATATCGGTCTGGGTCTCAATATCTTGTGTCTCATCGCGGAATTTTATGTCTCTGTGGCTTCAAAGGATGCTGAAACATTCTTCATGAACTACATTGCTGCGCCGCTTGTGATTCTACTTTTCGTCGTCTGGCTTCTTTACACCAAGTGGAATAAAGATCCCAGGCTCGACCGTGGAGGCTGGTTCATCCCAATTGAGAAGATGGACGTCCACAGCTTCATAAGGGACTCTGCTCTCGATGTGGATCTTCCACCAAGAGTCGAGTATGCTACTTGGGGTGCTTGGTTCAAAGCTGCTCCTATGCGTATAGCTCGCTCATTAATTTGAGAGAGTGAAAGCAGTCTATATAGTTCTCAAATTGAACTCGAGTTTTTTGAACGATGTAAATTTTGCGCTTTATATATATCCCAACTATAAAAGTAGAATTTGGTTGTCTTCCTTAAGCATTAGGAACGCTGTATCAATAAAATGCGACACGCTAATCCCATCACGTGCAACCCTTCAATATCTCCAAGCTCCCCCCTTCTCATCTACCTTTCCCAGCCCAAAGTTTCTTCAGTTATGTTGTGGTGGCCACGTGCCGATCACATGCCGTTGCCTGGTTTGCCAGGCTTCACCTAGCTATTTGACTAGTTAGATCTCGATCGTTGTAGAGAATCTAACCTTCTACATATCTCTCTCACCGCTCAAAGAAGTTACAACATGGATTCTTTCGAGAAACTGCCCCCTGAAGTTTTGTAGGCATTAAAAACAGCTTGTTAGCATCTCGACGACTCCATGCCGTCTTCCAGGCCCAGCCTACCCGCATCATACAAGAGCTGATCCTCTTAAATCCGATTACTTATATGCTAGAAATACAAAAGCTATGCTATAACATCTGGCACCTCAGTATCTCTTCACTGCAATGCCCGGATCTTGAGCACTATCACCAGACACATGCGAGGATCCGCCAACTTTAGGGTACACAGAATCACGGCATATACTTAAGATAGGCGCGCAGATCCAGCGGCTTGCGTGCAAATTTCTCTCTATTATGCGAGAAGGTCTCATCAAAACTCTTGATAATATCCCCGCGGATTCAATAAGTGGACCTCCACTCCAAATCCAAAATGCCAGCCAACCCTTCACCTGGACAGAAGAGTATCGCACATACTGGGCTCTCTGACATCTGCATCACTACTCCCCCCTGCGCAAAGCAGCAACCCAGCGATGGAACTGGAACGAATCCTCAATCCGGGAACTAGACGCATACAACACCTGGAGCGAAATCGACTATCGCACAGCCAAAAGACTCTGGACAGTATCCGCCGTCCTCTCAGATCTAGGTCTGACCCTGAACTGGCTGCCTACTGGCCCAGAAGCAGAAGAACCCGCCCAAACTATCTGGCCCGCTCCAGAAGAAACATCAATACCTTTCTTCCCATCATTTGACCTGCCACCCACACAGTCACAAGATATCAGCCTCTGGGCTACGCCAGATCCTCCCGAGGACACAGAGTTAACATCCGCCTGGATGCTCGCGCCGAGACACCGTGCCTCGCATCACTGGCACATAGCACACCTCTATCTCAGTGGTATAAATCTCACGCGGACAGTGCCTGCATGCTACTCGCTGACGAACATGAAACCGTGGCGACGACTTGGTTTGGTTATCTGGGATGGGTGTCGTATTTATTCTATTGGATTGAGTAATATCGCTCGAAAGAAAAAAATCCCCCTTCCGGATGGCGGTTTCCTTGAACCGGAGCCGCGGAATCCGAGGGATCGGAAACCGGGGATTGATTAAAAGGCTAGGTGGTTCGCGATGATTGGGGAGGAGAAGCCTTAAGGGGCCTTTTAGAGACTGGGGATAGGGTTGATAGGATGTTTTGAGAAATATTTGGGGGGGGGGGGGATATAGAAGTCATAATCCTCCAGGTTTGATCTTGATATCAACGTGGAACCTTCGAGCTATATGATCTCAATATCCATGGATATTTAAGTACTACCTACGACCCAACTCTCTATCCAGTATGTGTACGGTTACGAAACAATGTAGTTCCACAGGCCGTGAAGTTGTCCGCGTGGACTTGTGGTTTCTTATATTTCGCCATTTGGCTCTGACACCGAGATGCTTTCTTTACTGCTGTCGTTGATGTCCTGCCGAGGACTCAATTGTTTGCAATTGTCAACCGGTCATCTCTAGTATGAGCCATGAAAGAGGGCTCTGATCTGAACAGCATCAACATCAAAGTTGCTTCCGGTCAGCCTTTCGGAAAATATACTATAATCCTACAATACCGAGGATTGCCTCACCTGAAAGCATGTCTCACCCTGCGTCAAATTTTGTCAAATGGCTTGCCAGGGCTTCCACCCCAGACAAATTTGGTCTTTGTGGGCTCCTCGCAATGATATGCTTGGTCTACTACAGCTTCGGCCACCGATTCGGCCACTTAACCTCAGAGAGGTAGAGAATCCCAAACATATTACATCGATAAGCCATACTGCTTCCCGTTTTCATATAGAGTCCGTTCTCAAAGATATTGTATAGAAGATCCGACTCTTGCCCCAGTGAAGAGGTACAGCTGAAGAGCGAACAAGACAAAGACCTTAAGCAACCCAGGAATAAAATTTTGGTGATCTGTCTGCCACAAAGACGAGACTGTTATCAGAAAATCCTGCTTTGTGAAGTTGAGCTTCTCTTTCTTTTGGTCGATAACGATGCCATCTGCCGTCAAGGTATTTTTTATCCACTACTTCGAGGTTAGAATGGCTTATGATAATATCAGACGGTAAGTGACAAATGAATTAACCGTTTTTATTTCCTTTCGATCATCTAGAACGATTTTAGTTTTTGTGAATTGTTCAAACCCACCAAAAAACCGTTCGGCATGCGCACTCACGGTTCTCACCGTGGGTAGCTCATCCTCGTTCAGTCGTCCTTGAATAGAACTAGTGTACCAGCGAATGAATTGCTTGATCATGTCATGACTTGGAGCTGGACAACCAAGGGAAGTTTTGTAGTATTCAAACCCATTCTCTGGATCTGCAGTAAAACTAAGGGAAGGTCAGCCTTATTCATGAATGGGAAGGAATTGCCACCTTATATGCAGCTCAACTCACTTCCACCAAAGATTTACAGTTTTATGATGTAAACTTAGCCTCTTGTCCTTCTCCCGAATTAAGTCCTCCTGTCTGTAGGCTCTAGGAATATAGCCATTCTTTTCTCGCTGTAAACGGCGTTTTGTCTTAGCAATCTCATCGCGCTTAGTAAAAAAGCCTTTTTTACCCATGATTAAGTACGGTATGTCCTGGAGGCAGAGAATGTATTCAAAGTAAAAGAATGCGATAGTATATCAAGGAGGTAAGAGGTTCTTAAATAGAAGGCTTGTGAAAAATTATATACTAATGTTGGTATACGGTCTGCTTTTATATCTAAGACTTTGGGCTCGAGCTATTCTCAATTAAAAGACAGAGGGCGATAATATCCTGAAACGGACGGAGTTCTCCGCTCTTTCCTGCGCCCCTTTGTCATGGCGTATTTCCTTGGTGGGATATAGTGCTCCAAAAAATGAGGGCAGCAGCAATGTTATCAACGACCTAGCTATTACAGTATAAACTACCTGCGGGGCTAATCCCTTTTGGGTATAGCCTGCGGTGTGCTGAGGCGTGCTGAGGGCATTAGTGTTGCTCACTGATTGGACACTGAGCATCACTGAGCACATACTGAGGATCAGTCATCTGTACGTGATTAATCTGAGCATTATCACTGATCTGAGCCCATGCTGATATCTACTCAGTGAGCTTGAGCCTGAGCACCCTCACAAAAGCGGCGGCAGCTCAAATAGGAAAGCCCCACCCGCCAGGGAAAATCCGGTACGTATAGGTATATATATCAAGAGAAAAAAGGTACTGAATTCATGATCTTCCATACATATCTGCAATCCCATCGTGGGAGAACGCCATCCCAGTTATCTTCAGTCTCTTAATCACTCATCCTGCCTGCCACACATAATTTAAATCTCAACTTTCTCTAGTAGCTTCGCAACATTTTCATGTCGTGGCTTCAATCCGATACGGAACGGCACCGGAGAGCGCCCAGAGAGGCCATCGTATTCTTTCAAATCGACAGGCTCCCCTGGAATCTCGTACATATCGAATGCCCACAACATACGGGAGATTGTCAGCCAAATCTCACGCTCAGCCACAATCATTCCAGGGCAAATGCGACGACTAACAGGTATTAGTTGGGCTTTGTGTTTTGTCGTATACAAGGTAGTACTTACCCAGCTCCAAACATCCAGTGGTCTCGCTTCATAGGATCAGCGACATTGACACTGTCGGCAGATGTCAAGGGGTCGTCGATATAACGATCGGGCTTTTTTTCGTTTATTAGTAAACAGGTCTTTCAAAGGGCTGGCCATGGGTGACATACATCGAATTTTTCGGGGGAAGAATGACGGGCCGGATCATAGTGCATAGTCCATGTGTTGAGAACGACCACAGTATCCTTAGGAATGAACTTTCCTTGGTAGACAAAATCCTCACTGGCAACGTGGGGAGTACCTAACCAGAAAGGATTATGAACTCTCTCGACTTCCTTGATGATAGCGTGACAATACGGCAGATTCTTTTCATCTTCAATGCCAGGGAGACGGTTACGGCCAACAACACGATCGAGTTCTTCCTGGGCCTTCTTCTGGATCTCAGGGTAGGCAGGAATAAGAGCAGAGAACCATTGCATAATAGCGGCGGTCTGAATGAGGCGTCAGTGATGGATAGTAATAGTGATATGATGGTAGTAACTTACCGTCTCAACACCGCCAATCATGAAGGCCGATGCAAGGATTGCCATATCCAAATCATCAAGGTCCTCTTTGAGACGGACTTCAACCATAGTCTTAGCTAAACAGTCCGGAACCTTCTTGCCTTCCTTCATCTTCTGCTCTGTTTCCTTGATAAAGCCACCATATGTTTCGACCAAGCCTTCGTGCAGTTTCTTGGCGCGTTTGTACAATGGGGATGGGAGATACTGTAGAATAGGAACAAAATCAATAAGGTTCGACATAGGGCCAGTGCAATTCCTAGTAACTTAGTCAGTCTGTTGTCAAGATGAATAAATATCTGACCGCGCGCATACATAAATTCACGGCTGAGCTTCAAGGCCCGTCCCACCAGCGGGTGATGGATGCTGTCGGCTCGGAAACCGAAAGTGATAGTAGTCATGTTATTTAGAGAACAACGACCGGCATGAGGCTTCACAAATCAGTAATTGCTGGGGGGATTGAGGAACGGGATTGACACACTTGAGGGTTGACGGGGGCCAAGCCTCCTTTGCTTTCAACGAGCAATGCTTTTACCAAGGAGAGCGACTCGCGATCTAAGACAGCAGAGTACGAGTCAACGGCACGCTGGCTCAACCATGTGGCCGCAATACGGCGGTGCTTGCGCCTTGAATGGGGTCAGCAGCGGCTTCAGCGAAGTTTAGGATAAACTTACCAGCGGTCATTGTATGGAGTAGCAGTGATGCCTCGACCGGCAAAGATGGTTTGACTTTTGATAAACATTTCTTTGCGGGAAGAGAACACGTTCCCATTGGTAACCATGAGATCTTTGGCAATGTTTGGATCAGACACAATGACGAACAGTTGGTTTCCAAGCCAGATAGAATATAGGTCCCCGAACTTCTTCGCCCAGTAGTCCAGAGTCAACTCAGGATATCTAGTCAAAGAGTAAAAAGAACCTGTAAGTTATGTTAATGCGTGCCCTTTGTGTATGCCAGCGTTAAATTTACCAAAGATAGGAAGCCCTAGCGGGCCCTTGGGGATTTGGTGACCATTTTCGTCTGTCCAGGGCTTTCTGAGCCAGGCGAGAAGCGAAGCTCCGACAATCGCAGTGAGTGTCCACAGGACTGGCGTACTTGCTTCGGTCAAAGCGGCAAGTCCTATAGGCCACGATGCTGAATCGATGGGCATGGGGTTGAGCGGAGCCTCGGTGCTGTTATATATAATAGACATCTCGTCAAAGTATATATCCTGGGTTGCAAGAAGTTATCGATGGAAGAACTACCGTTTTATACACTCCAAAACCCCACAGTCGCCTACATTTTCCTGTTTCAAGAGTCAAGAGAGCGGCTGGTCTCGGACGCCCGGAGAGTTCTAGACTGAGGACCATATGCGTGAGGTTACTTCAAACCAAGAGAAGACGGGTGGAATTAGCTCAAATGGCCATATCAAGCGGATACGACAAAGCCACGTTGGTTCTTTGCTTGGCTGAATCTACCCACAGTGGATATCTTGCAAACATTCCTTGGCAACGATGAATACGACCTATCGTGTCTGATGTCCGATGTGCATGATCGACAGCTCGCTTGACGAAGTGTCTTGAATCTAGTGGGCACTTTATATCCCCTTCCTGGATTGGGCACTCCAAGGATTGATACATCACTTAGTAGGACGTCATTTAGGCTAGATGCTCGCAGACGGGCCCCCCGATTGTCTAAACAAGGAATGAAGAAGGATCACCGTGACGTGCATCACCGTTATGTTACAGAAAATGTGGGCTCTCTATCTCAGACTAAATCAATTCGCTTGTAATTGAGTGCTACGCGGGTACATATGAAATCAATATAGATAGTTCAGCTTCATTGACCACTGAGATAGACATTATAGATTATCATTGCACGAGTCAACGATGGAATATAACACCTGGGGTAGAAATATGTATCTCTCGGCTGTTCCTGACGGATTCCATCGCCTGCCAATTTGTATCCCGAAGCTAAAATCTTACTGCATATCATGCTGGTTTCCTCATCGCTAAAAACGGGTATTTTAGGAAATCTCCGGTCCACCAATGCATGCACTTGCATCTATAATGTCTGAGTCATGGATCGAGGACGCAATAATCATTCAAATCCCGACAATATAGAGACCATTACTGACTAGGTATTCGAATTCGGACGGGCCAAGACCGTATTTGCGAGGCTGGCGTGATATTGCATAATGATGAAATGTACAAGGACACTGAGAGAATTTAGCCATGAAAGTAGACCTATAATATAATGAGTGAACAGTAAACAGTAAACAGTAGTCGTGTTCCTGACTCAGCCACCTTTTATAATTCTACCGGTGGCTACAGAAAGTACAATGCCGTGACTCTTGAACCATGGATGTAGAAGTTGCAAAACAACAAATTGTAAATTGGCGCATTCCTCGTATACACCCTGTCATGTTGTAGCTATTGTCCCTTACGTGAACTGGAAGGAGAAAAACGACCATCCCCCACTTGCCACAGAACCAGCTTGGAGCCAAGTGTGGGCCTATGCAGGCTACCCCTGTACAAAGGATCGCAGTAGCCAAAAAACCAAAGCTTAGTGGAGCGACGAAATTTGCCACACGGGGCTTCGGTCTTTTTTATTTACCGCTATTGCTCCGGGTTTTCAAGTTCACATATGCATATGCATATTCCGACATAGATACATCTCACCACTTAGTTTTCAAGCGTTATTATATGATGGTAGAGTATATACATATAAACTATCCATTAACAGACTGTACTTCGTAGATAGCTTAAGAATATTACACTATACTAAGGTTGATAAGTGGGGTCGCATTCGCAAAGCTTCATTTATATTACGGAGTATTCTCGGCCTAGCTGCCTATGTCGTACGTAGATACCTAAAGGATTATACGACTAGAGCTCAGCTCCACATAGGGCCTGTGATTACCCGCATTTGTGAACATGGGTGTTTATGTTCAGGTTCTCGGCCGAGTAAAACAGACGCATATTTCAGCCAGATCGGATTTGACCATAAAGCCCTTGAAGCTGAAACGGTGCATAAGGGTTGCAGATGGCGACAGATATCTATGGATGCACGTTATACAGATCTCAGATCTGAACTGCGTTTCCACCTTCCAAGGTTCCCGCCCTCGGCGATCGATGGATGGGCCGCCTTGGCAACCCGTGCGCCACGGCAACGCGGGTCGGGGCGAGGCCAATGACGATCTTGTGGAGTGTCACAACCGACGGAAAACCAACGGGAAACCTACGGAGAACGGAGTACGTACTCCGTGACAGTTCTTGTTTGATTTGGACAATTAATTATCTAGACAATATGTTGAATACAACTCTTTTTTACCAATAGGTCATAGTAAATCCGACGGGGTCATACTGAGCCCCTAAAACTCTGACACTGCACTTGCCACCCAAAGAGACATGGCAAGTCTATTCCTGCGCAACTCATTTTGTTCATAAGGGATTGCGTCTCAATATCCACTGTCATTCCCCAGCAATCCCTCGACATCTATATAGTCACCTTGTGATAAAGGCGCATGGCTGTATTTCTAATTGGTAGCCTGTGGAAGAACAGGCTTCGGGGCGGGTGGACTGATCCAGAAAACGGGATAGCGACGTTGAATGTTGTTCACGACCAAAGCGACCATCAGAATCATAGTCGATGAAAGTAAGACCACTGGCAGATAGTACCAAGATAGTGCCCACACAGCTTCGTCCACTGCTGGAAGGAGAGCCGTCGCGCCGGCCGGGGGATGGGTAGTCTCGGTGATTTGCATAACAACAATGGCAACCGCAGACGAAAGCGAAGCGGCCAGCCAGCGCAAAGAGTCGAACTTTTCTTCATTGTGCATTAAGCTGAAGAGTTTCGAGATGCAGATGCCGACCAGAGCGCTCAAGAAATGGCCACCGATCAGCGCGCGTGGTTGTGCTAGAGGGCTCTCAATGGCGCCATATACGAGAACTGCTGATGCTCCCTACTTATGGATCAGTATCTGACAAGGGCACATGGAAAAAGCGAGACGTACATAAGAAGCAATGATGCCCGGCACGCCACGTTCAATGAAGTAGGAAGAGTAATTGAATATACCCTGTACCACACATAGACCACAGAATGCGGCTATGAACGACCAGAAATGAACGAGATATTTCGGGGGAGGCTTTGGTGCATTCTCACGATAGCCCAGCCAGTGGCTGATGAACCGAGGGAGGCGAGCCAAGAACTCTTTCTCAGAGATCATTACTAGACTTTGGGGAATGAAATTGACAGAGAATCAGGTCTTCCAAGGTTGTGAAATAAGGGAAAACATGCGATTGAAAAAGAGTAGCAAATGAACAAGGGGTCATGTGATGTACATTTCTTTGTTTGAAGGGGGATTCAGAAGGGCCAAAAGGATCACCATACAACATCGAGAGACTCGGTTCTAGGGACCTGATTAGTAGACCGGGATTTGGAAACCCAATACATCTTTACCAAATCCCGGAAAACAATATTGAAGTGTCGAGAAATTTGACCCGACGGCTGCCTCCGACTAATGCACGGGCGGCCCCTGAAATTATTTTTCACAGGCCGAATTGGGAATTGGACAGGGGACCCTTGTAGTCTTCTAGTTCGCACTAGGCGACGTTCTAGTTTGGCATGTAGCAATCGACCAACGTTGTCGATCTTTGACAAATCTCTTCGCTCAAAAGGAGGCCTTACGCATGCCGTCGTCTTCGTTGGAACCCACCCGTATGCTCCAGTCAAAAGCAGATTATATCCTTGACCAACGATCACCACTTACTAGTGCTTGTTGGCCCTTCCTCAATTCAGAACACGTAAGAAGCATTGGAAGATGCCTCTTTGCATCGTAATGCGTGCTTATTTTGCAGACCGTATAATGAACCTGTGAGATATCACCAATTGTCCGGTCGGGAATGGCGCCAGCATTTCGGTTATCCCCAGCACACAAATTGAGAGTTGCGAGAATAGCCACGGAGAATAATTCGTCAAATGAAGGTATTTCCAAGGTTCGTGCGAAGAACCACGTGTGTACTTTATTTCTGGTACCCGGTAGGCTATCTGTTGATAGCCTATAGCTACTCCCGGACACCCGAACAGTCTATCCTTTACCGTGACGTTGGAAAGTAGACTATACTATCTGACCAATCTCCTATATAAATACTGACGTACTTCCGCCGGGTTAGTAAATCTTCATCAGAACCAGAGACATCCTTCCGATCAAAAAATTCAAATTCCAATATGCAGGAACCAACCTACGACTCCAGGTAAATAAAGCACCAAACCAAGTTCCCACTCGGAAGTTGATTGAACATACAGCCGCCCGATGCCCTCGCTCGAGATTTCCTACTCGTACAAGCTGGTCGGCATCCCGAACAAGACTATCGTTAGCCTGCGTGTCGAATTCCCACCCAACGGGTCAACTCCCCCGCATCGTCACGGGGGCGCGAACGTTGGCGCGTATGTCCTCAAAGGGACTCTTCTCAACAAAATGAATGAAGATCCTATGAAAATCATCGAAGAAGGCGGAAGCTGGTTTGAAGCGCCGGGGTGTCATCATCGCATCAGCGATAATGCTAGCAAGACAGAGCCGGCGACGCTCATTGCTACCATGATCATCGATACTGAAGCATTTGAGAGAGACGGTATGGGGGCTCTCATCCAAATTGACGAGGAGTACCGCAAATGAGAATAGCTGGGTATCGAAGCTATTGATAGAACACTGTCAAAGCATCGGGATAATCACATCAGCGATTCAAAATCTGTAGGGCTATCATTGGAGGGTAAGCCGTCATGGAATCTATTGTAAAATAAATGAACTCGTTTCGGTTAGGCCAAGAGCATCCGTATCAAAAAAGGCACAAATGTCAAAGTTGGCGTCAGGCAACGTGTCCAATGGTGGGAATGCAGGTGAAGTTGGACCCGGAAGGGACAGGTCAACGGCATCCAAACCAACTGAGGGATCCGTTGTGAGAGATAGCAATTCTCGGGCGATAATCCCGATCTCGCGGTAGGTCCGTTTGCCTAGTGTCCAGTGCTCACTTAGACGCTTCAAAGTGCCCATCGTCAGACGAATCTTCTCCCGGCTTTTGGCTCGCCGGTCGCCAGAAAAGATGAACCTGCAAGCCGAAAGATGCGCAATAGTCACATTGGCAATCATGCAAATGATGAAAGGAGAATGGGTTGTCATATTAGTGGGCAGAGTCAACAGTTCATCAATGCTATTAATAGCCTGTGTACATTTGACAGTATGCAGGTCACGTTCCTTCGCGTTGCTGCATTTGAGGTGTGCCGACGGGGCCAATGGAGCACAGCGCGACACGGATTCGATCGCACTGTGAGTCAACGCTGACAGCGGCCGATGAATTTCAACGGTGTATCTAGACTTCGGTTAGGCAAATAGACAACAGAGAAGAAAGGTGCAGATCGTACGTGTGCATAATGAAGAATGCTTTGAACATGACCTCATCAAATGATCCATCGGGATGAATTAATTCTCTCTTTTCAGGAGAAAGAAGAGAACACCATGCTCGAACACTAGTGTCGCAGCTAGCAGCCATTGTAGTGTATATTTGGTCATATGCACTGTTGCCCGGGGACAAGGCCCGATCAATCCCGCGGGTCAAGCCAATAAGCTCCGCATAGGAGGAAAAATCACTTTTTTCTTCGTCAAGGAATTCCCTGTTCTCGTAATCATCTAGGGATCGTGGGGTGGGGATGACCTAATGAAAGTCAACTCAAACTTCTAAAAAGCAATAGAGCGGTTGTCCTACCCCTATTTCATACTGTTCCTCTTCACAAGGAAGGTCGGTAGTGATTTCAATGCCACTTGTTCGGAACGGGTACGTATGGGTAGATCCTGCGGTTATCAGAAATGTAAATTGGGGGAAATAATCATGTTTAGGGGACATACCGGCAATATGGGCATCGGTGATATAAATCACCCACCAAGTTCGTCGCCAACTTTCCTCTAGTACAGAATCAGCTTCAGCGTGGTTTCGGGCGAATTCCGATTTGTTCATCCCAAGGGCTACTGCCATGCGAATTGCTTCGTCAAGGAGCTCCACACCACTTTCTGTTTCATTGCACCAGTAGACAGCGATAGAATAAAGCAACAGAGCTTGAACGTCAAATGGTGTAAGAGGCCGGATTGATGACCGAATTTCGACCACTGAGTCCTGAGCACGTTGAGCACAAAATTCTAGCAACTGAGACGGACAAGAAATATCAAAAATAGATCCGATATAAGACATCACTCGAAGCAGAGGCTGAATATTCGCTTCGTTGAGCCGAGTCTTGAGAACTTGAAAAGGTAAGGCACAAGGATGGGCCGCGTGAAAGAACTCATAATATAAACTCAAAAATGAAGCAGCTGAGTTGGAAGTTGATTCAATTTCCCCGTTTATAGCGGTAGAAGAGGAGGAACAGACAGTGGAGGTTTGCAGTGATGTCTCGACGGTGTTATCATAGACATCTCTGACAGGCGACCGGGGTTTCGCCGATTTTGGATTTCCACGTCGCCGTGATAGAGGATAAACGCACTGTACTGTATTTGTGGCGCAGCGCGAGCAGACAGGCTTACGGCCATCACAGCGAAGGTGTTTGTAGCGACATTGTGCACACGAAAGGGAATTCCGTGTTCCACGTTTGCTAGGTTTATTCCTCTCTGGGGTATCCGACATGAGTTTCGAGGATATGACAAGTGAGAAAGGATGGTTAGACTCGCATTGCCCACTCTATCCCAGATTAGTCATACATTAGGATCTCCGGGGCTTTAACCTTGGAAGGTGGGCATCGCTGGGTATCTGTGGTTTGTGAAAAAAATAAAAACATCTGAATAGGTGTACTCTGATTTTTTAATATTTCTTTTTGGTACATTTTATCCCGACAAGCTGTCCAATTGTATTGATATTAATGTCGGCTACGAGACTGCTGACAGGGCCCGGCAGATGTGTATGCGAGGTCAAATTGAGCGATCGACCAGAAGAATATTGGATCCAACTATATATTTAGCTCAGGTAATGGTCTAATCTGAGACAGATAAAACGAATAATTATAAATTTGGTTCTCAAGTTGAGTAATAGGACTTTGTCTCCACGTCGAACCGGTCTCTTTCGGTTCCACCTTCAATTGCGTAGAAAGAACAATCATGAATTAGCGGGCGGATGAGTGTCTTCTGTTTCGCTCCTAAGTGTGACATCGCTCTGCCAAATTTTGAATGCCCGAGTCCGTAACCTCAACGAGAACATGCGATCAATCTCCATTGGCGTCCGACCTTTCATTTCAGGGATAGCCAGCCATGCCCCGACAACTGCCACTGCGGCGAATCCTGCCATCACAAACCCCGTTTTCGCCCTGAGATTTCCTTGATCTGAGTTATAGATATACGGCAAGATGATGGCAAATACTGCAGTGCCAACGCCACTAGTAAATCACCCGATACCTTGGCTCTTGGCTCGGAGTTGTAACGAGGACGCTTCGGCGGCAACCACATGGGACGCAGGCCACGATCCAAAACCAGAGACCATAGCGATAGCCATCATGCTTACTGCCGTATACCTGGTGCAACCAAGTCAGCTCATCGTCTTAAGCGTCCAATGTAGAGTCTTACCAAATTGTCACTGTTCCCTTGAAGATCCCTGCGATTCCAATGGCAAACCATAGAACCATAACGATACCCAGAGTCAGTAGAATAAGAAGTCTTCTCCCAAAGACATTCAGCGCCCATAGACTGATAACATTCGAAATCAGGCCCAGTCCAATACCCAAAATCAAGAATATCAAGCTATTCGATGAACCCATACCCACGATCTGCATAAAATAGGAAGCATTTGCCAACAGCTGCAAACCGAACATCTGGGGTATCATATTTGCAAAAGCCACAACCATAGTTCGGCGCATATTGACTCCCTTGAAACAGTCGGCATATGTATGGGTTGCGCTCTCCTCGTCCTCTGCTGAAATTGACGCCTGTAACTCGTCGATTACAGCTTGTGAGTCGATATGATCGTTATCAAGCTTTTTCTGTGCTTTAAGAGCCTTCTCTGTCCGTCCAGTTCTCAACAACCAAGTTGGAGACTCTGGTAGAAATGCCGCTAGCACAAAGGGAACGGCCGAGAACGGCCATTGCGACGCAAAGCAAATCCGGTAAGATTGTGCGCCTGTATGCTTAAGCGAAGTATAAACCACGATCGACCCAACCAGCTGTCCAAGAAGTGTGAAGATCGGATAGAATGCAATGACCGGTCCTCGTAGAGCAACAGGGAGTACCTCGGACATGTACGTCTGTGTAACACACAGAAGAATGCCAATACAAATCCCCTGGAAGAATTTACCGACGAAGAATACCCCTCGACGACTTCCTATTCCGTCTGGTAGATCGGAGATGTAGCATATTGCGACCGCAATGGTGGATAGGAAACTGCCTATAGCAAGCGTAATCCGACGCCCACGACGATCTTGATAATAACCACCGAGGATGGAGCCGAACATCAAGCCAATGCAACTGGAGACGTTCCAAAGGGAAAGCCACATCGAGGGGATGATATACTTTCCATTGAGTTCCTGGCCGAAAACAAGTCTTTCGTGTGTCAGCAGCGACGAAATTCTCTATTATTTTGGATGGAGTATTTACTGAAATTGAGGCATTGCAGCCACTGTCCCCACTATGACAAGATCATATCCGTAGAGAAGAATTGCCGAGCTTAGCGCGAGGCAATAGCCCACGATGTTGGGGGATTTCTTGAACGATTGCCAGAGTGGTATGTGTGATGTCCTTCTGCCGGAATGAATGCCATCAACACAAACATTCTCACTGAACTCTTTGTTGGAGATTGTCTCTTTGAGATTCATATTGTATAGGTGCGGGCAGTAATGACAGGGGGGACAACAAGGGGATAACAAGGTGGAAATCCCTTTGTCTTAAATCTGCGTAATGTACTCCGTATGACCCTACAGAATGGTAGAACAAAGAAACCCGCATACCAACCCTAACAGGGGGGGGGAGCAAGGAATATTAAATAGGAGTCAATTCATAAATAGGAGTCCATTCATAACACCAATGGACAAGTTTCTCGAATCGAATGTCTTATTTTTCGGGATTTCTCATGCACTGACCGCGCTGTGTGACGCATAACACATAACAAGGATAGTTGGCTGGTTTCTTCCTATTTTCATGCGACACGGTCCCCCGTCCCCCGCAGGACTGCCAAGGCGATCATCTCGGGAAAGAGAACTATCGCCTTGACATAACTCGTTTCCCCGCTATTATAACATCATGTTCTCCGTACCTGGACCAGGGAATACATTGGAGGACAGTCTACAGAATCAATCAGGGATACCTGCCTTCGCCTAGCCGGGATATACAGGTCACCATATAACGCAATTCCCAACTTACATGTGCCATTTATTATTCGTTCTAATTTTATAATTCTGATCTCAGAGGGCCTTGCATTATACTTAGGTGTGCTTACCGTTGTCAGGAAGTTTGATACTGTCAGTCTGAAATAGGGATAGACATGTAAACTAAGCAAGAGGCCTTCAAATCAGACACCATCAACACTGAAGCTCGTGATCAATTATGTGAATTTATTCATTGTTATGATTTAGCTCTTCTATTGCACCTTTTTGTGAACAATATCGTTAGGCCTAGTTTTCCTTGGCCGGACGAGTCATAGCTGTGAGCGCAGTCGACTCAGGCCCCGATCGTGCCTCCTTCATTTTCTCCAAGGCTCCCAGGTGCTCTTTCAATGCAGAAATCTCACGTTCAAGCTCAACCGACGAAGCTAGTCGGTATTTGAGCTTCAGAATCGCAGCTGAGATTACAAGCAGTGCTAGAGACACGGGGTACGCCCACTGACCAACCTGACTCGGAGTCTCCTCTGACGGCCCATCATTGGAGATTTGGATCTCTATCCAAATGACAAAGGCAACGACGGTGAACGGACTGGCTATCATGCTGAAGAGTATGCCAAAAAGAATTGCAGCATCAACAAGCACATGAAGAAAGGATTTGAGGAACTGACGGCTGAATATGTGTCGCATTCGGCGCCAGACAGAGGTCTTCTTGGTTGTGGGTTCCGGGTCTTCTCCATTATTATCTAGATTGCTTGGTGTATCCATCGCACCGCAAACTTCGTCTTTGAAGCTTTTCCAGATAGTCTTCCGTTCTTTCCAGATTACCATGATCTGCGCTGATGGGATCCGCGATCGATAAGGTAGAAATCGATAAGTCAAGAGGAGGCAGTTCAGGATCAGACAAATAATGATGAGACTGTAGATGTAGCGATGCGAGTACAGAACCTTCTTCACGAAGCTATGGGAGGTAGCAATTTTGAAGTCTCCGTCTGCCGTGGCTGAATGCAATGAGTCTGGTTTTCGTAAAATTTGGGTCGAATTGAAACAGGGGTTGAAGCAAATATCTCCTAGTTGATTCCATCGCGCGAGGTTCGAAAATATATCCCACACACTGTCGTTCCACGTGGATGTTCTCCATGAGGCTTGCCATCCGTCATTCGATGTGTCATTGAAAGGCGCGAGATCAGGAAAGCAGAACATGTACTGTGGGGATATTTTGGGTACTTTCGCGGCATAGATGAGGGAACATATAGAGCCACCCAACATGAGCGCGTGCCAGATATAAAAGAGAAGGTTCCGTGCTCGGTCGTGGGTTAGGATGCGGGACCAGCATTGGAGGGGTAAAAAGACGAGATAACCGGTGACAACGATTGCAAGAACAGCATCCGAGTCAAGCTCAAGTGATGCGGGCGAGATCATAACATGGTCTGTCTCGGTGATCAAAGAAGAGAAAGTGTTTTGTAGGCTGGAGTTAGCGGACAGGTATGGGATAGTGACAGGTCCAGGGTCTTGGGGTGTCTGGTAACTGGAAACCATGATGAAGGCTTGAATTGCCGCGGTCCCTGCATATGCCGCTGCAGTTCCTAAAAATACATCCATGACCCATCCTGTCCATCGAGTGACACAGGTTGCTAGCAGAAGCGCATAGAAGAGATATCGTGGACATGAGTTGTAGATTGTACTGATTGGATAAAAGCAGAGAGTCTCCTGGGCAATGAATAAGGGGAGACCTGTGTTGTGATCCATTGGAGAATGAAGGCTTGTGGAGAGAGTCGAGATGTTTTTCCGTTTACGTTCAGGCTGCTTAGTTACGTGACATTGATGGTTGACGTCACACATTCTCATCTTCAGCATCTTCAATAAACAATGAGAATAATTAGTAAGTTTGGCAATTGCATGGCAATCAGAGAGATGGATTTTGAGCAAAAGAATTAGAGGGAGTCTTCATAACAAGGGTATTAATTATAATTCTACACGGCGTAGAAATAGTTCTAGTAGCTAGTCAATCTATGCTACCTTATAAGTGTCAAAGTAAACAAGTCCATTCAAACCCGATCCCCAATTCTAACCCCATGATCTTGATCGATGCAATCATTCATCGCTTCCGGTCCTTGACCTCATCCACAATATACATCACGAGTTTCGTAATGGGTCCACCCCGACGCTTGGGTCTTTGGACTCGTCTATTTGGACGCGCTTGGCCTGGCAGGTGACCACTCTCGAGCTCCATCATATTTTCCTCTCCGCTGTGGGTACTGAGTTGCTGTGTGTATTCAGCAGCGGGTCGTACTTCAAGTGTAAGGCCGATGCCCAGGCACACAAGAACAACGAGAATTTCCTCTAAAACACACATCACAAGCTGAATCGTGACATTTCCGGACAGCAGATTGAAGTCTGCATCTCCACCAAAGGCAAAGATGTAAGAGTAGACTAATCGCACGAGGATCAAGGGGACGGAGATTCCCACAGCCAAGAGGAGACGACGTTCTCCATCCTCAATACTTTCCGTTCGTTTCAAGATCAGAAAGAACAGCCCGAACACACAGAACCAGGTAATAAGGTAGAATATGAGGCCAATCTTCGACTCTATTGTAACAAAGCCATGGGTAATATCGGAATTCTGGGTTGTGCCGACAATGCTCAGAATCACACCGACTAGTGAAAATGTTGCAACAACCCGGAAGATCAACGGGTGGAGAGGATTGGCGGTCTTTCGCATAATGGAATCATTTCTAATAAATGTCGTTAGCTGCAAATCATCAAGTTAATCATGAGTAAGAGGGTTGCTCACGCTCGGGATAAAAGACCAAGGCAAGCCAATAACAACGGTGAAAGTCCAAGCGAAGTGCAAACAGCCCAGGTAATATATAGATTGATATTGGAAGGATAGCGAATCGTGGCCAAATAGCATGCTGCGCCAATGACACGGGCAAGACAAAAGATGTTGAAAAAGTACCAGCCGGAGCTTTTTTTGAAACCATGGTGGAATGCCATCCAGAGAGCAATGAAGAGGCATGGAGAGTAAACAATGACCTCTAGGATCGAAATCCCATGCCGATAATCGATAGTCATAATCACAAGGGAATGAAGTACTGGGATCAAGAGGAAGACGGAAAATGAACTGATGGTTGTATTACTCTCGAATCGTGGGCCCTTGTCTGCTATTTAACCCTTCCAGATACATTTCCGCTCGCGATGTTTTCCTAATTTTCTTCATCAGGCAGTGCAGTTAATTTTCGATAATCAGAGCCACGCGCCCTGATGCCGATATACAATTGTAGTAAGAGTTGCGGATACTCCACTTGGATTAGAAGATTGGCCAATCGCATCTGCTCAAGGAACATCTTGTATACCAGATTTGGCTTAGTGCATTGGGTAGCTCTGCTTAAGCCTCCCCGACTAAGCCTCTCCGGCTAAGCCTCTAAGAACGCCACAACCCCATTGGTGAAGATATGCAGTCCTAGGGCAATGTATGCCTAGGTGATCTTCACTTTGTCACTCTCTAACTAAACGACAGTTTTCAAGGGACTTCAATGTTGCTGACAAATTGTATATGCACTTTGTGTGGGCAACATTCCTATTCAACCATGTCTTCTTCTGTATCTCGGTGCGGCCGTAAAAATCCCATCTTGCTACAAAGGGTCCACTTTTGCTTCCAGTGTTAAGCATCCTATTCCCCTTGGAATCCCTTTGAGATTTCCCGGTCCCTGAATATAGGGCCGTTGGTGGACATCCGAGAAACGTTAAGACCAGCGATTCCTTGGTCTTTTTAAACTCGCGGGCATGCATCGTATTTCTACCGTTTATTGTATTTGCATCGTATAAATATACGAAGGCCGCACTCTGTAAGGATCTCAAAGGTGATAGTTGTAGCAGGGGCTGGTATCACTACCCCATTTCGAGTCGCAACCTATTTTGCGAGACATGGACACATTTTATGTAATCAGCGCCTTCCCCAGCAGATGAACCAGTTATAACCACACCCTAAGTGACGAATCCGAGGCCCTTTCAGAGGGTTTTCTGGCCCTGTAGGAGGGAATCTCGGGTTGAGGATCATCTGCTCCAGGATGGGCTATTCTGGTGCTCCCGGAAGACGGCTTTGAGATCAAGGGAGGATCCGTACGAAAGCAAGAATGTTCCAAGGCTGTCGTGAAGACTTGAGTTCTATTTGAAAAGACCGATCTGGTTTCCGCTCTATTTTAACAGCACCTATTATCTACCTAGCTCGTTTGATTTTTCTTGTTCCTCCCGAAAAGCTCTTTGTAAGACTTCCAGATACCCCTCGCGCCGATCACAATATCCTTCCGCCCGTCATAAAGTGGGAAAATCACAACCGCCCCGAAAGCAGCGAACTGCCAAATAATGGCGACAACTACCCACCCCGCAAAGAATGATCTCGTGAAGATATAGTCTCGATACAGTGGAAGAGGCCAAGCAACAAACGTGATCAGCACGATAGCCCCGAACATGTACCAAGCGATCTTGAGCCATCTGTACAGCTCTTTCAACGTTTCGTCATCGAATGGGTGCCGAATATCATCAAGGCTAATTTGTGCGGAGGATGGAGACGAAGTTTTGTTCGTCGAAACCTTTTCGCTGATGTCGCCAGTAATCTTCTCTGGGTCGTTGTTGATGCTCTCTGGCTGACTATTGACAACCGGTGAGACTGATCCAGCGGGATGTTTCAAATCAATTGCGTGGTCTTCCTCGCTGCTCCGGTTCAATGTGCTCGCGTCTGAAGGTGACTGGATTTCTTCTTGATCTGCGAGCTCAATTCGCAGGAACACTCTCCAGTCGAATTTATAAGGCTTGTAGAGTGACAGGACAACGGAATAGAGAGCCGGCGTAAAGAAGGAAGTGACGGCTGCATATAGTGCTGGGTAGGGATTTGTAGTGGTAGTGATGTTGATACTGCCATACATATAGTGCGTTACTGCCAACCAGACAGCAAGACCTGAAGCGAAGCCAAGCACAGGAGAAACAATTGCAGCTAACCGGGTCTGCCGAGACCAGAACAAAGTGAGAATCATGGGGATAATTCCTGGACATGAGATGATGGGTCTCAGGTACCCGATCCATGTCATGTTTGCTCCTCCATAGTTGAGAGCGATGGAAATGCCGGTGATAAAGACGCCGTGGATAATGACAGTCAAGTGGCTCACTCCCACAATTTGCTTGTCGGTAGCTTTCGGGTTGAGATATGTCTTATAGATGTCATATGACAAGATGCTACTGACAGCAATCATTGAGGAGGAAACGGTACTTGTCAAAGCCATGAACAAGAGGAAGAAGAATGCAATGATTCCTTTGTCTCCAATGAGCGCTTTGATGGTGTATGGCATCACCATGCCCGAGCTCACTTCAGTGGCAGTGAGGATGCCAGGGTATGTTGGAAAGATTGGTGTATTGTGGATTGCCCTCGTTGCCAAACCGACGACTGTGCCTAGACCCCAGGGGATACCGAAAACAGCCAATGCGGCAATATTGTATCCTGGGACTGTCGCTTTGACCTCGGTCGCGAAGGACTTTTGCCAAAATGCGGTATCCTACCGGTGATATGTTAGCTTTGGAAAGAACATGGCGAAGTTCGTGATTGTGAAAAGTCTTCCTTGGGAGCTTTCAAAGATCACTTTTTGGAATTGACATACCATAACGACAAGTGCCAGGTTTCCAAACTTGAGAATTAAACCCCAGATAATTGCATCCTTCGACTTGAATGTAAGAAGGGAACCTTGGTAGTTGCTGGGGATATAATTATCCGCAGCTACTGCCGTAACTTTATCATACAAACCACCCAGACCACCGATCGCCGAGTTTGTCAAAACACTGATCGTAAAATAAATGATCAGAATGAGTGCAATGGCCGTATGCAAGAAATCCGTCAGGAATGTGGCCTTCAAGCCGCCCACGGCTGTATAGAGAACAACTACAAAGGGGTTAGCTCCTGTTTCCCGATGGACTTCAGTAAGAAAGATGAAACAAACCTCCGAGGGGAACGAGGATAGTGGCAGCTACATAGTGCATTCCAGATACACCATGGATGAGTTGAGAGCCCGTCATAATCATCGAGGCGCAGCCGAAAACGTTGTTGACGAGGTTGAGCACGATAAACACGAGATGTCCAATCTTGCCATAGCGCATCCGAACTACTTCGAGCGATGTATGAGCATAAGGGACTCGAATCTTGGCCATAACACCGAGTGCTGCCATCAGTGCAATTTGGAAGCATAGACCAGACCCCCACCACTATAGCCCGTCAGTCGTGCAAAGTCAATTGAGGGCATAAAGAAACATACCAGAGGCACTGCAAGACCATACCGATACGTCATAGCCGCGCACAACACCGTCTCGTTGATCCACATCCAGGAACTGAAGACTGCAGATGCACACAAGCCTCTCCCTACGGAGCGATTGGCGACCATGAACATTTCCGATTTTCCGGAATCTTCAGAAAGATACTTTTTCTGCATCTTGACAGCAACCAAAACAACAACACAAAACACCACACTGAGGCCAATGAGGAGGCCATAGGCCGCCCCCTGGGGGATCAAAGCGGACGTATCTATGTCAGACATCTCTGGGCATAGTAAAGCCAAGTTCCAAGGTGCAGGGCCGAGGAATATTTATTGTGTGGAGGGTCCGCCATATCCTCAATGCCAAGTTTAGTCTCTGTAGATCTATAGCCAATTGGGGGTTCTCTGAAGGACTGCGCAACAATCAGAGTTGCCATGTGGGTGAGATATCTCACGTCGTCCTTGCCCGCAATTGCGCCATACAGAATGACTGGTAGAGACACGACTAAAGAGTCTAGACGCAAAGCCATTGGAGGAACGAAATAAAGTTAATAAGCTCGCCATGTGGTGATTGCGAAAGATATGGGAGTGTGAGGGGGATTGTCGTTGGGATTGCGTGCCTCGACTCCCAGATTGCGATAAAATCACTTGGAATCGCGCACAACCAGGGTCACTGCGTACCCCACACAGGCTAATTTATCGGCCGACATGAGATTCAAAATAGTCATCACAAATGTCGAATACCGATTACGGGAGATAAAAGGTGACCCTGCGATGGCGACAGCGCTTGGCGTATGCTTCTACCCACTACGTATACAAACCGGTTCCTATTGCTAAAGACTCATCGCGTAGACCTCAAGTGCCTCTTCAAATCCACTGAACGTTCGAATAATTCCAACTCAAAATGGGTGAAGTCACACCAACGTCCGGCAAAAAGCAGATCATCCTCAATGCGTTCGTCATGAACACCCCGGGCCATTTGGCACCTGGGCTATGGAAGCACCCTAGAAACAAGACCGATCAGTACAAAACACTCTCATTCTGGACCGACTTAGCTCAATTGCTGGACAAAGCCGGTTTCCATGCAATGTTCATTGCGGATACGCTGGGCGCGTACGATGTATACAAGGGCCCTAGGAATGTGGTGCCCGCATTGGCATCCGGCGCACAATTTCCCGTCAATGACCCCTTGTATCTTGTTCCTGCCATGTCCGCTGTCACAAAGAACCTTATTTTCGGAGTGACTGCCAGCGTGACGTATGAAAAACCATACGCCCTCGCTCGCCGACTCTCTACCGTGGACCATCTCAGCCAAGGCCGTTTGGCATGGAACATTGTCACATCTTATCTGGACAGCGCAGCCCGAAACCACGGACTGAACGAGCAGATTCCTCACGACGAGCGATACGCAATAGCAGATGAATATCTTGAGGTGCTCTATAAGCTCTGGGAAGGAAGTTTCCGAGACGACGCCGTGCTCGCCGACCGACAGCTCGGGGTATACATTGCCAGCGATGGTGTGCGGGAGATAAACCACAAAGGAAAATACTTTGATGTTCCTGGCCCTCATTTCTGTGAGCCATCGCCACAGCGTACGCCATTCCTGTTCCAGGCCGGCGTGTCCGAGGCCGGTAATCAATTCGGTGGAAAGCATGGTGAAGCAATCTTCATCGGTGGTCAGACTCCCGAGGTTGCTCGCTTAACGGTGGATAATATACGGAATATTGCCAAACAGCAAGGCCGGGATCCCAAGCATATCAAAGTCATTGTGGGTATCAACGTGATTGTCGCAGCGACAGATGAAGAAGCACAAGCAAAGCGCGAGGACTATCTCCAATATGCCGACGATGAAGGTGCGCTCGCTTTGTTCGGTGGATGGACCGGAATCGACCTGTCAAGTCATTCTGATGATGAGGATTTCCTGTTCAGCGACTCGCCGCGGGTCCAGTCCATTGTTCGGAGATTCTCTGGTACCGTCCCTGGCACGGATAGCTTGCCATGGACTAAACGGAGGATCGTGGAGTATATCAGTGTGGGTGGACTACAGGCCAAGGTTGTTGGCAGTCCTACGACAGTTGCAGATGAGTTGGAAAGATGGGTGGAAATATCCGATGTGGATGGCTTCAATCTTGCTCATATTGTGAATCCCGGGACTTTCGAGGATATCATTGAATTCTTATTGCCTGAACTAAGACGGAGAGGGCTGTTCCGAGAGGAAATTGAGAAAGAAGGTGCCACGGCTCGCGAGGTGTTCATTGGATCGCAACGTTTGCCTGAAGATCATACTGGAAGCAAATACAAGTGGCGAGCAGGGGAGACTATTCCTCAATATCAGACTAAGGAGATTTAGGTAATATATCTATGTACCTAACTAACTAGTCGACTAGTTATCTAAAACTAAGGTATCTGATTATAAATCCGTGGAAGCGCCGGGAATAAGTTCATTTATATATTCCCGTGACATTACAAATCAATCGAATATAAATTATCGGCTTGATCTATTTGATTTGATCTGTTGATTTCCACCGTCGATTCCCAAAGTTCAAAATGAAAGAAGCTATTGTTGACGACACCACTTCGGTCGTCATCCGCGACGTTGAGATCCCCACTCCCAAACCCGGCCAGGTCCTCATCCGGGTAGTAGTGTCGGGTACCAACCCGAAGGACTGGAAAGTCCCCAAATGGCAACCAAACAATACTATTAACCAGGGAGACGATATTGCAGGGTATGTGGAAGCAGTGGGAGCAGGAGTCCAGAACTTCCGCGCGGGAGATAAAGTGGCAGCGTTCCACGAGATGATGACCCCAAATGGAAGTTATGCCGAATATGCCATTGCGTGGGAACACACGACATTCCATCTCACCGAGAAGACCAGCTTTGAAGGTATGACATGTCTCCGTCCTAGTCATCACGCGGATGTAACTAAACTTATTGACCAGAGGCTGCTACAATCCCCCTCGCGGCGATGACTGCTGCATTGGGCCTATATCAGAAACTGAAATTGCCTCTACCTTGGGCTCCCGCCGATAAACCTATTCCGCTAGTTGTGTATGGCGGTGCCTCGGCGGTTGGCGCATTTGCTATCAAGTTCGCTCAGCTATCGAACATTCACCCCATCATCGCTATCGCTGGCAAAGGCGCTCCCTTCGTCGAGACGTTGATCAGCAGAGAGAAGGGAGACACGATTATTGATTATCGTGAAGGCGATGACGCCGTCTACTCGGCGATCAAGGCTGCTGGCAAGGGTAATCCCATTCAGTATGCCTACGATGCCGTGTCCGAGAAGGGAAGCTATGTGACTCTCGGTGCTGCTCTCGATGTACCTGGGAAGATCACTGTCGTTTTACCTGCGGACGCTGATAAGGTGCCGAAGCAAATTAGCATCGAGCGGACGATGGTCGGGGCTGTTCATATGCATCCTGCCGAAGGCCAGACTGTTGGTGATAAGGAGTTCGGAGCTGCTTTCTTCCAATTCATTGGTCGAGGTCTGGCACAGGGTTGGTTCTCAGGCCACCCATACGAAGTGCGAAAAGGTGGACTGGGTGGTATCGAAGGCGCATTGAAAGATCTAGAGGCTGGCAAGGCATCTGCGGTGAAATACTTGGTCAAGATTGCCGAGACTGACGGAGTTCAGCAGTAGTTATATAGCCTATAGCCCGAGAAAGCGATTTGGAGTTACTCTAGAATGTCATGACAATGATGCTACAAAATATGTGCCAAGCCAGATCGGAATGCATAGATCGGGATCGAAAATGACATCACCCGAGAAATTCTCCAAGTCGCGCGCAACTGCCTCAATTCCAATTGCCAATACCCAAGATCTTCTCATTCCACAATGGCAAAACGCACGCTCGATGCATTCTTCAAACCATCAACCACCGCTCCAAAACGTGCGAAAACCGACCTCATCGAATCTAACACCGCAACTGCAATCTCAACACCCGAGACAGACAATATCCCAGTCGAGGACACCAAACCCCCAAGCCAACACCCAAGTTATCCAATTCCAATAGCTCAACTTCCCTCCCACATTGAAGTAGGCCTAGGACATGCAACACCAGCAAAGCCACCCCGGGAAATAAATAATCAACCACACCTCGACCTCCTCCACTTCCAGCCCTATATCCCCCGCCCAACAGCAAACGAGCTATTCAAATTCCTCCGTCGCGAACTTCCCTTCTACCGTGTGCAATACACAGCACGACGCGGCGACATTGAAACGCAAATCAACACACCACGATGGACAACAGTCTTCGGCGTCGATGAAACATCGACCTTCATCCAAGAACAAGACAACGACCCAAACAGCCTCGTTCTACTAGAAACAAAGGCCAAAACGCCAACCCCGAAAACAAAATACCAGTGCATGCCGCGGCCAATCCCAGCATGTCTAGATCTCCTACGGAGACAGGTCGAAGCAGCAAACGTAAATGCAAACGCAGATGAAACACCCGGCTACAATTTCTGCCTGGTAAATTACTATTCCAGCGGAGATGACAGTATCGCCTTCCACTCCGACGACGAGCGCTTCCTCGGACCAGAGCCAAATATCGCCTCGCTGTCGCTGGGCGGCGAGCGGGATTTTCTAATGAAGCCTAAGCCTTCAGTACCAGCAGGGAATGCAAACCGGACGACGGGTGGATGCGTGCCTATTGCTGCACACGCAATTTCCGGGCCGGGCGGTACTAGTGCGACGCGGGCGAGTTGTACGGTTTCGGGTGGAACGTTGAAAGCCGTCTCTTCTCCTGGGTCTAGGCCTGCTGCTGCGGTGCCACTGCAGCAGATTAAAATGAGCCTTGGGTCAGGGGATATGGTTGTTATGCGTGGAACGACGCAGTCGAATTGGTTGCATAGTATTCCTAAGCGGAAGGGGAAGGCCGGGGAGGCGACCAAGGGACGGATTAACATTACCTTTCGGCGGGCTGTTGTTCCTAGCGGGACAAATAATTATTATCATTATAATGTCGGTAGTGGGGGGATGTACCGGTGGGATGAAGTAGCGAGGAAGATGGTTGTACAGGAGAAAAAGGCATAGCTACGCGGTAGGTACCCGGTTACTGATTGAACTGGAATAAAATTTGCATCAATAAGATATACATGGGTGCCGTAGCACGAAAGGAATTATCTCATGCGCTTGAGTTGGACGTGCAACTCGAGGTGAGACAGATGATATCACTCTGATAGCCATCCCGGCACATTTCGGTCTTTGTACATTTGCTTCCGATAGAATAAAAAAAATAGACATCGAAGCAAGTCATCATATGGCATTGGCACTGTGTCTTCCCAGTAACCATGGTATTTCTCCGCTGGGGAGTTCCGGCAAGTGCCGGGTAATGAAGAAACGTATTGGTTGAAATACAAGAGAGCTATCGGCCCTTGTAGGCAAAAGAAGAATGATTAGAAATGAGCAGTATTTAGGTAAAGATGACTTCTTCGCCGTAGACATCTGCGTAGCATTGGAACAAATCGGGACAGCTGCAATTAAACGTGTTAGCGGGGAAAATACAAATAATACAATTGCAGGATAACTTACAAGACAGGATCTTTGCCGAAAATGATGTGCCATGAGTACTCCATAATTGCCGCGGTAACGTCGTCCGGCAGTTCGTTGTTCATCACCCAGTCATACATGCGCTGGTAATCGCTATGAGGGCGCTGGAGAATCTGCTCTCGGGAAACCGCAAACTGAGAGCAGCATGGGCCGGCGACTTCCTTGGGAACCGGTTCCCCAGGGAACAGCTCTTTCCACGCAGCAGCGTAGTGTGCCTCGCCTTTGCTTTCGGGATTCGGGGGTTGACGGAATGGTTGGATGGCCGAGGGGCATCCTGGGCTCAATTGGCAACGGAGATTGACATAGCCTGCCTGTTGCACGAATTCTTTCTGCAATGCCCGCACCGAGTCCACATTGCTGTAATCCATGGTGTCGATGTGCCAGCCGGCGAGTAGGCCGTCGCGGTGGCTATGCAGGAAGACCACGATGTCTGGAAGGTCGTCGTAGTGGTCGACCAGATATTTGAGGTAGGGGAGAGCCTCGCGACCCTTGTTTTTCGGGGTGTGCGTCGGGGCATTGATATCGTCGACGGTGTAAATGACGCTGCGCCATCTGGAGATATTCAGTTAGGGTCTTGTTCTGGGAATACAATCGAGTCACACTCACTCTGCTAGTTCTGCCCCGACCCAAGCGGTGTCTTCCTCCTTAAGCTTGGCCATCACAATAGCACCCTGGTTGGGGACCACGATATCGGTGGTCTGGTAGACCAACGCGGGTTTTCTGTCCGATGCAACCCGCCATTTCCGTTGTGATGGATCAGGCTGGGGTTTTGGTCTGAGGGATGTACGGAAGGAGCCGGTATCGAAGTGCCATATATCCTGGAGTGATTCGCCTTTGGTCTTCAGATTGCGACAGACCAGGACGAGAGTCAGGATAATTAGTGCGGCAGCGGCACTAACACGAAGTGACAACCTCATCGCATAACGCGATTGTGGGGATCGAGGGAAGTGGTATAGGGGGTGAATGTGAAAGGAGGAAGATGGCAAAAGGCCAAGGTGTCGGAACGCGCAATCTTAGGAACGTAATAAGCGTCGACCCATGTGGAGGCCTATCAAACTCACTCGCGTACTCTGAGCGCGAGATGACGAAAGTGCCGAGTCAAGGGATGAAGTAGTACTTCGAGAAGGAATATGGAATTAGTCGAATAAGTTAGAATCCAGAGGAGGAGGTCCTTTCTCCAAGAGACCTGGTAAGAAAAAAAAAAGGTAAAGGGAAAAAGCAGAAAAGGGAAGGTGGCGCTTTCCTTATTTGGGCAGACCGAACTGTGTCGGTTCCTGGTTTGATCCATTTTGGGCCATTTTGGGCCATTGGGGTCGTTCTGATTGGCGAAATCGAAAGATCTCGGCCTATCTTTTGAGTTTATTTTATTTTATTTTATTTCCTTTTGGTTTTATTTTTGATTTTCGAGTTATTTACGTATTCAGGGGTACGGAGTACGATATACATACTGTGCAACCGTGAAAGATTACTTAGACCCTGGAAATCTACCGAGTACTACTTCGTACCTGGTCAGGCTATCCATGTACACTCCTGAAATCCATTCTTCAAACGCTATACATCACATACACAAAAAGAACGGGTATGACCAAGACACCCTTCCAGTCCAAACCTAAGACATCCCCAAAATAAAACAACAGGATCAATAATATCCAAGACATCAGCCGCGCACCGGCACAATATTCACATCGAAATACTCCGAATCAGGCGCAACTCGACCTACCACACACCGCATACTAGACAAAACAGCCAACGCTCCCTTCTCAACCGTCCAATGCTGTTCCGCCAGATGCGCCATGAAGATATCAAGGTTCCCATAGACCCGTGTGGAGCTTTGTGCCAGCGCACAGCAAAAGACGCAACAAAACGTGCCGCGGGGGGTATTAGGGGTAAAATCTGATGCCGGGTCCCGCTTACAGGGCACGTGGGATTTCGCCAAGAACTCGAATCGATACCGAATACCGCTGGCTTGATGTGTACGCACGCTTTTCTCGAATTGCGGGTTGCTGCTAGAACTCTTCGGGGCCATGGGTGCTTCGAAAGCACACTTTGTGCACCGCAACCATGACTGTTGTGTGTAATACCCCGCAGGCTCCGAGTAGATTTTGAATCCTCGTAATCCCACGTGCACCTTCCACGCCCCTTTGCAGAAGCCCAGGTAGTTGTTCGTTTCGCTGGGTGGCCAGAGGGGTCGGATTGCCTGGGTTGATCCGTCGGTGCTGCTTCGGGTGGAGGAATTTGATGGGGTTGAGTCTGTGAGGCTTTCGTGCTCCCACGGGTTCCCCCACAAGACATCGTGGGGTATCGAACTTGGTCGCGGTTTGGGTCTGTGCGGCGTGGCTGGTCTGATATCAACTTGCGGAATCCGCCCCAACATCGACGGTGACTCTGGGTTGGATCCCACAGGTTGTGGGATGTACATGGGCTCGGGCGATGACACTGGCAACGACGATGTACGACCTGGGCGGGGATGGAACAAGTCGCCCATACTACTCACAGCAAATCCAAGGCCCGATGGATGTAGGCGATTTCCTAGATTCATAGCCTCATATTCCCTCGATGGCCCCAGCATATCCGTCGGGGAGGCGGGGACGACGTCCGGTAGGAACTGGCCTGGTAAATGACTGGCTGGTGAGACGGGATAGCCGGAGATGTACCCCGTCTCCGAGGAATGGGATAGTGAATATCTGTCCTGGCCATGAAGGGGATATTCATGGCCATGAGAAGCCATTATACGATAGGTCGGGTCGATGGGCAGCGGAAAAGACGGCGGAACAGGCGACGGCCTCGAGAGCCGCTGGTATAAACGGCTCAAAATAAGCAAAGTATTAATGCGGCCCCGGTCGGACTCTGTCTGCAACGCCATGAGATCTAGAGTGGTCCCCCGGTCCTGTACCTCGCGGAGATGCCTCAGCAACGCCCCCTGTAGTTCGATGATGATATCTTTCATCTGCTCTCGGGCGATCGCGTCACCTTCCTCATATCGCCAGCCAAGCTCTTGACGGTACTGGTTGAACTGAGATTTAATATCAGCATGGCCGCGTTCGAGCGACCGTTCGAGCGACCTTTCGAGCGAGCGTTCTAGTTTCTGAGTGGATTTGCGCTCGCGGTATTTCTTCTTTATGGCAGTAAACATAATCGCTCCATCGCTGTAGGCGGAGACGACTGTTTGCCGATCAGGCTTGTTAATCTCGTTTATTGTGATAGGAGAGGAGATGGTCTTACTGGCTGCCACACAAGCTACGACCGCGATCACCTCCACCCCCGACATGATAAATGAGGTGGGATTCAGGATATACGGGGCTGAGGGGTTGAATACGAGCACCGGGTCTGCTTTGGAACAAGATGAATGTGATAAAGAGATAGATCGACCTTTTGATATTCAACAAAAAGCTTGGAGGGAATAAGAAAGGAGACCAGAAATGCCCAGCAAAGGGATGCAGTTGACAAAAGAGATACTTCCTTGGCCAAGATGTGACACAGACATGGACTGGAATGAAATCGACAGGTTCTTTCTGATAGCAAAGCACAGTCTCTCTTTGATTGGCCCCATGATACTTTGACCAATGGCAGAGGAAATTCTCCGATATAAGCGAGATGAGGGGGTTCGACGTAAGTGAGCCCAAATCCGGTTTATCGCCGTATTGAACTGTATGATCTTGTTGGCTATTGGTGATATGGTAGAAACATCCGCCAGAGGATGTCCATACAACATAGTTATAAAAAGATAAACATAGTGGACTCAGTGGGACATCTCGATCGGATCCACCGTCTCCACTGCCCATGCTTCGAGATTCAAGTGATATAAAAAGTACATGATGAGTGCATGTGGCGTAGAATATCGTTTCTTATTGACCAAACGAAAAGTATCTTCATTCACGCATAGCGGACAAAAAAACAAGGCCACCCAACCAATCCAAGCCCTAACTACACTATTCTAACCCATGCATCCATGAATAATCAAACACAAAACGACGCTGGCTCAAATGCAAAAAGAAAAAGCAATCCAACCCCCCATCCTAGCCAATGATCAACAACATCGCCCCTTGTTGCGCGATGCATGCATAACGCGCTCCTCGCCGGCGCCCTCGACATTGACACCAGGTGCCAACCCCATCCAACTCCTCCGCTTATCACCATGACCAAGGCGGAAACTGCCCGTGCCCTCCACAACCCCAGGATTAAAGGGCCCAACGACCCCATTCGCCAAGGGCGTACCAGCAATCGACAAAGCCAGCTCAGTATCCCGCCGGTTGCGCTGCTCAACCAGCTTACGCGTGATAACGCGGAAAACCTCATCAATTCCCTCGCCATCCCGTGCACTGATCTCATGACAGCAATCCCACCCAATCTCCTGTCCCCAGAATGCTGAACTGCGTTTCGAGTCCGGACTCTGCAGGGCAGTGGACGAGTGTGCTGCAGGGCCGGCACTAGCGTTCGATGTACTGCAGCCACTGCCTCCAAAAACAGATGTTCCAAAGCCTAGCCCGCCCATGCCTGCTGTTGCGGTTGGTGGCGGGGTGGAGGCTTGGGATGGGTAGAGTTGTTCAGCGACGTAGGCGATTGTGCGTTCGAAGGGAACGCGGCGGGAGGAGGGGTCGTCCGCGACAAGGTCAGACTTTGTACCTACGACATGTATTATGAGGGAGTCTGTGCCATCGTCGTTGGGTGTGATGTTCTTGCGGAGTTCGCGCAGCCAGCCGGCCATTTCTTGGAAGCTGTTTTGGTCGGTGATCTGTGCAAGTTAGTATTCATGTTTATGTGGGTTGTATCACGTTGTAGGTTGCCTATGTATAGGCAACAAATACAATCGCAGGATGAATGAAGAGGGGAAACGGTGTGGAAGTGGATGCACTGACATCATAGCACAGGAGCACTGCTTGAGCTCCTCTATAATAAAGTCTCGACATGCTGCGAAACCTCTCCTGTCCAGCTGTGTCCCATATCTGTAATCTGACTATTGTGTCGGAGGTGGAATCGAGGACGCGCTTCGTCACGAACGACGCGCCGATGGTTGAAGCCGCGGCGGGGTTGAATGTGTTTTTACAGTACCTGTCCACGAGGGCAGTCTTTCCAACTCCTAGTTGAGATAAGGTTAGTAAAGTGATTATGAGATTTAGAACTGGGTAATTCACAGCCAACATACCCTGTGCGCCGAGCACAACGATCTTAGCTTCGAGGCTTGAACTCATGTTTCCCCGAGGTTGAGGAAGCGGGGGTCAAAGTTTTGTATTCGCATTATATGTTGGCAGAAGTCAAATTCTTTGACCACAACATGAAAGAAAGCGATCAGATCAAAGAGATATTTGAATGTGAAATGAAAGAAAAGAAAAGTTGGGGGCGGTATCAGCCGATGGCTTCTCTCTTGTTCACGAGGTCACCTGCACGTGTCTTGGATAGAAGAATAGGCAAAAAATAGAAAGGCAAAAAAGAGTCAGCTTCTATCAACTCAACTACTTTATCTTACATGCAGTGGTTGGTAACATGGGATTTAAGACATTTACAGGCGGATAAAGGGCTGCATCGGGTTCTATAACAGGATGTATTTCGCATGGCTTGTTGATTGGCTCTCTTTTCCGAGGAGATTATACTCGTCATTATAGTTTTTTAATTGCAAGGAATATGAATGGTCCCCTTGCTCTGGGGTCTATCAGCCTCATGCAAGGCAGCACCCGCATGAGTCACTATAAACTCAACCCTAGAGCGGCAGGCTACAAGGTGTCATATGCAGGGCCATGGGATACAGGTTTTACAATTTACATGGGAAAAGAGTAAATGTGATGTGTTCGTCCGCTAGACTAGTATCATGCAAAAGCCCATGCATGTACATGAAGCTGAACAATTCCCATGCCCGACCGAACCATTTTCGGGGGTCATTATCAAAAAGCAATACTGCACTCAAAGTGCAGACACGATCACCCAAGAGACCAGAAACAAGGGGTATAAGATGTAAAGAAATAAGAAATAAAAGCAAAACGCGAATCTGGCGTTCACCCGTCCATTGGACAGAGGGAACAGCACAGCCATAACGTTGATAGGTGTCAGCGCACAGCGCTGTCATGCCGGAAACTTGAAACATAACCGCTTAGCGGAGTTGACAGAAAGCCTAGCTCTCAAGAGATGGTAGTGGCGTTCTCTTCCTCCTCGAAAAGTTGCTTGCCATCGCTGGAGGTGCTTCGAGGGGAGCCCTTTTCGCCGCCATTCTCGGTATCGCCGCGGCGGCGGTCAGACTCAAAGCCATACTCAGCAGCCTTGGCCTCAATCTCCTCATTGGTGAGCTTAGGCAGCTGTTTGGCAGCCTTGACATAGCTCATGTTCTCGCAGTAACCCTTGGCAAAGATGAGATCAATCTCCTCCAGACTGCGGCCAGCTGTCTCGGGGTAGAAGAGAATCATGGGGGGGATGAAGATGAAGTTCATTACGGCAAAGAACAGGTAGGTACCCCAGGAAATACGCTCAAGCATAACCGGGGTGATCATAACAACAGTGAAGTTGAACAGCCAGTTTGAGCAGGTCGAGACAGCATTGGCCTTGGTACGGGTACGGAGAGGCGAGATCTCGGCGGGGTACAACCAGGGGAGGGGCAGAATCGAGGCACCGAAGAAGGACATATAGAGGAACAGACCAAAGACAGCACCTTTGGAAGCTTCGGTCTGGTCGGGGATCAAACAAGCGAAGACGATGATCATAGAAACCATCTGACCTGTCATACCGCCGATGAAGAGCTTGCGGCGACCAATCCTCTCGATGAAGAACCAGGAGAACGTGGCGAAGATGGCGTAGACGATCATATTAATACCACCGATAAGCATGGACATGAACTCAGTCTGGCCGAGGGACTTCTTCAAGAGGACAGGTAGGTAGTAAATCACAGCATTGCAACCAGATAGCTGTTGGGCGATTTGACACGAAGAACCGATAAGCATACGGCGCAGGTGCTGGGTCTTACCACCAGTGAGGAGATCGGAGTAACCAGCACCGGCAGCAACACCGGCAGCTTCAATGGACTCGATAACGAGCTTCTTCTGGATCTGGGTCTCGTGGGATTCGATTTCGTGACCATTGAGAGCAGCGAGCACATACTCACCCTCCTGTATTTTGCCCTTGGAAATGAGGTAGCGAGGTGACTCGGGCATATAGTACATGCCAACGACAATGATAATACCGAAGAAAATCTGGAAGCCAATAGGGAAACGCCAGACGAGGTCATCCGGGCCGTAGGAGGCACCAAAGTCAATCCAGTAGGCGATCATTGTACCAACAGCGATGATACCACCCTCAATACAGATGAGAAGACCACGGTTGGCGGAATGCGAGCACTCGGCTTGGTAGGTCGGGATAGTCGAAGTATTTATTCCGTTGCCAATGCCAGTGACGATACGGCCGACAAAGAACTGGGCAGTAGCTCCATGGCCCTTGATAGCACAGATTTGAATGATAACACCAATGATCATGATATAACCACCTTGGATAACCATGAGACGACGGCCAAACTTGTCACCAGCGAACAAGGCATACATGGCACCAGCCAGACAGCCCAACTCGTAGACAGCAGTCACCAAGGCCTGCATGGTGGAGTCGCCCCGGGTGATAGGCATGAACCTGCCGAAGGCATCGCAATCAATAATGCCGGACATGACACCCTCTGTAGACTGTTAGCAACGTTGAATTCGTATCAGAAGTCAATGTATACTCACGATCGTAACCGAAAAGCAGGAAGCCCATAGTAGCGATGGTCGACACCGTCAAACTCAGAGGCTTACCGGACATGCCGGCATAGCTCGGCGCCATGATGAAGAATAGAAAGAGAAAATAACAGTATAGCTTAATACCCAGGTCCAAGTGATGAAGGACTAGTTCCCAGTGTAAACACGTGGGTATGAGTGGAGTGAGTGGAATAGCTGGAGATATAGAGATACGTGGAGAAATGAGTAAATCCTGGAGGAAACCGGGAGATATTTGAATGTCTGCTTCTTCAATGGAGTTTGACAAAAGTGGCAAGGAAATTCATCGTGGGGCATATAATATTTTTTTTTCTCCCCCGTGTCTACTCCATACGAGTTGAGTCCGAGACCTTTGGGGAGAAAAGAAAATAAAATAAAGCAAAATATCAAAAGCCACTACCGTAGGAAATGTGGTTCGACGAATCAGAGCTGTTAGAGAGCGGAGCCTATTTGCCGAATGCATCACTAATGGCGTGTTAAGCATTCTTTTAGGATCCACTTCGTAGCTTGCGTCCCTGATGACATCAGATTGACTATTTCTTTTCTTTTTGTCTTATTTTTTCGACGGTAATGTTTCTCAACGTGATTGGTGTTCCGAGAAGGGTGGATATATTCTTCGGTATGATGCTTGGGCCCGTAGACTGACATACATGAATTCTGCGTCATGTTCAAATGGACTGTACCTGGAGCGGTAAGGTGAATGACAGGCCCTACCAACCATAGGCTTAAATTGGTTGACGGCTTTGCCGATACCAAATTGCGCACAAGGGAATATGCTATGTGCGCTTGCTAAGGTCCCTACCAAATAACAGTGTACCTAGACGTTGTACTCGATCTCAAATGCGACTCGGAGTCCAAGTGTTATCGGCGCCGGTTGCAAATCGGGAATCGGGAAGCCGTCCCCATCCCGAAGGAGGTCGGAAAGAAATGTTATCGGGGGCCGCGAAAGGACTAGCGCCGCACTAAAAGGATCGGACAGGGATTGACATATTTGTTTACTTGATATAGAATGTGCACAAGCCATCCTCCTTGCTCTACAGAATAGGATTGATTATTGAGATCGTTTAATATTCTATCCAATGCTTTTCATTCTCCGTTCTTTCGGGATTCCTATCTTGGCTACAAGTAATACAATATAAGGCTGAACATATTATACAATTTTCTACTCGGATCCGAAAACAACATGTGGAGTCATACAGTTTGCAGAATCATGTGAGCAACGGCTTTTTTTCCTCCCTTGAATGTTGCCTCTTTTCCACTTGAAGTAAAACGATGACACATGAATTGTATGAAAACTTATAAATCTTTTCATTTTTTTTCCAACCATTCAAATGACGACTCGAGTCATGTCTTTAAAAGATGGGGGATAATCCATCAATCCCCCTCAAAGAGTACTCCGTGCATGCCTTCGGCGGAAAAGTATCGTCTAGTATCCGCAATGATGTCGTTGAACCACTTCCTAGCGTATTCGAAGTTTTCTCGAACTGCAACTAAGTGGATACGGACGAAAAAGAAAGGCAACCAGAAAATGAAGATAAGGCGTTGATGGTTCCTTATGTTCCCGCACGTGAATGCAAAACTCTTGACCGTTGAAGCGTACGATAGTAGAGAATATGCCTCTCCATGGCAGGTCCGCGTGTTCACGCCACAATTCAAGAAGGGGCTAATCCCCATCTTGTACTCTTTGTAGATCCATCTTTAGCTTACATCGCAGTCCATCAAGACTCCTCAACAGACCTCAACCGATAAGAGGTTGATTGGGTATGAAAATCCGATATCACAGTGCATATCCATAGGAACGGAGCACATTATAGACCCGCTTCATTGGGGGTCTTGAGTCGTGATTTCAGCGCCTCTGATATGCTGTCGGCGAAGCCGACCAGTAGATGAATCCTCCGTGGTTGGTTGATCTTTATTATTGCCATGTTATTTTTCAGCTAGGTGATCCAAATATTCATTTATATGATTCCTACAGTACTATACCGTTCGATTGAACTACAAGCATTGGTGGCGACCGCTTTAGCCCAATTCGATATACATGGACGAATTGAACGATTATGCGCCACATACACATGGTACAACTCGTGGACAGTGCACTAGGCGGAGCCCCTTCCCCGTACAACGTCAGCAGTGGCATCCGCGACGCAGCAAGGAGGGGCTGTGGCCACCCACTGTAGCCGAAGATGGAGAAATGGCGGAGGTGTGGGAGGGTGGAGGATATCCGGAGGTGCGAGGAATGACCGAACTTGCCCGATTATGGATCTGCACCGATGCAGATCACAAATTGATATGTGCGCCTCACGCGCGTTGCAAACTTGACCAGCGTTACTCCGTATATTGATTGTAGGTAGTCTCTTTGAACTTCAAGCTAGAAACCAGGTTTTAAAGAAGCTTAGTAGCTGATCGACGGTGGCGCTATCAGCCAAGACCGAGGTACATAGGCTCGCTGTTCGTCCGTCCAATGATCTCCACTATTTATAATCTGAACGTTGCTGTCCAATTGTCAGCGTACATTACCCGTTGAATTAAGCTTATGATGATGATAAAAGCCTTAAAAACTGCACTTCAACACAATGGCATTATGATACACATTTTGTATTCTGATGATGGAAGTCACGTGACGAGTCATGTGATTGAGTCATGTGAGTCCTGCTGCCTCAGGCCATGAACTATTCTTTCCCCGACCCCAACATTCCAACAAGGGAATGTAGGGCTGTCAACAGCGAATCTATAGGTAAGGTTGTTTCTTTTCTGAATGCAGCATGTATAGCACAACAAAAACAGCATTGGGAAATACTGTTTGTGAAGGGAACATCCGAGCATGTAATACGTTCCGTACTACTGGCTGAATCCAATATAGAGGAAATGACCCAGACCGAGGCTCCGACAACGATCCCCCACCAATCCCTTAGATCCTTTGGATTTTGGGCTTGATCTTAGGAATACTCCGTACATTCAATTCGATTAATATACGGACCTAAGGAGCATTTGAGTTCTCATCCGACGAGGCGAGTCTCATCCGACAAGTCGGCCGAGAGGCTCCCCGCAACTTCTCCCCCGGACTCATTTATCCCGAGGGTCCACTAGATCTTTTTCCCTTTCATTACTTCCTCTCTTCTACTCTTCAGCGAACAATATACTCTCTTATCCTTTTCAATATGAGCGCAGGCAAGCTCACCGGCGCCGTTGTCGCCGAGCACAACTCCAAAGACTCGTGCTGGATCATTGTGCACGGCAAAGCCTACGACGTAACCGAATTCCTCCCGGGTGTGTGTTTCTTTACTACGTTTCCCTCCTCGAATGTGTACTAATATTTCTCAGAACACCCTGGTGGCCAGAAGATCATCCTCAAGTATGCAGGCAAAGATGCGACCGAAGAGTTCGAACCAATCCACCCACCCGATACCCTGGACAAGTTCCTGGACCCGTCGAAGCACTTGGGAGCAGTAGACATGGCAACCGTTGAGCAGGAAGAAAAAGCCTTCGACCCGGAGGAAGCCGAACGCCAAGAGCGCATTTCCCGCATGCCCCATCTCGAGGCTTGCTACAACCTGCTGGACTTTGAGGTGGTGGCCCGCCAAGTTATGAAGAAGACGGCGTGGGCATACTACTCTAGCGGAGCAGATGATGAAATTGTAAGCTACCATGATGATTTATACCCCCAGGCACGAAATCCCCAGTGCTAACCTATAACCAGACAATGCGCGAGAACCATGCAGCCTTCCACAAAATCTGGTTCAGGCCGCGAATTCTAGTCGATGTCGAGCACATCGACATGACCACAACAATGCTGGGCACAAAATGCTCAATCCCATTCTACGTGACTGCCACGGCGCTCGGCAAGCTGGGCCACCCAGAAGGCGAAGTGGTGCTCACAAAAGCCGCCCACGAACACAACGTAGTACAAATGATTCCCACGCTAGCCTCATGCTCCTTGGACGAAATCATTGACGCCAAACAAGGCGACCAAGTGCAATGGCTCCAGCTATACGTCAACAAAGACCGCGAAATCACGCGCAAGATTGTCGAGCATGCCGAGGAGCGCGGCTGCAAGGGCCTCTTCATCACCGTCGACGCGCCCCAACTCGGCCGCCGCGAGAAAGATATGCGTTCTAAATTCTCCGATCCTGGCTCGAACGTCCAGTCCGGCGGCGATGACATCGACCGCACCCAGGGCGCCGCCCGCGCCATCTCCTCCTTCATCGACCCCGGGCTCTCCTGGAAGGATATCCCCTGGTTCAAATCCATCACACGCATGCCGATCGTGCTGAAGGGCGTGCAGTGTGTTGAGGACGTCCTGCGCGCCGTCGAGGCAGGCTGCGACGGCGTCGTGCTCTCCAACCACGGCGGCCGACAGCTCGAGACCGCGCGGTCCGGCATCGAGGTTTTGGCCGAGGTGATGCCTGCGCTCCGCGAGCGTGGCTGGGAAAATCGCATTGAAGTCTATGTTGACGGCGGTGTGCGTCGCGCAACTGATATCCTTAAAGCGCTTTGTCTAGGCGCGAGGGGTATTGGTATTGGGCGGCCGTTCCTGTATGCCATGTCTGCTTATGGGCTTGATGGTGTGAACCGTGCTATGCAGCTGCTGAAGGATGAGATGGAGATGAACATGCGGTTGATTGGAGCTCCGACTGTGGCGGATCTCAGTCCTAGTCTGCTTGATACTCGCGGGTTGTTGGGTGGGCACTCCGGGGTTGTGCCGTCTGATACCCTTGGCCTTAGTGCATATGATCCATTGCAGGTGCCGAGGTTTAATGAGAAGCCGAAGCTGTAATCCTCTTTGCTGCATTGTAGTTCATTTTTGTTTGTGTTGAAGCTTGCTGAGTTGTTCGCGTCGGTCTACAGGGTGGTATCGTCTGGGCATATAACCATTGAGTCCATATATATCTCTATACCCATGCAATATGTACAAATTATTCTTTTTGGTCAAATATCTCTTTGGCTTGTAGAACTTAAATGATTGATGCCAAGACTACGGAGATATATTTTGAAGTTGACATACCAACACGTGGGAATTCAAGGTTTCTTACTTTGTAGAAGGAGCCTCAGTATCACCTGAAAAACCGGAGACGTATATTTCCATCTACATCTACATTTGCCTTTGATTTATTGCTTTCTTTTCTTCCTTTCCGTATATATAGGGTATGTATACCTTTTTGAATACATATATGCCTTTATACTATGATTGCCCCTCTGACATTAACTAGAAGCTCAATGAGGTTCTGTTGATCCCATGAACTAGGTTACTATTGCTACCAAGATCAGAACCGCCAATATATATATTATACAATTATCATTTTTGTAACGTGAAATACAAGGTGGATCTTGAGAACCAACCTTGGAGTTGCTCAGGCTGAAGATGCGAATAGCCGAAAAGAGACGCCTTTTGTGGCGTAGGTAAACCGCTCAGCTTTATTTACAGTGGCAGTTCACCAAGCGCAAGCCAACCAACATGGTATTATGAACAGGAACCAAAAAGCGAACGCTATGCTTACCGATGGAAGATCACAGGGAAAAAACCCTCGGCGGGTTACCTAGCCGGCCACTGTCACGATACATGCAAGCAGCGTTGACCATCCACCCACCATGAAGGTTCTCCCCACCCCAGATGTGAGCCCAAACCACACCTGAGATCCCGTATCCCACGACCCGCGCGGCATCCACCCAGGCAGATAGATCGAAGAGATCGCGGAGGAAGCCAGCGAGCGAAGACATGCGGCTAAAGCGTGCACGCGAGCGGCGCGAGGCACACAATCTTTCCCAGGCGCGTTGGGCCTCATCCCAGAAGATAGGTTCCTGGCCGGCAGATTCATGGACGTGACCGAAGACGTGGAGGGCAGGACGGACACGCCATGATTCCGCCAGCAGGTTGGGACAGCCGGTGGAAAATATGGGGGAAAGGTCGAGATGAGATTGGGGTGGGGTGTGGGTGACGAGGATGTCTGTCTCTGGGGGGATGGTGCCGGACCAGGCGTCGTGGTGTGGGGGGTATGTGAAGGCGTGTTCGGGGCCGAAGGGGACGATGGCTGGGACTTGGGGGGCGCCGTAGATTGTGAGAGAGCGCGAGCGGGAGCTAGTACTGGGGGCGGTGGGCGAGGGCGCAGAGGTGTCGGCGAACGAGAGGGTCACGGCTGAGTGTTGGAGGTAGTGTATGTCACCCCAGTCGATGCGGGAGTCGTCGTTCAGCTCGTGGAACGAGCGAATGGATGCCGTCGAGGAAGAGATTGCCGCGAAGGAATCCCCCATGGAAGCTGGGTCTTTACGATCCTCATCCAGACGTGACCGCACGTCGAAGTAGCTGTCATGGTTCCCTCCGATGACGATTTTGTATGGGTGGGGAAGGCTCCGGAGCCAGTCAACAGAGGCTTGGATATCGCGTGCGGAACCGTTGTTGCAGAGGTCTCCGGCGTGGATGAGAAGGTCTCCGTCAGGTACGTCTGGCCATTCGAGGGTGTGAGTATCGGAAATGCAGACTACTCGGATTGGTTGAGTGCCAGGCGGAGGGAGTCGAGGAGGGCCACGCAGACGGAGCAATATCTGGTGTACTGGATAGAGTAGGGCCACCAGAGGAGAGGCGATGAAGTAGTCGTGAATAGGGCGGCGGTTGAAGGGACTTGTCATGGTGACAGAGAAGCCAAAGGAACGGCTCAGAGTAGTAAGAGTTCAAGAGGTGAATCCACCGAGGTCAAGTCAGGTAGCTAGTTACCCCAAGCGGGGATCGTCACATCAAGACTGCAGTCGATCTTTTCTTTTTCTTTTTTCTTTTTTTCTTTCTATCTGATTGAAATTCAATAGAATAATGAATAAGAATGTAGTCAAGGATAGGATAGGTAGAGTAAGGTGGATGTAGCAGGAAAGACCTAAAACATCTACAGTATATAACCAAGTGAACAAAGTCAGCATCACAGAATGTATCTCCTCTGACATGTACGCGTATGCTGTACTTGCTACTTGCTATGTTTCTACTAGTCAAAGCATTAGCGCTGAGACTTCTCTTTTCTTCACATTTACATGCATCCAGGATATTCTTATAAGGCTATTTATTGTCTATACTCAATGCGTCCATATTTGCCACCACGACGCTGTGGCTGCTTGCGGAATACCATCCCATCGATCTCAACACTCCCCTTTTCTCCGAAGTGATCTATCTTTCTCTTGATCTTATAAAACTTGACTTTTGCGATCGGATCGTCGCTCTGGCCCATATTCTCTTTGGCCTTTGCCTTTACCCGCAATTTTCCAATCTTTGACATCTTCTTTCCCCTCCTCAAATTATTCCTACCCAGTTTATTTGAACTTTTCCTCTGCAATATTTGATTACCGTGTCTTTACTGTGTGTGCAGGTGGTAGAGGCGCCCCCCCCTCCAACATCCACCGCCTCTAAGTTCCGCTTGAACCAACCAAAAGCCAGTGTGCCCCGCCTCTCAGCTTGACCTCCCAAATCTCCACATCATGGAGGGAGTCGATCTTACCAAGGCGATGCTCAACAAGGGCAAACAGATGGCAAACGTTGCTGCGTCAGCTGCCAATGGCAACGGCGGAAAGAAGAGGAGAAAGGGCACCGACTTGAAGCCCATCGTCACTAATGAAGCGAACCCTGGGCCCGGTGCTACAGAATCGTATGTCTTGAAACATTTCTGATGAACAGGGTTACTAATCTCCCATGGATCAGAACCGGCGCTGCTCAGTCAAACTCCAAAGCATCCGCATCGCGATCATCATCCTCATCGTCTGGCGAAGAACTCGAGGCTACCGCGGAAGAGGAGGACTCCGAAGATTATTGCAAAGGCGGATACCACCCCGTCGCTGTGGGCGAAGCATACAACAATGGTCGCTATATTATCGTGCGCAAGCTTGGATGGGGTCATTTTTCGACGGTCTGGCTGTCGCGGGACACAACCACCAACAAGCATGTCGCGCTGAAGGTGGTTCGATCCGCCGCACACTACACCGAAACCGCGATCGACGAAATCAAGCTCCTCAACAAAATAGTTCAAGCGAAACCCTCTCACCCTGGTCGGAAGCATGTGGTCAGTCTGCTGGACTCGTTTGAACACAAGGGACCCAACGGTATCCATGTTTGTATGGTTTTTGAAGTCCTGGGCGAGAACCTCTTGGGTTTGATCAAGCGGTGGAACCATCGCGGTATTCCCATGCCGCTAGTCAAGCAGATTGCAAAGCAAGTACTGCTGGGCTTGGACTATCTCCACCGCGAGTGTGGAATCATCCACACGGATCTGAAGCCGGAGAATGTCCTGATCGAGATTGGAGATGTGGAGCAGATCGTCAAGGCGCATGTCAAGGAAGAAGCCAATAAAGATGCCAAAGAGAAAGAGGATAACCGGAACGGGCGGAGACGGCGACGCACACTGATCACAGGGAGCCAGCCGCTCCCTAGTCCGCTCAACACCAACTTCAATAACTTCGACTTCAAACATAGCTCTTCCAACTCACACAGTAGCCTCAGCCAGATGGTCAATGAGCCTGCAGGTCAGTCCCCCTTGATGCACCCATGGCTCGACCGCGCGCGAGAAAAGAAACTGACCTAGCATCTACAGCAGAAACGCCCTCCATGAGAGAACTGCTTGGGGTGAAGGAAGAAGATGTGCAGCAGAACCAGCGAGAGAAAACTGCGTACGTCATGACATACATCTGCCTTGCTCTGATTGATAAGAGCTTGATCTAATCTAACAATATACATACAGAGATCTTCTGGAGCGCGAGGTGTCTGGCATTTCCCTCGATAAAGGCTCTTCGAGCAAATCACCGGAAGAAGAACTTGACGTCAATATTATTTCTGTCAAGATTGCAGACTTAGGCAATGCTTGTTGGGTCGGTCATCATTTCACCAACGACATTCAGACTCGTCAATACCGCTCGCCCGAAGTCATACTGGGCTCTAAGTGGGGTGCCAGTACCGACGTGTGGAGTATGGCATGCATGGTGAGTGGCATGATCATCAATCACAGCCGAAGCCGAACAACATGCTAATTGTCTAGGTTTTCGAACTCATCACTGGAGACTACCTCTTCGACCCCCAATCAGGGACCAAATATGGCAAGGACGATGATCACATCGCCCAAATCATTGAACTACTGGGTCCCTTCCCCAAGTCACTCTGCATGTCCGGCAAATGGTCCCAAGAAATTTTCAATCGCAAGGGTGAACTGCGCAATATCCACCGACTTCGTCACTGGGCCCTGCCCGACGTCCTGCGAGAAAAGTACCACTACTCCATGGAGGAGAGCATGCGTATTAGCGAACTCCTATTGCCCATGCTTGATCTGTCACCGGAGAAGAGGGCGAACGCTGGTGGTATGGCAGCTCATGAGTGGATAAAGGACACGCCTGGTATGGATGGGATCGATCTGGGCATTGTCCCTGGAACTCGTGGGGAGGGTATTGAAGGCTGGGCTGCTGAGGTCAAAAAGCGATGAAGATGACCTTAGTGATCCCCTCCCTCTTTGTTCTCTTTCCTTAGCCTAGATGGGACTATCCCCTGGGTTTTCATGCCCTTATGGCGATGATGTGAGTTAACGATCTTTTTTCTCTTTCCATTTACGGATTGATGCTGGTTGGTTTATGTCTTTGTTCTTCTTCAAAGCTTTTCTTTCGTCCTATGCTGGTAGTTGGTTGGATGGGGTGTTATTCGAGATGCTCGTATGCTTATGCCTCGCCTTTCCCCCTGCACGTCTGTCAACCTTTTGTGTCTGGTGCTTTTCGATCTCATATCTCCCCGATAGACTCGTCTTTCTATTTCCATTGATCATATTCGTGATGGGTCTTTAGTCTCCTGTATCATCCCTTCCCACTTCCCACTCGTCTGGGAAGTCCTTCTAGATTTGCTCCAGACAGACAAGTTATGACTATTTGCTATGTATGGATTCAATCTCCGTAAAATTTTTGAATCATTGTTAACGCTCGGATGCAACGCAAGGGCACTAAAACCCCAATGTATGAGGATTTTCGAGAGTCTTTATGGGGTGTTATTCTCTGGCTGCTCATCCGTTCCCTCGCTCGACAGCTCGCTTGGAAACCATCCATACCGAGAAAAATCAACATACATCTCGCCCATGCTGTCTGTAGTAACCTCCACACCTTCTTGTGCGAGAGCTTCTGCCTGACGCTCCGCACTCCCGGGTCCACTGTTATAGATGTCAGCCGTGAACACGTATAAAAGTTCGTTTCAAGTCTAGATTATATGGTCCAGTTTGATATGATATAAGAATTCGGAATAGGTAGCCTAGAACAAACGCACCGATGCGAAATCATTCCTTTAGAATTAATCACTCGCTGCCACGGCACAGTGTTCGAGTTGAAATACGAGCCAGACTCCGGTGACGGAAGCACCTTGAGACAGACTCCGACCTGGCGGGGGCGCTGAGCTATTACCAAAGAAAAATGGTTAGTATATATCCAACAAGCATATAATTGCATCCATACGTTCACCGAGGAGGCGTGCGATATGACCGTAGGAAGTGACTTTGCCCCGGGGAATCTCTTTGATGGCTTCGTAGACTGCGTTGGCCCACCACTCTGCTTCTTCGGAGCGTGGCATTGTACAGGCCTCTCAATTAGTTCAGCGAGCAAGTTCGAAGTCTCACTCTGCATTGCCGAGTCCATAATCAAATGACGTTCACGCCTTGTTAACTTAGCGCTAGGCGGCATACAGTTCGGGGAAACGTTCCTCCGGATCATTAAATCACTGAGCTCAACCTGCACCTCTACATTTCACATTCCTCACATACAGCATACCGAAATTATGCCTGGCTCACTCGCCGACTACCTGGCAAAGAACTATCTGACCGCTGACCCTACCACCGAGCGGCCAAAGAAGAAGCGCAAGAAGACCAAAGCCATCGATACTGCAGGCTCTGGTCTCATCATTGCCGATGATGATCCACCAGACATTCGCTCATTAGGAAATACGGAAGAAGACGATGAGGATAGACCTTATTTCGACACATCCGCCAGAACCACAGAATTCCGCCGCGCAAAGAAGTCAAGCTGGAAGACAATCGGAGGACCCACGTCCGGCCAAGGAAGTGAACAAGAAGCCGCCGACGCAATTCTAGCCGATGCAGCAGCTGAACGCGCCGCCCACCAAGACCCCGACGACGAAGATGCGCTTATGATAGAAAATGAAGACGACGGCGCAGGGCGCATGGAGTCCGGAGTACGAGGGGGTCTCCAAACCGCCGCCCAAACCGCAGCAATGGTGAAAGCCCAAGAAAAGCGGCGCAAGGCCGAAGAAGCACAGTACCGCGATCCCTCAGCAGTGAATCAAAAAAGCCAAGAAACAATCTACCGAGACGCATCCGGCCGAATCATCAACGTGGCCATGAAACGCGCCGAAGCCCGACGCGCAGAAGAAGAAAAGCGCGAGAAAGAAGAACAGGCGCGCGAGGCGCTGATGGGAGATGTGCAGCGACAGCAGCGCGAGGAGCGACGACAGAACTTACAAGATATCAAGGCCATGCCACTTGCACGGACGATCGAGGACGAGGAACTGAACGAAGATATGAGGGCCCGCGATCGGTGGAATGATCCCGCTGCGGAGTTCCTTACTGCCCGGCGTGATGCGGGAGCCAGTGTTACGGGGCGGCCGCTTTATCAGGGCTCATTCCAGCCTAATCGATATGGGATCCGGCCAGGGCACCGCTGGGATGGCGTGGATCGTGGCAATGGATTTGAGAAAGACTGGTTTACGTCGCGGAACAAGAAGAGTCGGTTTGAGGCTTTGGAATACCAGTGGCAGATGGATGAGTAGATGGCTTCTCATGTCTGTCTTGTATGCTTTCCATCTTGTTTAATACCCATAGTGGGTGCTGGTCGCCCGATGCGTCAAATGATCATACTTGCTTCGATGTTGGATTTGAGTCTTGTCTATACATTTGTAATATCAACGTTGTAGATCTCTAGATCTGTGGTCCATTCCACGGGCCGATGTCAATGTTTCGATTAGGTCTGCTCAAGCACGACTGCTTAAAATCTCTTTCCTAAAGCTGTATATACACCACAAAACAAAGCAAAGATATGTGCGAAGAAGATGAAGTACGGTCCTTGTCGGAGATAAAGAGTGTCGATGCCAAGGTTGCTACGGGATCTGGATGTTTACCCCAAACAAAAAACTTCCCGACTTTTGACACTCACCATCCACCCGCTACGGATCTATATTCAGCGAGAAACAAAGATGGACAAACGAACGGGAGAGAGTCCAATGGACTTTGAGTGGCAAACTCGAGCCCCCGGCGACGTGACCTCACCCTTCTACCAGCTTGGAGCGCAGCATGACAAGAAACGTTCGTATCCCGGTCTGAACGACGACAACTGCAATTACAAGCCCCTGACACTCCTACAGGAACATACAGCGCATTCGAATCGCCCCAGAAGCAAGCGTTACCCTCGCTCCGCGAACCAAACTCTCAACCCTTCCTCTTTTCACAGCCCCGACAACAACCCGCACCACTATCACCCAAGGCTAAATTCGGCCAACCTGCTTTCCAGACACCACGGAAATTTGATGTGGATTTTTCATCTGGCGCTGAGAATATGTCGTCACCGGAATATGCAGACAACGAGGACACGCCCGAGCAGCAATACAAGTCAGGGAAGGGAACTTCGTCACTATTCAACTTTCATGGCCGGAATCCGCAGAGCCCAGGGCGAGGCGAAATCCCTCGGCTAACCCACCACTCCAACGCAGCCTTGCACCGGATACAAAAGAAACGACGGAGAGACAAGGAACTAGGTCGGCAAATACGAGTCGACAGCGATGACGATAGCGACCAAGACCGGCCCAGCAGCAGGGAGGAGAAGCCGGTGAAAGCCACGAAGCAAGGGAAGGGAGAGAAATTCGAACAGGATCGCTCGCGAGTCTCATCCTGGTCTGAGTTCTTCAGCATGCTGGAGGCACACCCGAATGTCCCCGCCATCCTGTCGTGGTGGGCCCAACTGGTGGTCAACCTATCGCTGTTCTCTCTGGCCGTCTACGTGGTTTTCGGATTTGTGTCGGCCATTCGAGGCGAGTTCGAGCAAGCTGCACAGGAAATGTCTGATACTATCTTGGCCGACATGGCGGTCTGCACAAAAAACTATATCGACAACGACTGCGGGCGATCGAGTCGCGTCCCGGCTCTGGAGACTATATGCGAGAACTGGGAACGGTGTATGAATCGTGATCCAGCAAAGGTTGGCCGCGCCAAAGTCTCCGCTCATACAATGGCTATTATCATCAACAGTTTCATTGACCCCATTAGCTGGAAGGCGATTGTGAGTTTCCCTGCGCGCTCAGTTTTGGATCTTTACTGACTTTTATACTAGCTGTTCTTCCTCGCAACCATATCTACTGTCACCGTTTTTAGCAACTGGTCATTCCGCTCATTGAGACAACGTCTTCAGCAACAGAACTACGCGCAACACCCACCACCACCCCAATCCATGCACCCACAGCTGCAGCATAACCCCTCCTTCGGATACTACGGGCAGCAAGACCCCCGGCAAACCCAAGGAGTTGCTTACGACGAGAAATACGATCAGCCCCTGATGCTCGAAAACACACGGGCGATGGACTTTGTCACCGAGCGCTCTCGTGAGCGTGAGCAGCACCTCCGGACACCGAGCCCAACTAAGCGCAGGTTTACCTAAGCCACTGTTCTCATTTCTGGGCCTGGGTCTTGGTCGGCGTACTTGTTTTACAGCGGATGGGTTTGTAGCATAACCAGCGGGGATGGGATCATATTCGTTGGGATTTTCATTTGGCCCGGCACTGGTGTTTTATTTCATACCATCGTTATGGTGTTTTCTTTTCTTGTATTTGTTTCTAGTTGATTTAATTCTGGGGCTATACTGGCTTCTCTCTGCTGTCTCTACCTCTGATATACGTACTACATAGGTACTTGTTTTTACTTAGGCCAGTATAAATCTCATATTTCGCCTCCGAACGGTATTACATACACAGTGATATAGACACAAGGGGCCGAACCCCTGTGTTTACTAAATACTGATGCCTCAATATGTTATTTAGGCCTAGACGCCTGAATTATGACTAGCAGAAGAATTAAACCACCTGACTTACTCCGTACTATTACAAAAATAGCCTCAACCGACACGATCTAGTTATCTCGACGGTAGTCTCTATAGTAGTCTTTTTAAGATGTATTCTTATATATTTTGAGGTATCTTTTCTATATATCTTCTCCCTAAGTAGACGGCTCATTAAGGCATCGGTATTAACTAAAGATTGGGATATGGCCCCTAGCACCTATAGGACTGCGTTCCTGTCGCCCTGCAGCTGAGTGAGAACATATCAAAAAGGGTTGAGATTAGCCTGCCTGAGATCTATATATATCTCAACCAAGCTCCATCCAGTCACGGAGGGTTCCGAACGTGTAGAACGGCAAAACCCCTAATAGGCTCAAAAGCGCATTTGGATCAGAGCGCAAAATCCGTCCAAAAATCCTGGGACTTTGCTATGAAAACTGGTGAGAATGGAGCTCCTCAGAGAGCCAATGCTTCAAGACAACAAAAAGAATAATAAGAGGCAAAGTTGTAAGGATTTAGATTTGACCACTAGCTTGAGAACTTGCTTCAAAGTGATTGTGTTTGCTGAATGTTCGTATATATCTGTACTGAATTGCTTCATCGAACGAAAAGAGGCAAATCGCTGAACAAGGTTGAGGCGTTAGCTCTGACATGCCCATGACGAAATCTTGCAATAAGAAGCAGCTCTGGAAATTTGTAAATAGATCAATATAATTAATCTAATGATTAAAGATGGAGAATTGCTACGGTATCTATATGTTGACAATTTCTGTGGCAAGTAAAGCGGATTGACCGGTGTCGATTTTATATCTCTGCTTGTATAGAACCCGGAAGGATCGTCAACCAACCATTTTTAAATCAGCTGATTCCAGACAAATGGAATATTTGAGGTAGAATGTAATCGAGGCCAATGTGGCCTAGATCTAGGCATATGGATAATAAAGAGGAGAGGGAAGCATTTTCTTTCATACTGACGTAAAGGTGCAATTTGCCATTTGCCATTTCTGCGGCGATGTATAAATCCAGATTTCCTCTTTGGTTTCTGCTTCTTTCAACTCAAAGCTGAATATCATTTTGGCCGAATTCTGTCTGTGACTCATCACTTGTTCTTTGTTGTTGAAGATACATAAAGTTCCAGCTGTTGTAACAGGATGGGTTCAATCACCGACGAAAAGCGAAAACTCATCATCGTCTCAAATCGTCTTCCATTGTCTGTGAAACGTGTTAATGGTGCCTTTCAATCTTCTATTTCGAGTGGTGGCCTCGTCACTTCTCTATCTGGGTTGACCAAGTCCACCAAGTTCCAATGGTTTGGCTGGCCAGGAATCGAAGTTAAAGACCCAAAGGATCAAGAAGATGTGAAAAAGAGTTTGGGAGAACATAATGCCGTTCCCATATTCCTCGATAGTACCCTGGCCCATGAGCACTATAACGGGTTCTCGAGTAAGCTCCGTGCCCTAACACCGCGATCCACGCTGACCGCCAGATCGTATCCTCTGGCCAATTCTCCATTATCAATCAGGTGTAGTTTTCGACGAAACTCCGTGGCAAGCATATAGGCGGGTAAACGAGTTATTCGCAGATGCGATTGCTGAGACAGCGGATACTGGGACATTGATCTGGGTCCATGATTATCATCTCATGCTTCTGCCCGAGCTTCTCCGTGATCGACTCAAACGGCAAGGTAAAACCTGTGCCATTGGCTTCTCACTCCACACGCCCTTTCCAGCAGGAGACTTTTGGAGGAATCTCCCTGTTCGAAAGCATCTCATCGAAGGCATGCTGTCCAGTGACCTGATTGGATTCCACACGGACGAATATAAACAAAATTTCATCGACACCTGTGCTAGTCTCCTGTGAGCAATAGCCCTAATTCCCTTACTCCACAAGCTTATGAAGTATCAACTAACACCACCACAGCAACGCTCGCACCGAAATTCCCAACCAAATTCAGTACAAAAATCGGCTAGTCTGTGTAAACAAGTTCATTGTCGGCATCGATCCCGAAAAGTTCACCGACACCCTGAAAAAGCCCGAGGTTCAAGAGCGCATTCGAAACTTGAAAGAACGCTATAAAGGCGTCAAGGTAATTGTTGGCGTCGACCGACTGGACCACATTAAAGGCCTCACGCAAAAATTGAAAGGATTCGACGCTTTTCTCGATGATCATCCAGAACTGCAAAACAAGGTCGTTCTTATCCAAGTTGCCGTTCCAAGCCGCGAGGAAGTGAAAGAATATCAGGAGCTCGAAACCGAACTGTCTACTATCGCCGGGAAGATCAACGGGAAACATGGTAAGACCTTGCCACAAATGTTGGGATTGTACTAACTAGCCAGCCACACCCGAGGGCACTCCGCTGCTGTATATGCATCGCTCCGTTCCATTCGACGAATTGACCGCGTTGTACTCAGTAGCCGATGTTTGCCTTCTCACCTCTACCCGCGACGGAATGAATCTCGTGGCCTTCGAGTATGTGGCATGCCAGCAAGAGCGTCACGGTGTCCTCGTTCTCTCCGAATTTGCTGGCGCGGCTACCTTCATGACAAAGGGTAGTATCCCGTTCCATCCTGCAAACAAGACGGAAATGTCCGAGGCGATCTTCAATGCGTTGAATCTGGACCCGGCCGAACGAAGGAGCAAGTACGAGTATCTTCGAGACTTTATCAATACCAACACAAGGTTCGAAGGACTTTCCTGCTTTCCTATTGTCAGTTGCTAACTTTGGGCAGTGCGAAATGGGGCGAGACTTTCATCGAAAAATTAGCCCTCCGTTGTAAACGACCCGGGGATCCATGTTGATTGTCGAGGACTGCTGGACATATGTATAGTGTTTTCAACCCCTTGTCGAAAGCAATTCGCTTGCCGTTACCATAGGGAATGAATTGTCGTCTTGTCTTGCCCACGGTTCCTGAGATATTGGCCTATTGGCTTGAGTCCGTATTCCTTCGCTTAGTTGTCGATGGCTATTTTGCTCGTCGGTAGTCGTTTTGCCTAGTTGTCCGTTTCCTTTTGGACTCCTCATGTTGTCGTGGGCAATGCTTCCTTCTTTTGCTGAGATTTGGATTACTTGGAGTCAATCGCCGCAATGATGAGGCGGTAGCGCAAAGCGGTAATGCCAAAGCAGTTGGAATAGATCTAGGTACCTGGCCCGGAAACCCCGATGCTCGAGCAAATTGTAGCTAGCTTTATCTCGCGCACTGCATCGATTCACAATGTGAAAGTTTGTACAAATATAGACTACTATCCTAGCTACAAGTTCACCAAGTTTGGTGCCAATATCTATGTTAATGCGAGTAGGGTTAAACCTGTCACCTCACAGCATCTATCACATCCGAGCAATGTGTACATATACCATAGACTCACTAAATCCAACCAATCAGCGTCCGATCGGAGGCAGAACCTCCTGCCCACCGCCAATCAGCATTGAGTACGAGTATAAATTGTTCAACTCAATTTTTCTGTCTTGTTTCTTTCTTTCCTCCTACACCACTCTCTGTCTCTCTTATTGCATCCAAATTCAGAGACTCCATCCTTGTACTCTTTCTCATTGCATCATGACTTGGACTTGACCTTCTGACCCCAATGCACGTAATCTCTTGTTTACACTACACCATTGCAGGGTGTACCTTGGTGAGTCTCAAGATCTCTTGCTTCGTGTGTCAATGACCTCGCTGCCTAGGTGACTTGTTTACCTCGCTTCGTCGTCGACGTCCTTGCTTACTCGTTCGCAAGTTTCTCCAAGGTTGCTTTTGTCTTTGTGTTTCTTGACTATTAATTGTGTTTCCATCACCTTGTTCTTGGTACGTTTTCTCCTGCTACCCCCTACATCCTCTCCATCACAGCATTCTATTGTTGCGCCGATTGATACGTGTTTCCATGGCTTCATGTCCACTCTCTCTCGGTTCAATGATGATGATGATGACGATGAAATAAGATGACACAGTTATCATTGCCTTTTCCCTCAGATGCTATGTGACTTATATTTTACTCATATCTCATTTGACTAGTGCCTACAAGTTACCTGCTTTGACCCAACTCCATCTATGTGTATGCACCCCCTCCCAACTCACATTATCCTTCTTGCCTCTTGCCTTAGTCATGGGTTTCATATTCTTTCGGTGGCGCAATGATGATATTCAAAACTTTTTCTGTGCGCTGATGTCTGATGAACTCACTGCTATATCTGAGGCACCGTTTGAAACCCATTGCCTGATTCACAAAATCATGATTTTTCATCTGCTAATGAGATTGTTTCTTCTAGTCTCCTGCCCTTGGTGACCGTCAATATAACAGTGATGACGGCCAATAGCTGTTCTCGTGCCTTGGATCAGCTTCTGACCTACCAGTTTGGACTTTTTTGCTTTCTTAGCAGAGCCCCCGTTGTCATTTCCATACTCGATATACCTGCTCGTTTCTGAAACAGCATTTTCCGATGGGATTGTAAGTCTATTTCTTCACCCTATTTCTCAAATTGGCGATGATGAAAAGGGTTATACCTACACCTCGGCTTATGTGTAGTATCTGTTCTTATCAGCCAAAAAAAAAAATACCGAGGAATGAAGAAAGAAAATACCTATCTGAGCCTACATTTGATGAAAAAATTCCTACTTGGACGTCTATTCAATTACTGGATGAATTTTGTTAACATTGTTGCTTCCTTTACAGGTCCGCTATTGTGATCTCGATACTTGATATACCTACTCGTTTCTGAAACGGCACCTGCCGATGGAATTGTGAGTCCATTTCTACACTCTCCAGCTCTCAATTCGGCGATGATGAAAAGGGTTGTACATACACCTCGGCTTATGTGTAGTATCTGTTCTTTTCAGCCAAAAAAAAGGGGAAAAAGTCGAAGACTGAAGAAAAAACCCCGATTTCTGAGCCTACACTTATTTGATAGAAGCCTTCCTAATTGAACGTTTCAATTACCGAATGAATTTTGCTAATATTGTGGCTGCCTTTACAGATCCGCTATTGCTATCTCGCCACTCGATATACCTACTCATTTCTAAAATAGCACTTGCTAATGGAATTGTAAGTCCATTTCTATGTTCCATTGTTTTCATTTGGCGATGATGAAAAGGGTTTACACCTACACCTCGGCTTATGTGTAGTATCTGTTCTTGTCAGCCAAAAAGAAAAAAGAAAAAGCCGAGGACTGAAGAAAAGAAAACCCTCATATCTGAGCCTACATTTGATTGCAACTTTCCTATTTGAACCCCATTTCATATTACTGAATTACATTTGCTAAGATCATTCCATCTTTCTAGCTCAGCTCTCCCAGCCCTTTGTCCCTTCCATTCCCACACTGGACGTTCATTTATATCCGAGCCTTCCCTTATCAAGAATCCGTCCTTTGTGGTGAAACAAAGAGAGCCCCGAAGAAAAATAAATGCATACCTCCATATCCTCAAAACCCTTCCCAAGTTCTTCGTACTCGAAGTTCCTATGTCCGGTGTATGAATTTCATCCTGGCAATCCCATTGGCCCTTCAATACCAAGAATTGAGTTGTTGTTACCTTGCTGCTATGGTTTGCCATTCTGTCAACTTCCTTCCTATGCTTCTATTACCCATCAGTGATTTGCTTAATGCCAATGATGATAAAAGTGGCATACTGACCATCTTTGATGACCAAACTACACTTGTTTGGGACACCTTTGAGCACTTTGCCTTCATTGTACTTATCAGTCTAATCCGTTCGTTGTAACTAACACCACATTCGCTTCAAAAGAAGGGTAAAATTTGAGTTGTGTGGATTTGGCACTGCGCTAATTTTCAGCTTGGCTAAATTTCCCCGTTCTCATAATTTTAGGGAACCGGTAGTCATTACTTCCCCTCGTACGGAGGCCTATAACGTATTCGGTAAACGAGCTGCGCACCCCAAAACACATAGTAAAAGTTATGTCGACAGTCTGTAGCTTTCTACAGCTCTCTAAATGGCGAGCGCTTAGATTCTCATGTCGCGCACTTCACAGAATATCCCTCGAAGGATTTTCCATTCAATATCTCAAGAGCATTTGCTTCATTGCGACAAGCGATAGCCTTAAAGAACTAGAAGCACTCGCCGAAACAGATGGTATTTGAGAATGATTTCAAGAGTTGTCGATGATTCCATCCGTGTTCGATGGCTCCCATGCAGAAAGTGAAAGTTCTATTTCCGAATTCGCCGTGTCATCGAAGAGTTGTCGCTCGGTATTCAATGACGAACTAAAGGCTCGTTTTTCAACGTATAAAGTCTTGATTACAGACAATTCTAGTCTTCTAGAATTGGAGGCCTTTAGCACTCGGCTACGTAAATGCTTGGAAAGGTTCGACAACCTTCACACGGTTGGACTTGCACATTACACGACGAGCTTTTTGCTCGACCCGCGACAAGAAAAAGTCCGATTTCTTGGCTGGCGCCGCCTCTTTAATCAAGTCGACTTCCGATTCGGCAGTAAGAACCTCGAGCCGCTTCATGGTAGCGGAAGCGTAATGGACAAGATTATCTCTTTAGCCTCGTCAAGGCTTTTGCAGACGCTCAGTGGAACCAATCGGAAAATCACAAAGTTACAGACATGTAATCCTGATTGCTGTGGTAAAATTGCCCCCGAAATCCTCCCCACAGAAGAGCAATACAGCTCTGTTCAATCCGTTCTGGGTGATTTAGAGGACCTCTACGTTTGCATAGCTTTCAGAATCATAAAGCCAGCTTATGTCATGAGTACAACCTAGATCACTCTGCTTATCCATGTTGCTCCCCACCTAGAAAGACTTGCGCTCTCGCAAGACTATTCTCTTGAAGAGCTGTCTAGCGAAATCGAATTCAATCGGCTCAAAGAGCTCCATCTCCATCAGACTTGCATCAACTCCAAGCATTTGAAATCATTGCTCCTCAAAGTCAAAGGAACCCTTGGTATTTTCACGATTTTTGAGGTGATCATGGAAGATACCTCACCATCATTGTTCCCAGATTATCCATCAATTTGTTATTGTATAACCCCAGCCAGGCTTCGTTCACCTCCAGTCCCTATTTCTACAATCACAAATATCTATGATCCAATCTAAACAACCCACACTCGGACTCCAAGAGCCTTCACTCCAAGTCCAATAGGCTACATCCCGACCTCAGTGTACTACAATCCAAGTTCAACAGCCTACACACCAACCTCAACAGACTACACTCCAACCTCAACTCCGTATTATACTCAACCAGCCGGACAACTGCCATCCGGACAAACTTACATCCCTTCAACCCCCTACATACCCTCCGTGGATCATGAGGGATTTCTTTGGAGAAAATCTATCGCTACAGAGATTCTCCATGGCAAATATCGCCGACCGCAGCCATGAGATCTCTATTCAAAGCACAGATGACTCGATTGAACCTAGCGACAAGGCTGTTTTTGATGCTGAAACTGCTGGAATTTCGTTTCGTCAATGGATCGGCCAATTAACCCCTATGCATTTACTGGATTCACCTAGTGTTCAAATGTGGCCATTTTAGTTGTAACTTCCCCCGCCTAAATCGCCCCACAAGATCACCCATGACGCCGCTCCCGTGCCTTATCACGACATTCCTTGACATGGGCGCATGTCTAGGGGTGTTTGCGTAAAAAAATAAAAAAGTTTAGTCTCTGTGTTTTGACTGATTCAATATCTTCTCTTTATTTGTATGCAATTCCTCAATATGACGGACAAAACGGATGTCAGCGCCATAACATACAGAGGACCTGTTCAGGATGGCACTACGAAAGGCTTCCGATCGGAGATAAACCGATCGGATGAAGAGATTGCAACAGATCCTATGTCTGCACCATTGAAGCGGCAGCTTAAGTCTAGGCATCTACAGATGATCGCTATTGGAGGTGGGCTTGCACATTGTTTTACGTAGTTGGTGTTGACTAAAGTATTCTCAGGCATTATCGGTCCTGGTCTGCTGGTGAGCTCGGGCAATGCACTACATGAGGGTGGACCCGCAGGGGCTTTGATTAGTTTCTCGCTGGTGGGCATTATCGTCTTCTTCGTCATGTAAGGGGTGTATTTCCTTGCCCTAAGAATGATTCTAATGGCTACAGGCAATCGCTGGGTGAGATGGCCACGCTACTCCCCGTGACTGGATCGTTCACCGAGTATGCGGAGCGCTTTATTGACGACTCTCTTGCGTTTGCTCTGGGATGGGCATATTGGTACTTATGGGTAACTGTACGGCATACATTGGGAATTCGAGTATTATGGATCATCCCTTACTAACATGACACTCTAGGTCCTTGCAAATGAATATAACGCCATATCGCTAGTAATTGGGTACTGGACAGATGCTGTTCCTCAATGGGGCTGGATCTTGATCTTCTGGGTGATGTTCCTTACCCTGTCAAATCTGGGAATTTTGGCCTATGGGGAGATGGAATTTTGGCTATCTCTGTACGTTTCCGCGTGCTTACGTTTGAAGCATGAAACTGACTAATGCAATACAGTATCAAGGTGTTGGCGTTGATTGTCTTTTTCATTCTCGCAATTATCATCAGCGCAGGTGGCATTGGACCGCGCGCCATTGGATTTGAATATTGGCGTGCCCCGGGGGCATTCGCAGATTCAATCAATGGCGTTGCGAAAACCTTTGTTGTTGCGGGAACTTTGTATGCTGGGACTGAAATGTATATTCCCCAATATCGAAGATGATAGAAAATGGCGAAAGCTGACAGTCAAATTAGGGTTGGTGTCACTGCTGGAGAATCGACGAATCCTCGAAAAGCAGTGCCTAAGGCTATCAGGCAGGTCTTTTGGCGTATCCTGATTTTCTACGTTGGTGAGTTCACATAAAACAGAAGACCGAAGCATTACTGAACTATATCTAGGTACCATCTTCTTCATTGGAATGCTCATCCCATGGAATGACAAAAGGTTGTTGGGCACAACGTCGAAGACAGCCAGCTCCCCCTTGACAATCTCGTTACAGGATGCTGGGATCCTCCCAGCTGCCCACCTCATTAATGCTCTCATTGTGATTAGTGTCATTTCTGCTGGAAATAGCTCGCTTTATGTGGCATCTAGAACGCTGCTTTTCATGTCTCGCAATGGAAAAGCGCCAAAATTCATTGGCCGGACAAATCGTCTCGGAGTTCCATGGGTTGGCTTAGTTTTCACCAACGTCTTCGCATGCATTGTGTTTTTGGAACAGTCCTCTAGTGCTGGGAGAGTCTACTCGGCATTGATAACCCTTTCGGGGGGTATGTTTGCCTTCCTTGCCCGTTCCCACCATTGTTCCCTGCTGACGAAGTATAGTTGCTACCTTTATTATTTGGTCGGTAATCGGAGTTGCGCATATTCGATTTCGAAAAGCCCTGGTCGCGCAAGGCCAAGACCCATCAAAGCTCCCATACCAGGCTCTCTTTTACCCATGGGGAACCTACCTTGCGCTGGCAGCAAATGTTTTCCTCGTTTTCTTTCAGGGGTACACCTGCTTCCTCAATCCCTTTAGCTCGACGGACTTTGTGATCAACTATATCCTGCTCCCTGTGTTTGTATTGTTTGTGGTTGTGTACAAGTTCTGGAATAAAACCCGTGTCGTCCGACTGGAGGATATGGACATCTGGACGGGGCGAAGGGAGCTCGTCGATTCGGAAGAGCCCGAGTCATCCAAAAAGGTTGCCAAGTGGTGGTCTCGCATATATTCCGTTGTTATAGGGTAGACCAGTCACCCTTTATCTTATACTATACCCATCCATACACAATCTGAAGCTACCCTTCGGTTATATGCAGACTAGCATATGACACATTTGCATCTAATCCACCGTGTAAAGGGTAACTGCCGAATGTGGCCTTGTGCGATTGACAACAGAAAAGCAAGAAACAAAACATGCCTAGTTGGCACCCAGCGGGCCAGATATGACAATTCAAGCGATCAGCACGGAGACCGTCGGAACACGGGGACACATGAGGGGAAAACAATATATACGAAGCGCAATTGAGTGAAATACCTTATCTCGACAAGCAAAGGGCTTGGATTTTGTTCACAGCTAGATGCATGCAGTCCACTGTTTCTCACTCAATGTTCAAATGCCGACAGCAATATGTCTATCCCCACATGGCCCGCTGAGTAATGGACCATTAGATCAACATCGTGTCCGACGGTTGCCGCCATGATTGGCCCGATAGAGAGACCCTGTTCATCTCAGGCGCATGGGTCTAAGGAAGAGACTCCATCCCACATAGTCCCCGCCCGTCGATCACCTGCCCGGATAGGGCGTATCTTCAGGACTCCGGAAGTCCTAGCACCACTCGATTCTTCACGCTGTCCCCAATCGACCAATCGGGACTATCTAGTACCTCGGTTTGACCTCTATACTTCATGGTCACCGCTCGGTGGATGTACCTCATTCGGTATGGTTGTTGTCAATTGATCATTTGGACCTGCAGTATACGATTGCCAATTAAGACCAAGACGGCTGGATACACAGAATGTAACATCGCATTGATAGCGAGTAGACTCTCTTCACAATGCGGAAAGACTTCCGACAAGGCATATTTAAACCATCACCTTTCCCAGAAACATTGAAGGTCTACAACTCCAGAAATATTCATAGCCAGCCGAGCACTCAAATTTCCTATCCAACCACATCGCCAAAATGCAATACACCAAGGTAATACCCTCTTCCAGATCAATAGCATCAACCATCAGCTATTAACACAACTTTCAGCTCCTGGCTTTGGCCTCCGTCTTCATATCCAGTGCCTTCGCTGCCCCGTTGGATGTGGAAGCTCGCGCATGTGCCGCGACTTGCGGCACAGTCTGCTACACCAGCAGTGCCATCAGTGCCGCCCAGGCAGCGGGATACAAACTCTACAGCGCCAATGATGCTGTGTCCAGCTACCCTCACGAGTACCACAACTATGAAGGCTTCAGCTTTCCCGTTTCAGGAACCTACTACGAGTTCCCCATTCTTAGCAGTGGCAAGGTCTATACTGGTAGCTCTCCTGGTGCGGACCGTGTTATCTTCAACAGCGCCGACAAGCTAGCTGGTGTCATTACTCACACCGGTGCCAGCGGCAACAACTTTGTGGCATGTACCTAAATGATGAATTGGATTTGGCTATGATATTTACATTGAGAATATATACTGCTTGATGTGTTCGAGACCTATGTATCTGAATGTAGGAGACCTCATTATCACGTAGACAGGTTTCAAACTGTCAACATGCCGTAAAGGTCGCCATTGCTTTGGGTATCTAGAGGCAAACAACGATCGACACCCGCACATTTGCGAGAATGTGGGAACTTGTCGTCGTCGGGGTTTAATACCCAATAGTGGTAGGAAAAGTATGAAACAGACCGGAATTGGTACACATTCGGTAGATATGGGATTGGGGCTGCCAGCATGTGCACATTAGCTCCTCGCAAGAGTCGGCAAGAGGTTTCGGGAGAGTTTGACTAATCTGATGTTTGATCGATTTGATGGTAGAAGAATATTTGATGCTATTTAGCTATGTGTAATAGAGAGATTGATTTTAGGGGATGGACATGGACATGGACAAGGAGAAAAAATGAAAAGTGCGGAGGCATCTCTATATGAACCTCATGTCACGAGTGCGGGGTTGTGGTCTCGGCATTGTGTGCCCTCAGGAATGAGACATGAAGAGCACCTCGTCTACTCCGTACACTCCTTCGCCTTCACCATCAGTTACTACCCAGCCACTGCAAATTCCAAGGAGACATAAGACCCGAAGTATTACAATCGCGATCTCTGCCCCTACCGTGGCCGCACTTCGCTTCTGAGTGCGGATGTGTATTTAAGGAGATGGTCCGTAGCCTATAGGATTGCGTTCATGATAGTGATCTTGGTCAAGATTGAATTAACAAAATAGTCGTATGGGTGATGCAAGTATATATCAGATTTCGGGTAGCATGACGCTTCATGGCGAGGATGTTCATAGAGTGATCGACTTTGACTTCATTACAATCCATGGTTGGATCTCGGGATCTCGGGACCTCGGCCCCGGGGGAACCTTCCAAGGTTGGAAGGCCCACTGGTGAGTAATCCGGCAACGGAATAACGAAAGTCCGAAGGTGCGGTCTTCGGACTTAAAAGTTGCCCGAGTCCGAAGATTACTTAATATTCAGACGCGGTTTGAAGATCGGACAAACAACGGACGAACTCTAAGGACAATGTTACAAATCCAACAGGTTAACTATCCACAGCGATTGATAATAGGAATCACAAAGAATGACTGAGAAGAAGTAAATTGAACGTAACCCCTGGGACATATAAAATGGAAACCCGTCACTGTAAATATGATCACAATTATCAATTCTAGCTTCAATCACAGTTGAATCACAACATGTCACCCACAATCAAACCCATTCAGCTCTATGGTGGCATTCTTGGCCCAAATCCCCTCAAAGTGGGAATCATCCTCACGCTCCTCGAAGTACCATTTGAATCCGTTCCAGTCGGCTTCGCTCAAGTCAAGGAACCCGAGTACGAAGCGATCAATCCAAATGGGCGCCTACCTTCGATCCATGACCCAAACACCAACCTGACCATCTGGGAGAGTGGCGCTATTATTGAATACCTCATAGAGCGCTACGACACCAACGAACCCCGCAAGCTCAGCTTTACACCGGGCAGCGCAGAAGCCGAGCTTGCACGCTCGTTTCTCCACCTCCAAGTCTCTGGTCAAGGGCCGTACTACGGACAAGCTTATTGGTTCAAGAGATACCACGCGGAGAGGCTCCCTAGCGCAGTGAAGCGCTATGTTGAAGAAGCGAAACGTGTGACGGGTGTGCTTGACAAGTGGTTGGGCAAGCAGAAGGAGGCCAACGACAAGCATGTTGGGGATGGTCCCTGGTTGGTTGGCAACAAGATGTCATACGCTGATATAGCGTTCATTCCTTGGCAAAAGGCGGCACATACAGTACTCGTTGATGAAGGGTTCGACGTTGATGAGTTCCCAAACGAGAAGCAGTGGCTTGAGCGCATGATCTCAAAGGAGCCCATCAAGGCTGTTCTGGATTCTGCAGATGAGCAGATGGCCAGTATGTCGAAGAAGTGAAGTGATTTGGACATTTCGATTCGATTTATGTATATTGTGACAGAGCAATGCAACCAAGCAACTGCAAGGTTTTGATCTAAATTTATTCGGTATCTAGTATCCTTGCTCTCTCTCAAATTAGGCCCACAGAAATATGTGACTAGCAACCATGGATATGTGCACAAACAGAAAATAACATCATCCCAAACTCATCAGCAGATTGCAGCCACCGCTCAATTCTCTCCCGCCGGGCGTCTGTTCCAGTATCAGCAGACCTCCACAGCTCTGATATCTCGAGCATCGTATCCTCCCAGCGAGACAAGTGGCGATTGTATTCTCTTTCCCAGACGGCACGATCTGAAGCTTCCCAGAGTATTTTGCTTTCCGGGGCCATAATCCCTCTCAATTCTTCAGCAACGAAGTTTGGCAGCCCAATCTGGGTATTGTAGACGTTGGTAAAAAGATACATAGTAAAGAGGGTACGACGTTTGGCAGAGGCGACTATCCATGACTCCCAGCTCGGCCGGGTCTGAGATTCTTCTGCTCTGCAGGTGAGACCTGCTTTGGCGGACCGGAAAGCAATTTCTTGTAATTTTATCTGCGTTTGGGTATCGAAGTTGTTGGGTTCTTCGACGGTGTCTGGGCGGGGGAAGAAATGGATTGTCATGGAGTAGATGAGATACGCCTGGAACGAGCATAGGCTATCAAAGTCACTTCGAATGGCATCCTGTGTAATATTAGGCAGATATGCAACGAATAATAAGGTGCCAACATACTTGGTTTTCAATATTCCTCATCTCTTCCCGCATCGTCCTCAAAATCAAAGGTTCACACCCAGGAATCCGAGTCAACCATGTCCGAACCAGGGTGAAGCAATAAGCCAAGACAGGCGGACAAGTCCCCATCTGCTGCATCGAATGAACAAAAGGCGGTGCCTTTGAGTTAAGTAGATTTCTAAGATACGATTTCAACACGCAGGTGAGATACTGTATGGTGTGAGCATTCAACTGCTTGGGTTCTTGGCCCGTCGAACTCGAGATGTAGGGGCGTAACCAGCGATCGCGAATTTCCTCTGCATCGGTCATGGGAACTAGATCAATTTGATGGAAGTCCAGGCCAGCAGTGGTATCTGGACGAATTGGTCCATTATCCGTAATGGGGTAACTCGGGGCGTGAGATATATTCCCAGTGCTTCTGACCAAACCCTCTGGCAATGTGGAATCCGGAGATATTGCATAAGAAATGGTACTGAGAGGGCAGACATTCACAGTGGCGTGTTGATTCTCTGCACTAGCAGCACTTCTTGATTTGACGTGTGTTGGATATTCACAACTCGTGCCTCGATCTCTGCATCGCTTGCATTTCGGTTTTCCGAGATCACAGGCAGTTTTAGCTCCCACACATTCTCGGCATGCCTTTCTTCGCGCAGTGCGGAGAAATCGAGGTGAAGCAGGGATTAATGGCTCGTATCTATCTGATTCGTCCATATTGAAGATGAAATGGAATCGGAGGAGAGTTCGGAATTCCGGCAAGGTTTTCGGAGTTCCGCACTAAATGCCAAGCTATGAAGTCATGCTGGGCACCTCTTAGTTAACGCTTAACAGTAACTATGTACACAGGTCACTTTGCATTCTTTTGGGTATGTGGTTTCGAAAAACACGCATTGTTTGTGTATCTCAAGCACTTACTGTGTGACGCTAAAGTCAGGTTCTTGTTGCCTAGTACTTGATCTCATGGTTTAGACTCTTATCATTCACGAGTTATTTACAAGAAACAATTGAATGCTCCAAGTTGAAGGTGTTGAATTAACCTTAAAAGGCATGGCCACTGATATTGAAGATCATTACGGAACTCCGAAGCAGGTCTAGATTCCCGCAACTATAAAATCCACTGCCGACCTCACCCAACAACGCTCTTTCAACAAAACCAACAATTACAATCACAAATACAACTCCACAACCCATCGAATATGTCTCAAGTCTACACAACAGACCATTCAGTCTCGGTCCTCCGCACGCACAGCTGGCGCACAGTCTTCAACTCCGCGCCATACCTCCTGCCACACCTAAAGCCAGACATGAAAATCCTGGATGTAGGCTGTGGACCTGGCTCAATCACAATTTCCCTGGCAAAACAGGTCCCATCCGGACATGTCATAGGTGTGGAGTACGTACCTGATCCACTAGAAGGCGCTCGTGCCCTTGCGCAAGCCGAAGGCGTGTCCAACATTACCTTCCAAGAGGGGAACATCCACGACCTGCCATTCGAGGATAATACATTCGACGTGGTACATGCCCATCAGGTTCTGCAACATATCGCTGATCCAGTTCATGCGCTAAAGGAAATGAGGCGGGTCGTTAAGGACGGCGGCATTGTTGCATGTCGTGAGTCGGCAGAGCTGAGCTGGTATCCCGAGTCTGCGGGGATCGCTAAGTGGCGCGAGATTACCGAGCGCATGCAAATTTCTAAAGGTGGTCATCCACATCCCGGGAGGATGATTCATGTTTGGGCACGGGAGGCTGGGTTTGACAAGGAAAGAGTGAAGAAGAGTGCGGGGGCTTGGTGTTTTGGGAGTGACGGGGAGAGGGTGTATTGGGGTGGATCTATGGAGGAAAGGGCTAGATCTTCTGGGTTTGCGAAGAATGTTGTCGAGGAGGGCTTCGCAGAGTCAGAGGATTTGGAAGTTATTGCAAGGGGATGGAGACAGTTTGTGGAAGATGAAGATGCCTGGTTTGGGTTGTTGCATGGGGAGATATTGTGTTGGAAGTAAAGATGGAACAATTGTTGCCTTTAAAGGTGGTTCGCATTTTCAAAAAATGATAGTAGAGAAATATCTCGATGCAATGCTAAGTGATAGCAACCTAATGATGTAAACCTTCGCAAAATGCAAGCCTCAATCCCAGCAAAAAAGATTGTGAATCTTAGAAAAACGATGGACCGATGAAAGACCTTCAAGCAACAGCCCATGGGTGAACACAATCACCAACCGCCATCGTCTGACTCATGAGCCTCTTCTTCTTCATCTCGACGGCCCTGCTCGTAAGCATCTTCGCGATCTGATCTATCCGAGTCCTCGTCTAAAAAAATAAAAAATTAGCATGCGCAAAAACAAGCCATTCAACCCAAACAGAGAGATCACATACCAAGCTCGTGTGCAATCAAAGCACCACCGATACCGCCGACAGCCAAACCAGCAGCACCAGCTGCGAGATACTTGCCAGCATTGCTGCTCTTCTTCTCAGGCTCGGGCTGCTGATAGTAGCCAGCGCTACGATCATCGTAAGACACAGGTGGAGGGCCCTGGGGAGGCGCATAGTAGCCTCCTTGGGGCTGGGGAGGAGGAACACTGCGAGAACCATCATTGTAACCAGAGTAGGCAGGCTGCTGGTAAGGCGCCTCCCACTGGGAGCGACCAGTAGCCTGCTCTACATAGAATGCGCGACGAGTACTGGGCTCCCATTCCTGGACCCAGCCCTGGGGCAGGGGAGGCGGGGGGCCTGGAGGGGGACGGGCTTGAGGCGGGGGTGCACTGTATGGGCCTCGGTCGTATGCTGGGCGACCAGCGTCGTAGGGGGGACGGTTATATGGATCTTGAGGAGGGCGCGCATAGGGATCAGAAGGTGGGCGCCCGTAGGGGTCGTATGGTGGGCGATCTGAGGGAGGGCGAGCATAAGGATCGCCGTAAGGTGGAGCGTACGACATAATGAATGGTGATAGAGAGATGAAGGAGGGAAGAGAAAATGAGGATAACTTAGAAATGGGGGAGCGAGCAGGGCTTTTATGGGAAAGAGCGCGAACTGTTGTAGACCATCACCTTCCGCCCAGAACCGAAAGAGACAACTCCACAAATCTGTCCAACACTAGAATGATGCCCCCACTTCTAGGAGTTACATGTTAGCGCCCAAGTTCACGTCTACTCCGATTAGGCAGATGCGATATAAAGTGCAGCACGAGCCCCTGGAGCTGACAGGCCAGATTGACAACTCCATCGCCTTGCAGGGCTCAGCCAAATGACCGATTCGATTTCAGCATGCCAAGTGACCCCTATCCAATGTTAGCGTGTCACAATAAGCCGTATATACATACTCCGTACAGAGCACGGAGTACGGAGTAGAGGGGTTGCTTTACAGATCAGGAGCGACTTTGCTCCACTCGGGAGCTTGACTATTTATTTCCACGGTTCGGCCTTTGGATAATTCGTATAAAAAGGGGTCCATAACGATGTACTCCGTGCTCCATACTCCGTATACAACCAAATAATAATAAGTCCAGGGAAAATATCACCCGCAGTGGAGAGTTCCCCTCTATAGGGGGGCCATTAAGGATTGCGGTAAAATCAATATGTCGTGTGCTACTGCCAAGCCACGATGTGGCTTGTGGCTCGGACAACCGAGCTGTGGAAAACACAGCCACTGACTGTCACACACGTGGCTGGTGGAGATAGGCCTCAGTCACACACCATCTTTCAGTACTGCCAGCGCGTCGACTCGATGATCCCGGCAAAGACATGAAGATTAAATTGAACCATGGCTGGAGACTCCCTCGTCCATTCTTCCAATTCGCGATAATTCGCGATAATTCGCCGACAAAATCAGGATATCTTCCCGTGCCGGTTTCCATTCACACCAAAGACCAGCCGTCGTAACAGAGTCCCTCCGTCACCGCACCCATTTCGATGCCTTCATGCTATGACTGACTCCTCATATATACAAGTGGAAGATATATACCATCCTGAGGCAGATGTTGAAAATTCCGAGGACTATGTACCCGGCGGATACCACCCAACTCTCATCGGAGACACCTTGTGTAGTGGCCGTTACACCGTCGTCCACAAGCTTGGTTTTGGTGGATATTCAACGATTTGGCTCGCCCGCGATCACCAACGCCAGCGCTATGTATCCCTAAAGATACTGACTGCAAGAGCATCGCCAGATAACCACTTCCCGATGAAGAGCGACCTCGCTCATTCTGGAAAGCGATTCACTCCATCGCTACTAGGTCAATTCTCGTTTCATGGTCCAAATGGACATCATCGGTGCTTGGTCGGAGAGCCTGCTGGTGCCAATGTTGCTAATCCCAAGGAGGACAGCCCAAATTCATGTTTCCGCCGGACGCTGCTAGATCTGCTGCCGCCCAGCTCCTCTTAGGGTTGTCTCAATTGTATGCAAACGGCATATTCCACGGAGGTGGGGGTCATTAGGTTGTGCATCCCGGCTTACTGATCCCGCATACTAATTACAAGCAGATCTTCATTTGCGCAATTTTCTCTTACGCATACCGAACTTCGACGGCCTAACCACATCTGAGCTATACAAGCGTTTTGGTACAACCACGAGGCTCCTATCATACGACTGGGTGGAAAGCGTGGTGAACCCCACGCACCACCCTATGCCATCTATCCCATGGCTTTGAGCATGCCTGCCAACGAGTTGGATGACCCGGAAATCATCATCTCGGACTACGGGACGTCCTTTATTGTGGCACAGACTCCCTCACCAACTCTCCATACCCCATCTCTCTACTCTCCACCAGAAGATTTATTTAATGAACCCATCATTCAACCCACCGCAGCTGATATATGGACACTTGGTGTTAACTTGTATGAACTCTTAGGCGAGCGCGTACTCTTCGAAACATTTGCCTGGGACCGAGATGACATTATCGCCGAAATGGTCAATACGCTGGACCAACCGCCCATGAGATGGTGAGACTCTTGGGCGAATCGTTCCGAACTCTTCGAGAAGGATGGGTCATGGGTCGCTAACTTCCGCCGTATCAGCACTCCCGTCTTCCGGCCTCTGCGTCAGCGACTTTGGGACATGGGCCGTGGCGAGACGGAGCAGACGTGTCAATGGGACGTTGCAGGTGGTGAACTACGTGCGTTGGAGGACTTCCTCAGAGCTATGATGACGTTTGAACCTGCGGAACGACCCAGGCGGACCAACTCCTCAGGTCCCAGTATATGGTGAAGTGGGCATTGCCCGCGTGGGAGAGGCAGAAAAGTGCTTATCCTAGTAGGCCGTAGAGCGGAAGAAGAGCCAGCGGATATGCATTGTCCTAAGCTACGCACAGGATAGTGTGAATATTGTCATAGCCTGAGATCGTCAGGGGCTTGGAAATAAATGAGCCGTTTCCTAAGGCCAAAGTCTAAGTGATACTCTTTCGATTCTTGTAGGCTGATCAGTGGGACCGAGGGAAATGCCGAACTGTCTTTCGTCGTTCTGTTGAGTAACTAAAGCACTCAGGTCGCATAATAGCAGGCAGCCAGGGGCTCTACGAGCACCGCGATGATCGGCCACGGATGGAGCATTTCCCGTGATTCATCCAACGCGCGTTGCTAGAGCAGTTAATTATAGAAGATTCCCAGCCAGCAATACGAGATCTTGGGGATATACATCGATTATATTATTCCTGCTCACACTACGTGCACTACTACCGACTTGCATACCAGTAATAACATATCGTTCGAGGAAAGAGTGGAATTAAAGGCGTGTATTTATCAATGGCGCTCTAGCGCTGGCGATCAAAGGCGATCAATCAGCGGACAGACCTTTGACGGCGCAACCAACCCACGCTCGAGATCCCATCAGCGCGGGTTCATAAATATGCTCATCAGCCTGCGATAACACTTGATTTCGTACTAGGCGGGTAGAAGAACGCAGATAGGCTGAAGAAATGTTTAGCACATTGAAGCGAGACCGAGGACAGGGATAAACTCACGCAATGATAATATAGGCTGCAATCAAGAGGACACCCTCTAAGTAGTTGCTTCGGCCGTCCAGTACAAGGAAATTGACAACGAAGGTGGTTACAAAGAGACAAATTGTCTCGAAAAGCGTGAAGTACAGAGACATGTCCTTGTCCATACACCAGCCCAGGATGACGACCAGGGGTGTGACGAAAATAGCTGTTGGCATAGTCAGAATGTGCACACGTAGAAACATCATCAAAACGGATGGAATCTTACCAATTTGAATACTACTACCGACAGATACACCAATTGACAGGTCCATCTTATTCTTAGTCGCAACACTGACGGCAGTAACATGTTCAGCTGCATTGCCGACAATGGGCAGGATAATGAGACCAATGAAAGCTTCGCTGACGTTTGAGCTAGCGATCATATCGGGAATAGCGTCAACCAAGAACTCAGCACAAACGGCCACCAAAGCAGTGGACAGCAGGAGCATGACAACAGCAGCGGTACGTGACATTGTGGGTTCCGGGGCCTGAGAAGCTATCTCCGGACCCACGATATCATTATGCTCGGTTAGACGAGAAGCGCCACGGGCGAACTGTACTGCGTTTCCGGCCAGCGGAGGACGACTGGTATGTGCGGGGAGCGAGTTGCTGCGACAAATTCCTGGCCGCGAGGAAGTGGCCCCCATACGGGGTGAGCCCGCGGGTGACTGGGAGCTGAAAACAGTGTTGGAAAGCAGAGACGGAATAGGTCCGAAAGGAGACCGGCGTTTCCGGGGATCATCCACGCTTTCCAAGCCAACAACGTTAGGGGCGGATGGGAATCCCTTGAGGACCGGACGTTGATCGGAGGGACCGCTGTGTTCGGAGGCCTCGATCTGAGCCTTCTTCTCTGCTTTCTGGGTCTCGCGCCTCTTGTGATCTCGTTTCTTCGACTTCTTACTCGCTTTGCTGTCCATGCGGCTCAGAGCCAAACCAAAGTCGCGAGAACGGACTGCCGAAGAGGGCAGGATGTCGTCGTCGGCATCGTAACGAATCTCATCACTGAGCTCAATGGCGTGTTCATTGCTACCAATTGAATTGGAGATGGAACCGTGATTCTCATTGGAAGTCGATGCCATAGCCCTCTTCTGGAAGGAATTATGAGAGATTGTCCCTTTCGAGCTTGTACTTGACTTTCGGTGTCTGCGATACTTCATTGCTCTTTTGATCCGTTTGGCGGTGGTCCAGGAAGTTGTAGTGTCATCCGACTCATCACTGGAGCTAGATGACGAATCCGAAGAGCTGTTCATAAATTCTGCCAAAACACCAGGTTTGGATTCCTCGTCAATAATGGCCTGAGGGATACTGGCGTAGAGATACGAGTGTGTTCTGAGTTGGAAAATGATGTAGAGAATATACACCAACAGCAGAACGACACTGGTACCACGGCTGACTTTGAGTGTCTCGCGATCGGCATTATTGCTATCCGACCATGAGGCGTGGAAAGCAGTGGGCAGCAGGAGACTGACCACACTCAAACTGAGCAGACAAGCACTCATCTGAGTGACAGTACTGTTGTAAATCTGTTCTCGGAAGCGAAGGCCACCAGCGAGAAAAGCCATGCCCATGATTAAGAGCAGGTTAGCGAGAATCGAGCCGAGAAGAGAAGCTTGAACGATGCGAATCTCATTCTTGACCAAAGCGATGATGAAGATGATCAACTCGACTGCATTTCCAAAAGTGACATTGATCAGAGCTCCGATGGTGTCACCAAGTCGGCTGGCGACACTCTCCGTGGCATGACTGAGCAGTCCAGCCAGGGGAATGATGGCTACTGCATTCACCGCGAAGATGAGGGCTGGGTTGAGACCCGCGGCCTCACAGGCAATGCCGACCGGTACAAATATCAGCAAGACATTAATCCAGCTGTGGCAGATAGCATCCGCAGTATGGTGATAGAAACGGCCGGACCCGTTTCGCATACGGATCAAAAGACCCGGTTTGGTGTTGGTTTCCGTGACGGACCCCGGAGTGGGGTCCTCCACAGGTACATTCACTTGTCCATGTTGAGAAGGTTTTTCGGAATTAACAGGGTCGGCGGCCTGTTCGGAGGGAGACTGGTCTGGCAGGCCGCTTGAAGACGCGTGAGCTTTCGCCCACGAGTGAATCCGGTCTGCAAAAGGGAACATCGTTAGCCAGATACATAGGAGTGGAGACAAGATCTCGGGGTAGCTATAGCTACAGCTATAGCTTTGAGCCTCCTCTGGGAAACTACTTACGCATGTATTTCAGAGAAAAAAAGTTAGATGAAAGAAGGCAACAAGCCTTTGATGATGATAAGATAGTAGGAGTAGGTGAAAATAGGAAAGAGCGAAGAGTGAAGTCGACAGTTGACTTCTCAAGGGGCCAGACTTATGGCCTTGGCAGCTTGGCGTGATGATTCTCCAACGCCACACCTTTTTCCGTCCTTTTATCTCAGCCCTGCAGATCCTGATTACTCTTTCAAGGAATGTTTGACAACCGTTAACCTATGCAAACATTCCTAGCCTCGCGTTGTCTTTCGTCACCCTATACTATACTATCCCTAGCATGATGTCAATCCTGAATGCTGCAGGGGTTACTCTGTATTGGACCAATTGGACCAATTTAATCCAGCAATGACGCGCTATCCACGAATCTCAACATCATTGGTGAATTATTGTCGGGATCGACCATCAAGCCCCGTATTTGGGTGCTCTTATTATTGGTACTGAGGTCTTGTTTTCGCTTATTCTCCTCGGGTGCTCGTCACACCTTAGGGCGCTTTCTGTACACTCTACGGAGCACGGAGTACATCAATGTACAATGTGCGTTGGATGTATGCGCTGTCGTGCTTCATTGACCACTAGTCATTAAGTATTTTCAGAACGGCTCCACCCATGTCCGACTGTCCTACGGAGTACAACACATACTCCGTATCTCTCGATACATGGATGTACAGCTGTTGGTCTGCTGCGCCTCTCGTTGGTTTGTGGAGTTTCCGCCCCACAGGTACTTGCTGTTGTGGCTGTGTCACTAGCTATTGCCACAATCTGCCATCGTCGGACCCACTGGTGTTTTTCGAATCTGACTCACTGGTTGACACCGATAACTAACAAACTAACTCGCCTGCCACATTACGCAATCGTCGGCCCTGCACGTACCCAGAGGTAAGACCCTATCAGGTATCCTCGGATCAGTACGGAGTACATTATGCACGAATGATGTACACGGAATATGCAAGATACCGAAGAGACCAATAGGCAAGCCAAAAGAAAAGCAGCTATCGAGTACGGAATGCAGAGGGTAATAATGACAGTTGATGGTGTGTATAACAAAGTTCATGCTGATCTTTCCTGTTTGAAGAGAGCGCCTGCCCTATCAGCCGAGATCTTGACCGGCGTAGCGAACTCTTCTTCTCCCCCTTCGCCTGTCTAGAATTTGTTGATGCTGTATATACAAGACCATCAAGACCACCGAACTCTGGTTCAGCTACGAACTTGGGCCGACGACCGATTCCGACTCCACCACACAGCCTCCAAGCAGCGCCACAAAATACTAGGAAGAAATGCCTGCTCAGAAGTGTGTAGCTGACGGCACACCCGGCGCAGAAGCCGGAAGTGCCCACTGTTGAATCTATGGCATTGAATTGATGATCAACGATGGTGGGACTAAGTCAATGCCGTGGCTCCGACCGTTGAATATCGGTGTTGATCAGCATCGATATGTCGCCATTCGGGCTACGAAAGCTTTGCAATACCTGTGAATAACTTCCATTGATTTATTTTGAAAAACGAGGCCTAGAATTAGAGAAGGAATGAGCAAAAATATTCAATACATTGTCTCTTAGCACTAAAATATCCTAAGCCAAATGTATCCATCGGTCAACGTCTACAAAAGTTTGTACTTCGTAGCCGCGGCGATGCAAATGACCATGAATGCCGCAAAAGAACCGAGGATACCAAAAAACCACCCTAGCCCACTAGCATGCTGTCCCGGGACAGGAACGTTCATTCCCCACAAGCCCGTGACCAGGTGGCACGGCACGAAGATCGTAGCCAGAAGAGTGACCTTACTCAAACCAGAGTTAATAGTCAGACTCAACCGGAGATTTGTAGCGCTCATCTGGGCTAAATAATTCGCCTGGGACCGACCGATGATCTCATCGATGTGCCCAAGTGTCGACAACGTCGTGATTAGATGGTCCTGGACATCGCCGAGATATAGAAGTAGATCACGGTCAGGGAAAACAGGGTTCTTATCGGGGGATTGGCAGCGCTTCACGAATCCGTTCAACACGTCGACCTTGCCGCTGAGGCAGCGGATTATGTGAGTGATTTTCTTCCGGAGGGAGTCAATCTGCGGAACAAGAGCCTGAGCGTCATCGATGCGACTGATAAACACCTGATCCTCGATTGCTTCGGACTCGCGCTCCACCTCCCGGACAAATGGCCCAAAGCTGTCAATGATATCGTCTCTGAAGATCAATTAGCCGTGCATCCATTGAAAAGGGGGTTGCTGAGCGGGAAAATGGTTGAACACACATCATTGCATAGCAAACCCAGTTACTCGTCAGAATAGTGGGATCATGCATTTTGCGAATCCGCTCTCGCGCCCGAGCCACATGCCCACAACCACTAGGCGAGAAGGTGACCACGCCATATTGGAAGACAAGAATGTATAATGCAGCCGAGACGGGAATTCCCGGTCGCTCATTGACCTTGTTTACCACGAGGGTCTGAAACGAGATCAGGTAGTAGTTCTTGTGGACGTCGACTTTCTCCCGGGGCTCACGAATAGCAATATCCTCTGCCGTCAGGGGATGGATAGACAAAGCTTGTGAGATGGCATTGACATCTTGTTCGGTGGCGTCGCATATGTCAATCCACCAGATTGGCTGGTTGGGATCTGGGCGACTTTTAAGCTTCTCCTGGAAGATATGGTCAATGTTTTCGTTGGGGAAAAGACCATCCCATGTCGACGAGGCGGTCGCTTGTCGGGTTTTTGACGAAAAGAAGCTAAACCGATCAGGCAGTGGCTGGTCGATTTCCAGCTGCTTTTCTTGTTTGTTGTGCATCCTGAGTCAGAATAGAGGCGGGTGAGATGATGAATACCCTGAGCGGTTGGGCTGATGCCATCAGATATTGAGCGGGGTGTTATTTAGGGGGTGCTGCTCTGTTTTCTGGAAAGATCCAGCTTCCATGGATGAAGATAATGAATCTGTTCAGCCCATTATATGTTCTCGAAGAGGACTCTCAAGGAGATGGGATTGGATGGGGATTTTGATCCAGTGTATTCATGAAGGAGATGACCCGGGGAAAGAGGAACGGAGAGACCTCGGGAGGAACGGGGAAAGAGGAAGGAGCCCTTCAACCATGTACCGTGTCAGCCCTACCCGTTAGAGTCATGGTACGAATGGTGTACTAGTTAATGTTTAGTTACATGACTGTACATATATGTAAGACATTGTGATTTTCGTTCTAGACTTGCTAGGCATTTGTTTCAGGTTTATCTTTTACCTAATATACAGCAGGATTGCAAGAAATAATATGTTTCTCTATTCAAGATCTTATGACTAGAGATCTTCATTTAGTTGAAATAACATGAAACATTCAGATTCTTGAACTCAATAAGATACACCCAAAACGCCCTCGAAATCCTGTGCTTGGTGCACAATCCGACAAAAAAAAAAAAGAAGCGTCAATGCATTTTCGTGGACTCGGTAGCAGGGTTTAATAGTATTACACCCAGATGGTATCTTTACACACGTTAGTGATTGAACATAACCGAGCACATTGCATATATTCATACCATGCTCCGATCATTCAATCTTTGGTTTCCGACTGCCGAGACTCCAGCTCTCCTTCGGGGTCAAGGCTGTACGACTTGCGTAATCGCGGATACACCAGCCCAAAGAATACGATGACGGCTAGCAGAATAACAAAGGTAGGCAGAAACATGAAGATAAAGAGGAAGACACTCAACCCGAGGGTAAGATTCTGCCCACGAGGAAACCGACGGGCCATGATCTCGAGAATCGAGTACATACGGTAAGCCGCTAGGGACGTGAATAACGTGAATAATCGCCAGGAAAGAAAAGGTTTTTTTCGTGGGAAATGATCTCATGGCGCTCGGTCGTGCATGTTACCCCATGTACTTATAGCCACGATGGGAAGCGCCGGATGGGTACTATCCCCAACATTGTGGCTGAGAGCACCTCTTTCAGCAGAAAGCTGTATGTACTCCGTAATAGCCCGTACCTGCGGATTGTTGATGCCTGCGCCATCGCCGTCATGGATTCAAGTTTTCCCGCCTCCACTCTTGGCACCAATATTGTTCAGATACGTTGGGGAACTTTCACCGCAAATAGCGGATCTCCAATGAAATGTGGGTTTTCCTTGGAATCGTCGCAAATCACGAATTAGTGGCTTGGCATGGAGTTTTGTAGGCAACAGCATTTCACCCAACAGTCTGCCAATCCTGAGAGGAGATACCCCGGGAATTGGTTCTGGACCAGAGAACTGGCCCTTTCACGGGGGCTTTCTTAGGGCGTTAATGAACCAGAAGCTCTCTCTCTCCTGTTCAGCCCTAGCCAATTCCCGCCAATCCGACAACTGCACGTGCCCGCAGTGGACCCCACAGCGCATCCCTTGGGAACAGGGGAGTCCTTTAAGTCGCCTATATAGTGCCGGATTAACTCATTCGAGTATTTCCTTTGGCTTAAAAGGCAATTGCGATTCCCCTGAACATGTAAGGGGGCATGGCAGAGAAATGGTGAGAAATGGTGATCGTAAGTTGCTTATCATTGGATGGCAAACTGGATCCTCATGCAAATGAAATCTCCCTCATAGGGCTGAAGCTTGACTTGTGGGGCTGACTCGTATTTCCGGTAGCATAACGACTGTATGTAGGAGTCGGATGGGAACTGGGGAAGGCAATTGTGCAATTCAGGAATCTCAACTGGATATTGTAGTCCTTCGGGGGTTCAGGTAGCAGTTGAGTTGAAATGGTAGGGCTGTGTGGTCAGCAATGATATACCGTATACCCGGGTGGAACCAAAATAGAAGGAAATAGAAAAATACATAACTAACTAGAGTAATAATGTAATGGTGACAACCTTGAAGGGCAATCTCCCCACATTTTCCCTTTCAACTTTTGATGTGACGTGTTTGACCACTTGAACCACTCTGACCACCTGTTACCCTCCAATTGCTCTTCTCAATAGGCCACACCTAGCCAACATGTCCTGGCTCGCGGCCTATAGCAATGACGAAGATGATAACGATAACCTGGGCGTGGATTGGGTATTACAATATGAATTTGGCGACGTCGGTAAATCGCGTGGGATCCCCTTGGCCGTTTGCATATATACTAATGATCCTCAGATCAAGCCCAAGCTATTACAGAGTTTCGGACGCTGATCCACGATTTGGGCGAGGCTGGCCTTCGGGTTCAGGTTCGTCACGGCCACGGGGAAGCGCTATTAGTCTGCATTCGGGTTCCGCGGGATCATCTCGGGAATTTAGTACACCAGTCAAGGTAAGTGGGGTTTGGGGGTCTTGAATGTCATACGATTGAATTTTGGGGCAATTAACACTTCACAGAATCAAGGATTGGCTGTTTGGAATTACTCATACCTTACCGGACGGCGACGAGACAGCTATCGCCGACGCCGATACACCAGCCGAAGAGATTCGTTCGGTATACCATGCCGTCACCTGGCAAAAGAAAATAGGAGGCGCAGGCATCACGCCGGGTTTTGGAAAATGGAAGAACATCACCGCCTCGTTTCCCTTACACGATCAGGAGGCCTGCGCGCAAATGCTTCGTCAATGGAATCGAAAAACTGTATTGACGACTAGCGATCTGGATGCGATTCGAGCATTGTTTGGTGAAAAGGTATCCGTGACTGTTTTGGCTCGGTTTAATGACAAACAGCTAACCTTGTGCAGGTCGCTTTCTACTACGCTTTTATCCATTGCTATTCGTTATTCCTCGTGGTGCCCGCAGGATTGGGCATTCTTGGGTGGCTGTATCTAGGTCCATACTCCATTGTGTATGGAACTGTACTTTGTGCCTGGTGCGTTGTATTCGTCGAGTACTGGAAGATTCGAGAGGCCGATTTGAGTCAGAGATGGGATGTCAAAGGTGTTGGGCGACTCAAGGTAAATCGCAAGCAGTACGTCTGGGAGAAAGAGGTCAAGGACCCAATCAGTGGTCAAGTGAAATATGTCTTCCCAGGTTGGAAGCAGTTCCTACGCCAGCTGCTTTTGGTTCCTTTTGCTTCGGTTGCAAGCGTGGCCCTCGGAGCATTGATCGTTGCCTCCTTCGCATCGGAGGTGTTCATATCCGAGGTATACGACGGTCCATTCAAAGAGTATCTGGAATTCGTACCGACCGTCCTGTTTTCGCTATCCTTGCCCGCCATCACCTCGTTTCTCACAAGCATCGCAACCCGCTTGACTAAGTACGAGAACTACCGAACGCAGGATCAATACGATCTTGCCCTGACTCAGAAGAATTTCGTCATGAATTTTATCACTTCCTTCCTCCCCACGATATTGACCGCCTATGTCTATGTTCCCTTCGGCAAACAAATTGTTCCATACTTCGACATCCTCCGAAGAACGGGGCTCACGGCCGATATGGCCAGCGGGCACAAGAAATTCGAGGTCGATACAAGCCGATTCCAGCAGGAGGTGATATATCTTTCCATGACGGCTCAGGTACTTAGCTTCGGCGAGGAAGTTGTCCTGCCATATGTGAAGCATGTCCTGAATCAGAAGTGGCAAAACTATCGGGATGGAAAGGCCGAGTACAGCCGCAAACGGAAGCATTCCGCAACAACTAGCTCGTTCTTGGTTGACTCTCCAGACGAAGCAGCATTTATGAAAAGACTGCGTAGCGAGGCCGGCGCAGAGGAATACCATGTGGAGGAGGACATCATGGAGATGTGTGTACAGTTTGGCTATCTCGCATTATTTGGAGTTGCCTGGCCACTGGTTCCGCTCGGCTTCCTGTTGAATAATTGGTTGGAGCTGCGGGGTGACTTCTTCAAGCTCACGCTGGAGTGCCAACGACCACCACCCATCCGGTCGGATTCGATCGGCCCATGTCTATTGGGGCTAGATTTCTTGGCCTGGCTGGGGACTCTATCTACAGCGGCAATTGTGCATGTCTATCGGGGTCCTATTTCCGAGGTCCGGCTCTCCTCGCTTCTGTTGACTTTGTTCGTCGCCGAGCAGGTCTATCTGGGGATGCGATTCACTGCTTCTACAGCCCTTGAGAAGATTTTCTCGGATTCGATCCGAAGAGAAGAGGCTATACGGTATGCAGTGCGCAAGGATTATCTTGCTGCTAGTCTGGCGAGGAACTCCTCCCTCAGTTCCGGCTCCCAGGGCTCGCCGAACGGTCGCACTCGTCATCGGGTGCGTTTCAACGAACGAGTCAATGTATACAGCTCGAATGAAATAGAGCCGTCAATCGATGGCACTCCCTCTCCGACCAAAGAAGAGCCCTGGAATGATGTGCTTCGTGGATCCGACCGTGAGGCCCAGTTCTGGAGCGCTCATTCCGGGGATATGGCAGACGCAGGAGTCAAGCTAATACGTGCATTAAGCACACCCCACTCAGGGGATGTTAAATCTTCGAAAGAGGCATAGATTATCTCGCCCCTATGTATTTTTAGACCATATTTACAGTTTACATTAGGTCGCTGCCTAGGATTTTCTATGTAAAGATCGCCAGGTCCTTGGATTGGTTGGGCTGTATCACCCAGTAATGTAAGTATTGGGAGTTGAGGGATCATGCCTGTGGCTCATTTCCACTCAATTTATTTACTAGCTAGGTTTTTTTGTACAATATTATACCGTAGACGTTCACGGACAATGATCCCCTGCAAACCGAAGTATATGTTCAGCCCTATAGGGCTACGCCAAGGCGGGTGTCTTGCTCCACCCGTGAACTCTCAAGACCCCGGATGATTCCCTGGTCTTACGTGCTTGCGTGTCTTTTCTTCTTCGAAACTTTGTCTCCTTGTCCCTTTGTATCTCCTCCTGTCTTTCTCCCCCTCCTTGCTGTCAATTTAATCTTCATTCAACCCTCTAAACTCGGTTGTACAGAGCATCGGCATGGATGGCCCCGTGTGAGCTTCTCCTTCCTACGGTCACCCGCATACGACTTTTACAATGGTGACCCCTACCACCTCCTCTGACACCTTATTCACCCCTCCATCTCCCGTTCACCTCGCACAGTCAATTTCCAAGCCCACGACGATGGCCACGGAAATGGACTTACTATCAACGGCCGAGTCCCCACCACCCGTGGTCCCGAAACTCATCCGTGAAGCCAGTGACATCACATGGCAGGAATCCCTGGAATCCAAAAAAACCCAGGTTGTGCTAGTCCGGCGACGTGGTCGATTCCGTCTACTGCACCAGCAGCAATTCAAAAACAGCTTGCTCGCCAGTGTCGGGTACCTTGAGCTAGCCAACGCCGGTGACTTCGCTGCCAACGTCTGGAATCAGACCCCCGTTCCGAAGTTTGCCGCTGTGCTCATGGGAATTGGTGGTACACTAGCATTGGGAATGGTGTTGGTTGCTATTCATGATTTTCGGCTGAGCTGGATCAATGTCAAGCTGCTGCGAGCGGAGCGGGCTCACCTACAACGTTTGCGGAAATACCACTGCAAGAACGCAGAACTAGCCCGGCTCATTGACAGCCGGCTTGGGGTTGGAGTCCGTGAAATTGGCACCGAAGTGATTGACCGGATCGTGATGGATGTGTTGATGGGGTTCGGCTCGTTGTTGGTCGGTGTTGGCACTTTGATGGCGATTGGCGGCGCCAACCCCCATGTCTTCAAAGCTAGTAATCTGCTGTCTGGATATATTGGGAATGGTCTCGCTGCAGTGTTTGGCCTTTTCAATGCCATCTGGTCTGGCTATCTCTTCCATCGATTCCATGTGTACAACGCTGCTGTTTTTGCCCGCGAGCCGAGTGATGATATACGTCGCCGTCTACATACCCGGTTCCGTGGATTCCAATGGCATGCCATTGTCAATGGGTTGAATGGTCTTGTTGCTGGTGCCGCTTCAATGGTCACTGCCGAGCGTTGGTGGGGATACGTTGTCCTGATCCCGTGTATTATTTCTTTAATCCTATGCAACTATTTCTGGCGAAAGCAGCTCGGCTATGATCGCCCACTCTTTGGTCATACATCACCAACAGAGCTACCGCTCATTGAAGATCTGCAATATGTGATTGTAATGCAGCGCGCTCTCGCCGACCTTGAACATTCCCTACCGCAGGCTATTATCCATCCCGGCTCCTTGGACTCGATTCTTCACTTCATTGTCCGGGAAAATATGCTTGAAAAATACTGCGAGTCCCTCGCCCGCGACAAGACCACCCACCATCTTCTTGCCTCATTTCCATCTCTCAACACCTCTCCGGACCAAATCACTGTCTCCCTCGACACCCTCTTTCGCCTTCCTCCCATCCATCTAGAGCTCATCCTGGAGCATGCAAAGCGATTCCTACAAACAACCGGTGTTCGTGTCTTCACATATCGCGAACGACACCTGCTCGAACTTCTGGGTCATGCTATCTCTCAAGATCACAAAAAGGTCATAACAACCACGCAAGATGACAGAATAGAGCACGCTTAATATCTTCGAAACATGATTCTATCGCCGCTCCCCGACCCACCTTAGGGCCTATGGTATTAAAGCGAGCTGGCTGGCGACTGGTCGCCGGTTAATTCTTATGTTATTTCATATTTGCATTGCGTTGTCGGATTTCGTTCACTATTCTCCTAGAAATGCTAGACTTGATTCTTTAGCATACAGTAGGTATTTTGTTCCTAATACATTGGAGATTCACTTTGATAACCTTCATATTCATATCATGCTTTCGTTCACTCACAAAAGACAACGGGAAAGGTGCCTTGGCTGGTTCAATTCATTCCCACGATAGCTATCTACCTGGGAAGAAACTTAAAGCGCTATAAACCCCCAACTAGATATATCCCTCTCTTCCCTCTTCTGGACTTCTCCCTTCCATTTCTCATCACATTTCTGCGCAACCGAACACGCCCACGTAGCATAGTCCCCTTCTTCTATCCCATCTGCCCCTCTCTGTCTTATGCTCTTAACCTGAGCTTTCTTCGTCGATAATGACTCATATAGGCATTCGGGAATAGCGACCGGCCGGCAATTTGAAGAATAATCAGGATATCGCTCGAGTATGGGAGGTATCTGAGCATTAGAAAGCACGCCGTATTTCCGTAAGGGTATTATAATAGATTTACTCTCGCCGAATGAGAATGTCGGTATTGCTCTCCTGCTCTATTACTTTCGCAGTCCAGATATTACCCAGGATGAAGGGGGTCCAAAATAGTGACCAAACTGTGAATCTGCTAATCTCGCGGGGAGTTCGGGGGTGTCTGAAGAACTCGCTCCTTTTTCCGAATCCCCTCTTGAGTGAGAAGAATAGCATCGTAGAAAATTTTGTATGTTTCTGAGTTGTGACGGCTGGTTTGAGAGTGCGCTGACTTCAATCATACATATACGGATGTATGTAGCATTAGTACAATCCATGGGACAGTTGAAGTTTCCTAGGGCATCATGCTACTTTCCCTAAATAGGCGCTTGGTCACATGGGCCGAATTACAGTACTCATCATCGTAGAATATGTTCCTTATTTCTTCTTTTTGTTATGCACATTATCCCAATATCAACATCAACATCAGAAACCAACTGTCAACGGCGTGACAAAAAGCCTAGAAACTAAATAGTCCGCTCCGGGCCTTGCCGTATGGATAAACCACCAGTGCGGAAATGAACAAACCAATCGTAATGCCAATAGCCACCTGGATCATGCCAAACCCTAGACTGAATATAGAATTGGATTGCAAGCCAGCGCCGGGCGCTGAACTACTGCTACCATGAGACCCGACGCTTTGACGAATTTCATCCGCGGACTGTACACCCGAGATCAGAGATCCCGTCGCAGCAAGTCCAGATGGAACCAGAATGAAAATTCCAGGCAGAATAGCGGTCGCGGCATGGCCATGCCAGAGCCGACTGTACAGATTTCCCATGATGCCGATGACAAACGCGCCGACTGTATTCGCTACCTGGGAGTTTGATCCCAGTCTCTTCGTGCTGAAGTAGTTGCTAATGTAGCCCGCCATTGCGATGATGATCATAGGTGGAAGCTGTTTCCATTTTCCTTGGTTGATGATCAAAAGCCAGACTGTCTGGATTGCAACGAAAGGGAAACGTTGAACATATGGATTCTTAAAGGCTCCCTTGTCTGGGCAGGAGGTGTCGGAGACCGCGTGGTTGTCCATCAGACCGTAGATGGTTGTGCCAACGGTAATTCCATATCCAATAAACAACGAGAAGAGGAGAGCATAGACCATCCGAATCGAGCCAGCGATGATCTGATGGGATTGAAGTTCCAAGCTACTACAAAGAACAAGGAATCCTGGCAATATCAATGCAATCGATGATTGCGCGATGGCGGAAAAGCAAAAGAGGTATTGTGGCTTGCCATTCACGACTCCAAGGGAGATACTACCGAAAGCGCGGGCGAGGAAGGACGTCACCACTGTCGATGTCACTTCAAAGACATTTGAATACAACACGGAACGAGGCGCGGCGACGTGTTGCATTAAACCGACAAGTATACCATTGAGAAAAATGATCGGCATGTCAATCGGCCTGGCACTAAAAGCGAAAGGCCCGACTGTTGCAGTGGCCAACCCGTACACCAAGATGACGATGAACTTGTGATATATGGGCTTTTTCTTGATGACCGCATCGAGTTCCTGAATTGCTTCTTCAATGCCGATCACATCGTGGATCACATTCTTGTAGATGAGATGTGTGTCCGATAGGCGAGCTAAATCAACTCCCTGGGCTACTCGAACCATCTTCACCTCTGTCGTGCGGGTAGATGGATCGTCGAACGACATTATCATGCAGCCTGGCAGATACAGGTATTGGCTATCAACCTCCAATACCTTTGCGGTCATCTGCATGTACTCTTCAAGCCTGTGTGTGGGAGCACCAAATAACATCAATGCTTTGCAGAGCTGCATGATATACCGCTGCCGACAGATAATTTCTGCAATGTGCACTGTCACTCGAATCTCATCCTCAAGCCGCATATTGCGATTTCCACCACCGCCGCCACCGCCACCCTCCTTGTCACGGCGCCTCGAGGCTTGCGATAGGATTTCGCTTGAAACAGGAGTGCTTGCACCACTGAAACTATCTGCGCCCCCACCAATCAAGGTCGAGTTCGACGTATTCTTGGGCTTTTTGTACCATTTCACTGGCTTTTGCTTCTTAGGTTTTGGTGTTGGGGCCCCGCTGGGGGCCGATTCTGCGCTGCTAGATGAGTCAGTTGATGTTCGAGACTGGCCTCCAGCACCTTGTTGCTGACCACCCTGCAGTTTGATCAACTGCGACAGGATCCCGCCGCCGCCAGAGCGATATCTCAAGCTCGCATCTGCTCCTGTCTCATTCTCTTCGTCTTTAAATTCGTTGTCGGGGTGAGGATAAGGTTTCCCACGGCCTTTGCGGCGTTTTTGGGAATGGTCTTGCGTCAGATCTCGCACTAGACGATGGGCTTCCGAGCTAGTCCCTTTCTGGTCGCGCTGCTTCGCCTCCACACTTTTGTGCTTGTCATCTGTCACATCAGAGAGTGGAGGTGCACCACCGGTCGCCCAGTCCGCGTGATATCTCCCGGATGTTAAGTCGTCTCCCTCGGCCTGTGGGCGACCCAGACGGTCACCGAACTCTGATGCTTTCCGTCTGAAATTCCTGGTCGCAGTTCGCCATTTCTCCAGTGTGGATTGCTGTTCAGAAGTCTCATGTTCCTTCTTCTCGTCTTCCTTCTTCTCACCTCCCGGTCGCTTGTTCTGGTCTATCCTTTGGACACCTGACTCGCTGTCCGTCTCACTCGACTGTGGCTCACGATCTCGCTGTGGTGTATCGGCAATATCCTCAGACTCATGGGAGTATGGCATTGTCGGCCGATGAGGCAGCCCTTCATGGTGAGCCAAATCCCATTCTTCGCGAAAAACTTTTGGCGGTTCGTCATGCTTGGCCTCCTGTATGAAACCCGCATTTGATCGAAATCGAATATGGGGTGATGACTCTTTCTCTTGTGGACTGGTTTGGGGCGCATCCTGCCAAACTTCGGACGAGGTTGTATTGTCTGGGTCCGAGTCATCATTGAAGCTGCTGATGGATGCGTCCGACATGAAGGCAACGCGTGGTTTTCACTCCTTCGCCAACATCTAGTCTCCGATCGTTCGGGGACGAATGAGTTTGTAGTTTGTGAACCTCTTTTCGATGAAGCTTTTGAATCATACAAGGTCTTTCGTCTAATGCTTTCAGGATCTTCGTGCCAAATTGGGCTATCATAATCGCTAGATGAGCTCACAGAGACGTTATTGGGGTAGACGTGTGAACCACGGTTGGCAATCAACAGGGAATTCATTTTCATGCAGTTCAAAGGAAGAAATCATCAACTCAACGGGACTCTAAGCCCTTTTCCCGCCAGTCATAGGGTATTGTTTGCGGGTGTCGCCTCGTCGGAAATCTATCCCACGCAAATCTCGGCCTTGTAGGTTCTCGCCACCTCACATATCCTAAATATCATTATGCAGTTGCTTTAGAAAGATAAATTAGCAGCCCTAGAGAACAGATTCTAACATTTTGTTCCATTGGCAATTCCCTGTCTCCGACGATTGCAGTATGGGATGTTGTAGATACGCAACTTTAAGCTCCATTTATAGTTACAATTTGCAGAAAGCGCAAGATTCCAAGTAAGAGACATACCAAAGCTGGAATTATTGTAAGTCATAGTTTGACGGCCTCATGAATATGACTCATGTATAATTTTGTATAGAACCTGCCGAGGTAATACTCATGGAGATGAAGTCTAACAAATAAGATCGGCAGGCAATCAGAAGGAGGCATACTTCATGCTGCATAGCTACCATTGGCATGGAAGTTTATATCAATACTACCTGGGGACCTTCGACCCAATGCAAGGGGTGTCGTGAGGAACCTTGATTGTGCCGACGTTCCACCGGTTACCACGTGGCACGAGTCTAGAGCATTAGAAACACATCATATAACACATCTGATTATTATTTTCCAATATCACATTGACGCCAATTGTGAGTGTTAGCTAGGCATTAACGATGGTAGGAGTCAAGATACAACCTAGAACATCACTTTGTCTGATCTGGATAGTGTACAGTTTGGTATATATTCATGAGATCCTTTAACGGTTCGAGCTACACAATGTTGTAAATCCAATTGAAGCTATTTAATACTGTTTTGTAGGATGGAGACCATGCAGCATATTATAATGTAAGCCTAGAATTCCACGAAATCAACAAATTCGGCGATACAAGGGGAGTTATAGCGATAGTATGCCTGAAGGTTGCGAATCCCGAGTCTTGCAAGGGGCGTCGATCACCCATGGCCCTTTCAGCCAAGATGTACCAACAAAGCCTATACATACATTCTTCATACAAGGTGATCGTGTGCATTCCAAGATCACCTGGCATGCTAATTGCAAGAAAACCTGACATATGACCTGCGATGGTTTTATTAGTATCCATTCATTCCCTTTTTGGTTTCTCTTTTCTGTCTAATTCGAGATTGAGGTTGTGGTTTGTGGTCGATCGAATATGAGGGGCTTCTCTTCTTTGGTTGCAATTGCAGCGGTTGTGTCTACAACATCAGGTGCCATTGTGCCTCTAGACTTGGTGCATGCGTCTTCATCGCACGCACTTTCATCTCCAACCGTTCATGCAAGGCCGTCAAATAATGACTACCCTTTTGATTGGGCGCTTGCATCTTCTTTGGCAGGTCTGACCGGGACATCATCCACTGTTATTGTTCATGACTGCGCATGTACCAAGGCTTCGTCTGTTATAGCAAATACTCTTTCCACGACCGTGCAATCTCCATCCAAGGCTGACGATACCTTGATGGCCACAAAGGTGGCTGGCTCCTCCTCGAATATGGCACAGGCTACTACGACAGCAGCCAGTGCTTCAACCCCATCGTATGTGTCATTTAACGTCTCATAGGATACTTGATTGCTGACAACCTGTCCAGTCCAATATCTCAAGTAGATCATTCGCCCGCGACAAAAACATGTGCTGCCCCTACCACCAAATCACCGGAGACCTACTGGCTGGACGAGCAGGACCACAATCAGCAAGGAGCAGGATTTGCTCCCTACGCCAAAACGTCGCTCTACCCGGTGTATCGCAATGTGATGGACTACTCGGTCGTCAATGATGGCAGCGGTAACCAAACTCCGAAGTTACAGAAGGCTATAGACGATGATGGGGCGGGCGGCAGTCGCAAGGGTCAAGGTGTCACGCGGTATCCTGCCCAGGTCTACCTTCCAGGCGGCGTGTACCAGCTTGAAACCACTCTCAACCTGACTGTTGGTACGATAATTGTTGGCAATCCGTTGAACCCACCCATCATCAAAGCTGCACCAGGTTTCCGTGGTGACTATCTCATCATGGGGTACGATTCAAACAATGGCAACCCAGAAACCAGCTTTGCAACGCTTGTCAAGAATGTGATCGTTGATACGACAGCCCTCAGCCCGGACCGCCACTTCACTGCTCTTCAGTGGGGAGTTGCCCAAGGGTCGGGGTTGACAAATGTCAAGATTCGCATGCCAAAAGATTCCACGGGTCACACTGGGATTGATATCAATGCCGGGTCAACAATTGCCGTCACGGATGTGGTAAGTAATTCAGAGAAGCCCAAGAAGAAGAAAAAGCAGCCTAACAAAGCGTAGGATATTATTGGCGGAGCTATCGGGATCAAGAACTCCAACCAACAGGTCAACTTCAAGAACATCTATTTCCAATCTTGCAAAACAGCATTCTCCGCGGCAGGTGGGTGGACGGTGTTGCTCCAACAAGCAACTTTTGATAGCTGCGGCACTGGTATCGATATGACTGGAAATGGACTGGGTAGCCTAGTGCTTCTAGATTCCACTTCCACGAACACGGGACCAGTAGTCAGATTCTATGACTCGTCCCATGATTCAGGAAACCAAAATAGTCAGTTTCTCATTCAGAACCTCAAGCACGATACTTCGAACGCTATCGCGGTCGACGCTCAGGGCAAAGTGGCATTGGCCGCTAATGCTCATGTCGACACATGGGTCTGGGGCACTGTTGTTCCAGAAACCTACCAGACTGGGGTGAGCTGGGAAACAAAGCGGCCGGCCGCTTTGCTGGTTGGAGACAAATACTTTACGAAGGCCCAGCCCACCTATCAAGATTACAGCACAGCGGATATTGTAAATGTGAAGACCGTATCTGGACACACAGTGAAAGGTGACGGTAAGACTGACGACACCAAAGGCCTGAACGCTATCTTGGCTGAAAATGCCGATTCGTGCAAGGTGACATACATCCCCTTTGGTGTATATCGAGTCTCAGACACTATCTTCGTCCCAGTCGGAACTCGCATTGTTGGAGAAGCATGGTCTGTTATTTCTGGATATGGGGAGAAGTTCAAGGATTCCGGCAATCCGAGACCTGTCGTTCAACTTGGCAATCCTGGCGACGTCGGTGTGATTGAGATTCAGGACATGAGATTCTCCGTTGGCGAAATCCTGCCAGGGGCCAAGATCATTGAAATCAATGCCGCAGGTGCTCAGCCCGGCGATATCGGTCTTTGGAACACGATGGTGACGGTGGGCGGGACCGCTGACACAAGTATCTCCAGTGCTTGCACGTCGCAAAACCCCAAGGACTGTATGGCTGCGTTTATGGTAATGCACCTGACCAACAGTTCGTCCGCATATATTGAGAACTTCTGGGGATGGACCGCCGATCACAACCTTGATAGCGAGTCAGCTCTCACTATTATCTCAACAGGCCGCGGAATCTTGGTCGAATCCACCAAGGGCACCTGGCTGACTGGAACCGGTTCCGAGCATCACTGGCTGTATAACTACAACTTCCACAAAGCCCAGAACGTCTTTGCGGGTCTTCTTCAAACAGAAACACCGTATATGCAAGGCCAAGGCGAGTACCAGGCCGCACCAGCGCCATGGACAGCTGTCGCCAAATACGGTGACCCTGATTTCTCGTGGTGTGCTGCAGATGATCAAAAGTGTCGTACCGCGATAGCTACGAACGTCGACGGCGGATCCAACATCGCGCTGTACAACTCAGCTGCCTGGGCGTTTTTCGACGGGTACTGGAATGGTCTGTACAACATGCCTTGCGAGGGGAACTGCCAAACCAACATGATGCGGGTGACGAATGACCCTCAGAATTTGGTTTGGTACTCGATCAGCACGCGCAAGACGGATGTAATGGTGCTCGATGGAAAGAGCAATCCCCGTCAATCAGACCACCAAGGCGGGTGGGAAGCCATCATCCAGGTGTACGGCCAGTTTACAGCGTGACATCGTCTCATTGCATCATCATCACTGGACATATGCATTTTGTTAGTAATTTAAACCACAGATAATAATTAATGAAAGTCATTGCTTCTCTATTCCAATTTCCAGCATGTTCCATCCATGGCATTTCCCCTGTTTCTTTTTTTAGCGGATCGCCACTGGCAGTGACCACAGGTCATGTGGGCCCGCCTGAGAGTTCAGTAGGGTTAGCAGCCTGAGGCTACCAGCCAAGAGTTCTTGTGTGCCTTAAGGGTTTCAGTACCTTACCACTTCCCTTAACTAACTTACCCACTTCTCTCTTACCAGTACCATACTACTTTTTTATTAGTTATATAACCACCAACATCACTTGTCATATAACTACCGCTACCATAGTGAAGTACGCGATGTATATAAGTATAACCCTATAAGATAATATGAAAAGGTCCTAGAAAAGATGAAAATACGATACATTGAAGATGAAACTAACAGTTGTTCACATTTAGACTGTATACAAATGGTACTACACCCTAAAATCGAAGGAGGGTATAGATCTCCCTCAACTAAACGATCGTAACTAGTATATGTACAAAATATACCACATATTTCATACCAAAACGGAATGATCTAATCAAAGATACCGTACATTTCCAGACCAAACAGCATTTCTATAAGCCTAAACTAGGGGTATCAACGTGAGCATTGACCGCCTGACCAACGTGAGGTCTCAGGCGGGCCCACATGACCTGATCTCTCCCACTGGCACGTGAGTTTATGTGCTGCCTCAGGCCGACCGGTGGATAGATTCCGACCCGCATCGCCCCCGGCAACTGCGTCCATGACCAGTTATGATTCAGATTCACTTGGCTTCTTCGCTGCCCCTTTGCAATATTAAAGGCGCTCAAACCTGCTACATGACGCGTCATTGAAATCCCTTGGCTATCTTTGACTAGCCAAAAATGCCACAGGGGTCGAGATACTTTGAAATTGCGAGTGGGATTCATTGTCACAATTATACATAATGACGGACGCCGAGCAGGAGTTGACCCACTGTATCGGTAAGACGCGCTTTCATACCATTTGTCTACCACTTTGTGGGCAGTTGATCTCCAAGCCACCCCAACGGGGACGGTGCCGGTGTCTCCGGTGCGAATCGAGTTGTTGGGATCGCTAAGGCAGCAAAATACCCAAACATTGCTGCGATGTGAATTTTCCGGAGTGTGGGTTGTTGAATTGCTCACGAGTAGGACAAACCATGCTCACGCGAGAACATGAGAATCAAGCTCATAGAACATGCACGTCTAACTCTTGGTTTCCGGGGGTCAGGGACTGAAAGGGACTAGGGCGTTGAAACGGCTCCAATGCTTGCGCCTCATTACAAAGTGGACCCCAGGACCTCGGGATGATATAATTTGCCCAAAGCCGTCTGGTGGGATACCCTGTACAGGTCTCTAACACGGTACGGAGTGAGTACATAGCCCCTCTATCCCTGAATGGACCCTACGATCGACATCAGAATCATTCTTCACAAGGCTGAGCTCATGTCGCCACTGCCACCTCGGCTGCCTAGCATCCAGGCGCAATCAATCTCCGATGTTTCTATCTATAGGAGACTAGTGCCCATTGACCAAATATAAGAAGCAGTAGTTTCCCCCCGGATTTCCAGTTTATCATTTTAATTTACAATCTAAATATCCTGTTCCTAAATCACACAACACCCTTCCAATCCGTTCTTCTTTCTCCAATATGAAGTTCACTCTGATCTCCTCCGCCCTCTTCCTGGCCACCACTGCCATGGCTTCCCCAGACGGTGTTGACGTGAACTCTATCGTCTCCGATGTCACAGGCGTCGTCTCAACTGTCGTCGACGGTGGCCAATCCGTCGGATCCGATGTCGTCTCAATAGCCACCTCTATCGCCGAGGCCGCGAGCACCGGCGGTGCCGCTGCCATCTCATCCATCAAAAGCGAGGCGACCTCTATCGCCGAGGCCGTGAGCACCGGCGGTGCCGCTGCCGCCTCATCCATCAAGAGTGAGGCTTCTGCCGTCGCTACCGATGCTAGCTCCATCGGCTCTGAGATCACCAGCCGGGTTGCCACCGCCATTTCTGCTCAGACTACTCTTACCGACTCCGCCGGCTCGGCCACCGCTACCGAGTCCACTACCCTGACCAGCGCAGTGTCCACCACATCTTCCGACTCATCCTCCGCTGATTCTTCTTCCGGCTCCTCCTCCACTGATTCTTCTTCCGGCTCTTCGTCTACTGAGTCTTCTTCCGGCTCTTCCTCCACCGCGTCTCCGTCTAGCTCTTCCTCTGTCTCTGACAATGCGGCCTTCGCTCGTCCCACTGCTGTCGGCGCTGTTGCTGCTGGTATGGCCGGTGTCCTTGGTGTCATGATTGCACTGTAAATTGTTGATACCTCGCTCCATTGATTCTGGATTTTATTTCAGCCATGATATCCGCCACGCCTTTTTTCACGATTTTCCTAGTTGTCTCGTCATTTTCTTCCTAGCATCTGGGGACAGAAATTTAATGCCGGCGTTCTGAGGCTGTACAAATACCTCGGCTATTCCACAAATTCATTTTAATATGCTCATGGCGAGCATTTTATTACCAATTGAACATATTTTTTATTGATCCCACTCCCTAGCATACTTTGTCCGTTATATAGAGTGAACAAAGACATAACTTAAGATGCGATTAGAGTAAAGGTCAAGAGCGAATAAGGAAGTTAGAGTAAGCAGTAGTAATAAAGGATACCAATGACGAATACAATCTTGCACAGGTTTCACGGTTTAGACTAAAAAGACAGAAACACCCCTCCCCTCATCACAGCAGGGATATCCCTCGAAATATGGAGATAAAACACCGGCATATCGTGTCACCAGATCATTCATCCGTGTCAGAGAGCATTACATAGTCAACATATGCATGATCCTTCGGTCTCTCTGGTAGCGTGGTCACTGAGAGGCCATCAGCAACGGGACCCGATGCCAGGACGTTGTGAGAATCCACGTAGCTCACGAATTTATACGCTGGGTGTATAAAACTATCCCATAACGACAACGGCATTGATAGAAGACATAGAGAACACCCCTGAAGGTCAAAAACACCTTCGATGGTCAACTCGGGGTCCATTTCTGATAGCGACCTCTGCCACTCTCCGACCTGGCCGCGAACTGTTTTCCCAAGAACAGACACGGAAATAAGGACCCGAAACGTAGGTAAGTAATATATATATATATATTTATTTATATGTGTTTGTTCAATTAAAATCTGCTATGCAGCCGGAAAAGAAATTATAATTCCTATTCTTAAAAGTGTCTCTGTGGTGTCGGGTTCTCTATTATCCCGTGATTACTGAGACAATGGAGGATGGTTGTTGGTTTGCGACAGCCCATGTATTGAGGAGTATAGCGCAGCTTAGTACTTGGATCATTGGCTTGGGTACAGAGAGCTTCGTGAAGTCGGACAACAGTACGAAATACTGGTGGCTCAGCGTGTAAAAGTTCTGTCAGACGGGTCGTAAAATTGTTGTTTACATCGTAAGTGGGACCGTTTTGATCGGAAATCTCGTTGCCTGTTGCGAACAGGTACTCGGCGTAATTCTCACTGCGTTACAATATTCTTTGCAAGCTGTGACATGGCTGAAGAAAGTCTCCGGAGTAGGATTTATCCATGAGAACGAGGACATCTGCCTTCATCCTAAGATAGATGGAAGGCCACGAGATTATAACTGCATCAGGACTGCGTGTTCTACTGGGAGTGGATATCAGTAATGCTATAGGTACAATGGATGGGTTTTATTAGGGTCCATACCATATCCCGAACTTCTGTTCTGTTTCAGATACACCATGGCCGATATAGTGTATCACAAATAACGTGCCCCGATAGGGACAGTGAATATCAGTGTCCATTCCATACTTCTGACGGAGTTCAAGAATTGTGCGAAATATTGCCTCCGATGCAGCCTCCCTAGAGATTGAGGGAATAATCAAGCTAGCCGTGTCGAATCCAAATTATGTCCGAAATGTCTCAAGAAGTGCAAATTGAGGAAGGCTGCTGCCATTTAGACATGCTAGAGTCCGAACAGGACAGCCAGCTGAAAATGAAAGCAGTTACAGAAACGATAACATGATTTCACCAGAATTTAAAGATGGGAATGGTGAAAATGACGTGGGGAATACACTTCTTTTATCCCAAAGAGTAAAAATCATCCAAACACACCTGCGTTGACCATGTCTGTTAGGTTGTAGCTGCTATGTACATCGTGTAGACCAGCGAACTTGAGCTTGATTGCATTTGCCGACCACTTCCAACTCGTATTCCAAAAATGCCAAGCATCTGCTTCCAATTCAATATCCACACTTATACATCAGCCTCATTGCCAGTTTGAATTATTGACTCCAATCCGGTGGCAACATCGAGGGCCTCTACTATATAAATAATAGAAAAATTTGTTCAGTACTTCCCAACGTTGGTTTGATATGGATCGCCAGTTATCCATGGAGCAGGCTTTCGGACAATGGAGCAGCGCTAGACATGCTCATCAAACCCATTATCTCTTCTAGATGTTGGAGGGGCATCGGCGTTGATGGTACTATCTGAACCAATCAACGACTCCTTTCTGGCCGCATCTTCCTCGTTATAATCCTGACCAGGATTGATCATCTCCCAGCGCACCATACAAAGGAGTCGGTAGAATGCAGAGGCAAGAAGGGATCCGAGCAGAGGACCGACCCAATAGATCCAGTGGTACCCCGGAAATGAGCGGTTGATTACATCCGGTCCGAGGGAGCGAGCAGGGTTGAGAGATCCTCCGGTGTAGTAATCACCTAGTGTGAAGGATCAGCATAGGACGTTGTGGAGTAATCCGATAATGACCGTCACTTACCAATCAGTTCTGCAACAAAGAAAGCCAGACCAATTCCTACTGGAGCTAGATAGGTGGACTTATGCTTCACCACCGCCAACATGATAATGACAAACACAAGCTGCGCTGTCAAAAACATCTCAATGAAGAGTCCTTGTGAGATGGATGCGCCACCGCCGAGTCGTGTCGCGCAGTTGAGCGGGCCCGGGAATAGGGCACTCACCACGCCCGCCGCAGCAATTCCGGCGACCAGTTGCGCAGGGAATACATACAATCCCCGGAGAGGGGGCATGCCGCCACTCAGACAGAGAGCAAGAGTAACCTGGTGAATGTCAGCTACAAATCTTCTCATTCCTGGATGGTGATGACCATACCGCCGGGTTGAAGAGACCACCCGTGACTCGGAAAAAGGCCCAGACATTGACGGTCAAAGCGAACCCAAAAGAAAGCGCTGAATACAGCAAATTGGAAGTATTCGGCGGGGAGCCAGGTGGCGGCATCGGGGTATTGGACACCTGTGTACCCGCAAAAGAGAAGAAGAGAAACATGAAAGTCCCCACGAACTCGCCCAGCATGCAAAGCAAGTTGTACCGCAGCTTGTCTGGGAGCCGCAGCATGGGCAGCTGGCCCTGTTCACTGGAACCGGATGTCCCATTGAGCGTCGAGGCTTCGGTTGAGTGGCGTTTCCTGAACAACATTCTGAAGGGTAAGGGAGCCGGAATGAAGAGAACTAATTGAAGTCGGAGTTGACTAATGTCTCATCAGAATGAGAAAATCTCAGCCTCTTCTACTATCCATCTTTCTTTGCACTACAACCATTGTAAATCGAGACGTCACTACTCAATACGGAGGCGTCGCAACTGGACCATGTATGATCGATTAGCGCTTGACTCAACTGCGACGGAGCTTATTTATGGCAGTGGTCCGTCCCTTTTCCCAAGTGAGGTGGGATAGGCTCCTGTTTCCCCAGCTAGAGAATAATAAGGTTAGGGTTTGGTGGAGTCAACGTTGAACGAGAGTAGTATGCCTTCCGCAAACGGCTGCGGGAGTCTGGTGTCTAGATCTTCCCACACGTCATTTTCAATGGATTGTCCAATGGTCTATCTACTCCGTACGGAGTATAGGTGTCGATCTTCTCTGATTGGGCTAGCGTCTGAGATCTAGATCGACCGAAAGATCTCTGAACGCCTTTAGGGTTTGACAGATCGGAATTTACTATGCACGTTAGAGCTGGCGAATTAGAATCGCCGATGAAGGACTACCATGGTAGAGGCAAGCACAGTCTGTGTTTGTGGCCTCTGTCATTCGTTGGGTAATATCTTCTCCCCTGTGAAAATTTCCAGGTTGACGGCAGAAAAAGGAGGGAAAAGTCTTTGATGGCAGTGTCAGAACGGGTAAAACGGCATTGCCTCCTAATCCGTGTATTTCATATCATGTACTCCGTAGTACAGTGGGGTTTAATAAGTCTGTTCCCACCCGCATTTTCACCCATGAACATTGAAATATATATCTTTATATATCTATGCATAGCACCACCATACTTTACTCAATTTACTTCGAATTAAATAGGGTTGAACCCTATGCCAATCTCGGGTAAAATTTAAATTTAATATTTTGTATAATACCCCTTTGCCTTCCGTACTGCCATACATCTGCGCCCCATACTTAAAATCAATGAATCAATCTTCGACTGCGGAATAGCATCCCATGCTATCTTTATACACCTTTTGAATACTATCCAATCCTCCTCAGACCTTCCTATATATATCAGCTCAGGAAATAACTCAAAAAGTTTAACCTTTAGCCACCGCCATATAGGTTCAATCGGGTTTAAATCCGGTGAGTGCGGCGGCTACTCCTCCACATATATCCCGTGAGTTTCAAACCATTCCTATGTGATTTTAGTAGTATGGATCCGAGCGTTATCTTGCTAAAAGATAGAGCAGGGTCGATAGAATAGAAGTAGACCTTCTTCGAGAGTATCTATATAGGAAATAGTAGTATATCCTATCTTCTTCGATTCCAGGTTAATAATATTCTCCCGCCTCATAATAATCAACTCTGATCGACTCCCTAACCAGATTACACCCTAAACCATTTATGAAATATCTTTAACGTATGCCTTAGTATTTATAAGATCTTTTCTATAGCCTTCCGACCGAAAGCGCCAATACCATTGTGGTCTATAGTTTATTGTTCGTTATATGGAATACTCATCCGAGAAGACCTAGTTTTAAACGTTATTTCTAGACCACTCAGAGCGCCATTTTTGAATAAAACGATATCGTCGTCGAGCTAATTCCTTTCCGATTAGAATCTTCCTTTTTGTCCTATATTTTAGAAGACCGGTTAGCCTTAAAACGTTAATAATAGTAGAGCGGGATGGATGACCAGGTATAGCACAACTCAGCGTTTTATAGGACCAAAAGGGGTGCCGGCGGGCGAGTATAAAAAGTAAATGGCGAGTTCGATCACTAAAGATCCTTGGGCGACCGGTTCAAGGGAGAGATTTAACAGTATTGTGTTCTTTGAACCGTTTCAAAGTATTGTAAATCGTTCGGCGGGAGCACCTAAAATCGAGTGCTAGCTTTGACTGGGTGGCACCGGCCTGGTGGGCATAAATAATAGCTGAGCGCTGAGCAACAGATAGCTCACCTGATTTTGTACGACCTAAACCAAGGATATCCTTGGTTAATGCCATTGGGGGGTGTGTAGGAAGAAGAAAAAAAACCACGATGGTTGTTAGGGGGATAGCAAGTGGGGCAGTGGGAACAGACTTTTTGAACACTATGTATGTTGGATAGTCCTAAGGAAGTATCCAGGCGGATCTTCTGACTCTCAAGGTCACCTGGACAATCGGGTTTATTAAATGGCTCGGCAGAAACCGGGCCGTTTGGAGCCGACGACATTCTCGCGTGTGGCCTGACCACGTGTATGACGACTCAACATACAGAATGGTGTAAGTTGTATACAGAGAGAAAAAAAGACCCTCATCGACGTAGATATTTGTCTCTCTGTTTAGAGGTCGCATTTGGGCATCTTGAATGAATTGAATGTCCTCGTCAAGACGTGTTCTGCCAGATCATGGCAAGCGGTGAGACGGAAGAGCAGAGTCTGCCTTCAGGAAGATGGAAGGAATGTCACAATGAACAGAGAGCTATTCATTATCGACTTCATTTTCATGAGCACGAAGACTCATCACCTCGTCTCGCAAATATTAGGATCTAGATCGACGAGGACTAAAGGTGGGTCACATCACCTATCATACAGCTTACATAGTGGATGACTTTCTGCATGTACCAGGAATATAAAACATGCGAGACAATTTTATGTACAAGCTAAAGTTGCAGGTCGCAAAAATTGACCGACTTTATCCCTTGCTGCGTTGCCATATGCCTCTCGGTGGTGCTCTCCGCGGAGATATCTCTGAAAATCTTCACAGATCATGCCAGACGCCTTCCGAATTTTCTAAACTCGGTTTCTTGCTGTTAGTAATCCGATTACGGTGAAGATAAATAGCTTGACAACCAACCAAATGCAATTAGTTTCCTATTACTCACATATTCTGATCTGTTACTTATAATTAAGCCACAGTGCAGACACCGATCAAACGTTTTCTTTACTCGACCACCCACAATGGCTTCTAATCCGGGAATGACTCCAGACCAGATCGCGCTCATTAAGGCGACGGTGCCGGTTCTCGTGGAACATGGCAACACCATCACGACTGTCTTCTATCGCAACATGATCGAAGCCCACCCGGAGCTGAACACCGTTTTCAACAGTACCAACCAGGCCAATGGGCATCAACCTCGTGCGTTGGCCGGTGCACTCTACGCATATGCATCGCATATCGACGATCTCGGCGCACTGAGCTCGGCGGTTGAGTTGATCTGCAACAAGCATGCCTCCTTGTATATCAAGCCCGACGATTACAAGATTGTTGGCAAGTACCTCCTCGAAGCCATGGGCGAGGTGCTCGGCGCGGCATTGACCCCAGAAATCCACGACGCATGGGGTGCAGCCTACTGGCAGCTCGCAGATATCATGATTGGCCGCGAAAAGCAGCTTTACGAACACGCCGAGGGCTGGACTGACTGGAGAGAATTCAAGATTGTGAACAAAGTCAAAGAATCCGAGGAAATCACATCCTTCTATCTCGCCCCTGTCGATGAAAAACCACTGCCGGCCTTCCAGCCCGGCCAGTACATTTCCATCCAAACCTACGTCCCGGCTCTCAAGCACTTGCAGGCCAGACAGTACTCTCTCAGCGACCAGCCGAAGCCGGACTACTATCGCATCAGTGTGAAAAGAGAACTGGGCCTCGACCCAGCCGCTCCAGGTGCCGCCGCTCACCCGGGTTACATCTCAAATCTGCTACACGATACAGTCAACATCGGCGACAAGCTCAATGTCTCCCATCCCTACGGTGACTTTTTCCTTCCCCCTGTCGAGTCGGAAGCAGGCAACCCAATCGTGTTGATCTCCGCCGGTGTGGGTCTAACACCACTGACGTCGATGCTGAACACATTGATTTCCAAATCACCCGCAACGCGCAAGCTGCATTTCATTCATGGCGCACGTTCATCACGCGTGCGTGCTTTCAAGTTGCACATCTCCGAGCTTCCAAACGAATTCCCCTCCATTCGAACCACATCCTACACGAGTCATCCTTCCGAGGGAGAGGTGGAGGGCGTGGACTACGACCATGCCGGGCGGGTGGACTTGACTAAGTTGAAGGATCAGGACTTGTTCCTGGATGATGCCAAGACGGATTACTATATCTGTGGACCCGGAAAGTTCATGATCGATATGGAGTCGAGTCTCAAGGCCAGGGGTGTGAGTGCCGATCGCATCAAGATGGAATTGTTCGGAACGGGAGGTATTCATTGAGCACGGAGTATGATTAGAATTAGACTAATTGTTTCTTCCCTGGCCGTTATTTGTTTCGCATTTAGAAGTACATATCTCATCTCTTGAAATTTCAAATTACGATTGACGAATGAAAGAAGTCACAAGATCCTTTGCTTAAAGGTTGCCCATCTGCTGAGCAAGCAATGAATTTTAAAGGGGATAACTCCTCTCAGTTGGGTGACTCCTCTCAGTTGGGTGGAGTTTACTTGGATTTCCAGGCAGCGCTGAAGGTTGGCGCAACATTCTTTGTTTAAAAGGCAACGGATCGACATCCATGGAATTATAGAGAATATTGTACAATCATCGCATCCGGTCGTTGTTGCCATGGACTGATATCGATTTGTAAGCATTTGATCATGAAATGTGATATGTAGGATATAAGAGGCTCGAAAAATCCTCCAGTCAAGTGTTTTATATATACCTTCCCAACTACAGACTACTGAGTTACCCTTCTATCATTCTCGCCACATATCAAAATGGGTACCAAAATCGGCGTCTTTCCCGCTTCCGGGGGCCTTGGATCAAGCATTGTGAACCACCTGGCAAAACTAGTCCCAAAATCCGATCTCGTTCTGGTTGGCCGACACCCCGAGAAACTGCACGACCTCGAGCAAGCTGGTGCTACGATACGGAGGGCCGACTATGATGCGCCATCAACATTAGACACAGCCTTCGAAGGCGTCGATGTCTTGATGCTGGTTTCATATGCATCATTCGAGATAGATCACAGGACCAAGGTAAGAAAATCAAGTGTGATAGCTCACCTAAGTACGGAGGAGTTGGGCTGATAATGATAACCAGGCACACATTCTTGCTATAAATGCAGCCGTCAAAAGTGGCGTCAAGTACATTTTTTACTCCTCCCTTGGATTCGGCGGTGATCTAACCGACCAGAGTGTCGCTCATGTGATGGGCGCCCATATCCAGACAGAGAAATACCTCTCTTCTCTGCAAGAGAAAGTGTCCCACACCATAATCCGCGAGGGTCTCTACACTGAATCCTTCCCGATATATACCGCATTCTTCGATCCGAAGCATCCAACGGACGAGGTTACGATCCCTCACTCGGGTACAGGCCCAGGTGTGGCGTGGGTCAAGCGCGATGAGCTGGGCGAGGCAACCGCCAAGTTGATTGCCTCGTATGTCAAGAACCCGACCAGCTTTGGGTATTTGAACAAGGCTCTTCTGCTCTCTGGGCCTCGGGAGATCTCTCTTGCGGAGACGGTTGAGATTATCGGTCGGGCGATTGGGAAATCGCTCAAGATCCGTGAGATCTCTGTCGATGAGTTCGTGAATCTTCCTCAGATTGGTGACCATCTTACCTACAGGGGGGTCAATCTGTCGAGGGAGTGGGCTACGGCTTGGGAGGCTATCCGACGGGGTGAGACTGCGGTTGTGACCCCGACTCTACGTGAGATCTTAGGGCGTGAACCGGAGAGCTTCGAAACTACTCTCAAGGCGTTGATTGGATGAGCTTTTTTAGACATGTATGCTTCAGAACTCAATCGATTGTTTTCGGAGATAGAACCGAATTTCAAGAAAGTCCGGTTACCTGGACGTTCATGATGTGTATATATATAGGGGTCATACCAACATAAAAGCCTCAAAGCCATCAAGCCACTGCGTCATATCGACCCAGCGTAAACCTCGGAAAGATCCTAGCTAATGGAGATCCGCCGCGAATCAAGATCTAGGACAGTCGGGCCCGGAATCGAGTCAAGATCCGTGTACACATTCTGTGCAGATGACAGGTCTAGCGCCCGTTATTTCTCCACTAAGTCAAGGCGTGCCGGGTGGACTGACCCTCCCGAGGTCATCTTGGAGCCGTAACACAGAGTGTAACGGGCTAGCCTCGGTCTAGATGACTCGGTGCATGGAAGATTTTTTAAGGTTGTGATAGATCTGAGATATCAGAATGAGATGGCCATTAGCCACAGATGTGCCACAAAGTCTAACAAATGCAATGTTTCCTCCGTCTACCCGTCAAGAACCCTCGACACTCGACCTTCCAAAAGGATTCACCCGAGTATCAGGAGACGAACCCTCATGCCATGCGGAAACGTTGACCGGAGGTCAAAAATATGGAGAGAGACAGGAGCTTCTCGTATCGTCTCGGTCGACATCGGGAGGGTAAGGCGAAGAAGGGCAAGGGAATGAGAACTTCCGAGTCACCCCACTCCGAAGGGCAGGTGGGACCGATTTGGGAAGGAAAAAAGTGAATAAGCGGGGTTTAGCTGCTTCGCGACTGGTCGACACTGCGATCGAGGCACTACGGAGGTACTCGACGGAATCCAACTCGCTTTTTTATCCAATAGGCATCGTTGTTTAATGCATCTGACTGTGACATATCAGTTTTATATGTACGGAGCAGAAGTGAAAAATACCTGCGGCATAAAGTACCGTATTCAACTGATACCACGGAGTACGCCTCGTGGACATTGCCACAAGCGGGCGGAAACCGACAGCACTGCCCGGGAATATACGTGACCTTTCCAAGAAACTCTGAACATCAAACTATTGAGCGGGTACGTATTCGTATATTGCATTAGTAGATGTATCAATCTATTTCGGATATGATCTCTCGTCTCTTCTAGACTTTGTGCAGCATGGCATGGGTTAGCTGCATATCAATCCGTCTTTCGGAAAATTAATGGCTCGATGGAGTCGACGACAGGTGACTATCAAAAAGTATAATGGTGAGGCAAGCAATCAGCACGCGAGATGAGGAAACAGGATATAACTTTTACCGTAGGGGTAAGGAATGTAAGATGCAAAGCCGAGGATGACTATACTGATAGGTTCTGACAATGCCGCTTTTACTAAGACGGTTGAGGATCAATTTAGGGCTGCGTTGTCCGTATAACGCAGTACGGGTAGATCTTGGTTGTGCGATATAATTGGTCAATAGGTACGGAGTAGTCGACTACTTGGAAGTATAGTATCATTGTCTATGATGAAAGAATGATTTTTTAACGGCATAGTTATAGATCTTCTAATATCAGGCATAGTTGGAAATCTCCTCATTCTAATGAACCACTGGCAAGTGTTCAGACTCGGCATCATTGGCTTCCAAGTTGCTGTAGATAGCCTGCTGGGCAGCCAGGTCTCAATTATACCACCCGTTCAAAGCAGCAAGAGCAAAATAAAAAACACAAAGCCCGTGAAAACAAGAAAGGAGGTACAGAATACATTAAAAAAGACATAAATTACACAAAATACACAAAATACACAAAAATACATAATATCGGGTCCGAGACTCGGCCGGCGGAGTCTTGGGCCAAGGCCTAGCCCACACGGTTTTTAACTTCAACCGTTTCACACGTTACAGCCCATCGGAAAATATCCTCGTCGGAGCCGGCCGTTTGAGATCTTAGGGGTGAACTCGGCTTCGACAACCCTGCAAGCGAGTGACCAGCCGGAGGCTAAGCCATTTTCGATACGTCTGGTCCAAACCTGACATCACAGGTCAATCTCGGCTTCGTACACAGGCGTAATCTGTTCCGGATCACCTTCGTACCCCTGTTTTTTTTCGGGGCTTACTCTGGGTTTATATAAATGCCCCGCGGCCGAAACCCATATCCTGTTCCATGATATCTTCAGTTCCGATTTATTTATAAATACTCGATTCTTTCGCCACCCTTTGCTCATAGCAACTCTTTCACCTTACTATATCACCCTACTGCCAAACTTGCCTTCGAGGCCAACGTATGATCCAAGATGTGTATCATGGCTTGCAACCGATCCAATGAGATCCCCAATCTCTGCATAGACCAGGGGACCTACCTCAGCCAACACCTGAGTCCTCAGTCTCGACCAGCCGACTTCTTCGAAAGACCTGACCCTCTCGCTGCCAACTGGAGCTACGACAACGCGATTGACCTGTTCTCTATCAACCCCTCCGACATGGAGCCCGTCTCGTTCGACTTCGCCGACAGCCTCACCAACATCGAGTCCAAGGATCTCTTCAACGACCCCTTTGCCAGCTCCGGAATCAGTGGCTTCTCCATGCCCGAGGACGCAGCTTCTCTCTCATCTGTACGATTGTCCACCCTTCCTATCAATATTTTGTCACAGAAGCTAATCTTTCTACAGGAGTTCGAAAGCGACGATCAAACATGGCCCTCTGCTGCCCGTCAATCCATTGACTCAAACGCCTTCGAGACCGAGTTGACTTCAAACTACACCTCGTCTCAACCTCAAACACAGAGCAAGACTCGCTCATCTTCAGCAAGCTGGTCATCCAGTCCAGAGATGAAGCAAGAAGAGATTGCTACTCCTCTACCCTCCAAACCCACCACATCCACATCCCGCAAGACCCGTAGCTTCTCCCGAGACTCCAACCACTCCTCAACCGGCGGCCAAGACCCTCAAATGCGGAATGCAGCCAAGCGTGCCGCCCACAACATCATTGAGAAGCGCTACCGTACCAACATGAACGCCAAATTTGTTTCTCTCGAGCAGGCCATCTCGCCCTCGGGGGTTCAAAAACATACCAAGGTTGGCGCGGGATCTCTCAAGAAGTCCGAGATCCTCAGCAATGCCCTCACCTACATCGATAGCATTCAGCAGGAGAACCAGGCCTTGCACAAGGAGCTCGCAATGCTCAAGCAAAACCTGCTACCGGCGGGAGGAATCTGGCGTCAGACCAAAAACCCCCGACTTTGATCAGGTGCATACCGATCCAACCACAGTGATGCTGCTGCTTCTTCAAGTATCTTTGTTGTTCCCTTTGTTGTTCTCATGACCGCGACGAGCGTTGTATTCTTAGAGTAGCCGGTCAACGTGGTCCCGGTCGGCGTTCATATTCTTTCCTTGATTTTTCCTTTATTTCTTTTGGAGTTCCGGATCCAGTGTTATTATTTGGGCTCATGTGGCCCTCTTCTCTTCTCAGACATGATTTGATTTTCGTGTCCTGGCGACCACAAAAGTGTTTTGTGACTTGTGATTCCCCTACAGGGACGGAATACCTCATGGATAGTGTCCTAAAGCATTAATATAATTGCCAAGACTCGGATGATTCATTTTGCTCAAATTTTCTCTTTTTCCTGATTGTGTGCGGGTATGGCCTGATGCTTCCCGATATGGAAATAGTTGTCCTTGGGTGGTCCCATCCACGTATATATACCTGCAGTGTAAGTAATGTTCCTTCGTCTTGTGATCTTTGACGCCTGTGCTGGACTGACTGGCCACTCTTGGTTAGCAAGGTGAATTCTGCCAAACTTTATGCTGGCGTTTTGTATCGTGACCTGGATCCGGCTTTCATATCGCTTTCAACATTGCCTCGACCTGGCAAATACCACGCATTGAATAGAACCCAGCCTATTCAACCCTCGGGTTTAGAGTCGACGGAAATGATGAGTCTACAAAGCAGGTTAAACAGTATCGCCTCGAGAGACGTACTCGGCACGCGGCCTTTGATCAGGGGGAGCGGATAGCATAAGCGAAATATAGCACCGGAGATTGCCTATAATTCCGAGCAAGGAGTATGAAAAGGGGACAGCAGAGGGCTGACTATGCTAATTATAGCAGGCAGCAGAGACTGGAATGATTCCTGAAGCCACTCATCAAACCCCGTGGCCCTATCAGGGTGAATAGGTCATACTCCCCGTTGGGACTAGGCTGCGCCGTGCCTTAATATCGCAGCAACCACACATCTGCACGGATGCCATCAGACGACTTTACACTTCTCGTGAACTGAGTTTGAGAATATGCAATCGATAGTGAGCTTGTCGGTCTGTCACGGGTAGGAGTCCACCATGGCGATAATCAAATTGAACCATTCTGGGGTTCACGGGGCTGTTTCCAAACCGTGCGTCTACGGTCTGTCCTTCATTGGTCTACGTCGCCGTGTCTCGGTGTTTGCATCTTCCGTTTCCTTCCTTTTGTGGGGTTGAGCTGGGCAAGATTTAGATTTGGGGTCAGACGGATCGAGAGGACCCTACGGCGATGCCCAACTGAGGAGACCTCCTCAATCTTAGCGACGGCTGTTGATTCTCATTACGAAACAACAATTGAAGAAGTGGACCCTGATGGCAGTTTTCCCCGGACAAAGCTCAAAGCTGCTGCTTCAGTGGTGCAAAGCAAAGTGCATTCCGACTCCATCGTGTCCAATTTCCCGCTTTCGATGAGAATCTTGTCACGAGCCATCCTCGAGCCTGCCACCTGACCCTCGGCTGATTGTTGACAGATGTTTCAAGCTGTTGCCCCATATACATCTTGATATCACGATGGCTTCCGCCGGTCAAGCCATGGCTATGGCGCATACGGAGCATGTGGTATTGACTCCACATATATGCAGCTTAATGTCTCATATGAAACGCAGATATGCAGCTCTACCGTTTCTATTATGATGTCTATTTACACACCAAAGCATGTTTAATGAATTGACACCCAAACCGTACTGGAGCCGCACCGCTAATCGTTAATTCTTATCGGCCACGCATGGACTTGCCGTTTTGGGTCAGCCGTTGCCACTGACTGTATTTTGATGTTAACCTACAATGCTATTGATTTTTATATTGGGAAGATAGTTGTTGAGATCATGCGGTTCTTGCTGGAATTCGCACTTTTGTTAGGCTTCAATGGATATTGAAGAGAAGCTGTTCAGGTACAACGGTCGGACCTCGGAGCTATGAAACGTGTGGCGGATGGAATTTGTGAACAAGCTGCGAAATACCTACATCCATGGATTGGATATGATATTCAATTACTTGACCAACGTCAATTCCACCATTCAATTCCAATTATACCCCAGTTCTTATCTGTGGAGTGCATTTCTGTGGACATTATGGATGACGGCCCACTGGAGGAGGTCCTCCCGAAGGCGACTCCCCGCAAAAACCAGAAATTTTAGTTAACTAGATCGTTTCTATTATCAACATCTCCCAAGTCCATGACCAATCGTTCTGATTCAACCAAAACCTAGTATCAGCCCCGCCGCGTCATTGGCTACTCGCAATTGGTCTCCAGCTTTATCTCAGAATCCGCGAGGTGTCAAGGCGAACCAAATACGCCGGACGCCAGATATATAGAAATCATGCTTCCCCCCTCTGTGCTTCTCATTGATCTTCAATCAGAAAATGGGCGCATTTCCCTCTTATTTGCCCACTGAGTTGACATATATTACCTCCGGCTGAAATACCACGGCATGGATTTGGAATACAATTCGCAACCCCTTAAGCCACCGCTGACGGATCAGCATGCGCAAGATGCACAGGATCTCGCTGATCTGGGTCATTCCCAGGCCCTGACGCGGAAGTTCGATATGTGGAGTATGCTGGCGCTGGCCTTCTGTGTACTTGGTATGTTTTCGGTTTTTTCCCCCACCCGATGGAGCCCGAATGTGTGCTAACATGTCCAAGGAACCTATTCGACCTTCGCCCAAGATCTCAGCAGCGGTCTGACCAATGGTGGTGCTATTACTATCCTCTGGGGTCTGCTGCTAGTCACAGCATGCAACCTCTGTGTTGCGCTCTCGCTGGGCGAGTTGACTAGCAGCATGCCGACCGCCCTCGGTCAGGCCTACTGGGTATATCGACTGTGGGATACACCATTGGGTCGATTCAATTCATACATGTGCGCATGGATCAATGTATTTGGATGGTGGACCTTGACTGCGTCGCAGGTTGCCTTCATGACTGAGTTCCTGCTGGGCATGAAAACTATGTTTGACCCCGAGTGGGATGGAGCCAACAAGGGCTGGCTCAATTTTGTTGTGTACATCGCGGTGGTCTTTGTGCTGACCCTGATCAACGTCGTCAGCTGCCGTAAGGAGAAGATCCTACCCTGGCTTAACAACTTTGTTGGAGTCTGGTTCTTCGGCCTGTTCATCGTTCTCTCTCTTGTGCTACTTATCTCGGTCGGAACCAAGAGTAATCTGTCATTCCAGCCGGCTTCTTTCGTGTTCGGTGCTTGGAAGAATGAGACTGGCTGGGGCGACGGTGTGGTTTGGTTCACCGGCTTGGTACAGGCCGCGTACGGGTTGACCGCGTTCGATTCGGTTATTCACATGGTGGAGGAAATCCCTGCGCCTCGGAAGAATGCTCCTCGAGTCATCTGGATGGCCGTTTTGTTCGGTGCCGTGACTGGATTCATCTTCATGGTGGTCTGTCTGTTCTGCATCCAGAATGTAGACAATGTCGTTAACGCCGACCTCCCCTTCATGGAGCTTATTGTCGAGACTGTTGGATTGAAAGGAGCCGCTGTACTCCTTGCACTGTTCATCTTCAATGGTCTAGGCCAGGGCATCAGTATCCTGACCACTGCCTCCCGTTTGACCTGGGGCTTTTCCCGCGACGGCGGTGTGCCTTTCAGCAACTACTTCAGCCACGTCGACCCTGTATGGCAAGTCCCTGCTCGCGCTCTCTGGGGTCAGAGCATTGTCATCGGTATTGTCGGCATCCTATACCTATTCGCCAACACTGTGCTCGAGGCGATTCTCAGTGTCAGCACTATTGCCCTGACTGTCTCCTACGCCATGCCGATTCTTGCCTTGCTCGTCGTCGGCCGTGATAAATTGCCCCCGGGTCCATTCAAGCTCGGTCGCATTGGGCCGTGGTTGAATTGGGTCAGCATCTTCTACTGTATCATCACTACCATTTTCTTCCTGTTCCCTGGCAGCCCCAACCCGGCGCCCAGTGATATGAACTTTGCCATTGCCGTGTTTGGCGTTATGCTGGTCATCGCTGTTGCATTCTGGTTCATCCGAGGCAACCGAACATATCTTCAGACTGAAGATGCCATCGCCTCGATGGTCTACGCCCACCATCTGGAATTGAATGAGGTGGGTGTTGATGGCTCTGTTCCTGTTGTTCAAGCTCCAGTCATCGTTGATTATAAATAATACCATGGGCTTTCATCTTTTGTGTATAGAAGCTATACTTTTTTTTGGACCGACAGGCATGTACATATTTATACATATGCATCACCATAATCCGGTTGGATTTGTATACTTGTAACCAGGTTGTCGCGTTTTCCTATAATGAAAATCTAGAGATAATCGAAGTCAATGGCTTTAATATATACTCCGTATGTAGTATCATCATCTCTTTAAAAAAAGAGAACCGAAAGAAAAAAAACACATAACTTGGCGGAAAGTCACGGGGTACGGAGTACCGACGGACGATGGAGACTGTTGCAACCCCAGAGAACCTTGTCTGCGACGAAGTCAACATTTTAATATAACTCGGACAACACATAGAATCGCTAACAGTCCGGGGCCAACGGGAACTATCATCTCGTCCCTTGATAGGTGTCACGAAAGCAAGCGTCGCAAGTACTCTGTACTCATCTCACCTCGCATTCTTGCCCAGCCATTTTTACCCGAGACTGAGATGTCACGTCGAATAATGAAGGGAGATAACTAGAGATCACCAGCCACATCTGTCTCCAGTGCCTAAATTATGGCACTAGCAAATTGGAATTTTGTGACCCCAGCCTCCGACGCACTCCCGACGCACCCCGACGCACAGCAATGCAAATAAAACCGATGGTCATTCGGGTTGCGACAGCACATCACAACGCCACAGAAACCTAGCACCTATCCCTCCAAGCTTATCTTCAAATTTGATGAGATAGCCTAATTGCCTGGTGCAACGGTGCATGACGACCCAAATTTGGCAGGAGAAGAATGATTTTGATCATGAACATATCCTCTAGCGGATTCCCATCGATCAGATCTGATCGCAGATGAACTGTGGGCTTCATGTAAATTAGAATCAGAGCTGATCTCGTTTTAGGGCCAAGTCATCCAGCCACCCGGCAATACAAGCCCCCTGACGCCCCTCGCATTGCTTCCTTCAAACACAGTGGGTCAACCCCTGCCGATCATAAACGCGCCCCCGACGGAGGCCCAATATCACAATGGGATAGAGGGCTTGCTTCTATACCGATTCCATCAGTAACATTCGCTCTCCGGTTGGGAAAGGATATCGCGACGATGCGAGTATGGAGCCAGATCCGGAAGATGCAATCCCAGCCACCGCTACTAGCGATTATTGATTTAGAATAGTCTCACCAGGCGGGCATCCACAAAGGGTCCACTGTTGTGCCAAGCGAATGACGTGAAACTTCGATCAAAGAACTCCATTGTCAATATTATTGTCTTGTCCTGGTTTATCCTGGACTTCTTCAACACACATTCTTTGTCGCCCCATCATTCCCCCCGCCAATGCAACCATAATAAACACCAATTTACGGTCTTTACCCCTCTTTTGTATTTGATAGTCTTCTGTTAGACTATTTATACTCCCTGTATTCGCTGCGCAGAGGCCTAGACTGATAGGGTGTCCTCATATCGCTCGTTTTTTTATCATGATTGCATCCCTATTTAGTCGTGGAGCATTGTCGCTCGCGGTCTTGTCGCTTCTCGCGTCCTCTGCTGCAGCCGATGTATTTGAGAGTTTGTCTGCTGTTCCTCAAGGTGAGCAACTTGCGTTCGAAACGAAACCGACGGAATTGATTCACTGACCCACCTTAGGATGGAGATATTCTCGCAGGCCGCGTGCTGATCAGCCCTTGAAGTTACAGATCGCTCTGACACAGGGGGATACTGCCGGCTTCGAAGAGGCTGTGATGGAGATGTCAACCCCCGATCACCCTAGCTACGGGCACCACTTCACCACCCACGAAGAAATGAAGCGGATGCTACAGCCCAGTGCGGAGTCCGCGGAGTCAATCCGTGACTGGCTCGAAGGCGCGGGTATTACCAGGATCGAACAGGATGCAGATTGGATGACCTTCTACACCACCGTGGAGACGGCAAATGAGCTGCTGGCAGCCAATTTCCAGTTCTACGTCAGTAATGTCAGGCACATTGAGCGTCTTCGCACACTCAAGTACTCAGTCCCGAAGGCTCTGGTGCCACACATCAACATGATCCAGCCAACCACCCGTTTCGGCCAGCTGCGCGCCCATCGGGGCATATTACACGGCCAGGTCAAGGAATCCGACGAGGCTTTCCGCTCAAACGCCGTGTCCGCTCAGCCGGATTGCAACAGTATCATCACTCCTCAGTGTCTCAAGGATATATATAATATCGGTGATTACCAGGCCAATGATACCAATGGGAACAAGGTCGGGTTTGCCAGCTACCTAGAGGAGTATGCACGATACTCCGATCTGGCACTATTTGAGAAAAATATCGCGCCCTCTGCCAAGGGCCAGAACTTCTCCGTCACCAGGTACAACGGCGGTCTTAATGATCAAAGTTCCAGCGGTAGCAGCAGCGAGGCGAACCTGGACTTGCAGTACATTGTTGGAGTCAGCTCTCCTGTTCCCGTCACCGAATTTAGCGTTGGCGGCCGTGGTGAACTTGTTCCCGATCTCGACCAGCCTGATCCCAATGATAACAACAACGAGCCATACCTTGAATTCCTCCAGAACGTGCTCAAGCTGGACAAAAAGGACCTTCCCCAGGTGATTTCTACCTCCTATGGTGAGGACGAGCAGGTATGACACCCACCCCCCCTTTGTTCGTGATTTTGTCGGTCTCTAATATCAACCTGTAGAGCATTCCCGAGAAGTACGCCCGCAGTGTTTGCAACTTGTACTCGCAGCTCGGTAGCCGTGGTGTATCCGTCATTTTCTCATCTGGCGACTCCGGCGTTGGGTCCGCGTGCCTGACGAACGACGGCAGGAACGCGACCCGCTTCCCACCCCAGTTCCCCGCCGCCTGCCCGTGGGTGACATCAGTCGGCGCGACAACCCACACCGCGCCCGAACAGGCCGTGTACTTCTCGTCCGGCGGCTTTTCCGATCTCTGGGCTCGCCCGAAATGGCAAGAGGAGGCCGTGAGTGAGTACCTCGAGATCCTGGGTAACCGCTGGTCTGGCCTCTTCAACCCTAAGGGTCGTGCCTTCCCCGATGTCACAGCCCAAGGTCGCAATTACGCTATATACGATAAGGGCTCGTTGACCAGCGTCGACGGCACCTCCTGCTCGGCACCTGCCTTCGCCGGAGTCATCGCCCTCCTCAACGACGCTCGCCTCAAAGTCAACAAACCACCAATGGGCTTCCTTAATCCTTGGCTGTACTCGACAGGGCGCGCCGGCTTAAAGGACATTGTCGATGGCGGCAGCACGGGTTGCGATGGCAAGAGCCGCTTCGGTGGTGCCAATAACGGTGGTCCGTCGATCCCAGGTGCTAGCTGGAACGCTACTAAGGGTTGGGACCCTGTTTCTGGTCTCGGGTCGCCCAACTTTGCTACCATGCGCAAGCTTGCGAACGCTGAGTAGGTTCGAGTTTTCTTGTTGATGTAATGTACTGGATTTTAGATTATGATTGATTTCGACCGGTCGGGAAATTCCGGTACGCATACTATATACACATAGATGCTGTTCTATATTTGCAAATATAATGATCTTGTGGCTGGCTCGATTTGTCGGCGCTTGTGCAATATGTATGTCCTTTTTGTAGTACTTTCTGTTGTTTATTACTTGCCTTGGCTTGAGATGTACGCAAGGAAACTTCCCACTTTAAGACTTTTCTGCTACACGAGGGATAAATTCGACTCATTCATGTCTACGTATTTTCTCCGATTCGCGAGCCAGTGAGTGAATAGCATTGCTCTTGGAACAGTATCTTTGCAAAACAGACTCCATGTGAGATATACTATTTGCAGACCCGTTGAAGTAAAATGTGCATACTATGCTCCTTATTCCTTGAACACAGGCTCGGACTTCTCGATATCCTCCTTGCTCAAACACCACTTGTCTTGCAGCGCAGGATCAAGACTCAACGCATAGACATCCTTGGGCCACCATTCACCCCAGCTAGTCAAGAAAATCTGTTCCGGGTCAGCGGGAAGATTCTCGACCGTGACCGCGCGGAGGATATTCTGGGCACCTATTAATTGTTAGATATCGTCTTCAAATCAAAAATCCAAATGCAAAGATCCTTACCCTCTGGCACGGTCTTGGCATCGGGCATATCCATGGACAATCCTAAGCTCGAATGCTGGGCAAGCTTGGTGTTAGGGATGAGACCTGGCGAGACAGCCACGACTGTGCAATTTGGGAGGCTACGACGCCAGTAGTGTGCACCCAGAAGCTGAGTGAATTTCGATGCACTATACACTACTCTGGCGTTTGCACCGGAGTTTGCTTTTAGGTCAATGTCAAGAGTGGCTAATATGAAGTCAGCCTTGTGAACAACTTTGCTTCGGACAGCGACACAGCTGGGAGAATGGAACTAAACTCACCTGGATCGCCTCCTCTCACATTACGAATTGCACCCGAAGATACAATGACGATACGTGATCGCGAGGCAGACAGGGTCTCAGCAAATTCGTGTGTCAGGTAATGCTGGGCTGGGTTGCGATAGATGAATGTTTAGCTCTAGCCTCCTAGACTCCTTTAGTAGCCGATGAGTCGTTTTGACATACCTAGATGGTTTACCACGTATGATTCGCACCATTGTGAGCCATGAGGCCCCGGCCCTTCAGCGCTGGCAAGGAACCCCGCAATAAGGAAAAGATAGTTCAACGGCCTTTTGCCCAATTCAGAGAGTGCTTGTTTGGCAAAGCTCTGCACACTCTTAAGATTCAGAAGATCCAGGGGCAAGATAGAGACGCTGTGCTTTGAAGTGTCGAATTTCAGATCATCGTACGCGACTCGTGTCTTTTCTGTGTCACGAACGCCTAGAATGAAGCTGTACGGCTGTGTCTGCTGGAGTAACTGCTTGATTGTTTCAAATCCCTATGACCGATGTTAGGATCCTGAATATTCCAAGGGCATATAATTCTTACCAAGCCGGACGAGGTGCCTGTCGCGATGACAGTTTTTGCGATTGATGACATTTTCGAACACAGTTGTATCTACGGAGTAGTGATATTCTGATCTTCAGTGGAGGGGCAGGATAAACAGATGCTGATTCAGTGCAACCCGATGACGTCATGGGGTTTCTCAATATATCCTGATCGTTGCAGTGCGCAAATTCCATTATGCATCTCAAATCATACTTCGTATTAGATGCGAGTAAGAAAACACGGTCGCTTGTTCGCTAGAAAAAGAAACATATTTTATCAGGACAGGCATTGAATCCCCAAACGAAACATCAAATCATCCGCCAAGTTAAGAGATAACAGCCATCAAAGCAGAGCCGAAAAGGAGCGCAATCATTCCAACACCGGACTTGGAGATAGGCTGGTTGGAAATAGCGGCATTTGTGGAAGTCGAGGCAGCAGACGAGTGCGTGCTACTACCGGTGCCTGAGGAAGTGGACTTTGAGCCCGTCGCTGTGGCTGTAGCGGTCGCATTGAGAGCGGCGTTGCAAAAGACATCGTGATAGTTGCCACTCTTGCTAGTGAGGCAAGACTGAAGCTTGTCGACATTTTGGCCTTGCGCGAGGCAGTAGATGCCGCAGTCGTTGTCGTACTTGGAGACCTTCGCGTCCTTGCAGCATTCATCCATCACATCGGTCATATTTCCGCTGATGACGGCCGCACAAGCTGAGTCTGTCGTTGGGATTTGCCAGACGCTGCCACCGCAGGCAGTACTGGTTGTGCTCACGGACGAGGTAGTGGAGGAAGTCGTAGACATTTTGAACCGTGAAATTTGGTGAATTCGAAAGAGGGTTTGAATAGTCTGACGAGAAAGCAAATGCAAAACAAAGAGGTAAGATGGGTCAATCTATCTGAGACATTGAGCGCCTTCCCTTGGAATGTGACTTGGCCCGATTTCTATACTTAGTATCGGGCTGAAACCTTTGATTTCAGCCCTCTCTTATGTATTTTTGTTGTTTTACAGAATATATGCGATCAAGTGCATGTGATAAGTACTATGCATACGTAAATTTGCATACAAGCAAGGAGGGAAGAGATCAAGGGTTATATTACTGTACACTACAGAGTACATCTCCGTGCGACTACCCAATAGAATCTCAGTGCTTCCCTTGATCACGTGTCCCAATTGTACTTCACTTCGCGACTTCCATACTTGCACTTTCCATCTTCAAGCACCCTCCTTTCTTTTGCACATCATGTCTTCACCAATCGATTCCACGCCAGCCAATAGCGAGATTTCCGAACAGTCATCCGGCAGTGAAGACTACGCCCTTGACAAAGAAATCTCCCTTGACAAAATCAAATCTGCCGACGAGGCATTGGCGATAATCCAAGGCAGTGGATTCTTCGACCAGTCTCTCTACTCGTTTGTTGTCCTTACCTCGGTGGATCATGAAATTTCAATTGATCTTAAAACTTCTCGACGCAAAGTTCCCCCGTGTTCGAAAAGGATTATTCTCCCAGAGGAAAGTTATAACACTGAAAATGCCAAATTATACCGATTCAGCCCCGCATGCGTGGTTTGTCCAACAGCTGACCCGTTGGAATATCAACGGTCAACTTATGCCTGATGAACATCTCAATGTTATGGTGACAGCAAGCCCGCGAGTTACTGCTAGCAACCCTCCATACACCGGTGATCAAAAAGAACCCGATACCTTCATCTCTTGCTTCAGACTTCCTTACTTGCATGAACCAAGGATAATTATTGAGGTTGGCTTCAATCAGACATATCGAAGCCTCGTTGATGATGCGAAACTTTGATGGAAGGAGTGGGTGTGTGTAAGGTTCTTCTTGTGAAATTTTTCCAGCGCAGACAAGGTGTTGCTGGAACAATCGAACTCTGGGGGCGAAATTCTACAGGCAGTGCATGCATGATTGCGAGCAACCGAATTTTCCCGGTTCATGGGGCGTTTGAACTGCCCATTTATCTCACCAAAGACGACATTTTTAACGGCGCAATTGCCTCAAGCTCCCAGGGCAGTGATCGGCTTGAATTTGACATTGCGTCCCTCCGAGAGATCATAACCAAAGCGGGTCTCAATCTCGTTGGACTCACTCCTTTGCCATGAAATCTTGCCTCCCTAGCTTACTTCGTGAACCGGACGATATCAGATATTCTGCATTACATTCTTTACATTTCCAGGCTCAAATAGCCAACATACTTCAAGATCAGGACCGGAGGGTGACTAAAAGTGCTGGGTAGGTACAGAATAGTGGTGTTACACGTTATGGCGGTCATGGGGCGGCTGGACGTCCAAAATTACGGGTGGAAAGGCAGCCATTTCTGGCCTCAATCCCCCTGGTGCTCATATTGTAGCTGTAAACGCCGCATCTGTGAATTACCTTTTCTGGTTATTCTTGACTTATGAGGTTTAGCTCCTCAATACGCCGTCACGAGCTCTTTTTCCTCCCCGCTGTGCTCCCGAGAGGTTGGCAGGGTTTGCTTCCTCTCGGTGGCTGAGGCAAATAACTTGCTGTATGCCTCAGGCGCCTATGCTCCCAAGTACTCGAGCAAGTCCTTGGCGGCCGTCAGCCGAGCGAATGTCGAAATGGGACCGCTAATTTAACGTGAAGGAAAATATACTAGTGATCTCGACAGCCTAAGGCCTCCAGATAGTTGTTGCAGAGCGAAACGACTGATTCCAACTTTTAATGCTACACAAAGCCCCCCTCTTACTGGCTTATTCTCCCCCTGCCTGTAATTTCAGTACCGCGTTCACAATTAGGCTTATTTCCTGCCATATGATAGTATGGCAGTAGGTACCTACAATTTGTATGTAAACCACTAATAAAATTAAATGCCTTTTGTCATATCATTATTAACTGCTTTATCGTCAATTACTTTAGTAACTACTCAAGCAACCACTTGAGAAACTGCTTGAGAAACTGCTTGAGTAACTAGTTAGCTAGTAATTAGTACTACAAACACTAGGATAGTCACCGCCACAAATTGGCTCCGAAGATGAAACCTAATTCTTCCTACAGGCTTGGACAATGAAACCAATACAAAACACTACCACTGTAGTCAGAGCAGCCAGATGTGGTAACAACCCTTCCAAGGTTCTTCATAAGACTATGAGAGTTCCTGGTGCAACAATCATCCATATAGATAGATAAAAATTGCAGAAGGGGAACCTCAACATCAATACTCCTGAACTCCACCGACACCACATCCAGAAACAGCAAGCCAACAATGAAGCGTGACCGATTACAAGATTTTCTTCCACCGAGTTTGAGCATCAACTACCTGTCCAAGGCGTACATGGAAGTACATCCGGTTGAGCTTCTCCGCCTCGGTACAAATAAACCGCATCCGTGTATCACTCAGCGTGCTCTGGCTCTCACTCGCATGTAGAGACGCATCAAGAACTCTAGTCTCAGAAACAGCACAGGATTGGCGATAAGCCTCGACCCGCTTGCGCAGATACGAGCTCCACATAGCGGACGCCTGGTCCATGTCACTATGAAAGAGGGAGTGAAAGACGCGAAGGGAGTTGGCGTGGGAAGTCGCGAACCGGAGTCCTTTCCACTCATGCTTATAGCAGATCCTAATAGCTTCGTTGAGGAGCGCAGTGCCAATCCCGTATCCCCGGAAGCCTTTTTGGACTGTCCAGGCACGTACACAGGCATCGTAGTTTTCTCCTATTGGGAGAGTTATTGCGTTGGCTTTCGGATGGGGTTGGATGCCGTTGTAGGTGATGCTCATGACAAGCGCGCCGACAATGTAGCGCCCGAATCGATAAACAAGTACAAAGGTGATCCCACTATCCGAGTTGAAGGCAGGATCTTCCTGAGTAGTGTTATCGCTGCTAGGATCGTGCCCGTACAGCCAGTTCAGTGTTCCAACCTTCTCAGCCTCATCGTTGTATCCCTCAAGCAAGCGTGTGACGATACCTAGAGTGGCCAATACCGCGGTGGTGCAGAAAACAACAATGTAGGGCCAGCAAGATGGGTGATGATAAATGACACCGACACTGTATGCGAAACTCGCGGCTACCAGGGTTAGGGTGGTCGGGTGAAGGACGAGGGATTTAGCGGCGAGGAAGCGCTGCTGAGCCACTGAGACGGCTATGAGCTTCAGTGCAGAGGTAATTTCGAATTCTTCGATTGCTACATCAGTCGATTGTCCTGGAGATATGGTAGGGTTGAGCACGTCCTGGCTAGTACTTGGGCTCGCGGCCCGTTTCTGGTCAACGGCGTCTTTTGGCTTTGTGGTCGTAGAATGGTCTCCAGGGAACGGGGTTGTGACCATACGCGCCATGCTGAATTATCAATAGGTAGAAGTAAGCAATGAGTAGAGGTTGGAAGGTTTGCGAGGACTGCCAAGGTGGGATGGGTGTGTTTGTCGTGGCAACGTCAGGGAAGCAAACAACATTGATTGATTGAAATGGATCGTGACCTAACTGAAATTAAGGAGTGATATGGAAAATTAACAACATATCGTAATAGCCAGACAGACCTGGAATTTACATACATTAAGCTAAAACCAGAGAGGAAGCTACAGCGAACAGGTAGCCATTGGCTATTGATATACAAGGCGAGGATTACTGAATTTATGAATAAAACAAGACCTTTCTTCAACGAAACTTGTAGTTGAGACCTCAATCGACTCAGCAGGCTTCAATGATTGAGCCAAGAAGCTCTGCGGCTAGATCGCTGTCTTTGAAGATATCACTTTCGCATTTCTCGGTAGTCATAACTTCATAATACATGTAATTAGGTGGAAGTATTGAATCTTATAAGATACCTGATATTACAAACTATACTATATGTACTGCAGGCACAACCTGAGCGCACTAGCGGCCAGTGGCTACCGTAGACTGTCCCAACCTATTCGCTGTCTATTTACTGCCTTTTAACTTCATATTTTAGCCCTATTTTATATCCCTCGCAGCATCTTCCACCGCATGATGAAGGTCGCGACAGGATAAAAGACCAAGGATACTGCAATCCAAATGAACAAAATAGCAAAGTCCAATCCAATGCGCGAATGAACATCGAAAAGGATGGTTCGTAGAGCCTCGACAACTAGATGATCATTAGCAACAGAGCATCGATCACGATGAGGGGGAAACTTACTTCGATGTAACGGCCATGCATACCCCCATCTATAGAACCTCGGAGCCAAATCAATGGCATAGAACCCAGTCGCAACATTCGTAATAACCCAAAAGATAAGGAACAAAGCACTCCATGGGAAGCCGAGGATCATGGCCATGTTCTCACAGGGGAGCCCCAAGGCAGCCATGCCAACCCAGTTCAGCATCCAAAACACAACAAATGAGCCACGTCCATAGCCATTGGGATTGTTCGCGGATAGAACATCAGACGCAGAGTCATTGCTGAATGGGATCTTGAAAGTCAGAGACACCAGTGAGTAGCACAGCGAAAGAAAGAAGTAAGCCACCAGGCTCGAGAAAAGGCGCCAAAGGAGCCAATGTGGCACCTTCAACGGTGGATGGCCATCTGGTTTCATGAACTGAGCATGAATAGGTATCATAAAGGGGAAGTTAAAGAAGGCAATGATGATCAGATAGATCAAACCGACGGTGACGGCAGGCGTAGCGACAGCCGGGGCAAAAGGACGTAGATCGATGGACGTGAACCCAATGGCCGGGTTGATCACCTGCGGGGGCACAGATGACAGGTTGCTGACAGATGAAGTGAGAGATTGGACCCATTGAGGGCCGAACTCTGCTAGCACCATGCCCTGTAGGATGACTAGGTCGGGCATGATATAGGTGTAGTAGGTTGTTTCATCGCGCGCGGAGATGATTACTGTCTCGATGGCGCCAGTCGGATCGTAGGTTGTATTGTCATTGGTGACTGCATCCCGGAGCAACGTTGTTGCGTTAGGCTTGATGATCACGGCGGCATAGGCATGTTCGTCATAGATGCCCTGGCGTACGGCCAAGGGGTCATAGTTGAAGTCGGCGGGGGATTTGATAGTGTAGCCGAGGTGGAGGCTGTCAGACTGCAGGATTCTCTTGGCAGCATCCGTAACTGCTGGACCAACGATGGTATCATTGGAGCGGTATGGATCAACTTGGCCGTCGAAATCGACAACCCATACCTTCAGCACTGGGAACTTGTCCTCAGTGCCGTACTGGACTCCCCAGAAGAGAGATAGCACGGCATACACGAAGACGCACAGAATCAATACTGTTGTTTTCCGTTAATTTCTCTTGCATTCCGTGAGTTGCCGTATTCTAGACTTTACTTACAAGTGCGAGCCCATTGGTAGAATACCCGCTTTCGAATCTCATTGAGAGATGGATCAAAGAATGATACAGCCGCAGGTGGGCTGGTGTCGCTTTCCAACTCAGTTTTTACTACTGTCATAATCAAACAGATTGTAGGGAATATGCGACTATGAAAAAAAGAAGCGCGAATAGTCCTTAATAAAGGTCCAAAAATGTCCATCCGCTTGCGGCGTATATCCCTCGGAGTTTATCCATTTCTGGAAAGCCCATGCCTTAACTCCGAAGAAGACCGAGAAGATCTGATAATTTCTAGCGAATGAGAGCCACGCATACGAGTCTGCACGTTTGTCTTCCGGGGTATAAACCTCGCCACGCTCGAGAAAAGTGGCGCAGGAATATGTATATCCGTAAATGCGGTATTGGCGTAGGAGAATATATATCCGTCAATCTATCAACCATGGAGTTGGAAGTCAAGACCGTTATATGACGTGTTTTGAGAACAGTGTTTCCAATGAATAGTGGTTTAATGTTTCATGGTTAAACGGTGCAAGGAAAATGATCCCTAGTGTATCAGGTTACCCGCCATTGCGCGTCCTCATATTTCATCAAGCTGATCCTGGCTTGCAGGCCGACGTATGATGTTCGCTGCTATGAAGGGAGTGAGACAGTGAGCAGATCTCGGACAGCTCAAATTCTCTATTTTTATAATCTCCATGGTGCATTATTGACAGAAGCCGCCCGACACGACAGATAACAGAACACGCAGACCGGCAGTTGTGGACATCGACGAGTAAATAGCAGGAAAAGAGTGCAACTTATATCGACGATCGTAAACTCATTTCATTTAATCTAAGGGTATCATTAAAAAGTCTATACATATTATACTTTCCCACCGAGGGATCCCAATCGATCTTTCAGACTTTCAAAAAAATTGCGCATAGGATCTAGGAGCCCGCCAGAGACCCTTCACTGTTTCAAACAGCGACATTCGAACAGAGGTTTGAAGATGTTCAGGCGCAGGTGACCTGATATGAACCGTAGTGGCGTCTCGTTCCAGCTATGCGGCAAGTTTGGGTGGCATTGGCTTGGCTGGCGATGTCGGAGAGTTCGTTCTGGTCGCACATAGTGTTATCGAACAACTCGATGCGGCAGCCCTCAGCGAGAGAGTTCAGAGTGTAGGCAGAGGCAACGCTGTAGAGATCGGCGCGACAGCCTGTGCTGCCAGATCCGACGTGAGGATCACCGACAGTTCCGTTGCATGAGGCTGACGGGAAAAGGGTGAAGGACCATTGGACGTCGCGGCTGATGAGGGGGAATGCGGAGGAGAAGTTGAAAAGTAGAGTCACGGCCAAGAGGCAGAGGCGAAGAGTAGAGACCATGGTGCCTTGAAGACGACTGTAGAAGGCGTGTTTGGTAGACGATTGAAAAAGCGCAAGGAGAAAGGAGGGCTGGTTTCTTAAGGGTCTTTTTAGACTGACAGGGGAAAGTCCACAATTTATGATGGACCCACCGAATTTAAGATTAGGAATTTCCTTTATTACCTATACTCCGCAAGTACGAAGTAGAAAAAGAATATGTTTCAAGGTGCCAAGCATCAATTACGTCCGGGCATCCACATGTATACTTCTTGACTCCGGTCGAACCCAGCCATGCATGCATATAATATAGATCTCCTATCAGGAATTCATCCTCCGTCCCCGTGCTCCGTACTAATGTGGAACCTCCCCGACAACGGGTTTTCATTCCTGATGATATCATCCCCAGTCGATGATCATTTAGTCCTATTCAGGTAAGTGGGAGGGGCTGGGACCCCCTCTTACGCAGATGCATACGTACTCGTCCCTAAATCACCACCAGTTCCTATAATGTACTCCCTATGTTCGTGAGACTCGTTCTATTTATATCGACTACACCTTGATATAAATATGGTGGCTGGATTTCCAAAAAAAGGTGGCACAGGTGGCAACCATGCGGTCCTCCCAGCCGACAGGGAAAAAAAAAAACAAGGTAAATCACTTGGGAAGAAAAGAAATTTCTTATCCGATCGGCAGAGAAACCCTGGAATCTTGATATCTTCATGTCCATGGTTCTACGTTGTTTGATCTCATCTTAGGGTTTCTTTCAAGGTTGTCATACATCTAAACTACTAGGTAACTTGTAGCCAAATGCTTCCACCCTGGCCAACATAGTTGTACAGTTATTTACTTCAAAGGTAAATTCTCTAACCCATCTTTTGGTTGACTCTTCCCTATTAGTGACCGGACTTGAATTCCGATCGCCATCGATCCCTGGACTTTGAATGCTTTCAGGGTCTAGTCACGCACAGCCCTTTTATCAAATCAAATTCGGAGTACGGAGTACTCCGTAGATAGGGGGTTCTTAAATGGAGCGTGCTTTTTTACCCTGAGTTATCGCGTGTACCTTTTCTCGATCACACATGTCGCTAAAATACTCCGGAACATTACAGAATTTGGCTATGAGATATGAGATGGGTCATATTCACAGAACACTAGCTACATAACCTGTCTGTATTAATATTGACAAAGGAAACACGATAGTATATTGTCAGTCAATGATCACTCGAACCACTTTGATCCACTTTCGTAGACAGTTCAAGAAATAGCCCACCTTCACGTGTCACATCTATAGGTAAGGATCGTCCAGGGTTCGCTGATGCACGCCTACTTAGCAAGCGCTGCGGCTGCCGACTTCGGGAGAAGTGCGTCATCGCCAAGTTGTTGCCTCAGGCATAATAGTGCAAACCCTGCAAACTTAGGAGCCCCGTTATCAGATCTCGTTCTCAGTCTGTGTGTCCGCCGCTCTAGCGACGAAGCCTCTTATAAATGGACAATCGAGTTGCAGAGAATGTTCTCGGTACCCTGGGTGCAGTGGGTTCTATTTCCCGATTTTCCCGATTGGTAGAGCGAACTAACTATTCTTTAGGTATGCTGGTCTGTCCAAGTATGCGGTTGCTGTGTGCCAATTACTTTTGAGCCCGCACTGATCACATTATACAGCTCATTCCTCAAATAGTCATCAATTACAGGAGACATGACACTGAAGGCCTACAAGGGTCAATGATGCTCTTATGGGCCACCGCAGGGGTTCCCCTCGGGGTGTACAACATTGTGGAAGAATTCAACATTGCCCTGAGGATTCAGCCTCAAATCCTAACGACACTCAGCCTAATTACTTGGGCGCAGTGTCTCTACTATGGAAAGGTAAACACTTTGCTTTATATTCAACATTATCCTCATAATACTCATATAAACTCAGAAATACCGAATCATGAAATGCTGTGTCGCAGTCACTTCGCTTCTGCTGCTGTTCGGCGGCATTGAAGCAGGACTTATATTTGCGTTGCAAGCTGCGAAAAGGCGCGGATTAGAATGGCCTCTCATCTTGATGGCAGTTTTGAGTGCGTGCCTACTTGCAGCAGGTGTACTGAGACATTACTGGGATATCTATGTCCACCGGACTGTCCGAGGAATCAGCTTCATTTTTGTCGGTATTGACGCTGCTGGGGACTTGTTTTCGCTCCTCTCTGTCTGTAGGTCAACTTCATCGTTAGGTAGAGATGGTCAGCGGCTAATATGCAAGCAGTGTTTGGATCGACTATTTCTGCTCTTGGGATAATTATTTATGGAACTGAATTGACCCTTTGGGTGGGCATATTCATCTGCGGCGGTATTTTCAACCTCCGGCCTTGGATTAAAGAGCGCTCCGAGCAGCGAAATGGCAATCTGCAGGAACCGGTGTCCCTACATCCAATGCCATCGTCGACTTCTGTGTTTAGGACCGCATCCGCATCTCAAGTGACCGAAAGAAGGCCATGGCAGAGTTCGTAAATAATTAGCAATTCATCATCTAGATACTTCAACATCAAATTAGATTGCCTATTTATACTATTTATACACCAAGCGCTCGTGCCGATACTGTAGTGATAGCAACATTCGTCTTATGTGGTCTTGAGCGATCAACATCTACAAACTAGTCAACTTTTATAGAGCTTAAAGTATGAGATAAGGTTGAGTTACAAGAAAGTGGAGCTAGATACCTACAGCTGGATGGAGCTGGAAACTTGGAAATTATGGAGACCGTAATGAGCGGCTGTCAGATTCCGTTTCAACTTTATCTCAGGGATGCTCCGCCACATCCCGGACCCGCTTACATACAAGGTTGCTTTCTCAGAACACATTTGTGCCACAGAATCACATTTCTCGTCCCCCGTTCTAAATGTGCACATTCTGGGCTGGTTGAAGGCAGTGGCACTTGCCTACAATTTTGCCTTACTCATCTTACTTGCCTTCGGACGTCTCCCGATATCAACATTGGACCACCAAGGAAAGCTGGGCGGTGCATCAACCTCAAGAGTTGCATTGAAAACAGGTTTTCGTTTCTCGAAGAATGCCTTGATGCCTTCCTTTGAGTCCCTATAACACGGTTATTATTGCTTCTTATAATGCAAATATTCCCAAGAAGGCTAAATGAAACGAGACGGAGAGAGCATACCTCCCACTAAACATATGATACAACACCGCTGAATCAACTAGGTGAGTCTCCTCGGCACTCCCTGGGCTACGCCACATGAGTTCCTGCGAAAGATATGATGCCATGGGGCTAATGTTCTCTGCAACTTCTGTAGCAAGCTCCAACGCACGCGCAACTACCTGATTTGGATCAGGGTATGTCTCCTGGAACAAGGTCCCAAAATGCGGCGACGTAGGCGGGAAGGTGCCGCCCGTTGTGATTAAATAAAGAGCATTGGAGTAACCAATCAACCGCGGGAGAAAGAATGAAGAACTTGATTCCATCGTTAGACCTCGTCGCGGGAAGACAAATCCATACTTGGATTTCTCGCAGCCAATGCGTATGGCAGCCGGCAGGGACATCGTCATGCCCAACCCAACAGCGGAGCCCTGCATGGCCGCTATAGTAGGCTTGCGACAGCGGTAGATGGATAAAGCGAGTCGGCCGCCGCTGTTGATATCGGTATTAGCGGAATTGATATATGAGCTATGGTTGGAGCTTCATGGTTTACCTATCGCGATGATCCTTGTTCCTCTCCTTCTTCATTTCACTAAACCCTCGCTCAAGATCCGCACCAGCACAGAACATTTTGCCAGCACCGGTAAGCACTACAACTTTGACGCGTTCGTCAACATCAAACATATAAAATATCTTCTCAAACACATGCATCATCTCTAGAGTGAATAGATTATTCTTTTCTGGTCGGTTTAGCGTCACCACAATGACAGGGGTAGCTTCGAGGGCCCCGGCTGGGTGGTGGGACATTGACATCCGTCAATGGAAGAATCTCGTAAGACTTGGGAATTTCGATAGTGTCTGGGTCAAAAATCATTGTGGTCACTAAAGATAAACCAGACTGGAATCTACTTATGTTCGCAAATTATATGTCAGTCCGCCTCGGCTTTCACTTGGGCATGCAGATTGGATCACTAATCATGGAGCTCAACGAAATTGAGCCGCGGTCAACATATGCTTTGCGCGGGGTTGGGAGTACACTATCTCGGAACATATTAGAAGCTAGGAGTGACATGTGTCCTAGGGGGCTAAGGGTTTGATCACTAGACTCATTCTCGATGTACTACATACAGGCCGAAGTAGTATCACCACAATCGACGATTTTCATAGTAATTCCAACTTATCCCTGCGAATCTTCTTTATCACAGAGGAATATTACAGTCATACTCTAGTGAATTCAGTCTCGTATCCATTTTAGGGCCTGTTCTTAGCCATTATTCGCATCTTTTTTCCCAGAATATGGCTTGTTTTCAGTCCGAGGTATGGAATGCCAGGCGTGCATTCATAGCAAAATAAATTCATATGTATGAATAAATCCGTATATCGCATCCAGTTCTCATCATTTCATATGTCTAGCAAACGCCACAGCCATATACTCCGTTGCATCACCCGGTGGGAAAACAGCGGATAGATAGGCGGTCCAGCCAGGAATATCGTTGCAAAAAGTATACGCTCTAACAGTCTCACACCATTCAGGTTGCCATCCTGAAAGTTCCCAGTCCAAAACTGCAGTGACATGACCATGGTCGTCAACCAGGATATTTCTCGGTGCCAGATCACCGTGCGTGAAGACCAACTTATCCTCCGGCCATTTATTTCCCGTACAATTGAGCAGGAGATCCGGGACAGAGGTCCTCAATCTTGAAAATAGATACTCGTCAAGGTAGACTGGGCGCCGCATGTATATATGTTTATGGCTGAAAGGTTCCAGAGGTTCGCGCTTTAGCCCCCGGAGTTGCTGTACATATCCACGTAGTTCCTGCGCAACGGACATCTTTTGTGATGGGATCATGCTGGACCAGGCATCTTGCAGCGTCTGACCTTCGACATAGTCCATTAATATAGACTTAGCGCCACCATCATGGATTTGGGTCTCGTGAACGTGGGGGATCGGGATGGCCGTGTTTTCGGAGATATAGCGCATATTCTCGGCTTCAAGCTCTATATCTTGGGAGGGTCCATATTTAAGTAATCTGTCTTGGGCAACTCGAATGATCTTCCGGAGACTGAGTTCTGGTCGCTCTAAGTGCCTTCACTAGTCAACGTGGTGTAATCATATGGGATCACTTTTAAACAAACCGACCTTCGCCAGAGACATCCATCGTGTCTATCTGCTTGTGACCCCGCAATCAGAACATGAGCCTAGAAACAAATGATGAAAAAGCGCACTATCCGATCCATGACCAATCACGTGGCTGGGAGTGGTCAGACATGCAGTTGGCTGAATGTAGTAACCTTGGAAGTTAGTTGGAGCGTAGTCTCGAAGCCAATGTGTTCTGTCATGCGGATTTGAGGACAAGAACTACGAGTGATACATAGGTAGACACTGCATTTAGATAAGAGCACCATCCATTTTTCTACTCTATGTGGCGTGAATAATCATCATCAGGAAAGCCTAAGTATATAGGCTACCCCTCATCTATCGGGTAGACAAGAATATTTAAACGAAGACCTTGGCCTCGCCGGCCTTCAGCTTGCCAGCATCAACAAGGCGCTTAGCCTCGCCAGACCAAGCGGTCTTGACAGCAGCGCCATCACTGCCGGCAATGGTGAGCTTCTCAGCCAGAACGGCAAGCTCATCAACATCGATCTTGGCCATGATGAGGTCGACATCGCTGAGGACATTGTCGATATCAGCGGGAGTGGGCTCACCGGCGGCGAAGTAGTTGACATCCTTGACGGAGCCCTTGAGGATACGCTTGTTCTTCTTGGAAGCGTTCTTAGCGGCCTCTTTAGCCTTCTTATTCTTCTCACGGTCAGCCTTGGCGGCCTCCTCAGCGTCCTTCTTGCGCTGCTCCTCGGCGGCCTTGGCTTTCTCCTTCTCCTCCTTGAGACGACGCATCTCCTCCTCCTTGGCGAGACGCTTAGCGTCTTTGCCGGCACGAGCCTGCTGGCGGAACTTCTTAATACGCTCATCGGAAGCGAGACACTCGTCAACGAGCTCACGCAGACGAACGGTGTCCTCGGTCTTGCGCTTGCGGCGGGCATTGGCGTTCTTCTTCTCCACATGACGTTTCTGGTCACGACTCTCTCCATCATCAGGCACATCCTCATCAAGGTACTCGAAAGTCCTCCAGCTGTCAACATTGTACCAGAAGTTGTAGAAAGTCTCGACATGCTCCTGAGTGCTGTTCTCGTCTCCGAGTGTGGGCACAGGCTGCTTATTGGAGAAGCGACCCTCTGCAACGAAAACAGGGCCCCAGGCCTTGTAGAACTTGCTACCGGTGAGCTTCTTAGTGGGGGGCTCAACGTCAGCGTTGTCGTCGACGGAATCGAACTGGCGACGACGAGTAGGGTCGAGAAGCAGATCGGTAGCCTTCTGGATACACTTGAAGAAGCTGTCGTTCTCATCGCTGTTACCCTGGGCGGCCTTCTTGTCAGGGTGGTGACGCAGGACCTTCTTGCGGTGAGCCCGCTTGATCTGCTCGGGGGTTGCACGCCAGCGGTACTTTTTCAAACCCAAGACGGCGTAGTGATCCTGGCCCTGCTAGGAGTTAGAAAATGACCAGCCAGAATAAATGTTACATTACTGACCTTCCAGTCCTTGGCCTCACGGGCAAGCATGACAGGATCCTCATCTTCAGAGATATCATCATCCTCCTCAGTCTCGGTCTTTTTGACATTGTTCTGGGCCTGGAGGCGCTCATCCTCGGAGAAAGTACGGTTGTGACGAGACTAGAATGTGGTTAATTCTGACGAAACAAGAATGAGTGAATTTGAAGAACTTACTCGGCGAGCGTGAGCCAGGAAGTGCGGGCCAACGGGCTCCACGTTGCGCTTGGTGGCACCGGACAGAGCACCGACAATCTTGAAATCCTTCTCACCAGCCCAGCCCTGAGGCAAGGTAGGGAGGGTAATGTCAACAACTTGAGCAGCAGCCATTGTGTAATGGTATTGGTGACGGTACCAAGTTGTGTGTGGAGGGCGTCGGGTCCCGCGATGGAATTTTTTGCATACCTTTTTTTTCTGCCCCAAATATCCGCCCCTCCAGCCAATCACGGGCCGGATGTTCTAGAGTTTTGAGATTGGTGATGGCACCCGGCCTTGCTTCCTTTCTCTGTTCACTTGTACATTCAAATTTTCTGGTCTGATCAATCTGCGTTCTTCTTTAGACAACTACAACTTCTACATCGCATCTACAGCACCACCCTCTAACTTTATCCTATCTCATTGTTCGTGCGGATCATCTACAGCAGTTTGCCACCTGCTTCCCGGCCTGTTCCTAAAAACACCCACGTCTATACTTCTGTGACAATTCCGCCTTTCACTATGGCCACCTCCACTGCCGCTGCTGCTAAGGGTGTCTATCGGCAACTTCTCCGGTCTACCCGGGTGGCCTTCCATAGTTCGTTTGACCAACACAACCGTCACTGAGGCATCTGTTCATACTGACGTCCGCTATAGACGATCCCCCAATTTTCATCGCTGCGCGCCAGGAAGTTCGCAAGAAGTTTGAGGAGAACCGTCGGTCCGCTGTCGACACTGGAATGCAAATTAAGCACGGGATTGAGGTTGCGGATATCCTGCGCCACAACATCGTCCAGGGCTCGAGAGAGCAGGGAGATGAAGCTGCTAAGTGGGGTAGGTGTTTCTTAATCTCGCGATTGCATTTCGTGGTTTGGTACTTGTGTACTCATTCAAACTGTTTACTAACGAGCGATTGATCCACAGAACTCAATATTCACGACCAGATTGAACGCGGTGATAACGACTCTGTCAAAATCGGCGATCAGAATGTGAAAATCCACAAGGCTTGCTCGTCATGATAGGATTCTACTTCCTGCCATCATGCTCAGTTGAATTTGAGCGCACTCTCCGAGTCTATTCAGAGTCGAAGCCAAGTCTACGACCATATGTCAAATTGACGGCATATGAAACAGTAAAATAAGCTACGACAGTGACCGGACATGTATTATAAGATACCCGACTCTTTTATCGTTGGCGTCTTCGGGGTATTTTCGATTGAAGTACATAGATTTGCATAGAATAACAATCCTTGGTAACGCCCGCTCCGAACCCTCAATTTAATTTAATGGTATCCGCCCAAGTCTGTTCAATCGCCATTCATGCTGGCATATTGGATCTCACCCGATCCGGGCGGTGGTGCAATAACATGAGGCTGAGCTTTCTCCTGGCTAGCACCCTCGCCTGCAGAGGTAATGGCTTGTCGATCTGCTTGCTTACCCTTGGCAACCGATGCCACGGTCTGGCGACCCTCGCGGGCATTTTGCATTCTCTCTTCACGGTCCAAATTATCCAGTGGCTTCGGCTTTCCCCAGCGAACACGTAGAGGGCAGCCCTGAATGATGGCCTTGCCTTGGCAGTGGTTGGCGGCGGTTTCGGCATCCGCACGGTTGACGTAGTTGATGAAAGCACAATGGGAGCGGTGGGAGCAAATAAGCGACCGGAGCTGGCCGAATTCGCTAAAAAATGTGCGAAGCGCATGTTCAGGGAGATCGTCTTCCACGCCTGTAATAAACAAGGAAGTGACGTTGGGATCCTTAGGGGGAAGAATATCTGCAGCCGATGGCGGTAATTGGGTGGTACTGGGGAATGGGCGGCCACCACGGCCACCACCTCGTCCTCCCCGGCCTGGAAGGCGGTTTCCGGCGCGGCTTTCACTGGTGCGAACCGGACCTGGTCCATTTCCATACCGACTGTTTGTTCGTGGTTGATCTGTCGCCGTGCCTTCCTCCGCTTTCTCCTCCTCGGCAGGTGCTTCGATTCGTCTGGGTTTGCGGTAATACGGTTCGCTGTTTGCAAGGCGTCGCAAAAGCTCACGAGCCTTGTCGTCTGTCTTTTCGTATTCTTCAATAGCGCCGCGTCCCTCTTCGATTTCCTTCTCGTTGTTCTGCGCGTAATACTCGCGATTGATGGAGCTTTCCGGTCCTGGGGCGACCATTTTGAGAGCAGCATCACGGACGGCAAGGGGAAGACCGAAAGACAAATCTAGCATGCAGCATTGACAGCAGTTCTTCAGGCGCGCGCATGTGAGACAGATAATGGATCGCTTTTGGCGGGAGGTCCGATCGGCCTTCCAACGGAAGATAGTAAATGGTCGCGTGCACTAAATATTTAGTATGTGGTTATGAACTAGCCTCGGGGGAGCAGAAAAAAAAGACTTACGATCTTGCACTCTGCGCCATGATCTTCCTTGATCATCTGCACGTATGGATTTTCGGGAAGGCAGTTCTCACAAACGGAGGGAAAGTCTGTCGACTCCCAGCCGGATCGATTCAAATCATGCTTGATTTGAGGAGGCATATCGGACAGTATGGGTCAGTGGAGAGAGGTGAGAGCTTCCAAGGCTAGTATCAAGATTGATAGAAGTGGCGTGTGCCACAATGTGGCTAGTGTATCACGTGATTATGTGCCTCAGGTCACCATTTTTCCCACCGGGAGGTACAGCGTCCGACTCAGCCACAGGCCGGAACTTGCTGTCCCGCGAGGGAAAGAGAGTGTGGCCACTCCCCAATCTGCCCCCCGGAGGACACTAAGGCTCGGTCTAGTCGTTCGGAAGAACCCCCTGATTGGCTCTCCACTTTGGATTGTCAAAAAGTTGCTTGGGATTCGACTCTTATTTATTTCCCCTTTCTCCTACTTCTCCAAGTCGCTATCCATTCCCTTCAATTGTGCTCTCTTGCTTCGCTTCTCTTGTGGTATTTCCAATCTCGGTTTACCTTGTCTTTTTGTCTTTTTCTCGAGGAAATTCTTGGAAATTGACGCCTTTGCCTCCTTTTACTCTACCCCTTTTAATCTTTGCGACTCATTCCTTCAACATGGCTCCCTCTGTATTGGAACGTGAGGACAAGGCGCGTGACGCTGCCTTCAACAAGGCTCTGCATGGAAAGTCAGCCAAGGCCCAGGGTGGTCTTGCTGCTATGCGCGGAAAGGACGCCGCCGCCCAGAAGGCCGCCGTCGATGAGTACTTCAAGCATTGGGACAACCAGAATGCCGCTGATGAGACACCCGAGACCCGTGAGGTATGGCAGTAGGCATCCAAAACAATTGGTCCTTATCGCTAACTTTTTCTGTGTTATAGGCCCGCAAGGCTGAATATGCTACCTTGACCAGACAGTACGTTTGGAAACCCCCCATTGATCAACGCGACTCATACTAATGATTCTCTTACAGCTACTACAACCTGGCTACCGACTTCTACGAGTACGGATGGGGTTCTTCGTTCCATTTCTGCCGTTTCGCCTACGGTGAGCCTTTCCACCAGGCCATTGCCCGTCACGAGCACTACCTTGCCCTCCAGGCTGGTATCACAGAGGACATGAAGGTTCTGGATGTTGGCTGTGGTGTCGGTGGCCCTGCTCGCGAGATGGTCAAGTTCACTGGTGCTCACGTCACCGGTCTGAACAACAACGACTACCAGATCGACCGCGCTACCCACTACGCGGAAAAGCAGGGTCTTTCGGACAAGATGGCCTTCGTCAAGGGCGACTTCATGCAGATGAACTTCCCCGACAACAGCTTTGATGCCGTCTACGCCATTGAAGCCACTGTTCACGCCCCCGAGCTTGTCGGTGTCTACAGCGAGATTTTCCGTGTCCTGAAGCCAGGTGGTACCTTCGCTGTGTACGAGTGGCTCATGACCGACGATTATAACAACGATGATCCTGAGCACCGTCGCATCCGTCTCGGTATCGAGCAGGGTGACGGTATCTCCAACATGGTCCGTATCTCCGAGGGTCTCGAAGCCATGAAGAACGCTGGCTTTGAACTGAAGCATCACGAGGATCTCGCTGCCCGTCCCGACCCTATTCCCTGGTACTACCCGCTGGCGGGTTCCTTCAAGCACATGGGCTCGGCCTGGGACTTCTTCACCATCGCTCGCATGACCTGGTGGGGCCGTGGCCTTGCCCACCGCTTCGTCGGTGCCGGCGAGTCCATCGGTCTCTTCCCCAAGGGTTCCCAGAAGACCGCCGACAGTCTGGCCTTGGCTGCTGATTGTCTGGTCGAAGGTGCTGAGAAAAACCTCTTCACCCCCATGTACCTCATGGTTGGCAAGAAGCCTGAGTAAATCTTGAGCAACAACGGTGTTAGCGGTCTTTCTGTGTAAAAAAACATTTACTCCCGGCGTGCACGTTATTCCCTGGTGTCCTCATCTTATTTCGTTTCTTTTCACCCTCCGCATGTCACCAGGGGATTTTTCTTGGCTCAAGTCTGGCCCAATGTCGGCGGAGAACGAGCCGCGTGCCGCTTTCTCCTAATTGATGGTGCCATTAATTTTTTTCTTTCTGTTGTTTTTTTTTACCTGTCAAGATAACAATGTAATAGTCATTGAGTCAAGAATAACGAGCAAAGGATTGGTATTTTTTTATGTGAATTTTTTTCTCTGTATATTCGCGGCGCACATGCTGTTAAAGCTACAAGTATTTGCGAACCTCGGTGACTCGTTTAGATTAAGACAGCAAAGAAGCTATACGGACTATTGTGACCTGCAAGAGAAAACAATCTATCCTCCCTTCCATATTATAAGTATTTTGAAACCGAAGGAACAAACTCCGGTGAATCTTCTCTTAGTGTCATATAGCTCCCTATCACCATACACATAGCAACTCCACCATAGCTCTACTTGGATAGAGTTGAAAGGAAGTCAAAGTCAAAGCACCATATATTTGAATTTGATGAAAAGTATGTGGGTCTAAGCAAAAGCTCAGCTATTCTACAATGCTTCGGCTTCATAGCCTTCACCAGAGCCATCGAAATTGCCCATAGTCTTAGGATTGGCATGACAGCCGTGGTGCGCTGTGTTAAGGGTTAATGAGAAGATCCAGATTCACCAATTTTTAGGGCATACACGCATAAGTACGGAGTTAGAGGTTGGATTAAAGTTTATGTGCCTGTTTGTCTCAGGCCTAACTTAAATCAGAGCAGTTCGTTCACAAACTGTAGCTCTTATTCTCTTCCTTGTCGTATCATTGGTTACCAAATAGCCTCGAACCTTATATTCATGGAGAAACAAAAGAAGAAAATAAATCCAAGGTCCTTCCCGACTCACGCGATCTTTGCACGTACAGGCGAGAGCTACGGGTACGAGAATAGTCGGCTGTCTAAACGGCCTTCTCGTTCTAGTTGTCTTTTTGATGTAGAAGTATTCTTCCTACCACAGAGGTTAGACAAAACCCTTCTGAAGAGTATATTCATATGGTGGTAACATATTTATCATAGCCAACTTAGAAGATAAGCATCCTGATATATATATATATCCATGAATGCTTCGTAGTAAATACGGTCAGGTAGTATTAACCAGTGAAAATTAAGTGCCAAATGGCATAATTCCTCGCCCGTGGCATCCACGAATCATCTAGATGATATATCTAACCGGCTTTGAATTGTCTACTTTTCGAACCAAGTGCTTTTTGTACTATATACCGAGCTCACCTTAAACATCAGTCATGTTACCAAGCAAGGACGAAATATAAGAATTACTCATGAGTGTTGCTGGTGTCTATGATAATCTCCCCTTCAGTAAGTATAAATTATCATTATTGTTGTAATACTACACATACTCCGTACTTGAGTTATGTAGTTCTGAGCCAAGAAGAGGTAAGCATATGTCCCTCCTCGGCAAAAGCTTTTATTAACAATCTAGAAATTACTATACAAATTAATATATAGTGATCACGTTGCTCAAGGAAGGTGAGTGTATGGTCAGCCCAGAGCTGTTCCTGACCGGGGCGGGCCAGTGAGCGTAGGGGGTCAGCCAGTGAGGGCACGAACAGTAACAACGTGCAACGCAGGGACCAGCGGCGGGCAGGTACCCGGTCCACTATCTGCCATTCATCCAATCAAATCAACTTGATTTCGGACTCTAATTTCTTCAGGTCAGTTCTATTCAAGCCTTGACAGCTCGGGAGAAAAAAACGCTTGGAAATACAGCCAGTTAGCCCTGCATCGATCACAACGTGGTGTCGGTTAAGAGTGCCGTGTAACATAGCGCATTTTTGCCGATGGGGGGAATGTCATGCCTCCGACGCTGGCTGGAGTATAAGATCGCGTGTTCGACCCACCGATCTGCTCCTTTGTTGTCTATCTCATCACAGCGATCCCAGATATGTTCACCAAGCAGACTCTTCTCGCGGTCGTCGGGGCCCTGGCCCTGGCTGCGGCCAAGACTACCACTGAAGTGAACCCGACTCAGGCAGAAATCGATGCAGACCGTCTTACAGCCCGGCCTTACTCTCCTGTGTCAAACGTGAGGGGCTTGGTTTTTGATCGATTTGTGAACATCTGGCTCGAGAACACGGTAGGTCCCCCCCTTGCATAACGAGCAATGACCACGTGCTCACCCTTTTGCAGGACTACGAAACCGCTGCTGCAGACGCGAACCTGGCCAAGCTGGCTAAGGAGGGTATCCTCCTGACCAACTACTTTGCCGTCACTCACCCCTCGGAACCCAACTACTGTGCTTCTGCCGGTGGTGACACATTTGGCATGGACAGTGACGACTTCCTGCAGATCCCCGCCAATGTCTCAACCATTGCCGATCTGTTTGATACCAGGCATATCGCTTGGGGTGAGTATCAAGAGGACATGCCCTATGCCGGCTACCAGGGCATGCGGTACCCCCTCAGCGGCGCGAACCAGTACGTGCGCAAGCACAACCCGCTGGTTCTGTATGACTCGGTTACCAACGACGCCGTGCGCCCGCGTCAAATCAAGAATTTCACCACTTTCTACGATGACCTGGAACACCACCGCCTTCCCCAACACATGTTCATCACACCGAACATGACCAACGACGCTCACGATACCAACATCGGTGTGGCCGGCAACTGGGTCGAAAGCTTCCTGCCTCCCCTGTTGAAAAACGAATACTTCAGCAAGAACAGCCTGGTGTTGCTCACCTTTGACGAGTCAGGCAACTACACCCACCCCAACCGGGTCTTCAGCGTCCTGGTTGGAGGCGCTGTCCCCCAACACCTGAAGGGTACCACCGACGACACTTTCTACACACACTACTCAATCATTGCCTCCCTGTCCGCTAACTGGGGTCTGCCATCGCTTGGCCGCTGGGATTGTGGCGCCAACCTGCTGGACATTGTCGCTGAAAGGACCGGCTACGTCAACTGGGAAGTGGATCTCAGCAGTGCCTACCTCAACCAGACTTACCCTGGCCCCCTGTCTGACTCGCATTATTCCGCCAAGTGGCCCGTTCCTCTCACCGATGGCGAGTGCTCTGCTGGTAATGGTATTGCTAAGGTCGTGAAGAAGACCTACCACGGTCTTCACGCTACCCGCGACTACACCAGTCCTGTGCCGTATGACGAGGCCAGTGGAAACAACCTGGGCATCAAGTACTCGCGTACTCTGGTATGGAGCCTTCCCATTCTTCCCTCTGATGATTCTAATGCTAATAATTTACAGAAGCACGGTAAGAAGCAGTCTGGTATCACTGGGAACCAATAATCGACATATATATATATATATATATATGATACACTGTCACTACCGTGTCAGATGTGAACATAAGCAGTTACCCTAGTGTTTAAAAAGTTGATTGAATACTATGTTGTTCTACCACATTAAAATAGTTCTTCGATTTTGTCATAATCATTGTAGATCCGAATGTTGTGACTTTCTTCCAATGTACGATCTACAGACTATGTTGATGAGTATGGGGGCATCCCCAGTTTACCTCTACCCCAGGAAATATGTATCTCCACAATCTCCACTAATAATCCTCCGATTTTTGAACGACAGAATCTAAGATAGACAGATCGATAATAAAATGAGTACAACAGTGTAGAAACGACCCTCTATCTCAAAGCTGGTTTTCTCCTTTCTGATATGCTTTTGATATAATATGGGCGGGTGCAGTCCAAGCGCGTTGACCGTTTATGGACTGATGTCACACCGCCGATGCCCTCATGTAGAGTTGGCAGGATACTTTTCAGATAGTGCTGAAACTACTATTGAAATACTCTTTGACGCATTGCCCAAAGTTGAATGCCGACCCGATAAAACCTCTGTATTTCAATGATTTCTTTTTACCATAATCCAATTACAGACATTATTGCTATAGCTCAAACTACCCTGATCAATCTGGCTTCACATCTGCCAGATCTCAACGGAGATCGACATTACACAAACCAATCAGGGATAGTGGGATTCATTTCCAAGTAACACCCGAGGTCTCTCAGATCTCAAGGAAGTTTTGCGGAGAGTTGCTGGCCACATGGCAATCTGTTTCCCATGATTCCCACGAGGAACTTGAGGGGGCACGCCAAGGCCCTCGAAGCGCCACATACTTAGAAGGCGCTTTACTATGACGTTTTAGGAGTTTCGCTTTGGACTATGAACGGCCTTGCCGTGATCTGCACTCCCGCGAAGTATCGGCTCCCCCTCGTCTCGTACAATATGTCGGGGACCCTCCTAAGCGACGACGCCTAACGGGTGCCAAGAGATATGTACGTTGCACTCAAATCTAACATGGCATCATCGCGGACAGAGCGCATGTTCTGATTCGCTCAGGTACCGAGGGCTGTCTCGCCCATGTTACATGTACAACCACTCGGGGAATTGTGTTATTGGTCCAATAGGAAAATTAATATAGGCTTGTACCTCCCTACTCACATGCACGTCTACCAATCCAGGTTCCATTATTTTCATATCCCGACGAGCAGAGATTTTACTGGCGAAGATATCAAATCGGAGGTGAAGTGCCCGATAATGCCCGCTTGACTTTCAGTGTTTTCCCGAAATCTTGTGTGGGCCCAGGTGAATAATTTTTTTTTTCTCCCATACGGCGTACGAAGTATGGCCAGAATAGGCATATAACCAAGCTATGCTTGTCAAATGCTTCGCTTTCTTGGAATTTTCTTGGAAATGTACTTGGAAGGCTTGGTTGATGAGCCAAGAAGGAGTAAGCAAATATCCTGATCTTGGAAGTGTGGTTGACCTGTAAAAGTTTTCGAAATCCGCTGTCTTTGACATGGTTATCCCTTCCTAATGCGGAATCATCTTGGCGAATGGGTCCGCCCACTTTTCCTCCCCAATTTTTTGACTCTCTTTGATATGGTTCTCGGGATGCTTCTTCGGGATGGTGTCTTCGGGAAGGGCTGCATCGGGCATACTCATACCCCGTAGATGGGACGTTCTGTTGTTGAGTCCGCAAGCCGTTAGTCTACATCCCACAGTTCTCATGTGACCACGGAGTATGGAGTAGAGTATGGAGTAGAATATGGAGAAGAATATGGCTCGTGATCCCGATGATCATTGCTCAAGACGGCATCCCCTCAGAACCCCGGGAAATTATTGCAGTCCACGGCTGACCCGTCGCCGTAACCGGCCGGGGCATCGGGCACGACGCAGTTCCGAAGAAAAAAGGAAACTTTCACGAGATCGTTGGAAGCATGGGAATACGTAATATTCGGGCCACACCAATCGGCACCGAGCGTGCGAAAAAGAAAAACCAATGGACTGCCAATTGCGGTCGACGAATGGCCATTCAATGAAATCCTCGGCCCCTGACCCACCTTCCCCCCCCTCTAATTTCTTATTCCCCCAGTACTTGCAGGTCGTGGAGTTGGCCGCGGAGGTCGTGGAGGGTCGGGTAAGATTCCCTTTCCGGCTAAGTATCGTCGCTCACCTCCAGACGCCTCCAGACGCCCCCCGGGAATTGTGATCCACCCCCCACAAAAGCCACGAGAAAATAAGAAGACGAGCAAGCCTGCTATCTTAACGAATATACGCCATTCCATGTAACGTTGCTCAGTTAGTGTAGTGAGATAGATAACCCAAGGCCCAAAACGGTAAACACACGCCGCTCGGAGCACTTGGCAGACCGCGAGATTTGCTTGTTGCATCCCCGCAACCCCACTCATTTGGCCCTTGGCCCCCTCCTTAGCCCCTCCTGGGCCCCCACGGCGGGTCGCAAGACTTGCCTATCCAATGTTGAAGCGCCGCCGATGTCACTCCGAACTTTTCTCTTCTTGGCACTAACCCAATGGACATGCGCACTGAATGCATATAAGGTACAGAAACATTCCCCCCGGTGTCTGAGCTTCCTTTTTCTTCTTATGTCGCTTTGGTATTTCCCTCTCATCTAATAGAGGACGTTGATCATGTGGACCACAACCTCCGGCTTACGGGGCAAGAAGCTCCATCTTGCTATCACCTTCACATCCGTCGTTGGATTCTCACTTTTCGGATATGATCAGGGTTTGATGTCCGGTATCATCTCTGGTGACCAGTTCACCAAGGAATTCCCCCCTCTCCATGGTGACTCTGAACACGTCGCCGTCCTGCGCGGTGCAGTCACTGCCTGTTACGAACTTGGTTGTTTCTTTGGTGCTATCTTCACAATGATGTACGGTCAGCGTATTGGCCGCACTCCTCTCCTGGTAGCCGGTGGTATCCTCATGATCATCGGTACAGTTATCTCTACTGCTGCCTTCGGTCCCCACTGGGGACTGGGCCAGTTCGTTATTGGACGTGTCATCTCTGGTCTTGGAAACGGCATGGATACCGCGACTATCCCCGTCTGGCAGTCAGAGTGTTCGCGCGCTCACAACCGTGGTTTCCTCGTCTGCTTCGAGGGTGCTATCATCGCCGTCGGTACCTTCATCGCCTACTGGATTGATTTCGGTCTCTCTTATGTCGACAGCTCCGTTCAGTGGCGATTCCCCGTCGCCTTCCAGATTCTGTTCGCCGCGCTTGTCACTGGTGGTGCTCTTATGCTGCCCGAGTCGCCTCGTTGGTTCGTCATGCAGGGTCACGATGAGGAGGCCCTCAGGGTTCTCGCGCAGCTCAACGATAGTGCTGTCGATGCGGACGATGTGCTTGCCGATTTCAACATGATGAAGGCTGATCTCAAGGCCATGGAGAGTCTTGAGGCTAGTAGCTGGCGTGTCCTCTTCACTGGTGGTAAGACTCAGCACTTCCAGCGTATGGCGATCGGTTGCTCTGGCCAGTTCTTCCAGCAATTCACTGGTTGCAATGCCGCTATCTACTACTCGACCCTGCTATTCGAGCAGAACTTGCACATGGAGGGCAAGCTTCCCCTGGTTCTAGGAGGTGTTTTCGCCACCGTCTACGCTCTTGCCACTATCCCATCCTTCTTTATGATTGAGAAGGTCGGTCGCCGCAACCTGTTCTTGATTGGTTTCCTCGGTCAGGGTCTCAGCTTCATGATCACCATGGGTTGTCTCGTCAGGTCGAACTCGCAGAACGCCAAGGGTGCGATTGTCGGTATCTTCCTCTTCATCTGCTTCTTCGCCTTTACTACGCTGCCTCTACCCTGGATCTACCCCCCGGAGATCAACCCCCTCCGTACTCGTACGAAGGCCGCCTCCGCTTCCACTTGCATGAACTGGATTACCAACTTCGCCGTCGTCATGTTCACTCCTGTGTTCTCCAACCAGTCCGACTGGGGTATCTACCTCTTCTTCGCGCTTATCAACTTTATCGCCATCCCCTTCGCCTGGTTCTTCTACTGTGAGACCGCCGGTCGTGATCTCGAGGAGGTTGACATCATCTTCGCCAAGGCCCACGTTGAGGGCAAGTGGCCTTACCGGGTCGCACAGGAGATGCCCAAGCTCACCATTGCCCAAATTACCCAGTTCCAGAACGAACTGGGTCTCGATACCTCCGACCTCCAGGTCAACACTGAGGCCGAGAAGGCCGAGACTGCCATGAGCAGCAGCAGTGAGGCCAAGAATGGCGATACCAAGCACGAGGAGTAAAAGCTCCAATCGTCAGTTGCCCTTGGTTGATGTCGGCCGAGTGAGATTCGCGGAGCGAATCGAATTAATCATCTGTTTCGGATCTCATATTATCATGTGACCATAGAATCTCTATACCCCCCCTGTGTCTAACGGGAAAGCGGGCAGACTAGTATGTGAATAGTCTGCTCTACGATCTCTTTCTCTTTTCTCGACATTTCATTCGATTTGAATACATACTTTTTACCATAAAATCTTTCTTTTATCTAAACATTGTTGTAACGGATCTAAATACCTTTGATGTCCCCTCTTGCCCTTACAGTCTACCATCAGCACAGTATAGTATTAGTGTCTCCTTATGTGAAGATGGAAAGTAAATAAGGCTTGACAATATCGTATATATAATTCTACACTGAGTTTTAGGTGCAAAGCTGGTCGAATTAACGATGGCATTCCATTCAGATTCAACCTCCAATTTGTGTGTCGTAACTCGTAACTAACGAGGACCTTGGAAACCCCTGCAGATCGAGCACCGACTAGAGAAAGTCTAGGAGAGTCAAACCAAGGAAAACTTACATGTGCTTCGGCATAAATTCCGTGTCTTGAATCAAACAAACCAGGGGTATAAAGTATCAGTTATAGGGCCCGAGGCATTCATGAAGACAATCTCGGCCACATGCCAAAAAAACAGCCGTGTTCGCCATAGCTTCTTACTTTCGCAGCAAAGGAATTAAATATTGAGTTAGCCGATTGAAAAACCCCTTCTAAGCATAATAATGTTAAAAAAACTCAGAAGGACCTAGCCAGCCGCATAAGTACTCTTTTTTCTCAACGTCTCCCCAAACTTCCACAAAAACACTGGCGCTGGCACCCCGATGACAATAGCCACGAACGCCAACAAACTATTTCCCCACCCATAGTTCAAAGCACTATACATATACGGTGCAAAGAGTGGAAACCCAAACCCAGCTAGCGAGCGCAGGAATGCACTAGCAGCAAGCGCACTAGCCGCAAACCGTGTATAGGTATCAACCATATAAGTCTGGATACACTGGAAGGCAATAATATTGCCAGTACCGAACAGTACAGCACCGATGTTCGGTGCGATCCAATGGCAGTGGTACTGAGCAGTCCAGCCGTAGATGAACAAGCCAGAGGGGATAAAGAAGGCGCCGACGAAGAGCAGCGGGACGCGGAACTCCGGTTTTCCGACACCGCCATTGCGGGCCTTGAGACGGCGGTAGATACGGTCATTTAACGGGGCGCAAATCTGTGAGCCGAGCCAGAAGCCTAGTCCGAGAGAGATGTAGTTCAGGCCGCCGATGCCAGTTGATTCGTTGTAATAGTTTGGGCTTGTCCAGAGGGTGGGAAATGTTGAGAGGACGAGGTACATGATTCCATAGATGTAGGCCATGAATAGGGCGAGGACTTGGACGATTGGCTGGGTGAGGAGGAGGCGGAAGGGACGGATGAGCGAGCTGCGCAGGACTTCGGGTAAGGTCTTATTTTGGCGCTCTGCTTCTGTTTGGTAGGATTCGTCGCCCGTTTCGTTGCGCAGGCGGACGGCGCGGTCGAGGAGGATCTTCGGACCGTAGCTCTCGCGTAGGAAGAAGAGGCCCATTAGCTGGATTAGGCCGTCGGTTATTGAGGTTGAATAGAAAACCCAGCGCCAGGTTGTGTTTTCGGCGATGAAGCCTCCTGCGATAGGGCCAAGGGCTGGGCCTAGGAGTGGTGCAAGACTGTAGATTGCAATCCCCTTCCCGCGCTCTTCAGCCCGGAAGCAATCTGAAAGGACCCCGCCGCCGATCTAGATGTGGTTAGATATAAGCTTTTCTTGAGCGGAGTTTTGCGGCTTGGCTTACTGCTAGCGGGGCGCTGCCTCCTAGTCCAGCAAAGAATCGGCAGACGATCATTTGGACTTTCGTTCGTGAGACCGCACACCCGATGTTGAAGACTAGGAAGAAGAGGTTGGCGAGTTGCAGAACGATGGTTCGGCCGTAGATCTCTGAAAATGGCCCGAGGAATAATGGGCCAACAGCGTAGGCTAGAACGAAGATTGAGAGCATAAGTTGTGAAACTACTTCGTCTGTGACTTTGAGGTCCGCTACCAGTGATGGCAGTGCCGGTGCAACCATTGACGAAGAGACCGGCGAGATGAAGGTGAATAGTGATACGGTGATGACAGCAGCCCATTTCTTCTTGCTGCTCCAGTTTTTTGGGTTCTCGGGGTCTTCAGGGCCATCCCATTGTACCTGTACAACTTAATATCGAATGCAGATTTAGGAACATGGAACAACCTACCAGTTTTGGGTCGTGACGAGACCGGTTCGACCTTGATGTCCTTGATTTCTCCAGTTCAGGCTGTGCAGTATCGGCTCTTTCTAGATCCAAATCGCGTTCGTTCACAATCCCGTTCCGTACTTCCTGAATGATATCGGGCATATGCTCGTTTCCGACAGACGGCTCATCATCGTCGGACCCATCGAACTCATCGCTGTGGTATACCGACTGGTCATTGAGATGTCGACCCGAATAAACTCGATCTACCTGGGTCATTCCTGAATTTGACAGAGACCGTAGCCTCGTCCGTAGAGAACCAGCCAAGCTCTGAGATCGTGACTGCGTTCTTGATGCCTGAAACTCGGAATCGGTACTGGATATTGATGCCGACTGTGGTCTAGTCGAGCCAGATTCTTTATGGTCCGACATTATCGATGCTCATGCGGAGAACCAATCGAGAATAATTGGGGAAAGGACTGAAAAATTTTAATATATGAAGCCAACTAGATGGGCACGCGACACTGATTGATTCCCTAGAGAAAAAGGACCAGACTGCAACAGCGGGGAACGTTTTTATATCAAATCAATAGCCACAATAAAAAACCATCAGGCAGAAAGCCGGCATATTCCAACCATTGCGAACGGTGATAAAGCAGGAAGGACCTTAACACCGCCAGAAGAAAACCCACAGCTCTCCAGTTTGGAATATTGTGCATAGTGATTGGCTGGTACCCAAAGCTTGACACGGATGACCCCTGGCCAGACCCCATTTGCCCCTTTGTTTATCACAAATTTTCCTGAATACCGGCGGCTTGACCCGTCTTGGGTTGTCATTAAGGCAGTGTGCATGTGGGGAGAAGCGGTATTTCGTGGCTCCGTTTGCAGCCTCAGGTGTTGATTGTCGGGTCTTCGGCACATAAGTCACGTGCGATGGCTGATCGCCAATACCATATGCCACATTGGGAAGCCGGTATAGGGTTCTCCCGGTTCCGGGATATTTTTCATTGGCTGACACTTGTGTTGGTTTTATGTCCGATACAAACAGGCTGCTATCCCGGGATCACGCAGATTTGCTGGAGACATTATGATTGATCTATACAATATATGCCGGTGTTTATGTATCTTCGGATGTCCGATTTCCGATCGTTTTCGGTAGTCCGATTTACGTTACATTTTTCTTATATTAACGAGTCTAGACCGCTGGTTTATAGTTCGTGGCTGACCCTTGAGTTGCCGGGGAATAACTTAGGATCAGACTCGGAGTTTTCCAGAAATGTTCTGTGAAAGTCCGTGCTAGAGTGCTGCATATATAACGATTTGTGGCATAAGGAAGCTGAGGTCTGGGGCTTTCTAGATAAATGCAATACTGTGGCGATGGATCATTTGCTGCCGAACGAAGCTCGATATACAGTTAAAGAGGTTCATATTAGAAAGATTGTCAAGAACATCAAGACCATCAAGACCATTAAAACCATTCAAACCATCAAGCCCATCAAACCCATTTTTGTACAAACCTCTCTAAACGTGCTCGGGAATAGAAGTGGCCGGCTCGGCTTACCCCACACTTTCTTATCTCTACCCAGAGATAACCGTTAGATTGGCGCTGAGATCCTTTAATCTCCTGCCTTCTTTTGATCTCCTCTAATCAAAGATGCCGCCAGATCGACGTGTGCAGCGAATTGTCCGAGTAAGAACAGGTTGTTTGACCTGCAGGCGTCGCAAGAAGAAATGCGACGAGACACATCCAATCTGTGCTGGCTGTCAGCGCAATGACCTGGGCTGCCAGTGGCCCCCAGATGTACCTGGCAAGAGAGATCCCAGCCATGAGGACGAAACTCAAGCACCTACTGTAGATGAGTGCCGAGCGAATATTTCCGAAGAAATTCACGAAATGGCGATGCCTAGGAGTCCCTCAACTCACCGAACGCCATCGATTTCTTCGAGTTCAGGGCACTCGGTGACTACCGGAGACCAATTTGAAGACACAACGCTGCATGAGGAGATCCATAATCGACGACAAGTGTCAACGTCTACCAGGACTGCCATTTCCAGTGATTCTCTTGTCGCCTCTTTCTCAATAGGAAACGTGCTGCCGCGCAGCCTATCCATGATGCCTGGATATGATGCTGAGTCTTATCAGCTTCTCAGTCATTACGTGGCCACAACAGCCGACTGCATGGCAAATGGCTCCACGCCTGTCAACCCCTTCCTGGTACAGATTGTACCCCTGGCATTTTCTAGTGATTTGCTGCTGCAGCTGGTAATCACTCAAAGCGCCGCTCACCGCGCGTTTCGGTCACGAGATGAATCGGATACAATTGCCCACAGCCACTACTCAAAAGCCCTCCAGCATTTCCGCCGTGGAGTAACAGACTTTATCAACGGCAAAGAATCGAACCCCCTCGTGCTCCTAGTTGGGGCACTTCTGATGTGTTTTACCGAGGTAGGAAATCCATGATTCAAAAGTAGTGGGTTCAACAATCTGACAAAAACAGACAGCAAAGGGTGATATGAACGGGACAATATTTGACCACTTATCCGCCGCCAACTCGTTGTTAGTCAAATTGCTTGCCCAGAGTGACTCGGCAGTTCCACGAGACTTGAAAGATTTCGTCATCGAATACTACACCTATACTGCGACCGTCAGCATGATCTCAATCGATGCTCGCTTTAGCGGGCAAATCTTCTTAAACTTGGATCTCGAACAACGGTCGCGTGAATTACTTCAGACTCAGTACGTGGGCAACTTGTGCGGTTGCTGGCTGGAGCTATTGCTGCTGATCCCGTGTATCTTCGATCTTGGCCGACAGTGGATCATGGACGACACGCAGGCGCTAATTCCAACAGCTGATGATATTGCCATGTTTGCATCTATCCAAGCCCAGATTCTACGCTGGTCACCTTATCCCAATGTCGAAACGGAGGTCCGTCTGGCTGGGCTAATTTTCCAACAAGCCATACTCGTCTATCTGTACACCTCTTTAGGTGGATTCCAATACACCAGAGATGGAATGTATAAAGGCATGGTGGAAAATGTCGTGACAGAAGCCATGTCATACCTGGATGAGCTGTCGCCCAGTGCGCGCATCAACTCCGGGCTCTGTTGGCCGATCGCTGTGGTGGGCTCATGCCTTCTCAACCCCGACCAACAGAATTGCCTACGAGGACGATTGAATGCCATGACCGAGACATTTGGTCTTGGTAATATGAACCGAACACTTCTACTGCTCGAAGCAATGTGGGAATCACCTGCGTCCGAGGCCGGGCCATGGAATATTTCTCGGGCAATGCAGCAAAACCAAATATGGATCTCATTTGCATGATGTTGAGCGTCATCCTGTTACTCATATTATGTACAACCTAGCAAAGTCACCATCCGTTCATGCAGCCAAGTTCTTCGGCGCTTCCGTCGCCGGACCCTCAGGCGTAACATATGCCTTTGTCAAACCACCATCGACGACGAAGTCAGTAGCATTCACGAAACTGCTCTCATCACTAGCAAGGAAGATCACAGCGTGGGCCTGTTCAATCGCCTCGCCAAACCGACCGGTAGGGAAATGCACCTCACGACGGAAGCGCTTTTCCTTATCGTCACCAAGCCAATCCTGCAACAAAGGTGTGCTATCTGAATGTCAGTTCCATCAAAGGGTTTGAACGGGGAAATGCCAAGATATCACATACTTGAGAGGCGCAGGACAAAGGGAATTGAATCGGAATCCCTCGCGGGCATGAACAATAGCTAGCTCCCGGGTCATTGCCAATACAGCACCCTTGCTAGCGGTATACGCCAACTGCGGTGTCGCTGCCCCAACCAGCGCAACCATACTAGCAGTATTAATCACGCTAGCGCGCTTCTTGCCATGCCTCCGGAATGCGCGTACAGCATGCTTCGAGCCATACCACACGCCCTTCACATTGATATTCATTGTGCGATCCCAGATATCCTCGGGACACTCTTCCGAATCTCCGTCCTTGGGGTGCATGATCCCAGCATTATTGAAGATGATATCTAATCCACCCCAGGCATCGAGATGAGCGACTGCTGCTTCGATTTGGGACTCATTTGACACATCGACGACTTTAGTCTCGACCTTTCCGGTGCGGGTTGAGGCGGGCACGACACTGTTCACCTTGGAAAGTGCTTTGTCTAGGCCTGCTTCACTAATGTCGGTCATTAGGACGGAGGCGCCTTCGCGGAGCATGAGGATTGTGGTTTCGAGACCGATACCTCTGCTTTTGTTAGTTCTGTCTTTTATTGTTCGGTTGGATAGTGGGATAGAGGTACATACCCAGCTGCACCGGTGATGATAGCATTCTTGCCTTCAAGACGTCCAACCATTTTGATTTTGTGTGTGTGATATGATTGAAGGAGCTAGGGAGAATGGAACGGTTTGGGTGGTTGACAAGAATGAATAAAAATGACTGCAGAGGGCTCTTGGTAACGGCCTGGATTTATAGCATTTCCTATCTCCAATTCTCCAATCTCCAGTCCACATTGTACAATCTCCATACCGGAGCAGCTCCAACCGATATCAAGTCCACATGGTAATTAGACCACCCGCGCGGGTCAACGCGCTATATTCCCCCCTTTTCCCTTTTTCGAGTCATCTCAATTCACACAAATGTGGTACAAGTTCAAAGCTCCATCGCGCTCCTACTACCCCACCCGATGGCGCGGTGAGCTCAACATGCGGGGCATGAGGGGTAGCTGTTAGATAGATCTTCACGCGTTCAAGTGCATGAAGCATTTTCCGGTAGTGGTTGGGTCTTGGGCCTAAGGGAGCGCGGTCCGGGACCGCGCTACCTATAGTGGGGGTCTCTTTGGATAAAGCATCCCACGGATGCTCACAGGCCCGGGGGTTACCAATTACAAACCTCATGAGCTGGCTATGGTGAATTCTTGTGTTCAAATTGTAGGAGACATGCTCGGATCGGACAGTTGAATAGTTGAATGAAACTGTTGCGGGGCTACTGTGTGAGGGTGAGAGTTGTCCTACGTAGGAGGGTCTATGCCGTCTATGGCTGAGGCATACAAGTGACGGCCAAAGGCCACAATATCCAATAAATAACGGTATTGAGATTTCTTGAATTGTTCTAGATCACAACATTATTTAATCATCTTCAAACCCGCCTACTCATGCTGAGCCATCCTTGATGTGGTAGCTCTTCAGCTTCACAAATCCATCGTATCCCCGTGGCCCAAGAGTGCATCCCAAACCTGACGTCTTCCAACCAGTCCAGGCAAGGTCCTAATGTGCAATATTAGCATTAGTGAGCCATCGAAAAGTCGATAAATTGTCAAAATATCTTACCGGGCTTGGATAGTCACAGCGATTAATGAACACCGTACCGGCCTCAATGCGATCGATCAACTCCTCTCCGCGAGTGATATCCTTCGTCCAGACACTCGCCGTCAGACCATACTCACTGTCATTCATCAATGTAATAGCTTCGTCATCACTGGAGACCTTCATGATTGGCATCACAGGACCGAACGTCTCCTCCTTCATCGTAGCCATGGTATGGTTGACATTGGTCAAAACAACCGGAGAGACAAAGTTACCTTTTTGGGTTTGAGGGTTGGTTGCTACCTCAAAGCTTAGGTTCTGGGGAGTAGAGTTGACGGCTCCTTTAGCAATCGCGTCTTTGACATGGGAAGTGATCTTCTCCATGGCCTGCGTTGAGATGACAGGGCCTGTAGTTGTGCTTTCATCCTGTGGATCACCGAGTTTATACCTGATTCGAATGTCAGAGAGATATTCCCTTTCGAACGTAGTCAAGCTCACGATTTCAGCTCCTCCTGCACAGCGCGAACAAATTCCTCGTAAATTTTTTCATGCACGTATACCCGCTCTATGGAACAGCAGCTCTGTCCTGAATTGAAAACAGCTCCGTCGACGAGTTGCTCTGCAACATGCTTCACGTCGACATCTGGACGAACATATGCGGGATCATTTCCACCAAGCTCGAGGTTAACAGGCTTGATGTGATGGGCGGTTGCCTCCCTGAGTCTAATCCCACCTGCAGTTGAACCGGTGAATGAGACAGACTGGATCTCGAAAATCTGTGCCACCTGATCCAAGACATCCAGATCTCCAACGTGAATGATCTGAAGGACCTGAGGCGGAAGTCCTGCCTCAGTAAAGACCTCGAGTAGTCTATTTCCAAATAGCGGGGTCTGTGGTGAAGGGCGCAGGATAACGCTGTTACCAGCAATAAGTGCCGGGACAAGGGCATTGACAGTAGTCAGATAAGGATACTATCATATTGATGAGCTAATCTGAGGATACTTCAATAGCAGTGCTCACTCACATTCCAAGCACCCGCAATAAGTACCGGTCCCACGGGAACACGCTTGACTGTTCGGCGGAAGCCGGCTTCTGGCCGACCAGGGAGATCAGATAGGCTCTCTTCGGCAATATCCATCAAGTACTCGGCGCGCAGACGCATAGTGTTGATCTCCGATGCACAGTACCGGATGGGTCGTCCCATTTGCGCAGTCAATTCTTTGGCGAGGTCATCGCGACGCTCCTCAATGATATCCAATGCTCTTTTCACAATGCTCTTTCTATCCTCCAGAGAGGTTGTTCTGTATGACTCAAAGGCTTGCTTTGAGGCAGCAGCAACTTTGGTAGCTTCTTTGAGTGAAGTGCCAGGCTGGTCAAAAATGACCTCGTGCGTTGAGGGGCAGACTGTACGGATCTGGTTTGACATAGCGTAGGTTGTGTATCTGGTGAGAAAAAGAGTGGAATCCCGAAGGTGGGAGAGGTGGAATTTATAGCGCGGAGCCGGCGCGGTTGCATATCTGACAGCTTATCTCACTTATTTTTTCTTGCACTTTTAGTGTTTATCTCGATCTTCTAACAATATCATTTTGTTTTGTTATTTGGCCTTCGAATCTACTATGAATCTTGCAATTACCTTCGCTATTAACCACCCATCATGGGAATCACCCATTCGGGATAAACCATCGTTATATAATTCATCGTCAAACATCCCATTCTCATGTCTGGCTTCGAGCAGGCACGACATTATAGCCTCGTTGTATTCCGGGTGTCCTTGTACCGACAGCACTCGATTGGGCAAGTAAAGACCCTGGACTTCACATTTTGGACTTGTAGCCAGGTTTGCGCAACCGATTGGAACATCAAAGACAATATCCCGGTGCATTTGTTGAATGCTCTGTATCCAATCAGAATTTCCCTCAACCGAGCTTGTCCAGATGTTTCTCCACTTGCCAGTGTATCCTTTCCAAATAGTTTCTTCCCGGTCTCAGTCAGGGTGAGCTTCTCGACAGAAATCTCCCATCCAGCTTCGTTTCTGCCAACTCGAGCCCCTAGTGCCCGAGCAAGAATCTGATGCCCAAAGCAAATCCCAATCACCGGCTTTTCGTGTTTTAAAACAGTCTCACGAACGTTGCCGGTGAGGTCACGGATCCACTGGTCATCAGCCCAGGCGTCGTGTTCTACCAAGTAGTGTTAGTTGCCCCATTCGGATATCAAAGTGAATGGTAACATACTACTTCCAGTCAGAAGAATGGCGTCGACGTCCTCTAGATCAAGAAATCGGTTGTTGTCCACCATCTGATGTTCACTAAATTCCACCATAATATCTTTGAACTTCTCGGATATTTCCAAGTCTTTCAAGGCTTTCCTCAAAAGGTCTTGGAATATTGAAAAGTAGTCGCCATACTTTCTGAGAATAGGCTGGATAGGCGTGTCACACACGAGAACGGCGATATGAATGCGAATGGAGGGTATCATACTGGAGAATGTGTACTTCCACTTTAGATTCAGAATGAACAATGAACACATGAGGTTAATACAATTTAATCCAAAGCCGGACTCTCAAGCTCTGTATCATTTCGACAGGATAAGCGCGCTATCTACGGAACCCCACAGCGCGGACCGCGGAGCATCTCACATCCCATCATAGCTTCACCTATGACCATTGTTTTCCAAAGTTGCGTGTAAAGAGAGTACGCGCTATTGTCTACCATCTGCACCGCGCGGGGATATTTTCGGTCTCAGTGATGCGCGGCATTAATGTCGACCACATGTTGGACCCGCAACTTCAACAACCCACAATTCACGCAATTGTATAAAGCCACAGGGGCCGGCGAAATGTCTCTTTTAATTCACACCCCAATTGTTGAACTCGGCTAGTTAGTCCTGCTGCTATTGTTGGATTTCTCCAAAATGACTACGCCCACTATAATCACTCTCGAATCACTCCCCAGCCTTCTGGCCGATGACATCAAAGTCAAAGTCGCCGGTATCGACAGCGATGGAGTGCTTCGTGGCAAAGTTATGGCCAAGGAGAAGTTCCTTGGGATTGCTGAAAAGGGATTCGGCTTCAGCTCAGCTCTTTTCGGCTGGGACATGCACGATATGCTATGGACAACTGATACTCGGATCGCGCCCCCGGAATCAGGGTACGCAGACTTCCTGGCTGTTCCAGATCTGAACTCGTTCCGCCGTCTACCTTGGGAAGAAAATATCCCTTTCTTCCTAGTGCGTTTTCTTGATGATACACGCCCGGTTTCTGCGGATGGGAGAAGTATGTTGAGGAGTCTGTGTGACAGGCTTGCGGGGGAAGGGCTTCATGCTTTAGCTGGAGGTAAGTCACGGGAAATTTTGGCGAGGGAGTCTAAAAAGCTGATATCAGACAGTCGAACTCGAATTTATGAACTTCCAGACTCCTTCCGAAGATGGATACGGCAGTGCAGGCTCCCAGCACCCCAACCTCGCTACCTTCTTAGAGAAAAACCCCCCTAGTGCCTTGCGGCCAATTACAGCTGGCATGTTTTGCTATAGTTCAACGCGACCGGTTGTCAACAAGAAGTACTTCTACGATATTTTCAATACCAGTGCGCAGATAAATTGTGGCATTGAAGGATGGCACACTGAGGGAGGGCCCGGTGTCTATGAAGCAGTATGTCATCCGTTCAGGTCATCCCGTGAACTACTCTGACACTCTACATAGGCCTTGAAGGTTTCCGAAATTAGTGAAATGGCAGACAAAGTGGCATTATTCAAGTGAGTGCCGCAAATACCGCAAATGTTGCTTCTAGCTCTAACAAGTCGACAGACTCTTAACCAAGTCCTTAGGGGTTGACCACGGCATTACACCATGCTTCATGGCTAAGCCTATGCAAGGCATGCCAGGCAGCTCCGGACACATCCACATCTCCCTTTCTGACAAGGATGGGAACAATCTGTTTGCAAGAGAGACACCCGAGGCGAACCCTCAATGGTCGGACATCGCATACCTCTCCGAAACAGGACGTCATTTCCTTGCTGGTCTTCTGGAAGCTCTGCCAGATATCATGCCATTGTTTGCGCCGACTGTGAACTCATACAAGCGCCTCGTGGAGAACTACTGGGCACCAGTGCACATTAGCTGGGGACTCGAGGACCGGATTGCCTCAATCCGTCTTATCACGCCACCAGTATGCAAGCCAGGTGCCACGCGTTTCGAAGTCCGCATTCCTGGGGCTGATCTACATCCCCATTATGCACTGAGTGTCATCCTTGCAGCCGGCTGGAGGGGTGTACAGAAAAAGCTTGAGATCAAGGTCCCACCGATGTCTGCACGCACGCCAGAGGACCGTCCAGAACTTCTTCCCAATACTTTGGACAAGGCTTTGGACCGTTTCTCAGCTCCGGGAAGTATTGCGCGGGAGATTTTGAGCTCGGAGTTTGTAGACTTTTTCACAGCCACAAGACAGCACGAATTGGGACTTTGGAGAGAAGCTGTGACTGATTGGTAAGTTGAAAATACTGTGCAACCTATAAACGCAAGACTAACTCGGTTATAGGGAGTTGAAGCGATATATTGAAATAGTGTAAACGAGCGTTGCGAAGCAAACTGATTTCATGACTCTGTATTCATATACCAGGTCCGAACCCGACTTTTCTTTCAAACAAATCAAATTTTACTCTCGTTGTACCTATTTCATCCTGGCCGATTCAAATGACTAGTTTCTTCGAACAATTACATCGAAGTCTGTTAGTCCATAGTGCTTGCCATGCATACCCGGGCCCTCCCCCGATAAACTCATTCGCCTAAACCCCCATAAGCCCACATGCTAGACAGCAACTACTTATACCTCTGTATATCTGTATATATAGCTGTTATTGAGATGAAGTCCGAAAAATGGCCTCTCGGTATGGAACAAGGCCCCACGCCCGCTTATGGTATCACAACCAATGAAAATAAAGTCTTCCGTACTTGTGCATGTTTCTGCAGGTCATAGGCTTATATCGAATAAGACTTGAGCCCAGCTAGAATAAACATTGAGACTAGTTTATTACCTGTTTTTGTCCAAACGACCCTTGAACCTATCTCATAATTCAGACTTCAGGGTGCTTTTAGGCCGCCCACGTGATGGTCGGCAGAAACATTGGAGCTCGTCCGGGGGGAGTGATAGCCCCGAACTGAACTTATATATGTACTCATGTGTATATAGGAAACATCAATTCATAAAGGCATTATATTCGTAAAGCCAGCACGATGGCTTCGAATCTTCCTCTCCCTCTCCCCCCGCGCACCCCCACTCCACCAGCGGACGACGAACATGCCTCCCAGATCAACTCGGGGATACCCATCGATCGCAATTCCCTATCACCGCTTAAGGCTTCCTTTACAAAGGGTATCATGGACGCCGAAATCAGAAATACTCTGAGCCCCACAAAGTCTTCTTTCAATCTAGCAACCTCGCCTGAAGATGCAGAGACGCCGATCGAGAATGGCTTGGGCGACACATCCGCCGGGCCATTCAATTTCAATACTACTGTAATGGCGAAGAGCCCAGTGATCAAATCGGTGAGTTGAATTGCGCTGATGACCTGTGACGACGGCATTGTTAACTTATTCCCTCGTGTTTCAGAACATGGGACAACGTCGTGGCCACAAGTACAAGCACAGTAGCATCTCGCACCAGATCTTCCTCGAGCCTCCTCCTCGCGCGCCCCTAGCCCTTCCGAACTCCTTGCCCATGCCAACACTGAAAGAATGCCGATCTAGCATGTCGAAGGAACAAAAGACCCGCTTCTGGTGGAGTGTGTGCCATATGTTCATTGCGGCATACACGCTCTGGACCGCACATGGATCCTTGGCCATGACAGCACTGTCACATCTGATTCTATTTGACTCACTCGGGGCTCTATTATGTGTTGCGGTAGATGTGCTTGGCAATTTTGAAGTTTGGAAGAGATCAACTATCCGCCACCCGTTTGGCCTTGAACGTGCAGAAGTTTTAGCCGGATTCGCTATGGCTGTGCTTCTTTTATTTATGGGGATGGATCTAATCTCCCATAATTTGCAGCATTTCCTCGAGAAGGCTGGTCATGAGCCTCATCACCCCCATGACCATGATCGGATTTCTCTGGGTAGTGTGGATGTGACTGCAATTCTAGCTATCTCATCAACGCTCGTGTCAGCCATTGGTCTCAAGAACCACGCTCGAATCGGTAAGGCTATGCGATTTGGGTACATCGAATCTCTTCCATCGGTCTTGAGCAACCCGTCCCACTTTCTCACCCTCTCTTGTTCAGCTCTGCTGCTGCTTCTACCTCTGGTCTCGATCCGGATCTATGATTGGCTCGATAAGCTCTTATCTGGTACCATTGCATTCTCAATGTGCTTCCTGGGAACTCGCTTGGTGAAAACTCTAGGCTCCATGCTTCTCATGTCCTACTCCGGCCAAGGAGTTTCTGATGTTATCAAGGATATTGAAGCCGACGCTGCTGTGTTCGGCATTGACGACGCTCGATTCTGGCAGGTCCATTATGGGCTGTGCATGGCAAACCTCAAGCTCCGAGTCAACGGATCTGAGGATAATCTTGTCCGGCTACGGGAGAAGATATCTAGCTTGATTCGCAACAGGCTAGGTGGTGGGTATGGCACCGGGGGTCAAAGATGGGAGGTGTCTTTGCAATTCACGATTGAGCGTACATGATCTCTTCGATATCGATAGCTGTTGTCTTACTATTGTCTTATATGTTCAGTTGTGCATATGTTTCATTCATTCTACGGGATACCCCTGTATATTAAGATCATTCATTTAATAGCCGCTCCGCAATAAGATCAGGCTATCTCTGGAAACCAAACATTGATTTGAACTACAAATACATAAAAATATCAATTTGAAAATTTATGGCATGTCACATTCTCCCTTTCCATTCCGGTATATTCCTCGCTTTCCTCGTCACTTTCACCAATATATCCCTCTCTTTTTTTCTCCGCACATGATAACCACACTCGCTTCAAGCATGGACACGGAGCTTGGACACCTCAATACAGGGAAATGTCTTCACATCAATCTTGGTCTGAGTGATCTTAGCCTTGATAGCTGCTGCGCTAAGAGCAGCGCGGGCAACGGCATCAGTGTCACAAAGTGTGACTGAGTTCACACCTGGTCTGGCACCAGCAGCGGTCACCCAGTGGACTCCTTCAGTTGGAACACCGACAGCAAATCGCTTTGGGTGCGCACGGCCATGGGTGTCAATGAGATGGTATGGGCTTTGAGTCACATCAAGACCACCAGTCTCGTATCCGTCAATTGTGTGAGCGCGGCATTGACCAGTTTTGAACAAATGGGAAAGAAGCTCATCTCCCGTGTTTCGGAGTTTCGGCTCTGGCAAGCGGGCTTCGATCAATGTGGTAACACGGATTGGCTCGCCTGGTACCTCAGGCGAGTGGACTAGCCAAGCCTCGTCCTGAGCCTTTACCTGTGGACGGGGACCAAGGACTTCCAAAACCCCCGCATCCATGAGCGCAATCATTTGCTCAATACGTTGGCGAGGAGGTCCAATTGACACATAGGCATTCAGAGGTGTGTACCAGCGGTCGAGATTCTCTCGATGAGAAGCGCCGGTCAAACCATTGTGATCCACGATGAGTCGGAGTTCGTTTCTCAGATCGCGCATCACATCCAAAGCTGCCTTTAGTGGACCGTTCAGATTTCCAAGGGCGGCCTCCTTGGCATCCTCACGAAGGTAGGCGATCAACCACTCACGCCACTCAGTGGTAGTATTGAAGACCTGATCTCCCTGTGGGCGCTGGATACGCTCCCAGGACCACCACTTCTCTTCCGAGATACCAAAGTCACGAAGGACTTGCGCTTCCTCCGGGCTCTTTGGCTCAGTTTCTAGGAACCTCTTCTGGAAGTCGGTCTGGTCCAACTTATCGCGTTTCAACAAAGTCAAGTAATAAACGGTTTCCACTTCTTTGGAAACGAGAGGCCAAATATCCTGGAGGAAGTCTGGGGCTTTTCCAGCATCAGAATGCTTGCGGAAAGCGTTGATTACTTCTTCGGTGAAGACGAGGGGCATGTGGCGGCCGTATGCCCCTTTGCCGTTGTCGCCACGGGAGTGGTATGGAATGCCACGACGAGATCCGGCAATCATCCGAGGCTCATTGCCCGATGGGTGGTATTTCAAGCCGTTAGGAGTTTCGGAGAAGCTACCACCCCGGGACAATGTTAACAAGGCCATGTAATCGAAGAAGTTGAGACCAAGACCACGCAGGAAAACGTTCTCTCCGGGAGCAATAACAGAAAGATCAACATCCGCCGGGTTTGAGGGCGTGATATGATGAAGGCCATTTAGCTCTGCGTAAGCATTGATTTTCAGTTGTTCAATATCTAGCAGAAGCGGGACGTGACCCTGCGCAAGAATGACAGCTGCGAGGCTAGAAAGGGTTCGGCCATTCGACAGCTTGAGCGTTTGCTGGCCATAGGACGTGTCATACAAGCGGACAGCAAAAGCAGGATGCACCTCAATCTGCACTTGAGGTGGTGCTTGTCGCACAGTCTCTTGGAAGATCCATTCGAGATATTGGCCGTACTGGGCACGGGTTCCACAATCATCAGGTCCAAGGCCAGGGATCTTATCGGCAGCCCAGGTGTAGAGACTTGGCCCTGGACGAATTGGGCCTGAGCAGCTAATACTATCATCAGTGAACAAGGTCACCTGGGAGCTGACTGTGTTCATCAGAAGTTGATCCGACTGCTTTGTACGCCAGACATGACCCGCGCCTGGGGGCGATGGATCAACGATATGAACGGTCAATCGTGCCCCTGGGACAAGATACTCGGGTGCCGAGGCACAAAGACGCTCCAGAACGCTAGTTCCTCGAGGTCCGGCACCGACAATGGCAACATGGGTGTGCATCTCAGAAGGCCGAACGGCGGAAGGCATTGTGATTTGTTTTAAAGGAAATATGATGTAGAACTTTCGAAGGCGAGACAGCAGAACTAAGGTATCGGGGTTTTTGTACTCTTCATATACTCGATTATTTTCAGAATGGCCCGTTGGAATGTTGTTGGATATAATGCAGCGGGAATAAACAGCCCTTTTTATATCCTCTCAGTATATCCGGCTATGAACTGAAGGTTTTCCTTCAGCTGGCATCGTCGGTCTCGCCATTGAGACGCAACACTGAGGGACGGTGCCTTCCACGTGCAGCGTTCCAGACCGATAATCCGCAACATGAGCAGCAAATAGACTGCTCTGATGGTGAAACGCCTCGAGATCCCGTCCAATTTTTTACGCAGGGGCATAGGGCCAGGGATACTTTCGGATTTAATGCATACAATGGCGCCTTAATACCTTAGTTTGGTATGGCAGAAAAATCAAGATACCTATTACGGAGGCCTGCGCATCTGGCGCCATGAATATAAAGCTATTTTTGCCATACAATCCATACATCGCATGATTCTTAGGCGGTTTGAGCCTGAATTCAGTGATAACCCTACAAAACTCGATATCAATAGACTTGACTTTTATTATATTGAATAGAGAATTGGTAATTCATCTAATATAAGAGGTTTTTACGACTTTAGCTTCGGGAAGTAACAGGTAGACGGCAAGCGGCAGAGGGTACACAACAGGCGGCACCCGGCAGACGGCACGCCGAATAGGGCTTCAGTGGTGACAGCTGAATAGTGACAACGTACCCCGTAGACTCGGCAATAGTATCACCTCAGCGACAGATATTTACCTCAAATTTGTTTTCTCTGGAAGGTACATTCAATTTTGACTGCCATACCGGGACCTGAAAAATTCAAAACACTCTAATAAAAATCAAATCTATTGAGCTTATCTTGATAGAGTAAGGTGGTAAAAAAGTTGTCGAGTTGGAGGTAGTTATTCCATGGCGAAAACTTTTAAGAAGACCTTGTGATTGCTTCGCTTCGCTCCAAGAAGCGGTCAGTATTAAGGCCAACATCAGGCAACAAGGCCTCAATGAATTGCATTAAATCCGAAAGTAACCCTAGCCCCTATGCCCCTGCATAATCTCACAAGAAGAATGATATATGAGGCTGCCAAATGATCACCTTGCATGCAGACAGTGACAAGAATTCCCGGCCACCCTTGGGCGTCCAGATCTCCTTGCTTGAATTTGCGAGATGTACGAACCGGTACGGAGCAGTTATGGGTAGGGTATTTCTTCACTTCACTATATCTACAGAACGCCGCTAGGTATTAGCACTCCAGCTTGCTCCAAATCCTTCAAATATGATAGATATAGAGTACGGAGTAGTAGTACCAACTAAGCTAAGGTACCGGGCAGCAGAATTATAGGATCCGCGGCTCATACCCGGTTGAAACCGAGTACGAGCCCAACCTGGCATCGAGAGCAATGGGTTGGAAAGGAGTTCATATATGGCTGGCTGAACTACCCGCAGACGTGTAAGTACCCATAGATAGGAAATAGATAGGAAAAGGCAAAAGGCATATAAGACGAAGATAAAAAAGATAATATTTAATAAAGTAAGGGTACAGATAGGAATGGAAGATGGGAGCCACTCGCTAATGAGCCCCTTTCCGGGGGAAGGTGTTGGCGTTGTGGGTAGCCCGGTCCATGTACTCGTCGCCAAGGATCCTCCCAGCACACCTTCAGCCCCTCTTCGAAGAGTTGATGGTGCAGGGTGTCAATTTTCGGGTCTGTAGGCATGATAGTCGTACGGTTGTGTATGAATAGGGATATGAGTTGGAATATGGGACAGGAGAAGGAACAATGAGACCCTTTAACGAGCGCAGCTGCAAGTGTCACCTGTCCATGTGGTCGGTCCTTGCCTCCCTCGCCGGATTAGACAGAATTTCTGATTCCCAGCCCACCCCTCTTCTCTACTTCTTGCCTGTCTGTATCTGCCAAAGACTCAAATTCAGAGGAGGACTAGAACAGACAAGTGTCTCCAACCTTGTTTCCATGCCGAGAAGTCTACTGCCCATCAATTTTGGTATTAGCGCTATTTGGAATGCAGGTGAACTATCCTACAGACAGGTTATGTAATTTGCTAATAACCGTGTCATACAGTTACTGCCGTATTAATTCAGTCAGAGGGTCCGGCAATGAAGCTAGCAAGCTCTATGCGTAGTTAGCCGTTCCAAATTTGGAGTATCTTCCTGGAATAAGCTACCGAAAGGTGCTAGAATTCCAGACTTTTTAGCTTCATGATTATTGAGTCTGGTTTGTTGGCTTTCTAGATTCGCTTGACGCAGATTTGGCAGTTGCCAAGCGTTCAGTGATCTATAGTTGAGTGCTTAACAAAGCAAAACGACACGGTAAGTCAAGCGAGATTACTTGAACTCGTCGTCATTGACCAGCTTGAATAAACATCATCCTTGGCTTGGTTGAGCTAATTTCGGGACTAGTAGTCGCCACGCTAACAGTAGCCTAACCATGTAATAAGGTTGATATCCTCATGTTATATGTACAGAACCATGAGCGTCAAAACTCAGGACTAGCCAACATTTGATGCTTCTTGCCTATCTATGCATTGTATGTTCTTCATGGAAGAGAAATTAGTTGTTGAATTTGCCGGTCGGTAGGAAACATTATGCTATGAAGTGTGGTCTCGTGGAAAATATAGCCTAGGAAGTACTCGGTAATACCAGATTTATCCGTGAGCCAGGGCCAAGTAAGAAACACATAAGAGAAAACAGACAATGAATGAATGTAGGTATCTATCGCCGATCCAAGGTCTTCATAGAATCCAATATGACAATCTCGGAAGTCATGATTGCATGGAAATCGAATATTAAGCCTCTAGGGGAAACCCTCGCAAGCCAGCTTGAAAGAGACATAGCCAGGCTGGAGGATGTCAGGGAGACACTGGCCCTCGGCGAAGGGGCTGTGTTCGAAAGGCAGGAAGTACACAGGCTCACCAGAGCAGCCATCGTTGTTCCAGATGGTCACGCCGTGGCAGAAAACGGTGTCCTTGGTATCCAAGCGAGCGCGGAAGGAATAGTTGTCAATGCTCCAGTCACGGTTGACAGGGGTCTTGTCGCATGTCACAGGAGTGACGCTCACATCGGCGGAGAACTTGGCCTCGCCGAGTGCGGGGCGGCCAATGTCGCACTTCTCCCATGAGAGGAAACTAACGCTGGCGACAGGGAAGCCGGCGTATACAGTCATGGCAAAGGTGGCCGCGGTGGCAAGGGTCTGTTTGTGTTAGCAAGTTGTGTACATCTAAGTATAACGATTGAGGGGTGGAATCACCTTAGAGAAGTGCATCTTGGTCGGGAGTAAAGATTGTTGGGTAAAGAAAGTAATTCTCCGGCTAGGAAAGGCGTTAAAGAGAGTGTCGATGTTGTGAAAGTAGTTGGTTCGAGGAACCTGACGAGGAATTGCGTCTCATAGTATTTAAGTAGTTGCTCCCAAGAAGCGATGGCACGCGACGATCATTGTGGTTGGGTAAACATAGTCTCAAAACAACACATTTTCCAAGAACTTGGAATGTAGGACTTTAATTGAGTACTACCTACCTAGTATTTTGCAGCAGAGTCACGAAGGCACTGGGGGGGAAGGGGAAAAGGGTCGGAATGCGTAAAACAGTCTTGGCGAATAAATGTTGATCTCGCACAAGAATGAAGCACTAGTTTTACAGGGGGCCAAGTAATCTCTATAGTTTAATTGTAGCCTTTAGTATAGTAATTCTCGCCTACTTCTATATAAGTGTGGGCTTGGCTGATACCGGGCTATCCAGCAAACCAGTTGAATAATACCCAGCTCGCGCGTTCAGCATATCCCAACTGCGAAGTATCTTAGTCAATAAGGGAAAGGATCCAAATTTAAGCTTCGAATCGGGGTATCACATGTATATATTTCAGTGCCTTCATCGGGGATCATACTCCAGCTCTCCCATCAACAAGAAGCTCTCCACGGAAATGCCTCTCCATTCTTTCTTCCCATCCACCATCTTGAAGAATTCAGGCTCGAAATCAATGACCTTCTTCCACTCTCGCATCAACCGACGCCAGTAGCACACCTCTGCCGCAGGACTGAGATATCTCTCGCGGAAAATTTGAACGCTGTTATCCGCAATTCGTCTGGCCTCATCGTCGTGAGACAAAAGATACTGCATTTGTCGCTCCAAATCTGACCAATCACGCCTCACCTGGACAAAGTTTTGCTCGGGTCCTGACGATTTCATAAGATGATAGTAGTGCTGGATCCACTCCAGCTCGTGCGAGACAACCACACTCCTGCAACTTTGGAGATACTTCAGACGACCAGAGTACGTATTCCCTTCTGTCTGCGCGACATATTGATACTCGCAGTGCTCCGGCATAGTCTTGTAGTCATTCTTCAAACTGTCCTTATCATTCCACACAAGCGGCTTCACATCCGCCCAGGACTTGTCTTTCGTCACTTGAAGAAGCTTATCCCGAATTGTCGGGCCCATGATCGGCACTCCACGCCAGAGCAGCTTGGCGGTTTTATTACTCCAGGTCAACCCTTCTTCTTCCGCCCATTCGGCTTTGGCTTGTACTTCGCGTGTAGACCCAGCTTTGGTCTCTGGCCAGGACCAGTATCCGAAATCCGGGATCAGCCATATAGACTTGTCCTTTGCGCGACGAGCGTATCCCCAGAGGGGCAATTCATCGACCGAGTCATCTGTATTGAAAGCGAATTCAATATTGGGGAGCGGCTCTGGCGATGAAATGATCGCTCGATTTATCGCAGACAGTGTAGCTTTTTCTCGGGACCAAATGGAGCCTTCCTTGTCGATCACATACAACTAGACCACGCTTAGCACTAAGTAGATGACCCACGAAATGATGTTGTTTACCTGCTGATCATATATCATAGCTCGAATATATCCATTTCGGGCTGGGATTGCATCCAGTTCCTTGAGGGATATCGGACGAGATTTGCGATCGTCCCTGGCGCGATCAAGTTCAGTGTATAGATCGGGAAATGCCTGGTCACATTGGTCTTGTGTGAGCATCAGATTATCTCTATCGCGCTGATAATCCCAAGAGCCATCAAACAATTGCTGTCGATTTGGCTTTTTGGCAGGAAATTTGTCAAGTACTCCATTGTGGGTGAGTGGTCGTGATGGTTCAGGTTGATAGTAAATATAGAGCCCTAGAACTAGGAGGATGCAGGACAGAAGAGCCGCCACCCGTTTGATGGTGGGCGGCATATCTTCAGAGAGGAAAATAAATTTTCACATGGCGGCAGCATGCCTCGCCTATAAAGGAAAAAAAAAATCATGAGGATAAATCTAGCGATGTTTAGACCTTAGCGTTAGCCTGTTCTAGGATGTGGCTGAGCGTCGAGATCAGTCATATTTCAAAAAGGCCTACATGCTAAGATTTGCATGTTCAAGACATGATTTCGACCTTCAATATTACCCTCAATTCGAGTCGAGGATTCATCTGTACAATAAACAATATTGGAATGAAGCCGTGTGCTTCCGAGGCAAAGGGGGAAAAGGGAAAAGTGGGTCATATAAAAATGTTGGCCTTATATATTAGGTGTCTGTTGGCTGGGTCACGTGGCGGTAATGGATATGACATTAAGATACTCCGTACTCCCCAAATGATAAATCGGGTTATGAATCTACAAATTGCCTTGGATTAAAGCTTCTTAAAAGAACCTAGAAAATAGCCATGCAGTTAGGGGGACTAGACACTCCCCGGGAGCAGTTCAACGGACTACTCGAAATAAAGAAACTCCAACGCTTCAAACGCTTGCATGTCGCAGCCAATTCATCCAAATCAAACATCTCCCCAATAGGCACACCCCACCCAGCCAGAAGATGATGATGCAAATCGAACTCCGGGTTCAGAGGCGGGAAAACCTCAAAGCTAACAGCATCGGATGCAACAGCCGCAAAATGATTATCCCATATAAAGCGCAGCACTCGCTCACTCTGTTCGATTCCGGCATGCTGCGGCATGCCCTGCTGACTATATGTTACCCGCTCTTCGGCCGACATCCGCTCCCACGTCCCGGGCAAGCCGACCCGCAAGAAAAAGATATCGCCCTTTTGGAATATGATGTTGCATTCGCGCGCGATCTTCTGCACCTCGTCCAATGAAATTACTTGCCGACTCAGCGCGTTTACGCTGAGGCCATTCCTCTCCGCGTAGGAGACGTAATCGATCAGCACGCCGCGCCCGGCAATACCCTTCTTCGCCCAAAACCCAATGCCAATCCGCGACGAGTTCTCGTTTAGAATTTCCTCGGCCGTCGTACCGCCGTAGAAAAGGCGTCGGTCTTCGTCTTCTGGTGTTGGGGCCGGCGCATTGTGGTGCCGGAGGCCGTCCCACTGGGAGGACTGCTGTGGGTTGAAGTGGTACTCGTCATCGAAAGCGACACCCTCAGCGACCCATTTGACACGGTGCTCGAATGGTTTGCGACCGAATCCTGGTTTCTCGAGTTGTGAGTTTTACAGGTTCTCATTTTATTCAACGGTTAGGTGCCCTTGTTCTACCTGGTGGGTTCAAATTCTCCATGTTCCAGTTTAAGCATACCCGCTCGCCTGTTTGGATTTGTGTTTGTGCGGCGCGAGCGACTAACTCGGGCGTCAGAAGGCGGAGCATTCCCAGCCCTTCTTCTTCTGACCCTGCGGTCCCAGGCCAGAACCGACGCTTGTCGGGGAGATCATCGAATGTCTCAGGGAGATTAGGAATACCGGACATGGTTCAGGATAAAGGGAATTGGCGAAGGAGATTAGCCAAATAACTTCAAAGCTTCACATTGCACAAGCTAAGTTTGGTAGTCGCTGGGTTGGGTGAATATATACCTACCCCACCTCGGAGGAAGTCCGGACCCTTGACGTGGGTATGACCCCCGCAGTAGTTGAATTTGGTATATCAAGGTCGCCATTGAGATGCTACTAACATAGCAGGATATGATATCACCGAAGAGCTGATGTAGAAGTTGAGTTCCGATGAAATAGAAGCAAATCAAGAAGGCCCAGAATATGCCTTCACGCGCTGCCGCACCCTTCTGTATCCCAATGGAATGCAGAACCCTTGTCGTTCCTTCTGAACCTGTGTACACCTGCCTAATAACGTAATCGATATCCTTCTGGAAGGTGCAACGTCCTCACCTGACCTGCGAGTATAAACCCCCCCTTCTCTTCTTCTGTCCCCCACCATCCCCTGTAATGCGTGGATGCATTCACAACGACGATGCAAGAAATATGTAGTAAGTTGTTCAATCGAGTCAAAGTCGTAAAAGTCGAATCTTCTGTTCTGTGCAAAGAGATTGTAGTCAAAAAGTCCACATTGTATGCTTATAGAAGCTACAGAAAGTAAAGTACAGTGTGATCGCCAGAAGAGCAAGGTAGTTACATGCCATCCAGGTCATCACTAGCCTTCGAGCCACTCTTTTGCATATCCGACATTTCATACTCTTCCTTGCGGCCTGAAGACGCAGCACGCTCCCCAGCCGACATAGCAATAGCCTGGCGGCCAGCGTCAGAGGACTCGAGGAACTCGCGCAGGCGGCGCTTGCCTTCTTCCAGAGCTTGCTGGGAGGCGGCTTCGGTCATCTTCAGCATGGGACCCCACAGGTTGAGCTGATAGGTGATGTATACGCAAATAGCACACGCAAATAGCAGAATAAAATAAACCGGGTTGCGCAGGACTGAAGACCAACGTCAGTATACAGACTGCGAAAATGAAGGATTCATCAATGAAAACTTACCAGCCCAGATTTCGTTCCAGCCTAGAGCCAGCAACAAACCGTAGAAATACAAGGGGACCTGTGTCATACCGCCAATGGCACTCCGCTTGGCTTCGACATAGACACCGTCCGCGGCCTTCTTGAATCGTACAGTGAGCTCTTGGCGTTTCGTATCGCTAAGAATTGTCATCTCTTCTTCCAAACTCTTGCCCTCATGTTCATCTACCCCCCCGATGGGGGCAAGATCCTCCTCATCCGCAGATGTCACGGTGCTTGGAGTGTGCCCAATCCATCGGTCAAGCGGGGGTGGGGCAGTAGTTCTTTCCAGCCGGAAACGAGACAGAAGAGGAATCACTGTCAAGGTAGACTCGCGAGCACGGGTGTAAATGCCCTCGATGTCATCTGTTGGGCGCCAGATCCGTGGCACTCCGGCTTCGTCGTAGCGGAACTTGTCCTCGAAGTTCTCCCGAAGCTTGAGGAGCAAGTTGCCCTCAATCATCTCCTCTTCGATCTTGGCGCGGAGAACACCCCAAGACTTACGGCGCAGTCGCCAAAGACCAACATCGACCTCATCAATGCTAGCATCGAAGCTGCTCGCACGGTCCGTGAATCTCCGCTCAGCGTCAAGAACAGTCTCTTCGAACAAGTTCCAGATCCGATCCCAAAAGTCCTTCTCGGCAGGCTTCTCCCCGTTCTCGGGGGCACCACTGCCAGCTCTTCCAGACCCGAGGGCATTGAACTCAAGGCCCACAGATTCACCCAGGCGGGATTGAACCCATCGCTCGACACGGGTGGCCAAACGTCTCATTTCATCGCGGCGCAGTCCGGCACTGACCTCAGCCAGTTCTTTCTTATACAAAGATAGCTCTTGCTCGTAGTTGCTCCAAGAGGCTCCATCCACCAACGTGGAATTGGCAACCTCCTCGAACTTCTCCAACGAAGACTGGGCCTCTTTGGTGACGATTTCCGCGAAGTCGTAACTGCCGCCCTTCTTTTGGCCATCCTTCACAGTAGCACTGACAGAATCACTGAAGTCACGGATTCCAGACTTGTGAGCTGCCGACAGCTGGCCGTGGAAAAGTGCCTTGAGGCGGGTATCGACCTTGCCCTGAAGCTCAGCGCTTTTCCGTTGGTAAACACCCTTGTGGTATCGGCTGGCTTCCGTCTCAAAGCTCTTTAGCGTCTTGACACGCGCAGCACGCATGGCAACGCCAAGTCCTCCCAGAACCTCTGGCGCACCAGCACGGACGGACTCGGCCTGCTTATCCTCAAATGCGACGATCGCCTCATCGAAGCCGATCATTACCTCGCGCAGAATTTCGTCACAACGGAATTGCGCAAGCAACTCCTGCTGTGTGGGTAAATCCAAGTCCTTATTGTTGACGATTTGATCCCAGATTCCTTCCGCGTAGTGTGCGAATCCGTCTGCCGGGATGCGGCGATGATACTCTGGGAGGAAGACTCCTCCTTCGGAGAACTCGCCCTTAAGAGCATCCCTCGTTGGGTCTCGGTGACCTTCCCGGAAACGCAGGCCAAGCTTTTTTGCCTCCGCCACAAACTGGTCAGGCTGATAACCCTTGTGCGGCAGTCCATAGAATTGGAAATCAAAGTAGTCGTGAATTGTCGACTTCTCCAAACCCGCAGGTTTCGATATAGTGTCCCAGAGGCGGGAGAGGTCTTCCAATAATGTCTTCTGCAAGTTCTTGAGTGGTGTGGTACCGATGAAATCACGAATGACGAAAAATAGGAGGGACCGGTGGGTGGTGCTGGAGAGAGGTTAGCACCTAAAGCGATAGAGAAAGGGACCATCAGAAGTATACATACTGTCTGTCCTTTAGGAACAGTTGCAGGTTGACTTCAAACACGGTCTTCAACAACCCCATGTTGGCTCCCTGATACAACCCCACCTGGTGTTCCCAGATGTTGACAATAAGGACCTCACTCGTCGCAAGCGCGAAGAGCGCACTCTTGCGCTCAAAGTCCTGATCCTCGCCTCTCTCGCGACCGTCAGTTCCTTCCACGTCCATGACCAAGATGTTATCAGCCATTCGCTCCGTCGCGCCAGCTTCGCCCTGGTTCTTGTTATTCGAAAGCCAGATACCCTTGGTCGTTTGCCTTCTTTCCAGCTCGGACATCACGGAGAACTCGGTACCGAACAGTTGATTGAGCAGTGTGGACTTTCCGGTGGATTGCGAACCGAACACGGAGATGAGATGGTAGTTGAAACCAGCTGGCGTGACCTTCTCAAGGGCCAAATATTTGGACAGGTTGGGACTATAGTGATGCGATCAGCATTCAGGGCTCATGATTAGTTAAACCATAGATGTAGGTGGTCGTACTTGAACTCCTTATTCCCATCAATCACCTGCACGCCATGCTCATAGGAGGCCGTATCACCTTCGGCGCCGATCGAAGCAAAGTGGCCGTTTGAGAGAACCGGCGGCGCAGTTGGACTCCTTTCCAACCCCGAGGGGCGTTGTTCGGCCATGTTTATCTTCTGCTCTGTGTATGTTAGGCAAGGAGGAGGTGTTGTGGCAAGAGCAAGTTGAAATAACAAGGATATACTAGGATCTAGAGGACCATGCAACTGGGAAACATCAACAGACTAATCAAACGGGCAAATGGGAATAATTCAGGGATCACACGGTCCTTTCACGGGTTCATTGAGATAATCAGCCCGAGGTCGATGCTGGGGAAAACAATCTTACATAACCCCCTTTAACCCCCGGGCAACGTCATTTCTAGACCTCTCTAGGCTCGATTTCTTGTTCTGATCTCTTCTATTACATTTTATTAACAGGATATTGAGATCTAATCTTAATGGTATTGACACTGCAGGGAATCAATGCTACTTGGCCAATTTGGACATGACCAGGGTCTGGCAACAGATCCAGTTCCCGGTCATGCAATCAGATGATAGAAATCGCATTTCTTTCGACGGAATACATATATTGTCAAATGTTCTAATTTACAGCATATAAATATTTCAGACATTTAAGTAAAGCCACAAGGGTGTCTAAATTCATGGTGGTGGCTCGCCATCTGACCAGTTCAGATTCCAGCCCTGATCAAGTCCGAGGTCAATATTACGGTTTGGCCACATGTACTGCCCAAAATCGTCGAACAGTCCATTAAACGCATTGAGTTCCAGGCCGACATATGGGTTTGCCACTACTTCACTTCTCGACTGCCATGATTCGTCTGGATATCCAGACGCCATCGTGGGTGTGAGGGAAGCACCGTTCAAGGCATCATTGTTGGTACATAGCGCACCTTCAGGGTCAGACATCGGCGGCGTATAGAGCTGAGTGGGACATTGTTCCGAGCAAGAAGCCTCCGTCCCTATTGTGCCTGATCCTACTGATGTCTGCTCCTTGCTTTGGGGGCGACCCTTGGAAAACTTGGTTCCTGCACCGACAGTAATAGTACCAAAATAGGGCACTGTAATTTTGCAGCTCGAGAGACAGCTCCAATCGTGCTTGAAATCTTTGGTGTCGTGGATAGCGCCGAGGATGTTCGCAGACTCAGCAGCAACTGAGCCTCCTAGCTCTGTTGCCGCCTGACGAAGTATCTCAATCACCTTCTTTACCATACCCCAGTCTTCTTCATCTTGCTCTTTACTTTGATATGGATTCTCATCGGAATAGCCTTGCAGGTGGATTATCAAAAGAAGACATAGCGTGAAAGCCATAAAGTCGATCATTTTGCACAAATAGGGCTTGGTGGTAGATCGAAGGACCTTGTATAAAACGAGGCCTTCTCTTGCGGATTGAATCGCGATCGTGTGGCAAGGACGGAATTGAGGCTCATGGGGAGATTGCAGCATCAGGGGTAGATGGAGAAAAGCACGCAGTAGCTTGAGCATGAATTGCAACGGGACCCTCTCAATGTAGTGTTCCCGATTCTCATCCTCACAAGGCTCTGCGACTTGAAAGTGACTTGGCATAGATTCCCAAGAATCCTGCAGCTCTTGATCCAGTCGTAATGTTGCTGCGATAGTCATCTTGGAAGGGTCTTGGTTTCGGTCAACCATATGTCCCGCAATAATGCCAATGCGCAACACGTATTCCTCGGGAGCTGATAAGTTTGAATTGAGGCGTTGTTCCATCTGTGGTAAAAAGAATTGATCGCTGATGCCATAAGGCAGGCCAAGAATTAAACTCAGAAATCGATCCGATGTTGCCAGGGAACACCAGATTTTCAAGCGCCGTTCATAAAAGGAGTCGCCTGGCCTTGGAATCTTGGTGGACAGATGCATTCCAGCTAAATGGGCAAACTCGATTGCCCGACGAATCACTAGCCAAGCTTTCCGGAGCCGGCCATCAGTCAAATGAACTCTGTGGAGCAACATCTGACATTCTATACCGGGCAGGGTAGCCGCGAAGTTGTCATCACGGACGATTAAACGGTCCACCATCTCAATGCATCGATCAGAGAATTTTTGAGGCTCAAAAGGCACGGTTAAAGTACCGAAGTCGAATTCAGACGGAGCATGACTCGCACTGATACACAGGCACATGAGTGCCTTGGCGACTTCGGCGGGAGCCACTAGATTATCGCGACAATTTTCATTAAAAGCGAGTCTGCCGACATGTCGATCGAACAGCTCTGGGAGATGATCTTGCCACACGTACCAGTGGAACGACGCGTTGATTATCTTATTCATATCTTCTGCGGGAGGAAGGAGAGACATGAGTTCGGCACGCACCGCTTCGGCCTTTGGCGACATATCATGAACACCGGTGAATTTATCATTATTCGACGAGTCCTCTTGGCGGCTCACGATATAGTTGTCGAACAGTTGTAGTATTGGTGCATTGCAAATCTGGTCACTGGATGGGCCTAGTTCGTCTGGCTCGGCAGCCAGTGGCCTTGGGTGATTTATGCCGTCCGCTAGTTAATGTCAATCACGCGATATCAATACACACGTATCCAGGAGATACCAACATTGATTTATCCCATGGTGCTCACAAGACGGAGTGTCAGAGTCCCGTTGGTCAAGTCGGTCGGTCAACCGCTCCACGAGGTTCTCTAGGTGCGCGACTCGCTCGTAGGCTGTATGGCTGTTCGCCAAGTTGGGAGTTCCGCTGGTAGCCGGATAATGGAGGGGTGATAACCGCATGTTCTTGATCAACACATTTCATGCCTCTGGACCGACACTCATTACAGATTTCTGGGCGGTTGGGGTGGAATGTGCATCGGATCTTGCGTCGACGACCTATAATTGAACGCTATTAGCGCCGAGATATCAATTATCAATCATTTGACACATACACTCTGTGCAACTTCTGGTCCCCTTTCTCATCCGCTTTCGCGGTTCTTGGTCTGTGCAGGATTTCATCTTACCCCATACAGTGAAAAGGCAAGGATAAGATCATCTGTCAACCGACGATATATTGCTAAAGAGGTTGATCAGATTAATGACCGTTGGAGGTTGTACAGCATCATCCTTTGGGCGAGGAATAATCTCGGGAGTAGAGACAAAACGGCCGAGAAAGGGGCGCAACAGCCCTGAAGAGTCAAGGCAGCACTCGAGGTCAAGCCAGGCCTACGTAATCTTAAACAAAAGAACAAAAAAGAAGTCCACACTCGTTGAGTAGTTAGCTCTCATAGATATTCGTCCGTCAAGTTCGGCCGAAGTGGTGGGATATTTTTGCCCGGGCCAATCAGCTGCATCACTTACACGCTTCTTCCGCTTAAGTCCGTCTACCACATATATATCTAACCTCTATACGACTTGTGTTTGGGATTTTCCATACTGCTAACTATTCTATGGTCTGCTTTTTGATCCCCTCTTGTGATTCACGTCTATCTATCTCGCTCCGCCTCTGCCAGTCTACCAAGCACCGAGAGGCTGCAAGTACTGAACCATATCTGCTGCCTGCAGTTTATGGTAGTTCTGCCCCGGGTGATAATGATCCCACCAAATGCAGGATGTGCCATCCTTATTGAAACAAGTGGCATTCGGAAATCCATATGTCTGAGGATCGTCCAGAATCTTCGGCATAAAGGACCAGGTATCGTAAAGAACGATAGTAGTCTACGATCAGGTTAATTATATGAACATACTGCAAGAGATCAAAACGTACATCGGTATGATTGGACTTAAAGTCACTGATCATTGATTGAAGGCCGCTATTGTAAGCCCTCACCCACGTAGCGTGTGTTTTGACGGCTTCCGGTCCCTGTTTGGTGATCATAGGACTCCGATCTGTCGGCGGGACATTGAGGAAAAGAAACCTCCGTCCGCCCGATGCATATATTTTTTCAATAAGACATTTGTACTGGGCCATTAATGTCGGCACAAGTACATTAGGTTGGGTGTTTTGATGACCGCGGCCGATGCTACAAATTGGAAGCATTAGAACATAACTGACAACGGGGTATTAAGGCGCGATACTCATTGATCCCAATCCAAAACCCAAACACCGCATTATCTGAAGACCATGGTGCAGATGTAGGCTTCTTGCTATATGCTAACTCGAAGTCCCGGACCTGTGATGTCACATCCTTAACCTTGCTATCGACAATAGAGTTGTCGATTGTCGCTCCTATGACGGCGAAGTTGTAGCTGAGTACCGGCGAGACATTGTATAGAGTGGTCAAGTATCCGACCCAATTGATACCACCGCTCGTTGTGCCAGTCCCTATTTGGCACTAAGATTATTTCAATCCTACTTGTTCAGGTGAATAGCACTCACCTAGTATCGGGTTCCCCATCGGGTTTGAGATAGATGGCTGTGTGCCATCGACAGTGAAATCGGTCTGGGTGTAAGAATCTCCGCTAGGTAGGTCATTAGGCTTCTCTCCTTTCAATTGATGTAAAAATAAAATCATACAACGTAAAAAGATAAGTCGGTGCATCTTGAGCTTGCAAGGGCGTCACAGCAACTGTCCCACCACTGGCTATAGGACCAATATCGTCTCGATTCTTCATGGTGGTAAAGAATGCGAAACACTTCCGCGATCTTCTAAGAAAATACCAAAAATTCCAGAAAAGCCCTCTACATATGTGCCCATGGCTTTCCCCTTAAATATAGTGTTTTGGCCTTGTTTCCGTTTCTCCGGTATTGTTTGTGGAGTTCTTCCCAATATATTAATCCTTTTGATGCGGTTCTCCGTTTCTCCCGATTGGTTTTGCGGGTTGTGAGGTTACATACTTCTACTGTAGGTAGCAATGACAGCCCTGGAGCGCCAATGAAAGTGAACTGCGTAAGCGAACGCTGTCTGATAACGTATCTGTGGGTTGATAGAAGGCCCAATGATAGGAAAATATAGCTATGTGGAATTAGATGGTCCAATTAGAGGTGTCAACATCCCTACTCCACTCCGTACGCACTGTAATGCGCCCTAAAATTCTTCCAGGTACGTACAGCATATGTAGGTACAACATACAACATAAAGATATGAAATGCTTGATGCGCGGAGCACGATATATACTATTGTATTCTATAACCCGCGCACCGGTATCGGAGGAGAGAATTCAGTGATACTATCCTCCGTATATGGATTTCTATTATGATAGCGTACCACCTGGGCGAATCGTATGCTAACTAACTAGCGTAGCATCACATATTAATAAGTACTGCGAAGGTCCGCAGCACCATATATCAGCACCAAATCCTGCTCAGCTCTATATAGTGTCGATTGTAGTGTCTGATTTCGCACGGCGTATTTGAAAATGCGCAACGTTTGTATTATTCTTAAACGATACCGCAATCAGGCGCTGGGCGAAACATCAATTGGAACCGGTATCGACGGGACTGCGATTTGGCGTTGATGTAAGGAGTATTTCGATTAAGTCTACAAGTATGTATCTAGCTTTCAAGTTTGTTCCTCTCATGGTATATAAAGAAATAAGAGGTGAAGCAGCGAGATATCTTGTACACATTGACTTAAGACTTGGACTGAAATTATATATGAGTTTAGGAAGAATTTTGTCTGAATACATTTTCACGGGAGTGGAGAAATGAAAGAAAATCCGACTACATTTGTCTCCAAGACAGTAACAAGATTCAAGCGAAAACTCCGGTTTACCCCGGATCCCTCGTGCTGATCGATGATTCCCGCGCTGTGGAATGAAAGGTGCCAAAACAAACAACATGTTAAAGAAAAAGGGTTCATAATACAAGGGTCAGACAGTTCGCCTGCCTGACCAAGGGCGTGAGCGGATCATTTACTGGACCATTTACTCGACGACACGGGTGATCAGACCAGTGGCAACGGTGCGGCCTCCCTCGCGGATGTTGAAACGCTGACCGGGCTCCGCAGCAACAGGGTGGTGGGTCTTGAGGATCATCTCGACGTTGTCACCGGGTTGGACACGTCTGGCCATGTCGCCATCAGGGAAGCTGAGATCACCAGCCTCATCTAGAGCATAGTTAGCATCCCTTATCGATTTGATATCATATCAGTGGAAATTGAACTTACCAGCAGTACGGATGTAGACCTGGGGCCGGTAGTTGGCACCGAAACCAGTACGGCGACCACCCTCGGCCTCGGTCAGAACGTACATGGACACGAGGAACTTGTTGTTAGCCTTGGTGCTGTTAGGGGCAGCAACGACCATGCCGCGGCGGATGTCCTCACGACGGACACCACGGAGCAGGAGACCGGAGTTGTCACCAGCACGGGACTCGTCACAGGACTTTTTGAAGGTCTCAATATCCGTAACCTTGGTCTTGATGGGGTTGCCGGAGTCGGTTGCACCGACGATTTCAACCTCAGTATCCTTCTTCAGGAGACCACGTTCGACACGGCCAGAGACAACAGTACCACGGCCAGGAATAGAGAAGACTTCCTCAACGGACATAAGGAAAGGCTTATCCATATCACGCTCGGGGGTAGGGATCCAGGTGTCGACGGCATGCATGAGCTTCTCAATCTGCTCAGTACCAATTTCGGGGCGGCGATTCTCCAGAGCGCAGAGGGCAGAGCCGAAGACGATAGGAGTCTCCTCACCCTCGAATCCGTAAGAGGAGAGGAGCTCACGCATCTCGAGCTCGACGAGCTCAAGCATCTCAGGGTCCTCGACAGCGTCGACCTTGTTAACGAACACAACAATCTTCTGAACACCAACCTGGCGGGCAAGCAGCAAGTGCTCACGGGTCTGGGGCCTAATGCGTGATTTGCGTCAGCACACTCATCAAACTAGGTTTTTAGACCGGGGGACGTACATCTGACCATCGGACGCAGCAACGACGACAATGGCACCATCCATGTTGGCAGCACCGGTAATCATGTTCTTAATATAATCGGCGTGACCGGGGCAGTCGACATGGGCGTAGTGACGGTCCTCAGTCGCAAATTCAATGTGGGCAGTCGAGATGGTAATACCACGCTTGCGCTCCTCAGGGGCCTTGTCAATGGAGGCATAGTCGAGGAAGTTGGCAAGACCCTTAGAGGCCTGGTGCTTGGTGATAGCGGCAGTCAGGGTGGTCTATGGGCGGACGGGTTAAATCTCATGTTCGAAGATGGCGGAAATGTCGGAACAAGTTGCGAATAGCTTACCTTGCCGTGATCGACGTGGCCAATAGTACCTAAGCAACAACCTTTTAGCGTGGAGATGGATTATGCGCCAACGACAGGATCATACCAATGTTAACGTGGGGCTTGTTACGCTCGAAAGCAGTGGCCAACCCACGGCCGGTCACCTTGTTGCTGAAGACATGGTGGACGGGGTTGACGGTAGTCGGACGCAGCAGGGAGGACCGGCTAGTGCGCGCCAGGAGGTTCAATGAACGAGAGATGCTCGACATCTTGGTTCAATAAATAAAACGATGGAACAAGAACAAAAAGGAAAGATTAAAAGAGATGGAGTAAGGATGGGAAAGAAGAAGCCCAGGTCAACACCAAATTTTCTAGTAAGATGGGTTCCGGGATGAATGGACCCATCTCAGGACAGCTTAGTCATCAGCCAATCATAGGCCTCGAATTGCGGGCAGAATACCTAGCCTGGAAATGGAGATAATGAAACATCAATTTTATGAATAGATGTGTCTCAATACGGAGAGTTCCAACGGCCTTAGCTCTCCGGGCTACTTCCAAGGTATGTGCGAGTGGACCCAAAGAATAGTATAACAGTGATGAGAAACAGCGATGTCACGTTGTCGTACAGTTCAATGCCATATAGTATACATGGAAGCAGTCCTCTCCGCTAGATATTCTTCTGTGCGGTAATCCTAAGTTGCTTCCCCGGTTCACCTTCCATTGCCTTGGTCTGAGTTCCACCGGCCTCTCTGATTGTGTCCAAAACACTCTGCATGACCTGTTTGATCTCATCCACTGTGGGATTGCGCTTGCGCTTCTTGGTGGTCAATAGGATTTCCACCCTGCGGCCTTTCTCCAAAAAGGTGGAGAGTTGTTTCAGGCGGTGCGACAGGTCATGGGCATCGATTGCCCAGTTCAGTTCAATTTGTTTGAATATAACCTTGGATTCGCGAGCTGACTTTGATTTGGCCTTTTCGTGTGCTCGCACTTCTTTCTTATTGTAGACCTTACAAACTGGTGGGTTGTCATTGTCTCCTTCTTGCACCTGGAGAAGAAAGAACTCGGTGTGGTCAAAGCTTTCAAGGACATCCTCTAGTCTGGTGGGAGGGTCGAGGTCACCTTCGTCGTTCACAACTTGGACAAACGACGCACGGATAGCTTCGTTTATCGGGGGCTTTTCAACGGGTGGCCGGTATGATCGAAGCTCTAGGCAATGGGATTGTTGAAAAAACCGAGTCTGGGGTGCATTCTGAAGAGGACTGAACGCAAGAATGCCAACTCTGGAGGTGCGAACGGGTGCGATGAAGATCTGGCGTAGGGCCTGGGCGGATGATATGAAACTGCGTGTGTGATTCATATTGTCGGCTGGTAGCGGAAAATGTAGCAGGAGTTGTAGAAGGTTGGCAAGCTCGCCTGTGAGGAGAGATGTAGTGTTTTTGCAACACATAGGGAGTAAGTTGAACAGTATGGCTATCCAGGATGCAAACACAACAAACATTAGTAAACCACTGCCCCCGGACTAGGTATCTACCTACATACCAACCTTGAAAGGTTAGATGCTTCCGGCCAAGTTATGATGGCTCATTACATTAACAAGCATATCCGGCATCCCGCGTGTAGTCTAAAACAGCTAGCTGCCTTAATACACACATGGAAAATGTGAGTTGCTCCCTCAATTCAAGAGTCGGGGCGCACTGGCAATAAATAATCCCTATACGCGCTAACAATACGAGCTGTACGGAGTACTCTCCCAACGGAGTACACTCTAGGAAGCTGAGTATACTTCAACTTTGTTCTTTTATCTTTCGTGTATATAGCACTCTATGTAGCTTGCACCGCCAACTTGATTGAATTGTACAATCATTACGTTACTTGCTTATCCTTTCTTCTCTTTGATTTTAGAAGGAAAATTACTTTGGACTTAGTAGAAGAGAAAGATGCTATGATTGTATATTAGCATTCCTATTGTGCGTAAATACTGGAAGTTCCCCGTGGTATGTACGGAGTACTATGTTGTATGTACATCCATGCATGCATTTAACGCCACATCTGCGCCACAACCATGAAACCCTGAATCTCCTTTCTCTCCTGAGACTTTCCCTCTTTACATCCATCCACTTTTTTTCTTAGGCTGGCTTGGTGTTTTTGGAGGACATCGGGATCAATGGTTACTTACTTGTTTCATTATTCCTCTTAACCCCATACAATCGTTTCACCATTCTTGCGCCAGCAACAAACGCCACCTGTCACTGCACCCTCATAATTTGACAACTGCTCGAATGTCGACTGGAGTCGACAATCAAATCCCTAACAGCAAATCCGACTACATAGATTCGGCCACCCGCCACCGCTCCATCTCCAACAGCGACGGACCTGCTATATCGCAGTCTATTAAGTCCAGTCAATTCTCCGACAAACAACCCGTCAACATGGCACAGACCCAGAGATCGCGTTACTTGAAGACGGGGGCAATTATTGCGTTCATCTTTATGGTCTTAGTGTGGCTCTCCCCTTCACAGCCGAGCACTTCAAATCTTACCAACGGTTGGTGTTCCCCTTGCTCGCGCTGCCGTTCGCAGGACTGATTATTTGGCAGAGCAACCACCTTCAAGCAGTGACGCGTCCACTTCGAGAGTATGCACCAAGCCGTTTGATTCATCCAAGCCTCTTATTCAGTACGCTCTCATGATTGACGCCGGCAGCACTGGGTCCCGAATTCATGTATACCGATTCAACAACTGCGGCCCTACCCCAGAACTTGAGAATGAAGTGTTCGAACAAACGAAAAAGAAGGAGGGAGGCTCCTCCGGTCTCAGCTCTTTTGGAGAGGATGCCGAGGGTGCAGCTCTGAGTCTGGACCCTCTTATGGAGGTCGCTGTGAAGTCGGTCCCCGAGGAGTACAGGTCGTGCTCTCCGGTTGCCGTCAAGGCCACGGCCGGACTTCGTCTTCTAGGTCCTGAAGAGAGCGACAAGATCTTGGAAGCCGTTAGACACCGTCTAGAGACTGTTTACCCCTTCCCCGTTGTCTCCAAGGAGAGAGGTGGTGTCGAGATCATGGATGGTTCAAAGGAAGGTGTCTACGCTTGGATTACAACCAACTACCTGCTGGGCAAGATTGGTGGCCCGGATGAGACTCCTACGGCCGCTGTCTTTGATCTGGGTGGCGGTTCCACTCAGATTGTCTTCGAACCCACATTCGAGCAGAGCAAGGCTGGTGGTATGCCGGAGCGTCTTGCTCCCGGTGACCACAAGTATGACCTCAACTTTGGTGGCCGCCATTTCGAGCTGTACCAACACTCTCATCTAGGATACGGTCTCATGTCTGCTCGCACGGCCATAAACACCGTGGTCGTGGAGGCGATGCTAGCTCAGAGCCCCAAGGACCTTTCCTGGGTTAAGCAGCCTATCTCCAACCCCTGCATTGGCACAGGAATGACCAAGACAGTAAAGCTGAAGTTCCCCGCTGATCATCCGCTGGGGCCTGAAGTCGAAGTGAGCATGGTTGGCCCGAAGGACAAGTCTATGACCCCCCAGTGCCGTGCTATCGCCGAGAAGATCCTGAAGAAGAGCGGCGAGTGTAAGCTTGCACCCTGTTCTTTCAACGGTGTGCACCAGCCATCTCTCGCAAAGACTTTCGCTCGAGAGGACTTGTACATCTTCTCTTATTTCTTCGACCGCACGGCTCCACTTGGCATGCCGGAATCTTTCACTCTGAATGAGCTTAACCAGCTGACCTCCACCGTTTGTGCTGGTGAGAGTGAATGGAAGGCGTTCGAAAGTGTTAAGTTCGAGGGTGAGGATAATGCGCTTGCACAGCTTCGGGATCGTCCGGAATGGTGTATGGACCTTAGCTTCATGACGGTTCTGCTGCACACCGGTTACGAAATTCCCTTGTCCCGCGAGGTCAAGATAGCCAAGAAGATCAAAAACAACGAGCTGGGTTGGTGTCTTGGTGCGAGGTTAGTTCACTCCTTGCCGTCCCTTTCTAATCAGTATACTGACCTGCTGCAGCTTGCCTCTTCTGAGCCAGGAATCCGGCTGGACTTGCCGCATCAAGGAAGTGGCCTAAGAAACGAGATGGTGAAACGCAAAATATATCACTTTTTAATAATGTCATTCGGTCATAGTGTATGATGGGTTCATGCATATATAGGGATCCGCGATATGCTCATGTTTTGTTTTACAGTTTTATTTTCCTCTTCCATATCTGTTTATCTAGACTTGATTCCTGATGAGTTGCATACAAAGGGAATGAATGTATGTGTCTTTGTGCACGCGATTGGTCTGGGCCACTTCTGTAGAGGGAAAAAGAAAAGCATTAGACGCTAAATGATAACACAAAGCCCAAGATAATGCAAATGAATGTCAATCGTGATTGAATCAAGACCGCGCATCTCCACCAAAAATGTTATAAATAATGCAACCCACCACTAAATCAAACGAACAAATGCCTATTAAGCCATCTCCTCGATAGACGGCTTGTCCGTATTCAACTTTTTACTCTTACCTCCCATAAGCTTCCCAATGATATCCGAGTCATTCATCTCTTGAGGGGTCTCCCCAGTGCCAGTGACACCATTAGACCCTTCGTCATCACTCTCCTCATCACTCGAAGAATCACCATCGCGTTTCTCTTCCAAAACCCCAAGACCAAGATCCTAAATCCATTAGCAAACCCCATCACAATCAATAAGCACAATCAATAAGCCTTACCATCTCAATATATTGCTCTGCATTTTCGTCCGCATTATCGAGAACCAGATCTCCAGCCTCCCCAGCCTCAATCTGCTTTTGCAAATTCTCATTTGCATCTTTCATCTTCGGCAAGAAAGCGTTGAGCCGCGACAAAAGTCCCGAGTCGCCTCTAATACGATGTATGCGCGGTTTCGGGCGGCCGGCGATGTGGGGTATTGAGGATGGATCAGAGGCATTTGCATGGGTGGTCGACTCCTCGGTGCCATTCATTTCTTGGTCGGAGTGTTGTTTGTCTTCTCTTTCGCTCTCGTTGTCATCCTCTGAAGATGAGCCCGAGGAGGAGGTTGGGTCGGAGTCAGATGATTGAATAGAGCTGGCGCGCTGTCGACGGGGCGCAGTGCGGTCTGCTAGGTTTAAAGATTGTGGAGAGGGATTGCTTGCAGCAGCCTCAGATCTTATCGTTGCGTTTGACATGGTTTCGATGTTGGAGGTATGTGGTTCGCTGGGGGTAGCAGAGATTTTCAGAGATTGTGATGCGCTGATGTGGGGTTTAGCAACTTGGATGCGTGCCAATATACAAATTTTTTATATGGCTAAATGATCTCAGTGTCTTCGGTTGTCTTGAAAGAGTGGAAGTTGGCGAGTCTGGGCATTTTCAACTTTTTTTGGGTGGAGAACTGATAACGGATAAGCTTATCTGATATCGATGCATGTGATCTTGGGAATACATAGTTGAAGTATTACCCCCTAAGTTTACTACATAGTAAGTCTTCTCCAAGAAAGACCTATCACAGCGACAGAAGCCGGATCGCCATCGCCACAAATCAACTATAGGGCATCGTGCTGTATTAACGGGAGCCGTCGTAAAGGCCCCTACCCATGAGTCTAAGGTCGGCCAAACAGCAGTACGAGCTAGAAAGGGAAGTCCTGAGCATCTGCTGATTCACACGGTCTGTCTCTTATTATACAGCCATGGCGTGGCATAATGTGTCAAACATGACTTCGTGTTTCCCGCGCGGACAATGTCAGGCCGCTGGGTGCTGTATCTAGGTGGTTGGATGGATGCCGACTTTTGTCCTGACCCGAGTCATTTAGAGTCAACTGAGGGGAGGGCGCGGGAAGCAAAACAGTTGGATGAAATATAACGTCTGTTTGAACTGCTGGTCAGGCGCTGCGAGGATATACAGGATGAGCGGGAAGGCCAGCCGGGCCACAGATGTGACAAATGGACATTGAAAGAACAGCTGAAGCCCCAGACCTAGAACTATTGCTAGCTTTTCGGTGCTGCTTGGCGTTTGGGAGCGAAGGATGGAAAAGGAAAGACTTGAGTATTGAATGGGAAAACTATCACAACAGTCTTGGGCACAGAGGAGAGATCGCATAAGACCGCAATAGAATGCGATAAATTCATTTTCACTAGCATTGGTCTTAATAAGAACGGGTGCTTCGTGGTGAGCATCTAGTCAAATCGCACATTTGAGCTTGCTCTATTTTTTTTTTCCTCTTCTTTCCTCGCCCGTTTAGACGCACTCACTTCAATAACCGTCCGGGTCGAAGCAGTTTAACCATTTACCACCCTTCTTTTGAAAGATGATAAGGCTACGTATGGAAGAAGGCTCCATGTTGTTGGAAATACGGGGAACAACTAACTGTACAAGTCGAGCGTCAACATCAGGGCTAGAGGATGACTAACAGTGCTGGGCGGGTGTAGAATGTTGTAGTGGTCCAAAGTTACGGGTGTAAAGGCAGCCGTTTCTGGCCTCAAAAGCGGTCATTTTCGGCGTCAATCCCGAAAATCTTTTTCTAATTGTAAGCAGAAGTCTCCCTGGTCTTTTCATACATGGCAAAGTTGCATAAAAATCATCGGCTCCGGTTCCTTCTGCGGCTGCGACTTCGTCGTCGACTTGGGCTTCTTCGTCGGCTAGGACTCCTTCGGCGACTAGGGGTTCGTCGAAGAGGTCGGCGATCATCTGTATCTTTCTCTTTCTCTTTCTCTTTCTCTTCTTCTTTCTCCTTCTCCTTTTCTTTTTCTATGTCAACCTCAGGATCTCCCTCTTTTGCTTGAGTCGAACCCTTATCTCGTTCAGATACCGGTTTGTAACGGTCAATATCGGCTAAACGGGGTCGCTGTTCTCGCTCTCGCTCCGGAGATCGGACCCGGCGGCGGGGTGACTTGCTCCGGTTGCTGGTGGAGGGCACGTAGCGGTCAATATCTAGAGTAGGAGAAGGCGAGCGACGCCGAGACCGAGATCGCCGTCGAGTAGATCGAGAACGTGACCGAGGACGGTCACGAGCACGAGGGGGGTGCGAGCGCGAGCGGCTGCGAGAACGTCGGCGTACAGGTGAGCGAGAGGGCCGACTGCGCCGAGGACGATAATTGTCATGATCTCGGTCTCGGTTGCGGTCTCGGTCGCGGCCAACACTGCGGTCCCGGCCGGCAGATCGACTGCGGCTGCGACGGCTTGGTCTGTAGCTTCCACCACCTCGATCATCCCGGAAGTCGCGGTAGCCACGGCGCGCATCCATATCACGATCTCGAGACCTCACAGAAGTATCCCGAGACCGTTCACGTCGGCGATCTGTGTCATAACGTGAGGTGCGTCGTCGACGCGAGCGACTACGGCTTCGATCCCGAGTCAAATGTCGGGACCGATCACCCCGGTCTGCAAGAGAACCACGCCTCGTGTTAGCATCTCGGGATATGCTGGCCGCTCTCGTAGATGTATTAGAAAACCTTGAATCATTGGCAGTCTTGGCCGGCCCTAACGCTGATACTGGCGGTTTCAGTCCATTCTCAATAGCCTCGGCCTCTTCAAAGTCAAACTCGGGCTTCTGTCGAGCCTTGGCTGCAAGTTCTTCGCCTTCTTTCAATAGCATTTGCAAAGCAGCCTCCTCGAGTGACTTCTCATCCACAAGAGGCGGTAGCACAGGAGTGGGAACATTCGATGTAGATGACTTGTCGTGTTTTGAATCCCGGGGCCTAGGTGATAACCCACGGTCAGAGCGATCACGGAAACGGTCTCTATCTCGAGTTCGACTGCGGTCACGGTCCCAGCCTCGATATCGCTCCCTATCTTCACGCCTTCGTCGCTCGTATCTTTCCTCTCGCTCTCGCTCTCGCTGCTCGTCGAGAATTCGTTGCTCTTCGCGTTGGCGTTCCCGATCAGCTCGCCTCTGTTCATCAATTTCCTTTCTTCGGGCCCGGTCTTCTTCGTCTTTCTGTCGTTCAAGTTCACGCTTCTTTTTGCGTTCTTCATCCCTGACGCGTTTTTCCTCTTCCTCAATCTCTCTCTGTTTGCGCTCCTCTTCGCGCCACACTTTTTCCCGCTCCTCCCGCTGGGCGCTGACGTAGGCTTCATAATCTGCATCGGTTTTGTTCCCTAGCTCGAGTTCACGGGCAGCCACTTCCTCTCCAACGTCCTGACATCGGATCTCACGAACAGATTCCAGGATGAAATCCAGGTGTTTGGATGCTAATTGGTCGATGGAGTCCTCCACGCTCTTGTAGACATCACCGCGGTCCACCGCGCCCTCAATGAGTGTCGCTGCCTTTCCTCTTTCGCGGGACAGCAGTGCCGGCTCGCGATCGATCGCTGACTCTGCAAGTGCGACTAACTTGTTGGTAAACTCGGTTCGAAGTTCCTGTTCGCATAGGATTAGCATGGTGCGAAAAAACATGTGGATAATATATCATACTCCGTCATTGAATTCAGCCCATATTTGTTTTCGGACACTATCAAAGCCACCCTTCTTCTTGAATGAATGTAAGAGTTTGTCAATGACTGCATGTTGCGCCGCAGACAAGGGAAGGTCGTCGGTCTTGAACTTCTTGCGCTTCACGCTCTCAATATCAATAGGCCGTTTAGCTGTAGAATCATCCATTGCCTCATCAGAAGCCATAGTTGGCCTGGGGAAGTCGAAGTCGCGCGAGCGATAAGCGATAACAAGTGTGACCGGAAGAATGGTTGTTCCGTGCTTGGGAACTGCGGCCCGTTGATTTGCTTCAACCTCGTCTCTCCTGGACTATTGCGACGGCAACATCTATCTCCGCCCCCAATTATCCCGGCTGCTGTGGTGTTGAATCAACCAGCCAACCCATCCGCCTTCCCAAAATCTTTCTCGGATCTCCATCAGCACCCGAATTACAACCACAACCCCGCGCTCGACCGCGATCATGGTTCACAAAGTACTCTTCTGGGGCGGCTTCGGTACGTCACATCTCCTTCCCCAGCTTTCAATCTATCACAAGAGCACGCTGCTTGGTAGCACGATTGTTCAAGTTATTTATATGCCATTGGAACTAACCGTGTTGATCCGACAGGCATTGCCGTCCGCCTTTGGCAACTCGGTATCGAGATGCGTCCGATCCTTGCCAAGGAATCCCTCTGGGTCTATCCTCTCTTCGCCGGTGTTGGTGGAAGCTTTGGTTACTGGCTTCAGGGTGTTGAGAGCAGACAATTGAAGATGCTTGCACAGCGCCGTGAGGCCATTCTCGAGAAGCGTCGGCGGCGGGATGCGAAGCCCGAGGGTGGTGTCCTGGCTGCTGCATCATAAAGCAGAGCTATTATGATTGAGATGGTCGTTGTGTGTATGCGTTTTTCTATTTGTACCAAAATTCAACCGGTTTGATATCAAGCATTCGGGTCTTCGCATTTAGTGGACAATTCTTGCCATAAAATGCATTGGCATTTTTTATCTTTTTGGTCTGTTCTAAATTCTGGCTAAGAATGGTCAGATAAGAAACAATTTGTTCATCTCTATTTTAATTTTACGGGGTATAAATCCCGAAGTAGAACGTTTCCAGGGTTGATATCGATCCATCCATCATGCCTGAGGCGTCATGAGTCAGCAAGGAGTGGGTGCCCGGCGGGCAGGCTCCCCGGGGTCGAGTACATCATCAACTCCGCTCCGTAGACACCTTCTTATACTGCGTTCGTCATTCATTAGTTCTTTTCTGTTTGTTCCCTCTGTAACTTAGCCGAGCTCCCCGCCTCCTTCTCGCATTTTTTTGGTTTCTCTTTATCGCGATGCTTATTGTCTGTCTTTGAGAAAAGAGTCCGATGCCGAGACTGCGTGGCATAGATGGATAACCGCGGCTCCTTTTTCTTCTTCGTGCTGGTGTTCTACCTTCTCTTCAGTTCCCAGTCTCGACCGCCATTGATCGATGAAGATCGGGCACGGCAACGTGAGCTTGACCATGAGCGACAGGTCCTTCGGTTATTGAATGGATCAAAATATGGCGACTTCGATCCGCCCGCCAATCGATGGCTTCCTTTTTCGGGTTCAAGAGGGAATGACAGCTATGCTTGGGACCTTTTTCCGCAGGTCAAAGGCCTGGCTCGCCACCAGTTACAATCAGCGGTCTCAAATGCCGGGCTAGAATCCCCGGACGGTCTAGAAGACCCCATTGTCTCGCCTACTTTGAACTTGACCAAGCTTCTGCTTCCGATATATCGCAACTCAACCGGGAAGCTGCGGGGGGACTGGGTTCGGCGAACTGAAGGTGTTCATCGCCGTGAACCTCTGAACACGACAGCCATCGCTGAAGAACACGAATACTTTACTCATGAATTCAGTCATAATATCACTGGCAATAGCGGCACCTTTTACTTTGATCTTGAAGAGGGAGGTGGTGAAGAACTTCAGATGGGCGATGGACTTTTGAGAGAGATGCGAGCCAGTTTGACGGTCGAGAGCGAGGACTTCTGGGGAAGTACCTGGTACATCTCGTTGTTAGGTGTACACTTCCCAGACACCGGAAGTATCGTTTTGACTACTTCCAGTGAGAAATTTGGCGGCATCTTCTCGTTGCCGCATTTCATGCTATCTTCTGACACTTACGAATTGTCACACGAGCTTCTTCTCAAGTCACTGTCGGACACCATCTCGGAGAAGCAAAATCGACCCCCAACACTGTTCCCCTGGTCCTCTCTGACAGGAACAGAGCAGATGGAGTTCCCTGCGCCTAAATGTGAACATATCATCTACTTGCAGCAGCATCCAGTCATGCTCGAAGATGCCGTTGCTGACCGATTGTTATTGGAGCGTATGGAGCAAGAGCTCAGATATCCTATGGGAGCGCCAATCCCAGATCCTCCTCTTATGGTCATGTCTGCTGTTGTCTTCTCCCCAGACTGCGGGTACATACTTCAAACGAAAGGAACCCCTGAGTTTCCTCCTTCTGATGCATTATATGTGACTGGGCCTAAGCATGAAGAGTACAGTAAATATGCATCTCGTCTCATTTTTGTGGTTTCTGGTGTTTTTGTTGCACAGATCACCCTGCTTCTTCGACAGATCAAAGAGGCTTCGACTCCTTCTACCCGGAGTCGGATCAGCTTCTATACCATCGCATTGATGGCGCTCGGCGATGCATTTGTTTTGACATTCATTGTTTTGGAACTATATGCCGCAGTATCTTTCCTAGTTTTGGCTACTGCATCATTTTTGGCGTTCCTGTCGGTGAGTTATATTGGAATGAAGTTCATGATGGAAATATGGGCAGTGCAAGAGCCAGAAAGAAGAGAGCAAGATCGTCCGCCCAATCCATCAACTCCAACAACTCGCCCTGGAACTTTGCCTTTGCCTGCCACTGCTTCGGAAGCACGAGACTCGGGAGCGACCCCAATCATCTTGTCACCCGACCAAGATGCCCCCGACGATGAGATGGATTCGCCGCCGCCAACCACCCGAGCCACTCCCCCAACTCCAAGGCAAATCCGCAGCGACGTAGGAACAATGTACGCACGGTTCTATCTTACCCTATTTGGCATGCTCATCCTGTCAATCTGGGCTTTCCTCCTGCCGAGACGTCTCGGCTCAATATACACCCGCTTCTTGGCAGCAGTCTATCTCTCCTTCTGGGTTCCACAGGTCTACCGCAACGCGATGAGAAATTGCCGCAAGGCTCTTCGGTGGGACTTTGTTGCCGGCCAAAGTGTTCTGCGACTCTTCCCATTCTTGTACTTCCTCACGGCACGGGGAAACGTGTTGTTTATCCGCCCCGACTATACAAGCGCATTCATCATGACTGGATGGGTGTGGATTCAAGCATGGATCCTGGTCAGCCAGGACGTTCTCGGGCCACGCTTCTTTGTGCCTCGTGGCTGGGCACCGCATGCATACGATTACCATCCCATGCTGCGCGATTTATCCGGAGCGGACGAGGATCTCGAAGCCGGTGGTGGCGTTCTGTCGATTGCATCCCTGCGCGGTGATGAACGAGATCTAGTCAGTGATTCGAAGGATGATGATAAGCAGCGGAAAGACCGCAAGAAGGCCATATTCGACTGTGCTATTTGCATGCAGGATATCGAGGTTCCTGTCCTTCCCGCGCCTTCTGCTTCGGGTGGAAGTAGCGTCACCGATGGGGCCGCAAGCATCTTGAGTCGCCGGCTATATATGGTCACTCCTTGTCGTCATATATTCCACACTGCCTGTCTGGAAAGCTGGATGAGACTTCGCCTCCAATGTCCGATCTGTCGTGAATCCATACCTCCTGTATAACTTATGTTGTAATGCTTCTCATACATGATATCATCTTCCTGTACACAGACCTGCATTCCACTATTGCGACATGCGTGATCTAGCTCTAAATATACATCCACCTAGATATATGGACTATGGTTTCTCTACAAGGAAATAAAACAACTATCCGTCCACGTATACAGAAATCTTGTTGAATAGTTCGTCGATCCGTAAACGGATCGACAAGATCTAAACGCTCTCGTTGAAGGAAATTGGTCACCATTGGTCATACATGACAACATAACATCAGTTAAAGAAGAAATTCACCACATCTAGCTCCAGACAGGCATTTATAAATTACGAACCAAGATCAATCACTCCACAAATTTAAGCATCGATAGTCTCTTTGTAGGCAGCCTCATCGAGCAACGCATCGAGCTCAGCAGCATCAGCGACTTCAATCTCAGCGATCCAACCCTCACCCTCAGGACTCTCGTTGATGGTCTTAGCCTTATCCTCGAGGACGCTGTTACCCTTGATAACCTTGCCGGAAACAGGGGAGAGGACATCAGAGGCAGACTTGACGGACTCGACAGCGCCGACGGGCTCGCCGGCAACGATCTCGAGGTCGACCTCGGGGAGCTCTACATAGACGACATCACCCAAGGAGTGGGCGGCGTAGTCGGTGATACCGATCTTGGCTGTAGAGAGTCTGTTAGTTAGCTCGCTGCTCCATATTCTGTATACTATTGGAGGCCATATACACCTGGCACCGGTTCAATGGATGGAAGGCAGGTGTATGAGACCAATTGATCGAGGTGGTTGTTCACTAACCAGTCTTGCCGCCCTCGGCCAGCTCAATCCATTCGTGCGACTCTGTGTACTTCTTCACCTGGGCTATAATTGCGAATTGGTGCGCCGTTAGTAAAATGTAACATCATAGAGCATGTTTGATAAATTTTGATGCTCCAATGCCGGTCCAAGTATGTTTTACATCGTCCTAGACAGCATTAACAGCATTGGGTGTTCATAGTACTCACAGAGAGGGCTTTGGGAGAAGCTCCTAGTTCCCCGCGGGAAACGGAAAGCAGGCGAAACCTGGCAGGCGGATGCAAGAGGCTTCTGGGAAATGACCCGGGAAGCAAAGGGGCGGATTGCGCGAGCGACAGAGGACATTTTGAGGTATAGGGAAAAGGAATGAGAAGCGTGGAAAGTGAAATGAGAAGAGGAGAGAGTTTAAGTAAAAGGGAAAGAAGGTGATGCGCTTCTCCGGCGGAGTTTCGTTGACGGCATTTCCCCGATAACGAAATGCCAAGACTACGATAAGCAACGCGCTAACCTCGTCGGATTTTGCTGGCTTCAAATGGTCATTGCTCCATTTCTGTCTCTAGTTCGCGCCAACCCTCGATGCCATGTTGTACGAGCTAATTGCCATTGTATGCTTTAGTTCCATCGAAACTGTCATATTGACACTCAAAGAAATGTTTGGATTTGCTAACCGCTCTGCTAACAGGTCCGCCCGGGCAGCCTCAACGAGGTGCGAGAGTACGTTTGAACCAACACCATCGCCGCGGTCTCCATCATCCGAACCTGTCGAATACTAATATAGATGATTTTACTGCAGAATCGCCCGTAATGCCGGTACCCAAGTCATCCGCTCCGGTGGCGTCGTTCGCGGCTACACCAACTGGGGTGCCTTCCGTCTGCCCAAGGTCACCACAAAACATCAGGCCCGATACACTGAAGGTCATCACTTCATCATGCGCTTCGACTCTTCCGGCTCTGTTCAGTCATCTATCCGCCGTACTCTCGGCCTCGACCCGCGTATGATCAACTTTTCCGTGGTCAAACTCGGCGACAAGCTCGAAGAGATCAAGGATATCGAGGGCAAGGTCGAGTGGAACAACGTTTCCACCATTACCGAGCAGATCTAATCGACGTGATCTTTTCGACGAAAGTTTGGTTGATTATTGATATCAGATTTGGGAGCGTCATTTAGTTTCCAGCACTTTTTTTTTGTTCTTTGTATTATTATGGCACGGGCATAGGGAACTGCCACTCGAACCTATCAGCAAAATCGGCGCATATTGTATAAAATACCAGTTTGATCTACAAGTCTATTTTGTGGCTGTTACTATACAATTCCTGTTCCCTCCATTCTTGACTCCATGAAAGATGGCAACGGCGAGCATGGCAAAGGAACCCAACGTATATATAGAGATCGACATGCCGTACCCTGTGAACGCCACCATGGTTCGATTTATGTAAACCTGAAGCAAAGCGCTCCAGCCGAAATGTATTCACCCGATCAGTCGTGAACGCTGAATTTGGACTAAGCATGCTATATGTACATAGATAATCGATTCAGAAGCCATAAAATGAGTTACTTTATGCGAAATATTTACACTTAGAACATTCACCCTATTTTGTACTAACTACGGAGGAACTATTTAGTTATTGTAGGGTCGTGAGTCAAACTGACAAGCCGAGGCACCGGCCGGTCCCGTCTCTTAGTCCGGGGTATGTACTCGGTACCAATCACCATACATCCATTATCAAATCTATTCACCTCTACTCCCCACAAGACAATCCTACCCGTTTTCCGTTAAAGAACAGAATACTGTATAAGGCTCAGATCCTTAATCCTACTTTCATATACCACGACCGCTCAGAGGCCGTTGTTATTGATCGGACAGGTACCATCAGCCCGCAGAACAATCACCCTTGTCGACAAGCAACTGCTTCACACTACTTGTACTCTTTGGGAAGAAAAGGGCCTAAATCAAACCGCCTCTCGCCTCTTTCGCGCTATGTCTCCACAAAGCAGGGCCCCGGACAATGACGGCGAGCTGACTTCCCCGCATTCTTTCACCGAGTTGATGTCGCTGCAGCGACTCGAAGATGCCTTGATCTCGTATCCCGACTCCACCGGACCAGAGAAGATTGAGCGGTTTCGCTCGCTGGCAATACCTTTCAATCCTGGTCAAGGAACGCGCTCGTTCGGCGGACATGTCTACGCCCAAGCAGCCTATGCAGCGTCCAAGACCGTCGGTCGGGGTTTAGTGATTCACGTAAGATATTATACATGAATTTCCCTCAAAGAACCTCAAACTGACATATCGGCAGGATATGACGGGTACATTCATCCTAGCGGGACGGCTCGACACGCCGTACGTGTACACAGTGCGACATATCCGCGATGGATTCATGTACAGCGCACGAGCCGTCGACGCGAGACAAGCAGGCAGAATCTGCTTCTCGTGCATATGCTCCTTCAAGCGGGATGAGAAGCAGCGTCTCTTCCAGCACCAGCCGAAATCAGCACAAGCGCGCTTCGACTCAATCCTCTCGGCAAAACGACCAGAAGACCAGCCTCCCAGTCCCAGCGTGGACGCAGATTGGTGGATCGATGCCGTGCAACAGGGGAACATCTCCGAGCACGAGTTTCCCGGTCTAGACGTGCGCAAGACTGATATGAAGGATTATAACCGCACCGAGGATGTCAAGCAACACCCTGACCGATATCGCCAGCTAACGCAGTACCGGCTCAAAGGATCACCGGATGAGGACCCTGCTGCGAGTTTGGCGCAGATCCGCGAGAGAGAAGAGAACGGGGAATATGATAATTTGTATGCGTGTGCGCATATGTATTCCAGTGATAAAAACTCGCTTCTTTTGATTCCGCGCGCGCTGGGGATCAAGCACTGGACTGAGATGGCGAGTCTTACACTTACGGTTATTGTGCATCAGCATGGGGAGGCTCTGCGGATGATTGATTGGGAGAGTGTTGGAGATGGCGGTGTTGGCGGTCTGAGTGAGTTGCCTATGAAGTGGTTTGTGCAGGAGGGTTGGACACCTCGGGCTACGGAGAACAGGGGGACGCATGAGAGTCATCTTTGGAGCCCTGATGGGACGTTGCTAGCGACTTCTTTGCAGGATAGTATGTTGCGCTTGAGGAAGTTGGACGTTGCAAATTTGTGATTTATACATGCCCCTCAGTATGTACATAGTTTATAGACTAGATGGCCGTACATATGAGGCCACGACAACAAGATTATTTGCTGGGAAAAATTCCAGCGATGCTTATACCTCTTTGTCGCTCATGTCCAGAAACTGATAGTGCAGTGGCAGCAATATAGCTGCAATATTTGCGCAGCCCATATGTATTGACCATCGAATGTTGTCAACACTGTCAGCCAACCACAAAACCCCACGGAATTTATGCCATTTAACGCTCACAAGAAGAAGGGTATTATAATATGGTATGCGCTGGAACAAGAGAAGAAAATCAAATATCCTCCCCGGATATATTAGCATGCTTGAAGTACTTCATACCCACCCATGCGACAACAACCCAAACCCAAGACATGACAGCCGTGAGAATGATAAGTGCAGGATAATACCCGACAATCGGCAAAGTCGGATCATCCTCCAACTCGGGCGGCGCATAGGGTGTCTCCCCAACATCCCAAGCCCAGCTCCAGACCTCAAAGCAGCTCCCAATGCCCACAACAAAGACTAGCCACGTCACAACCAGTATAATCCAGCCCCACCATTCGGTCTCGGAGTAGTCCACGTCCACATCGGGACTGCTCTTCATCTCAACCGGATGTGTGACCAGGGGCGAGGACTTGTGTCGGTGGACGGGCAGGTATGCTGGTTCGGGCTGAGGTTGGAGCGAATAAAAAGAAGCCGAGTTGGAGGATGGCGGGGAGATGTGCAAGCCAGTTGCAGAGCCGATTTTAGGACTGGTGCCCGTGTCGGCCGCTGTGGGATTTGAGTGCAGGCGAGGGAAGGAGATGAGGTCCTCGTCGTCGGTCGCTTGTTCTTGGAGATTTTGCTGTGCTAGGCCCTGGCGTCGGCGACTTATTGAGGGTCGAATGGGTTTCTGGGTATTTGCCGCGCTGAACCAGGCCGGTTGTTGGGTATCGTCGCGGTCATCGTCGAAGGCCCCGCTCTCGCGCGGTGAGTATCGCGTAGGCCCATTATCGGAGGGGGTTTGATCTGTTAGTTGTATAGCCGCTTGTAGATCGGCGGCAGGAAGTCGGCTAGGTTCGGCGCGGAGGGCTTCGAGAGCTTCGGCGGCTTTGGCGGTGGCTCTTTTGTCGCGCGATTCGAGCCTGGTGCCTAGCAATGCAGTTTTGCGGAGTGAACCACGCCGACGGCGCGTTCGGTGTTGTGCGAGAGCGGCAGACATTGCCCGGCTGCTGGTAGTTCCTCCCTTGCCTGTGGTCTGCGGCATACCGGAGTGGAGGTCTTCGTCGCCATCGTGATCCATACCGGGGTGGTGTCGTTCCAGGGAGGTGTGTGCTACCTGGTTCACGCGAAGGAAGGAAAGTCTCGAGAGGAGGGAACCCGAAAGGCTTCGTTTGTGGCCGCTACTTACGCTGCCTGATCGCGTGCGAGGAGATACTTCGTGGACCGCCAAGTCCGCGGTTCTCTCGTCATCGTCCATTAGTGCGAGTGGAACCGAGAGCTGGAACGTCAGCTCGGTCAATCCTCTTGCTTGGTGAAACTCGGAATCTGTGTTTTCTCGTTTGGTGTTTTTGTTTTGCAAAGACATCCATGAATGTTACCTGCACAGGGCCGTAAAGGAGTGGCATTGTAGCCCTATATCTCAGGCACCAACAATGTAACTGTATATCAATATTGCGATGCCAGCGGCGACACACGCTCAAATAGCCTTGAATTATGTCTCTAGTGCATATAAAGTATCAGCAATAACAGGTAAGATATGGAGTAAAATAATTTATATAATAATATTGGATCTTATCATCAATTTGAGAGGCACTTTCCCTTAACTCGGTCGCCTTCCCAGTATGTACCTTCAATATTTTCTCACGGCTAGAGGGTAATGCTGCAAAGTCTTGATACTATATTAGAGGCTTTAATTTCATGTCTTTTATGGTGTCTTTTAATTGAAAGAGTAAATAGAATACTTAAAGCCGGAATACCTATGCACATATATCCATAAGTACGGAGTTATAGCTTCGTGATTAGTAAATAACCATCCGATCCCGGTTTTCCAGTTGAGTACAGAGAAAATTCAGAGGAATAGAAAAAGGATGGAGCATGTACATTGCCTATCCCAATCTAAAACATGCCGTACATCTGATTGTCACACTGCATACATGTGCAGCAAGAGAAGGGTTGCGGTTTTACCAATCAACCAACGC